TTGCCCCTGCCACCTCGCATCTACCGCCTTCCGAACTGTCTCCTAGTACAAGTGAGGGCCTATACTGCACCAGGGCGGCCCGTACTGTGATGCAATATGTGTCGGCCGCCCTGCCGAGCATGCCGGAGCAGCAGCATCCGTCGTACCTGCATCGGACGACAAAGATGTTGATCCAGGCAGTGCGTTATTTTCCCCGCTCGTAGGACAGATCTTGTATCACTGACATTACCGGCTTGTGATCGCCATGACAGATGGCGGGAGACGGTTATAGCCGCAGATGAAGTCAGGCATAGTCATAGTTTTTCTGGTCATCACAGCACATCTGATGACGATACGAATCATGATGACATTATGAAGATCAGCAGGACGATACTCATGATCCCGACGATGCTTTCCTGCAGACCTGCGCCCCTGTCCACTGTGTGGCGCTGAGCAGACAGACGGCGAGACCTCTCAGCAGCATTATTTGTTCCACATCATATATACACTTGGGACCGCTACATATATCTTTGATATCTGGCGCAGAAGCCTTCTGCACGTCGCGTCCCACTGTGCGAATCTGCGGTGGGCGGTGGGCGCTTGATCCCACCTGAGGCCTGAGACCCGGAGCGAGATTGCTGTCAGGTCAAAATCCGGCTGTTGTGAGACAACAATCGAACGGATTTTGGACCTCAGCTATCTGGACGTTGATCTGCGGGCAATCCCCTGGAAACCTGGTACACGCAATCTCCCGGGGCCCTGTGTACCTCTGGTTGGCCAGCCGATATTACCGGCATATATACACGGGCCAGCGTATGTCCGCCCGGGTGGAGGTGCCCCGCGTCTGGGGTGCTGTTGAGGCCGAGGACAAAGGTGAACCATCGCGCGCGACGTGGATTTGTAACCGGAGCTTGGTAGCTGCAGTGTAGGGATATATCATCCTGAGGGGTGGCTGTGTGTCTTTGGTGTAGCGTCGGCCTTTGATACGTCGCGACGGCGCCGGCACTTAGTGCTTCGTGTCTGACACTCATCCCGTCTACTTATCAGCAACGTTCGTGCCGGCTGTCGTCGAAGAAGGCTACTGTGTTCTCATCCTTTGACCTGGTGTCGATTGTCACGATTCGCTGACACCCGCCCCCTTTTTTTTATTACTTTCTCCGCGTTCCCTTCGCTTCACCGGTTGGACTCTTGCGCCCCCCTGTTGTGTTAGTAGTCTAGATGTCGAGGTCAACAGCGCCTTTGCCGAGCTCGTTTGCGGCCAATATGCAGGAGATAGTGCAGGCACTCCGAGATGTCAATGCCACGAGATACATGACCGGTAAGCTGTCACTCTTCGACGTTGCCAAGGATCTCATTTTTTGTGTGCAGCCGTCGGCTTGACAGTCCTGCTGTACGATCACGTCCTGACGTTCTGCGATGAAGTCAGGCTCGTGTGGCGCGCACCGAGCTCTTTTCCAAAGTACGCTTTCTTGTTCAATCGGTATCTGGTGCCGGTGTGCTTGCTTTTGGTGTCATATGGTGCGTCTCTCTCATACGCTCACGATAATTCATCCGCTGAATATCAGCCTCACGCCAGAAATGTGTGGATTTGTGGGAGAAGCATTTACGGATGAAGGCTGCAGACGCCTTCTCTTCGCCTGTTCCATGCTTAGTCTCGCGTCCGTTGCGGTTGGCAACATCCTGGTCTTGATGAGAGTTGTCATTCTGTGGGACCGCCGACGGGTATGGCATTTCCCCTTCGCGTGCAATACTGCAATGCTTATTTTCAGGTTTGCAGGCTGTCATGGAGCTGATGGTTGCAGGATTTATAGTCTGCTTTTCAGCGCAATCAGCGCTGATGGTTATCTCGCTAGTCAAGTTCTGGCGTAAGTCCCTTCATTGCGCCATATATGTTCAGCAAGTCTCACAAGTCTCAGCGGGATTGCAGTGGAATTCCGTCGCAGGGATGTGCATCACGACTACGAAGACGCCATTCTTCAGCGGTGTGTGGGCAGCGCCGGTACGCCTAGATTTTTATTTTATTTTGTCGCGACAAAGTTGTAACTCAATCGTCTCGTAGATGTTCTTCGAGGTTCTCGTACTGGTTTCGACTGTCCTCAACGCTCTCGACAGGCCTTCGCAGGCTGCACTGCCCATCACGAGATCCCTCCACAGGGACGGCATTACCTATTTCTTGGTACGTGCGCGCATATATAACCTTATAGAAGAAGTCTGAAACGAATTTGCTCGGCAGGCAGTGACATGCTTCAGAGTTCTCAACTTGACACTCTCTATCGTTGCGCAGCCTTCGGAGACGATGGTCGTCGTTTTGTGAGTCCGATTCCGCCCACCTATCACCTGCAGCGCTTAATATTAGCTGCATCACAGCTTCATCTGGGGCATGACGACGACGATCCTGAATCGGTCACTACTTCGCATGCGCAAGATGGAGTTGAGCTACCTAGAAGAGACAGAAGAGACAGAAGAGATGCTCGGACGGAGCTCGCCCTTTGGCGCGAGTGACAGCGTCGTCATTGTTGACCTGGATGCACCCCCGCATCGCTCCAGTCGCTGGCTCGAGCTCAACAAGATGTCTAACGAGTTTTGAGCAGATCTGGAATACTAATTTGCATCCCCTAGGGACCTCCAGGCTCCCGCATACACGCAATATCACTGTTCCACCATTATCTTCATTCACATACTACCGAGTAGCATGCTATTTCACACACGCCCTATGCCCTTTTACGAGATGATTTCCCACGTCGCATCTATATTTCTTTGGCCACTCTTTTATACGATCCATCATTTTGCAGCAACAATCGGTGTGCAGTAAAATAAAGGGACGATCACGCCCGAGAGCAGGTGAAACGATAGCCAACCGCAGAGGCTGTGGCCCTGATACAAGGCGCCTGCGTCGTATTTCGACTCGCGCTGGCCACCATCACCGCCATGCTGCGCGTGCGCTGATGCCCAGGATAGTGGTCATAATTCTGGCCTGGGTTGTCTCGAACTGTCATCTTCGTTCCGCCCCCTCTTTTTTCTTTCTCTTTTACGCCCCGAGGCTGGCCCCTCGCCCTTGTTATCTTTCGCTGGTCGACCGTTTGGCTCATTTCTACGAACTGCTCACGACTAAGACTGGGACGGATCGTTTGTGACGACCTATAAGACGAGGAGCTATGACGAGCAATTCTACCGTCCGCCTGCCGAATGGAGATGACTTCCTTGTGTTTATGCCGGTGCCGGGTAACGAGGCCAATGGGCTTGTGGTACGCACATTTGCGAGCGTGGTTGTCCGTTGTATTTATTGACGCTTTACTGTCGTAATAGCTTCTTGTGGTGATATCAAGTTTCTCCACCGTTGCCGTTGTAGGGCTGCTGAGCGCTATCGCGGTGCGTCTAAGACGAGCCATTTCCAAAGCGCACACGCTGAGGAATACTACAGATTTCGGCATGGAACACTCGCAAGTCTGTGAATCCGCACATGTTCGTGCGTAGCCATGCAGCGGCGTACCTCGTTTCGCTGCTCTTATGTGACTTTCTGCAAGGTAATGTCAAAACGTTCGCGCTTGGGGGCAGGAACTTACTGCGGCGGGCACACAGCTATAGGCTCCCTAATGAATGCGAAGTGGGTCTCCGAGAAGGGCGTAAGTTACATGCCGTTTTGCCAGGCACAGGGAGCTATTAAGCAGCTTGCTGATGTGGGCACTGCGATCTGGTGAGTTCCGATGTCGATCAATCCGTTCGCAGAACGCTCATGTGGCGATAATGCTCTTAGGGCTCTTGTAAGTTGACCAAACCTAGCCTTTTCCGTGTTTCGAGCTTAGACTTGCGCCAATTCAGGTTATTGCTATGCACACGTTTGGGGTGTTGTTCATGCATTGGAACTTGCGCCGCTGCGTCTTGGTGTCAACTTTGGTCTTCAGCTGGTCTACCATCGCGCTATTTGTTTTCTTAGGCCCTGCATCACTGGATGTCAAGCGAAACGGACCATTCTGTACGATCTTCGCTATGGAGATCATGGATTATCGTTGACTTGCGTTGCTCTAGACGGGATTTCGGGCTACTGGTGCTGGATCGCAAATCAATATCCCGGCGCTCGAATCGCGTATGTATCTTTTCGCAGCATAGGTCGTAAATTTGCTAACCGTGCTCCTTCAGCTTGGATTACATGTTTGTAGGTTACCAAAAAAAGATTGCGCAGTGCTATGACTGACGGGTACTTTCAGATGTTCATTTCGGCGTTCCTCAGTTTCGTGCTCTACACCCTCATCTTCCTGAAAATCCGAGGAAACATACTTGTCGCTGGGTGGCGGTGGCGGTTCCGCACTCGTCACAGCACAGACTCTGCTCGCGGCTTGAGTGCCGACGACCAGACTGTCACAGTAGCGAAGCAGATGCTCTTGTAAGTTTTGTCTGTTTGTCCTCCACCTGTGGCCTCGAGACTAAGGGGATATGCCATGTTTAGGTACCCCGTAAGCCATATCCCGGAGATGCTTGAATATGGTGTTGCTGAGCCTTAATGACAGATCGCCTATACGTGCATTATCTTACCCATTGCCATCTGCAGATTCGCTGAGTGGTCTGGTGCTAACATCTCCTTTGGCGCTACAATATTCACGTAAGTTTATATCTCCCAAAGCACCCTTCTTTATACTCACTACCTGCCTTCAGTGACAGCATCTATCTTCTGTCAGGTGAGCGGGTACATATTTAAGCCTCCTGGAAACTGTTGCTCATCCATTACGATAGGATTGATCAACGTCTCCTTATTCCTCTTTACTCGCCGAGTGCTCCCTCGACATAGCGTCATCACGAAGCGTTTCACAATGGACCCCGAGGACCATGATTCCGAGGCCGGCCATTCAGATGCTTCATTCATGGCTGACATCCCAGAGTTCCCCATAGTAGAGAAGATCGATGAGACAGTCGCCGAAGACGACAGGAGCGAGATGTTCAAGCAAGTCAGCAGCCCGGACTCTGACCCAGTCTCAGACAAGGGCGTCAAGGTCCCGCCCATCACGACTGTCACCGACGTGCACGACGTCGAAGACCCACACACGCCGCGCAGAGAGAGAAATTCACACGTCTCTGTTAAGAGTCAGCTCGAGAGCCCCTACAGTCCTGCGGGAGACGAGCACATCATCTCTCCCGATACTGCGATGACCTCGTCCCCCGGAGTGCTCTCCCCGATCTCGCTGTACACCAGTAGTGCGACCCAGGCGCACTTCCATGCGAATATGGTGCATCCCTTTAGTCCGCTCGGTGTCCCCGAACAGGCAATGCCAAAGAGCCCGCTGAGGTCGCCTCCTCGCTCTGCGGCGCTTCGCAGCAATTTGGGGTTGTCATGAGGCTTTTACGCCGCTGCTATGCCCTGTCAGTATATCTGCATGTAAATATTTGGTTGTAATTTGTTTTATCGGTCCGAGTTCGGGTTTAAAATGCGTGAACGTGATCACGTCTCGCTTTCCGTATTTTCATGCGAAAAAGGGTCGTTAGTCGCCCAACAGTAGTGTCCACACCCTGCCGCGCAGGGGTATCCCGACAGCACCAGCTTGCCTTCCGTACTGTCAGGAAACCGAATGGCAAGGCTGCCTTCTTCACCGTCCCTAGTACTCGCACCATCATCCGATCCCTCCCCATCGCCGGTCTTAGACGCTGCGCGGCGAAGCCGTGGTGCGTCCGTTGCTGGTGAGTCGGACTGGCTGGAGGGGTCAGACCCGGCTACGGATGTAGTGGAGATCTGGACAAGCGGGCGGCTGAGGTAGTATTGTTGGTAACAGGACTGGTGTCCGCCGTGCATACAAACAGGGCACGTGAAGAGCAGGGCTCGGACGGGAAGTCGGCTAAATAGGTGAGGGGATCAATCACGACGAACAGAGGAGAATGACGCAGGCACTCGCCATATTGAACAGGTGGTTACAGGGACACAACAAGACTTGCAGTATGCAAAGCTGCCTACTGTTGTGCCATCCCAATCAGGCCTCATAGGGCGTGCTCCCAGCAGGTTCTTGTTACACTTCCTGCACACGGTGTGGATCGTTGTCTCAACCTGTGCGCTCATGAATAAGGAGAGTTAACTCCAGCGTGCAGGTCGGATACTCACCGCCGTTCGGTTACGTAAATCCTCTGCCTCTGCATACTTGCGAATATATGCTGCTATGCTGTGCAGACGCATACGCGTGAGTAGCTCTATTTGCGTATTCAGCTGATAGCGTTTCGTGCGTAAAGATGATTACTAACCAACATAGCTCTCAATGAACCGTAACGCTCGTTTAGGGCCAATCTTCAACTCCTTCGGCACGACGAGTGACAACATGACACACATCTGGACATCACCCTGTGGAAGACATGAGCATCCGAGATATCGAATATTACGGGTTCAACAACGTACCTCGTCCGCCAAAACCTCTAACATCCCCCTCAGTGCGTTCCATCCCACCTCTCTTAGCCGCGCCTCCGTCCGTTGGATCGACTCCTTGTACTCCTGGTCCATCCGCGAGTTGCCAAGCGACTGCGCCGCCCTGCTCCCTCCCTGCTCCCTCTCCAAAACGAGCGCGTCCTCGTCGTAGAACACGCCCGACCGCCTGTTGCTCGACAGCGCGGACGCGGGGCGGCCGGTCTCCTGGCGGAGGACCGCGGACGCGATCGAGGCCGGGTACTTACTCGAGCCCGACACCCTGCGGATGCCGTCGCGCGGGGCGCCCGCGGCGGACGGGTGCGCGTTGTCCGGCATGTGCGCCGACGTCGGCGTCGGCGTCGCAGTCACCGTGCGTATGCTGCTGCGCGACTCCTGCTTGAGGAGCTTCGCGCGCGCGGGCGTGAGCGCGGGCGACGTCGACACCGTCAGGGACGCGACCGTCGCGCTGCGGCTGCGGTCCTTGGTCCGCGTGCCCCGCATGCTGCTCCGCCGCGACCGGCTCACGCTGCTCCCGTGCCGCCCCTGCCGCCTGTACGCGGGCGCACCGTCGTGCTCGCCCGAGGACGGGTCGCTGTTGTCGGTGGACGCAGGCGAAGGCGAGTCCTCCTCGTCACGCTCGTCCTCTGTCCAGTCCTGCTGGCCGGCGACTCTGGACAGCGGCGACGGCTGCGTGCTGGCGCTGCGTTCTCGCCAGTAGGACGAGCCCGGGAGGCGTGAAGGCCTCCTAGACAGCCCAGGCCTGTCCTCGTCCTCGCGCGCCTGTTGGGCCTCAACGTCGCTTCCGCCGTCGGAGCGTTGGTCGTCGGGCTCTCCAACGTCACCGCCATCTTCCGAGTCTGTATCTTCCAGGACGCCTTCTCCGATGTACTTCAGGCTGGAATGGCTGCTGCGCAGGTCGATGTCCGCGGTACTGCTGCTAGGCTGGAAGGTCTGCGCACTGAGAGACGGGCGTCGGTACGATGAGCCAAGCCTTGCCCGCATGGGAGGCTGTACCAGGTTGCTGGTGGCGCCTGTGGCAGACGATCTCCTCGAGATCGCTGAGGTTGAGACAGAAACGGGTGTCGTAGGGAGCGGAGTAGCTGGGCGGTGGGGTGAAGGCGTAGTCGAGGACACCGGGGTGGTTCGGAGGGGCGAAAGATACCCCTTTTCCACACTCGTTATTGAGTGCGTCGAAGAGCTGTAGGTTCTGGACTTCGTACTATGCCTCGAGGGTGGGGTGGACAGTCTCGAATCATCGCCCATGAGTGTGCCCGTGCCGTCTGCAGAAAACGATCGCGTGGATTGTTCGGGCAAAAGTTGACCCATTGTTGGGACCGCCGCAGGCGCGGACACAGAGTGCGGAAGTCTGGGGCTGATGAAGGGAATAGGCATGACATGAGAAATTGGGGTCGGCACTTGAGCCGGAACAATGTCTGTCAGTAGCGAGGACAGTAGCAACCAAGTCTGCGCAGCGTCAGGCTTCCCTGCTTCTAGTGCTACCTATACACGAATTAGCATTTGTCCCTCTGAACTGAAATAGCCCGAAGGTTCACCCACCTCCGCGTTGTGCGTGCAGACACTTGGCCTATCATCGCCAGTATGTCGATATCCTTGAGCTAACCGTACGAACATGACGACATCACTATCCAACCCGTGTCCGGCCATCATCCCGACCACCTGTGTAGCAGGCATATAAGGTTTGTCACCAAGAGCTTTTGCCTTTCGTTTTGGGATCCGCTTCTCAGGGTTGCTAGGGCCACATGTTCAGCAACCATTCATAAAAATGAACAAATACAACGGCACTCACATGTCATCGTAAGGCACCTCCCATCTTTTAGGCCGGTCAGCAACGAATGCTAGAGACCCTGACACGTCCCACGACAACGAAGCGCGTGGAACCGCGTCGAGAGTCTTGACAGACATGCGAAGGTCGAGCTGGGAGAACGCCCCAGAGAAATGCTCCGCCCAGAGTGTGTGAGAGTCGGCGAACACAATGTCTACAGAGCACGCGACGGGTCAAATGGAGCTCTCGCGTAAATGCCGTCAGAGAACGCACCGGTGACGCCGCCCTCGGCGGCGGACCCTCGCACGGTCCACTTCGCGATGTACCCTCTGCGGACGTCCCAGAGCTCCACGGGGTCCCCCATCATGCTGTACAGCACCTTGTTGTCTTCTGTCCCGGCGAGGACGGGCGGGACCGCGCTGCCGATGCGCGGGCTCGCCGTCGGGCCGCTGTCGCTGAGGTCGAGCGCGGGGTTGGGCTGGTTGTTCGCGGAGCCCTCGAGGTAGGACGTCACGGCGAGCTCGCACTCGCAGCCCGGCCGCCACGCGACGCGTCTGACGGGGAAGGACGTGTGCATGGTGTAGACAGGCTTCCGCGGGATGTGCGTGGCGCCGCTGGGAACGGTGATGTCCCACACCTTGACCGTGCGGTCCAGGCCTCCGCTCGCGAGCCACCCGTTCCCTTGCGGGTCGCCGTCCGGAGCCGGGTTGGAGCCGAGATCGTCGAAGAGCCCTGAGCCGACACCGGCATACCAGTTGCCGCCCTGGGAAGCTCCGGACGAGCCTGTCGCGCGGTGGCCGGAGTTGGTGGAGTATGTTGAGGGCAACATCCAATCCAGAGCTAGGATCGGCCCGTTATGAGCGAGTGGGATCCGGTCAAGCTGTCCACGTTGGCCCATGTTTAGGTCCCACCTATACGAATGGAACTCGTATCGGCCGTTTGGAGCTCCCGCTAAATGGTCGGACATACCGGTAGATATTCCCATTGTCCAAGCCAGTAATTGCGTGGCGCGGCTGCCAATGTACCGGAGAAAATACCACGGAACGGACAGAGGCAGGGTGATGAACCTTCATTATGGAGTCTGTCAAGTCGCGAAGATCCTAGTGTAATTTAGCACATACACTCTCATATATCCATAAAATGGCGCACCCACACCCGGAGATCACCATCTGCGGAGCCAGTTATGCAATAATATTGAAGAATAGGTGAATAGGCGAGTGAATGGATCGAACGAACGTGTTGCCGAGCGCGACGTTCTGGATAAGAGTAGTATCAGAGTTAGTATTGAACAAATTATTCTCGCGGCAGGAGTGCACTGTGGCGTCGCAAATGTGGTGTCTAGTGGGATGATACGACCAGAAACTATGGAGCGGGAAACTCACGAATCGTTTCACTGACGCTCACCATATTTTGAAGGACCAGACTTTTGAAGATCCCACATTATTATTTCGCCGTTGCGTGCACTTGTTATGATTTTATTATTGAATGCTAACTCACTGTATCAACACTTGCAAGCGGTGAAACCCGAAGACAGGACCTACCTCCATGTGCCCACACTACATCTGTACTGACACTATCAATCTTCAGCCCGCTACCGGTCCAGAGGTTCCTGGAGGAATCGATCCTATATCCTTCCATACCGATGGCATACTTTTGTTCGGGATTGACAGGAGCATTTGGCTCGCATATGCGCAGTATGCGCAGGGCTATCGTGCAGGTCAGGACACAGGCTCAAAGCGCGAGAACGCACGTCGTCTTACACTCTCGCCCAGCCACTACACATCTTGTTCCATCCTCGCTCTTAGATATCGCGCCTCCTCCTGGGCTGGCAGCAGCGGGAACGCGTACATGGCGAACAGGACCTTGAGGGCCGTGCAAGCGGGAATCCGAGTAGATGTCTGGGAGAGCCGCCTGAGGGTACGGATTGTGCAGTGACGGACGACGGGACATTCGTTCAGCCAAGCAAAAATCGGTGTACGAGAGGCAGAGTATACTATATGGCTGTGGAATCCATGCAGGCCCAGCTAGCGGATGCGAGACGGAACGCTAAGGGGTGCGGTGCCAGAAGACAGAGTCGCGTCAACGGCATCAGATGGCATCAGGAAACCCCTGACACCCCGATTAGCGAACGCCACAAAGCCGCCATGCCCGCAAAAAGCACTGCGCTCCGGGTCCGAGTCGGTCCGCCTCTTCTGCTGCGGCAACCGCATGCTCTCAAGGACTTCGATCCGACGAGTGGCGCGCGTGAAAGTTCATCTCCTCGGGATACAATATTTACATGGTAAAGGACATAATTCGTCGTATTTGCGGTGAGTATCCTGACTGCCAGGGAATGTCGCACTTGAATGATATGAACTTGGCAGGCCTCGGTACGGGATAACGCGCGAAATCACGGCGCAGCAATTCGATGATCAACTACTTTTGGAAATAATATTTTTTACCGTGGGCGTAAAACATGCTATGTTGACGACCCAGTGTACTCTTATTCGACGTCGCGACCTTCTACCGAGGAATCAGTAGGGTCTGTGACTGGTCTGTGAGTCTTGGGCCTGTCTCATCAAGTGGTTAAGGTTCGTACTTAGGCCATAAGAGCACAATAGGTTTTCATCTCCCAGGTGTTCTCACGCCGTCATCGTGGGCATCTTCTCGAAGTGAGCCCTGAACACGGAAATCTGATACCACCGGGCCATGAAGCTTCCAATTCTGTGTACAGCAGACTTCCAGCACACGGAATGTTGCAAGGTACGAGGTCTACCATTCCAGCGCCTCAGCTACTGTCATCGTATCCTCGCTATCAGCCTTTCGCAGTCAACTGGATTCTCACCGACGTGATATATTATCGCACCTGAGGATCATCCGATATCCGAAAGTGGTGAAATTCATGCGGTAAATTGGCTCACGGCTTTGATTCAGGTGACATGGAGGCCGCGGCTCGGCCCTTATGATCACGTCGGTTCGTATACCATTCTTCGTATGCGAGACTATTGGCGTCACGCAACCCCCGCCGACACTACAAAACCGCTCGTTCCTTGGCTTGATCTGCATCCGCTTTACATCCCTCCCCGCGCCGTTTGGGGCCCCGCCAGAATGTGCTTCCAAGGCAACAGCGCTCCCCTCTCCGCTGCCTATCTCAACTCCCAGCTCGCAGTACTCTGGAAAAACGCGTTCGACTGCGCCAACGATGAGGTCGACGGGGACACAGATCATAGTCCGAATGCGCACACCAAGAGCGTGTACACCAGGGCTCTCTACGAGTACCACTACCTCCCAGAAAAACTCTCCGAAGAGCACCTCACCAAGGAGCAACTCGTCCATCTCCCGTTCCACGCCATTTTCGACCAGCCCGAATTGAATTTCGTCTGCAACCATGAGGTTGTCCTTACCCTCTCTTTGAAATCAGGGCAATTGCGTGTCAACTACGATACCAAACAAGTCAACGACACAAACGCAAACCAGTAAGTCGGACTGCCGACCAGAAAATCAAATCATTGAAACTTAACGTCACCGTAGGAGCGTCAAGCAGCTTCCTGAGCTCAAGGCCCACTTCCGTGTGCCATTCGACCGCACCAACGTGACCGGGCATGATACCAAGATCGGAAATGACAACGCTACGCACCTGATCAGGATGATCAGTCTCAGATTCGAAGGTGAGGCAATCAGAGAGAGAGCAGAGTAGTATGTTGACTGACGTCATGCAGATGCGAAATTGGTCAAGCTGGACGTCGCCGAGAACTGGGGTTTGGACCTCGCGGAGGCGTTGACCCTCTACCTCCGCGCTTACCTTACCTTCCTGCGCACGTCCGGCAACCACGTCCTTTTCGACCTCCCTGACTTTGCTGTGCACGAGAAGGTGGGGTACACCGACTACGCGCTCCTTCGCAACCACGTCAACCCGGACGAGTATTGCAAGGACGTCACCGTGTTCGGCATCACGGCCAAGGTCATCAACAGCTACCTGGAGACCCAATGGGCGACAGCGAAGAAGCTCGCCCGCGACCAGAACGACCACCTCTTGGCGTCCATCGCCGAGCTCAGCACCAACTGGCTGACGCATTCCGCAATCGACTGCTACTCCTACATACGCTTCGGAGCGCCTGAGATCAAGCCGCTGTGCTCGCACGAGGTCATTCTCTCCCTCAAGGTGCAGGATGTCGCCATATTCGCGTCCACCGACTTCGACAAGCAGGTAGCCCCGGATACTTTCTTTGTACAATATCTGACAAGGGCTGCTCAGGACCAATCCTGCTACCGTCCAGCACGACTGGACCATCGCCTTTGTCGTCAACGTTGCAGAGTATGACAGCAGCGTTGGAGTGCTGCAGCTGGACTTTTCCAGTATGTCTCGACCGAACGCCCGCACCGCCAAAGCTGACCGAAAAATCACTCCAGCTGCCCGCTATGCCAGCGCGTTCTCGACTGTTCCCACCGACGCGAACGTCCTGCAGTACTACAATCTACTTGTCAAGTTCTTGACCGTCGACTACCTCGATATCCTGCTCGCCTACTCCTACCACGTCATCTACCGGCTTCAGATCGACCATGAACACCCTACGGGCGAGGACAGCGGGTACTGGAAGCGTGTCGAGCACGTCGGCGAATACCACTCTTTTCGTCGTCACGGCCAAGCACTGATTTGGATCGAGCGTGTCCGCGACATCGGGCTCCATGGGTCTGATCAGGTCCTAGCTTTGACCGAAGACTCCATCAACCGCATCCTGCTCTCGCGCAAGGAAGTGCTCGGTTCCAGCCACCTGCTCTCCACATGGAGCAAGGACTCGTTCAAGGCGGACTTCAACCCACTCCAGGTCCGCATGCTGTCCAACGGCAAGGCCGTCGTCTACGTGGACATCCAGCACGGAGAGTCCGGTTCCCAGATGTAAGCGTCTAAGCCAACAACCACCAAGTCGCTTTTCGCGCTGACATTGCCTTCGCAGCGTCCAACACGAACAGACCCCCGTTGCCGAGCACTCTGACCTGTTCTGGAAGTCCAGCTTCTGGAACACAGTTGCCACCACCACGGGCTTCGTGAAGGCCTACCAGTTTGACAAGGTCGCCCTGGCCTTCGAGGTCGAGTTGCAGCTGGTCGAGACGCTCGATGTGGAGGAGGCTATCGCGCAACAGCTGAACACCACCGTGGCGTCGCAGATCAAGGGTAACCAGCGCGTTGTCGTCAAGCACCTGATCGTAGATTTCGCAAGTGAGTTTTGTCTCGCACCATCCTGGGAAGTCGCAGCAATTTACGTGTGCATTTTACAGCCGCGAAGTACGTCCCTGACTTGTCTATCACCTACAACCTCGGGAACGGCCGTGAAGGCGAGAAGCGCCTGACAGCAGTGAAGTCGCTCATGGGCGAATATCTCCTTGAGGTCGGCCGCCAGGGCTGCGGCATCCTCAAGACGATCCCCACCTTCGTCGACGACCACTCCGACCCCCTCGCCTTCAACGACATCGCGTTCAAGGTCCTAACGAAGGACGAGATCACCGTCGAGCACTTCGCTCTGGGCACACACGTCACCGACACGCCCGTCGTCGTCCTGTACGGCGTGTGCACCAAGCGCCCGGTCCCGCCCTTCCTCGGCAAGTGGTCGCTCGGCTGGCTGCCGGCGGGCAGCGGGAAGGACACGGTCGGCACCGTGTGGTTCTCGAAGGAGAGCTTCCTCGAGCACCGACTCCTGCACGTCCTCGAAGACTTCAACGCGCGCACGACCATCCTGCCCAAGTTCGCCGGCGTCGTCAACGGCGTGTGGAACTGCGACCTCACGACGTGGGAGCAGAGCGAGCTCCTCGGCAAGCGCGGCGTGCGCTGCCAGTGGAAGGAGCTCGAGAGCTCGCCACGGCACCTCGAGTATGCCTGGGAGCACCGGGACGACTGGGCCCACGAGAACGAAGCTACGACCCGTATCGAGGGCGTCGGCGAGTACACGCTCAGCTGTAAGTCTGGTTCCTACTGGCCACTGCCTACGGCTGACGGCGCGATCTAGGCCACACTGAGAACCGACTCTGGATCCCGACCGACTATCGCCCCGGCCGTCAGCTTGAGGTCCAACTTCACGGCAAGTCCACCGTCGAGATCTCCGGTCAGGCGTATAGCCAGCGTTGGAGGTACGGTATCACTTGCAGTGCGGGCCCACACGACGAGCTGACTAGTTCTCCAACAGCAAGCGCACCGTCTCGTCGTGGTCCGCGTCGATCATCATCGCGTCGCAGCAGGAGGGCCTGCACGTCTCGATGACGTCGCAAATCCAGCCCGCCGAGGTCGAGGGCGACGACCGCGCGTCGGCGTTCTTCCCCTTCAACGTCGAGGCGCTCCACCGGAACCGCCTGCCCGACAACCTCACGGCGCTCGAGGACCTGCTCCCGAAGCTGAAGGAGATCCTCGAGGGCGCCTGGGCCTACTCGTCCTTCGGCGCGCAGAAGTTCAGCCTCGCGAACCCCGTGTTCACGCGCCGCGGCGACTTTGTACTCGAGCTCTACCCATACGAGCAAGGTGTGTTTTGCAAGGACTCTGAGGATCGTTGGTCCTGTGCTGACACTGGCTGCGAACCCAGGCACCGCCCCCGTTGCCCGCCCACAGCAGCCCGTCGCTCTGGCGCCCGCGCCTGTGCCTGCGCGGGTGTCCACCCCGTCGACCGCCACCTCGTACACAGCCCCGGTCTCGAACATGTCGGGCCTGCAGAGCACGTCGTCGCTGTCGTCGCTCTCTACGACGACTGCCACCGCCAACGGCGGCGTGCAGATGCTGCGGACCTCTGCCTCGTATACCCCAATGAGTAAGTTAGGCTGAACGTGGTCTGGAAAGTGCAGTGCTCATCGTGCCGTGATGCAGAGACCTTGGCCCCAAGCGTCGTGCCGGACTACATCAGCAACACTTTCCCTCCCCGGCGCTAACTGGCTGACGGCTGCACCGAGGCGCTTGCTGAAAAAGCTTAACAGATAGTGCTGAAATTGCTGTAGGTTCTATGCTGTTCCTTGACGGACGAATTTCTCGATTTTCGCTGAATGTTGTACTGGATATCTTTCATGTATTGTCCTATGGCAAATTATTCGTAATATTGAATATACTGGGCCCTCATGCTAATTGCATGGTCACTTCCTTGAGATCACTACTGGCTGGCCGTGCGGTCCAGGGTAACCGCATACTCCAGCGGCATGCGGCTATCCGTGAGCTATAGCATGGTTCGTGTCGCAGAACCGGACGTCCTGCAGGTCCGCAAACAGATTACAGAGGAGCAGCGCATGCTAAGGGTGGCGGCTTCAGGAGCAGGTCACATTGCACTGGCGAGCCACATCTCGGACGAAACCTATGACAAAAAGTCTATCACCTTCGCCGCTGCGGCTACTATGATGGTACCCTGCTTTATAAAAATTGGGAAAATCTGCATCCTGTAGCTTACCACATTCATGCTTCGCGGGCGGTTTTGCATAAGTCGATGTGCACACACCTTAGCTATATAGTAGTATTTTTATATTTTATTGAAGTCTTGCAAGAACAGCGGATCCTTTCCGGTGCACAAAGTAGGTCCTGCACCACTTTTCATAAATTTCGTCACACAAGTGTCACACCAGATCCCGTCGAGCCGTGCCTCTGCCGAGAAGCCGAGCCGTCTCTCCAAAGTCAACCTCAGTTGTCTGAGGTCAGGCGGAGCGACAATTTCATCACGCCTTGCTCGTTCATTGTAACGCTCCACTAATGTTCCTTCCCTGTACATGTACATAGCACCTTTTAAACCAAATATGTTGACCGGTCATGTCTGGTGTAAGTACAAAAGTCTATGAATGCAGTCGCCAGAATATTTGGTGAGCGAGATCTGGTTGGATCTAGCGCCAGTTTTGGACCGCTTCCGAGCATCCACAAAAACATCATATCGTCCCTTGTCGCACACCCGCCATAATATGGGTGTCATATTATAGTATGAATACAAGTTTATCATATTGCAGCAGCAAGATCGATTTTATAAAGCAAGGAGCCTTTATAAACCAGGGGACCATCATAGTATCTGTGTGGACATTCATGTGATTCGCTAGAGATCAGGGTCTGATTCAGTGCCAGGCTTGGTGGGCGCCGACATCGGCCGGGAGTCCTCGGCCTCTTCCTCCATATCTCTATCGTGGTGCTCAGACGCGCAAAGCCTTACCGAGGCTGCTTGTTTGACTGGCGTACATCTGGAAAAAAGTACTAGTAGGCTTGATGACTTTGAATATTGAAATGTTGCCCTCTCTTTGTCGCTCCGATCCGGACTGTTTCCCTGGTTTCGTCGAATATTATGTCGAACATATTGTACGTATTATTACATGGTAGGTTATCGTTACGGGTGTATACAACATTGTCACTAGGCTGGAATTACTAGGCCGGTCGATCTAGGGTGTGACATACTCCGGCAACATGCAGCCAGCCATGACTCACGGCAAGGTCCGTGTCGCTGAATCGGACCGCCTGCAGGTTCGGAAACAGATTACAGAGGAACAGAGCTACACCTCTGGCATCGTCCACGTAAGAGAGTGGTGGGTGCACCTCGAGAGTTCTGAGACACCTTCCGAATTCATCGGTCTTCAGGCTAGCAAGGCGCTCCCGGTTACTGTCCGAAGCATCGAAAGACAGCCCGAGCTGATAGAGATCCGGCCAATGCTTCGCGACGTGGAGCAGAGCTCGAGTGGTCAGCCGTGGGTGGCCTTGGTGTTCGTCAGTGCCCGAACATGCCATAAACACCAGCTTCTGCATGCTCGGCCAAGCCTCCGCCATCTCCAGCGCGTCGTCGTCGCACAAGTCAAGTTGTATATGTTCTTCGACGTGCAGCTCCGTCAGCTCGCTTAGGTCGTAGAGTAGACTCAAAGTGCGCGAGGTGATGGTGCAGGGTCTCGGTTGGTAAAACGTGTAAGCCACGCGGTCGGCCCAGAGTCTAAGGTAACGTAGGGACGTGGAGGCAGCGACGACTTCGAGGCAGGAGTGGACGGCGGCCGTGGTGCACGGGGCATTGAACTGCAGCTCGAGAGAATCTAACGAGGGTGTGCGAATGGCTCTGAGGAACGACGTGCAGCTTTCCATGTTCGGCCCGTACAGGCTGACCTCCCGCAGAGAATCCAGGGTACTAACTGGCCGGGAGCTTTCTGGCAGCTCTGGGATACGACAACTGAGGTTCGTGAGATGTCGAGATAATGATAAGTGTCGTACAGCCGCTTCGTCGATGAGGACATTGCTGCGAAATACCCGCAGGGCATGCAGACTGGCGATATATTCCGATAGCTGGGGTGAGCCGCTGCCGAAGACGTCCTTCGTGGAGAAACCTGAGAGCACACTGAGAATCTCCACGTTGTCGTAACCAGCCTTCATGGATGACAAGAAATCATTGTACTTCTCGACCTCTCTGGGGCCTTGAGCGTCTGTAGAGATCCAGACGGTACGGAGTCGGGAGTTGAATAGGCGAGGGATATAGTCTGAGACGATCCCAAGGGTTGACCGCCATTGGCATCTCACGGTAAGTAGATTGGGGAAGATCGGAGGATGGGACGGGTCCGTGAGTCGCAAGCGCATCTGTTCCAAGATGACTGGGAATATCGTCTTGGAATATGTTGTGGCCATGCATAAATTAGGCGTTGTAAGTCCAATGGTGAGATCTCTGATGCGATGAGCGTGCTTGAAGAAGGCTACCCAATCTTCTGGTGAAGGCCCCTTGGCGAAGTACTACAAGCGCAAGTGTTGTGATGTTTGTGAGTGCGGAGAGAAATCTTGAGCGAGATACTCACAAGCTCTCTCTCCTCGACATATTCTGACCATATGCATGGACGGGACCGTACTGCGAAGAGGTGTGGAGGCAAGCTATGGAGCAATGGGCTGAATCCGTCTATGGAATACCACAGAGCGTCCATAACAGGACCATAGAATTGCGAGCACGTCCGCGCAAGCGCGGCCAGCGTCCCACGAGAGCTGATCCCTTCGCAGAGAGAGAAGATGAGGTATTGGATATCTGAAACTTGCAGGCAAGCGTGCATTCTGGCTGAATGATGAGTGGAGACTGGGTGCCGTTTTAGTCAGCGCCGGAAGGACAAGTTTTGTGCACTTACCCGAATAGAACGTTATGAGGATAAGGAAGAGGAGAAAATAACAGGTAACACTTCAAACATGGAGTTTCGAGCGAAGTGGCCTTATAGGGGCTGCGGCGGCGTTGCTATTTGGGCGGGCCGCACTGAAATGCGCCAGCCTCTGCCTATAGTCATGGCAGAGATAGCCGATAAAAAGCGCTGTTAAGATGTTCAAGAATTGTCGCAGGACGCAGCAGTCCCTCAGTGGATAGCACTGTGTCCATATGATCGAGTACAACGATGTCGATGAACGAGCGCCGTGGAAGCTAAAGCCCCGACGCGTGACGGGCGGGACCGGCATGTCACAGCCCGCTGAATACGTCACGCCGGGGGCCCCGTTGCGCAACTATCGCGCAAAATTGTCACTGAAAAACTTCCTCGTTCGTACAAGAGCATGACGCTGCGCGCTTTTGCAGCCATCCTAAGACAACGATCACCAGCTGCTGGTCATCGACCATGTCGTCCTCGGGGCCATCCTCGCCAAAGGGCTCGCCGAAAGTCCAGGATCCCGAGCAGGATACAACAATTCCAGAGTTGACCGACGACCTGCCTGTTGGTGCCCTCCCTGCTCCGCCTATAGACAAGCATCATGCTCTGCACCGAGGCCTCTCAGCGCGCCAGGTCTCTATGATTGCCATCGCCGGCACCATAGGCACTGGACTCTTCTTAGGAACGGGCAAGTCGCTCGCGGAAGGCGGACCAGCTAGCATGCTCATCTGCTATGCCATCGTCGGATCCATTGTCTACGTCACGCTGCTATTACTGGGAGAGATGGCGACGCAGTACCCTGTGGCTGGTGCGTCAATCAATCTTCGCAAACATGACGCATCGCTGACCTAGTGCTGTAGGTTCGTTCAACGCATACACCACGCGGTTCTTTTCTCCGTCGTATGGCTTTGCACTCTCTTGGAACTACTGGTTCAATGACGCGGTATCTGTTGCTTCAGACCTCACTGCGGCACAGCTCGTGCTCCAGTTCTGGACTGACTGGAACCCTTGGGTTATCAGTCTGCTCTTCTGGGTATTCCTCGTCTGCGTGAACGCCGCACACGTTAGTGCCTACGGTGAACTCGGTATGCAATATGCCGCTGTTTCTCTAGTTCATAATCACTCACAGCTATCGTATAGAGTATTGGCTCTCCTTCCTCAAAATCGTAACGATCGTCATCTTCATCATCGTCGGCATTCTCGTAAATGTCGGTGTTAACTCAGAACACCATTATATTGGCGGAGAGAACTGGCGTATTCCTGGTGCACCCTTTGTTGGCGGCTTTGGTGGCTTTGCGAAGGTGTTCGTGACGGCTAGCTTCGCATGTAAGCTGCGTCACCATTTGCGTTATGAATACTGACTTACAAATCTATACAGTCGGCGGAACAGAGAGCTTGGGCATCACTGCCGGCGAAACGAAGAATCCCTCGCGCAACATGCCGCGGGTAGTCAAGTTTGTCTTCTGGAGAATTATCTTGTTCTATCTTCTTAGCATTCTGCTTATTGGTCTGAATGGTAGGCAGTCTGGGACTCAGCTGGATTTAATTGTGCTGACATCCACTGACAGTGCCGTGGGACTACCCTGGTCTGTCCAACAAGACCACAACTACCTCACCTTTCACAATTGTCTTCAAGGAGATTGGATCCAGTATGTACTCGAAAGGCCTTCCCTGCAACCAGAGGCTAACATACGCTGACAGATGCCTCCGCCTCCTTCATGAACACGGTCATTCTCACTTCTGTTCTTTCCGCCGGAAACCATGCGCTCTTCGCAGGCACTCGCGTTTTGTACGGCTTAGCCGTTACGTCGCCGCAGCCGCAGGCACCCAGGATATTCTCTTGGACTACCAAAGCTGGTATTCCCATTCCTGCCCTTCTTGCTACTAGCAGTGTGAGCATACTCTGCTTCGGAAGTAGCTTCATTGGTAGCGGCCAGCTCTGGAGTTGGCTACAGAACATCGTGGGTGTGTCCAACCAAATTGCCTGGGTGTCTATCGGTCTGGCCAGTTGGAGATTCCGCACCGCATGGGTCCGCCAAGGCAGGCCGCTCAGCGAGCTCAAGTTCCGCGCTGCTTGGACATGGCCTTGGGGCCCTCCGTTCGTTGTCATCACGACTTTCGCCCTAATTATCAGTAAGCCCCCCTGCGTCTCGTCCTATTCAGCCATCGCTAACCGGAACCGACCACTGCTCAGTTCAAGGCTGGTCGTCGGTGATACCCACTTTCTCCGGTGTCGATTTCGTGTCATTCTACGTCGAGTTACCCGTCATGCTTGTCATGTACCTTGCATGGCTCTTCATTAACCGCACACCCGTCCTCAAAGGCAGGGAGGCCGACGCCTCCGATGCACCACCTTCCCCGTCCACTTCGACACCTGCACCAGTCCCCCGTCGCGTGCGATGGTTCGGTCTCATTGATACCGCAAACGTCGACCTCTTCAGAGACGAGCACAAAGACGATGTTCATGACCAGATAGAAGACCAAGAACGAGACTTAAGACTAAAAGGGCGTGCTCGGTGGCTCTGGCGGCTGTATTACTATCTTGCATAAATTAGTCATTCACTGTACATTTAGCATGTTGCAATCATGATGGGCTCATGTGATTTTCCACTGCGTGCAGTGGGCAAATATTTTTAAAAGGCAGAGCTAGGTTCGCGGAATTATCGCTGAGCATGTCGGGTGGAACGCCTCAGGCGCGGGAGCAATTGGCCTCGCGCTCGCCGCGCTCCACTTGCTTCTTTCCGCGTACTCCTTGACTTGAGGCTCCTGGGCCAACACCTTCCCGTTAAGGACCTCCTGCAGATCAGCTTGCAGTTTACGCAGTGCCATCTTGATATCTACTGGCTTCCCCAAACCGACGACTGACGACCGAATGACGACCCTCGCAAGACCAGTCCCTTCTTCCGCGTTCTCGACGTCTGCTTCCACCACACTCTTCCGGAGGCTGACCTGGGAAGGCACAGTGCCGCTCGAGATACGTGTCGACTCAAAGGAGCTCCCAGCGAACAGCGACCGTGGACTGGAGTGCTACTACATCCAGGCGCCGCGCGTGAGCTACCTGCCGCTGCTCGTGCCCGAGCTGAAGCGGTTCCTGATGGACGTCGTCTTCGACGAGGCGGCCGCGCGGGTAGTCAAGGAGGAGGACTGGTGGTTCGAGAGCGAGGACGGGAACCTGCTCAAGTGGTGTGTGCTTGCCCCTGCCCTCCCCCGTTCGGGCTGCGGTCGTTGCTGAGGCGTGCCCCCGCACAAAGGCACTGGCCGATAGGTCTCATCTACGACAACCACATGATCACGCAGTCCGTGCGCGCCGCGCCGTCGTCGTCGCAGCAGTCCATGCCGCTCCGCCTCGTCCTGCACCTCGCGTCGCCACCGACGGACAGGCTGCTGCTCTCGCCGAGCGCGGAGGCGTGCAAGCAGGCGTTCATGGGCCAGATGAAGGAGGCGGACTTCATACGGTGGGGGAGCACGAAGCGCATGACGGGCCTGCGCAAGGCTGAGCAGGACGGGCTCTGGGAGGGCATCCGCGAACGTGAGTCCGCCGTTCCTTGCGTCGCAGCGCAGTCCGCACCTGAGAGCCGCCCGGCGGACAGACAACTTTGACGAATACTGGCGTGTCGCGTCCAAGGTTACGCCGACGGCGGCACCGACCCGCCCGCAGTCGCCTCCGCCGGGCAACTCGATGTCGCTGCACTCGCGACCGCCGTCCGTCGACCCGAACACGGGCTCCGCGCCCGACCGCGACGGGGCCTACAACGTGCGGAGCGTGCCCGTGCGCATCTACCTGCCCGAGGGTCCGATCCTCCAGGCTCTCGTGCCGCCGATGCTCGAGGATGGTGCGTCTCGGCCCCTCTCTAGCACCTCAGCAGAGCACCGTTCGCTGATCCGTTTCTTTCTCTTTGTGACCGGCCGCCAGGCAACCCGCACACGCTCGGGCAATTTCTGAGCACGCATCTCCCTTTGCTCTTCCCTCCGACGCCGAGCGATCCGCCGTTCCAGGACACGGCGTATCCGCTCATCCAGGGCGTCGCCGCCCCGCACGAGACGGAGATGGCCTGGCTCGGCGCCTGTATGGCAGGTGCCGACGGGTGGGTCAACATCTGCGTGGGCTTGCTGCGCGACAGATAGCTGTACCGCTTCGCGCGCCTGTCGCAACCTCGCTCTGCGTTGTCTGTATGTGTGCTCGCTCTTCCAGAAAATGACTAATGCACGACGATTTCACTGCCTTTGTTCGACTAGCTGAGGGGCGTCGGGGGTTACCGGTGGAAGTTCTGTCACTGCTTTTCCTTCACTCGCCTGGGACGCGCCGGTCGGCACCGGCCCTGCTTGCGTCGTGCAGTATTGCTGCTAACACGTTGGCGCAGCTGTCTATCTTCCCAACGCTCTCGTCATCCCCTTCGTCATCCCGCGATCTCTGTAGATGGCCGACCGTTCCTGATGCAAAAATGATCTGCTAATGCCCCCGAATGTGACTTTGGATGACGAACGGCTCGCAGGAAGGTTTGCCTGCTCGCTCAGGGTCACTGCGGTGCGGAGGGACACACCAATGGATGCTTCGTCCGATCTTTCGTCGTAAGCGAGCGAAGCTTCCCTTGCGCATCCTCGACAATAAGGTTCATGTTACGGCAGCCATGGAGGCGTTTTGTGCATCGGGCCACGTCAGCATGTATGTCGCGGTTACGCTACTTTCTCACACTGAGAGCTACTATTCGCATGGTGATAGACCGCACGAAGTGCTGGCGGAGCAGGTTTATGGTTCAAACATTCCACATCTTCATTCGCTGCTACGCGATATTAATGCAGCCAAATTCCCTCCCGAGGCGCTATGAACTCGTCTGAAACATTACTCGAACTGGCATTCTCAATAGTTGCCACCACGGGACTGATCAGCGCTCTGACCGATATTGCCACCAAGATGCTTGTTTACGGGATGGGCTCCTGTTAATTTGCAGGGCGTCAGCGGTGAAAAAACTGCCGTACATGGCTGCGGCGTCGACGGACCTTGCGCCACCGCACGTTCGCGATGCTCGCGGGCCTGCTGCTCGAGGCGCTCCGCTTCGGCGAGCTCCTGACTCTGGGCTTGATAATTCTGCGCCTCACGCTCGCGCACCATCGCCTGCTCCCGGAGGGCCGCGCTGCCCACTGTGGCGCCGGCTGCACCCGTGCCTGCGCCTTGATGACGATGCTGGGTCCACATGATACCACATTAGAACGGAAGCGAAGGTGATCCGAGAGAGTTTAACACGTACGTGAGTGTGCGTACCGCCTGCACCGGTACCGGCTCCAGCAGCACCAGCATCAGCACCAGCACCAGCACCGGCACGAGTACCGGCACCAACGCCTGTGCCAGCACCAGTACCAGCACCAGTGCCAGCGTCCATGGTACCACCTCCGGGACCACCTGCGTAGTTGCCTTGCCTATGGCTATCGTGCGCACCAACGCCTGCACCCTGAGTGGTGTCGTACCCCGTAGCGTCACGCTGCGCGCCGTGAGTATGGCGGTTGTCGAACCCCGGATCGTTCTCGCGGTTCATGCCTGAGCCCGCGTTGTTCTGTTCCCAATTGCCCCCGGTGGCGGCGGTGCCGCCTGCGTGTTGGTCATTAACGGGGTCGCTGCCGGCTGTGCCTCCGAGAGGGCTGGGGTTGCGATTCTAAAATTACTGGTCAGCTGAGGCCGGAACTATGGACGATAACGAGGCTTGCCTTGTTCTTGTGTCCGAAAAGCGGCATATTCGTCGGATGGTATATACAGCAAGAGGGGTATTGTTGTGCAAAGAGGATCGTTTGCTTAGCATGCTGTAGGAGGCGTGTTATATAGCCTGTGATGCTGAGGGGCACGGCCTGGTCATCGTGGGGCCTGGTGGGGAGCGAGCTCCAGAGCTGTTCCACACTGCCCAAATCAGTCCGGGCGCATCAGCGGTAGCCACGTGCTACCATCGCCTGCGGGTCCCGTCCGTTTAAGGAAACGCGGGATATTGAACAAGTTCAGGCTCTTCCCCCGAGCCGCCGTTCCCGCGCCCTCCGCCTGCGAGTCTGGCGGACTCTGTCGCCGCCAGTCGTACGACGGGATTGCAGACGAGACCCAGGCGCGTCGGAAAGTTGCCTATTCGCCATGTGACAGAGTCTGCAGTTCTCCCGGGTCCGTTCCCATCTCTGAGCACAAGTCACCGTGCGGGCGCGGGCGCTGGAAAGCTTTCCAAGGCCTTGGCCAGCAGCGTGTACGGCGTAAATCAGCCCCTGCGCTCCGCGAGCCGCTGTCGCAGCAGACCACAGGGCCTCCGCCTGCGGCACGCCTGTCGTGCCCAAGGTGTTCGGTCGTGAGCCGAGTGGTCGGCTGGCGAGCGAGTGCGGTCTAGCCGTCGACGAGCTGGTCAACTGATACGGCGCGCGTTGCAGGCGTGCGTGAGGAACCGAACGGCGATGCCAGGCCTGGCAACTATTAATGTCTGCCAGCGTTCTCCCGCAGGTGGTGTCCTGAACGCGGTCTATCAAACCGGAGAAGCTGGTTGCCTCTCCTTCCCAAAAAGTGCCAAGCTAGAGCCTGAAGTGGTTTACAGCTGCTGGCGCGGGAGTGTCTGCCATGCGAGTTCAAACTTCGCAAGTCTCGTGGCGGCCATCGCCTTTCGCCTTCCCAGTCGCCTCAGATAGACAGTCGCAACGTCATCCGGCTGCTGTGCGTCTGGATGCTGCAGTTTAGAATCGCACAACAGCCCGCGGATGAGCCCACCCAGGCGACGGAAGAAAGCATTCAAAAGATGATGCGCTCACTCCAAAGTAAAATAAAAAATAAAAAAGATGGAGCCGCCCGTGAGAATAGGCTGGCCTCGTGGGCACTCCCGACGTCACTTGGTCTGCGAGAGGCTGTGGTGTTTTAGGGGTTGTGTCTGGAACGGTAGCGAGGTCGCAAGGAGGGATATAGTCTGCAGCTGGACCCGCGATGGGGCTGTACGAGGGCTGCCCTGGCTGCGAAAAAGCCCTAGGAGTGTTTCCATGTCGCGTTAGGGTGTAGGACCCTGCAAGTGATTGGCATTGGATGAATGAGAGAGCTGGGCAGCAGGGCAACAAGGGCAGGCATGGGTGTGCAGCTGGGAGTCCGGGCGAATTGCAATCAGTGATGAGAGCGAGTTGCCATTTTGGGCCGATGTGTCACAGACGCTATGTCGCAAGTTGAACACGAATTAGGTTACCAAGCACGTTTGCCAGAAACCTGTGGGAGACGACTGCAAGTCTGTAGATCAGAACCAGACTCTGCTCGCAAGTGCCTTGATAGGAGCAAGAAAAATATTCGGTGGGTGCTGGTCTAGGTGCTCGGGAGACCGTCCCCCAAACGGTCCGTCCTCGGGGATCCAATCTCCCTGCTCACATCATTTTATTCCAGTTTCCTCGTGTTCATCACCAACGCGCCGTCGTGCTGCATTCCATTATATATATATATGTAGTTGACACTCCTCTGGCCTTCACACAGCATCCACTAGCAGTTCCTCTCGCAATGCCTGAAGACATTCGGTTTGTCCTTGAAGCTCCCCATGTGAACCGCACCCAGAAGAAACGGCCCCGCCTGGTCACATCCTGCGACAATTGGTAAGTCCAATGCATTTGCCGCCCATGCCAGCGACTAAACGTTCCGCCGTCGGAAGCCGGCTCAAGAAGATTAAATGCATTCAAAGTTCGCCCGAGTCTGTATGCGAGGCCTGTGCTACAGCCAGCGTGTCGTGTCGTTTCCGAGACCGCGAACGCTACTACGCGGAGCGCAGCCGCATCGCAGCCGCTCAGGCACTTGCTGCCAAGAATGCCGCTGACAAGCCACGCAAGGGTTCTCCTCGCGCACCGGACACGACGATCTCGCAGGGACAGTATGTCGACTCGACGGCGGTTCAGGCAGGCGTGACACGTTCTCCGCTTAGACGAGCCATCCCCTACCACCCCTACCGCGTCTCTTCCATGCCGCTCGAGCCTTGCTTCCGCAGTAGTCCAGAATCCGATGTGTCCACGCCCCCACCATTGGGCCCCTTGTTCGATCCCAACGACCTTACGCGCCCACACTCGGAGATCATGATGACCTTCATCCAGGTCTTCTTCGACAACAGGAATACAGATTTTCCTTTCCTCGCATATGACGAGACCATCCGGCAGTTCTTCACTCGTGGTCTCACCGCGCTGCTCGCCAACTGCATTGCCGCCCACGCCGTGCACTACGCGGACATGCCAGAGGTGACCAAACGCGGGATCATGCATGTCTCCGATCTGTACTGCGACCGTGCAAAGGTGGGAGCCTACCGCTGTCTGGTGTCGTAAATGTGCCGCACCCAGATCCATGCTCACAGACGATCCCGCAGGGGCTGCTCGCCTCGGAACTGGAGGCTCCCACCCTCGATACCCTCCATGCGTTGATCTTACTCGCATGGGCGGAGTCAAATCGCAACCGATCGACCGAGTTCTGTGCTTACGGCCAGGTGCGTCTATCTCGTTTGTTCCCCAATCTTCCTCCGGCGCTCACGCGAAGCACTGCCCCCACGCGCAGACGGCCACCGAGCTCGCTGCGAAGATGGGTTTCTCCGACCAGGCGATCGCGCAGATGGCCACCGACGAGTACGAGCGCACCATCCTCCAGGCGACCTGGTCCTGCGTCGCCATCCTGGATAACGCCGTCCGTCACGGTACGCTGCCCGTCCTCCTACCAATAACACAGAGCGTCCCTGACCGCCCGCGCTTTGCCGCCAGTCTCTCTTTTCTGATGCAATCCACAAACCATGTAGCTGTCCCACCAATTCTCGCCTGCGCTCTTTTGCCACAGTGCCAGTCATTCCATGTGTGCCCTGCAATATGTCCCGCCAGTCCCTAATATTTTTTTTTGCCTTGTACTCTATACCCTACCTTGTAGCAGCCGCGCACCGGCCGTCTATCGTAACCGTGTATATGCTATTCGTCTGAGTTCGGGTCGGAAACGAAACGAAACGGCCGCGTTGCGGCACGCGCACAGCGCGAAAAGTTACCCTCTGCCCAACACCCCGAACAAGAGAAAACGCTCACGATATCGGGACGGGCGAGGCCAGCCACAGGAAGAGAGGGCCCTCACGCACTGTACGTGCGCGGCCCGTACGTCTCCACGCCTTCTTCTCGTCCGACACTCGCCCGGCCCAGCCGTCCGCCAAGCCGAGGAAAGTCCCCTCCCCCCCTGGGGCAGCCGAAACGGCGGGCGAGCAGGGTGCCGTCATCGCCTGCGAGCACTGCTCGCTACGAACAGCGCGGCCGAAGCGCTTGACTCGTGTGTGTGTTTTGTCCTGAGCTCGCGAATCAGCGGCGCTGTCCGTACCGGGGCGGGTGAGGCGAAACGGTCGGCGCGCGTCGAGAGATGGGGGTACCGAGGCCTCGTCTACGATGTCGCCAAGCGCATAGTTGGGCCCCGGCGGTTGCTGCTGGCGAAGCGCAGTCAAGAGCGAGCGAGAGAGAGAGAGAGAGAGAGAGAGAAAGAGAGAGAGAAAGTGCGCAGGCGAGAGAGGAGGAGCAGCACGCGAGAAATAGTATGGCCGCAGGCGAACGGCCCGCGAAGGTAGTTCCCCCGCGCCGCCGGCAGATGCGTCTGAATATTGCTATCAGCTACGTTTCTTCTTCGATCGCTCCGTCTGTGTCGCCGTGCTCCGTTCACAGAAAAACAAATATACGTTTTCATGTCCGTGGAAAAACATGGCGCGCACACGCGGGGCCAACATTGCTTAAACACGCTAATCGATGGCAATCTGCGGCCACACACATCGACGAAACAGGAAGTTTTCTGCACAGTAACGGCCGTCGCACACGGGTCTTCATGTACGTGCGGGAGCACTAGGCGGTGCGTCGCGGAACGGCGACGTGCACGCGCTGATCGGGAGCCAGCTCAGGGTGCCATCGCGCGTACCCGTACGCCGCGATATCGATGGGCGTTTTTTGCGCAACGGAGTCAACATCGCCGATATGTGTTCTAGTGGGCTGCGCGAAGGTAGCATCTAGATAAGGTAACATAGAAAGAGCAAAAGCCACCCGAGAGTCCGCGTCTCTGTCCCACGGTGTACTCGCCCCGTCAGCCCAGCTGCCCAGGTTTGATGTGCATGCCTCCGTCCTGCGACGTGCGGCGCTGCAAGCGGCCGTTCGCGGCGCCAGAAGAATCGCCCTCCGACTCAGAGTCGGAGGCGAGATCGAATAAGACGGCAGCGCCGTTCGGGTCCTGAGCGGCAGGTCAGCTTACGACATGGTGAACAGCCAGTGTGCGGAGGGTGTGCGGCTGACCTGCTCGTCGTGTTCCATGCTTGCCGCCAGAGGTTGCCTCTCCTCGTCGGCAATCACATGCAGGTGGTGCGCGTCCTCTGCGCCGATGCTGTCGTTGTTGACAGGATTGCCGTGGGCGTCCAGCGGCACAGGCGAGTCTATCGATTTTCTATACTTGTGATAGGTGAAGAGTGCGATGCCTGGCAGTGGGGTAGGTCAGGTGTGCGCGGCGACGATCATGCCTGGGGGATTGGCACTTGCCGCAAATGGTCACGGCGACACCGGTGATATTCAACGGCGTAAGCTCGTCACCGAAGAACCAGGCAGATATCGTGATCGTGGATACCTCTTTTGCGATGCCTGCTATGGACATGGGCAGCACGCCTGCCCGTTGAATGATCCTGCCGTGCGTGAGTATTTGACATCACGGTACGTAACAAGAAGGTTCGGCTGCTTACGAGACTTCGCTGAGGATCATGCAGAACGCGAGCACACCGGGAAAGGTGAGGAAAAAGCATGTTCGTAGCGTCGAGCCGAGAGAGTCAAAGAAACGGCTGCCAACAAGGTCTAACCAACGATCCAAGATCAGGCTGAGGACACTGAGTGAAACGCCCATGATGGGAGCGAGCCAGAAGATGGTTGACACCGGGTTGTCCACACCGAGCTTCTTGTTTTTGAGCAGAACTTGTGTGAGAGCCCAGCGGAGACCACCTAGGGCACTGCCACTAAGGACCAGAAGGAAACCGCCGAGGATGAAGTGAGTTTCCGTCGCGACCATTAAGAGCACACCAGCGAAGATCAAAGCTATGACGCCGATGAGTCGTAGAGAGAAAGTTTCCAGGCGGAACAAGAACGCGAACAGTAGGACAAATATTAGAGACGATGACTTGACCATAGCTAATTGCACCCGCTTAGTCTCAGGACTGCGTATACGTTCCGTGACTTACTATAGAACGACAGGGTGATCGTCTTGAGCGAGAGGTTCGACAGTCCGATATCGAGTCCGGTAGCGAGGCCAGTCGGGACGATCTTTGTACTGATGCGAAGATGTCAGTCGATCAAAAGTCGAGACATGAGCGAACGATGGAGGGTGTGTAGCTTGCTGGCAGGGGCGACGGACGCGAGACGGGAAGAAGACTTACGCGTAGTCACGACGAGATGGCGTATGCTCTGAGAGAAACTTGCGAGGCCAGAATGTCCGCAATGCAGCAGCCAACACGAACTGGACATACATGTGCATCATGGTGACGAAGAGTGGAAATGGGAAGCCGAAGTGGTCGTGCGAGAACATCCATTTGTTGTAGACGGAGAGTACGGTCGCGAAGAGATACCTGGAGGGTGCAGCGGCGAGAGCAGCGACAAGCCATATTCGGACTATGAGATAGATGTATCAAGAACGAAAACCCACGCACCATGAAGCTATGAAAGCCGTGTTAATGAAAGCGTTCCTCCACCAACGTCGCTTCTTCTCTTCCAACGTGGCCAGGTGTACGTGGCCGTCCTGGTCGGTGTCAGCATGGTAGTCGTCAGGCGGAGGCTGCGGGATGTCTAGCTCGTCTGCAGAGAGGGCGGCGTGGGCGTGGGCGGGGGTGTCGAGGGCCATCGAAACGGCGGCGGCGGCATGAGCCAAGAGTTGGCGGGCAGACCGTGGGAACGGGGAACCGATTTGGGCCTCGGGTAGGGGAATGCCGCCACATCTGAGATCTTCCGTTTCATTTGGGCCGCTTCCGAGTCCTGAGGAGGCCTCCCACACAGGGGCCCACAATCCAACAGAAAGTGGCTACCCTGGTCCCTCTAGAAATCATTTTTATTTCTTACGTGATTTTTTCTGGCAACCTAGTCTCATCCGAGGCCTCGTGGTGATCAGCCATACCCGCCGACGTCGCATTCACGTCCCGCCCGACGTACGGGCTGTCCTCTGTCGGGCGGACGTTGTCGGGCGAACACCAAGCTACCGAGTGGCGCAAGGCAATTTAACACAGGGTCGTGCCGGGCGCGCATCTGGCGGATAACACGAGGAACTCCGGGCTGCTGCACAGGTTCCGTTCCGTCGTTCTATCTGGTAACGGAGAAACATACACGACTCTATCTAGGGTTCATGCATCCCGGAAACCTTCGAGAGCATCTGTGAACGCTTCGCACGGCAATTTGTCCTGTCCGTGATGAAAATAGTACCCGTGAGTGTTCGTGAGCGTTGCAAGCATGCCGCGGAAGGGAGGAGGCCAATGTCTCAGTTGTTACGACTGCGTCGGGGGCTGCGAGAGCAGATCGTTGCTGGCAGCATCCGGGGCAGGTTGCGGCGCGGGGGCTCCAAGCGGACCATTGCGCCTATTTGTAGCTAGTTATTGAACCTAGGACGCTGTAGAGCTCGCTCACGATCGTACCATGTCCGCCAGTGATCGAACTGCTTCTGGTTTAGGTACTCGCGCCATTCATCTTTGGCGATGTCTTCGCGGAACTGCGCATGCTGTAAGAGCTCCAGATGATGAAGGGCATGTGGATAGCTGGAAAAGTCAACTTCACAGACTCAAATGAACGATCTGAACTCACAGGATGAAACGTGCGTAGTCCTTTTCCTTCCAGTATTGGAGATGGCTGAGAAAGTTGATGAATGCCGGCTGCTTGAGGATGCCCTGCTGGGCGAGCGAGTGCAGATAGAATGGGTTTGCGAGGCTCTGGACGAACTCGAGCTCGAGCTCGAATCTTGTGCGGTTTGCCGCTCGCGCATCCTGCGCCGGCTGCGGTCCGTCGGGCTGCGACATCGCCGTCCTGCCCAGAGACCGTGGCGCACGTTGTTTGGATCCAAGGCCTTTGCCACAACAAAGCCACGTGGCCCCCGACGCGTCATTCCAGGCGCCAAAATTTCCTCAGAGCGCGAGGCGCGACGACGACGACGACGACATCGGCGACATCGACGAGCGCAGCGATGGCCGAGGACTTTTCAGCGGGGTGGCAGCTCACAGAGTCTGACCCAGGTGTCTTCAGGTGCGACACGTTGCCCTGCAGCAATTCTCCGCGAGATTCACCGAAACATTCGCTCCCAGCGAACTGCTGAAACGCCTAGGCGTCCCACTCGTCGTCGACGACCTCTACTCGCTCGACGCCGAGTCGCTCGCAGAGCACCAGCCCGTCCGCGCGTTCATTTTCCTCTTCCAATGGGTCCAGACGCACCCCGACAGCATGACCGGCGAGTACGACCGCGACTTCCCCGGCTTCTTCGCGCACCAGGTCGTGAACAACGCGTGCGCGACCCTCGCCGTCCTGAACGCGATCGGAAACATGCCCGCGCTCGAGATGGGCCCGCAGCTCAAGGAGATGATGGAGTTTTCCGCCGGAATGGACCCCCAGACGACCGGCATGGTCATCACCAGCTCGGACTGGCTCCGCGAGGCCCACAACGCGCTCTCGCCCCCGTCCGCCATCTCGCTCGACGATCCGAGCATGAAAAAGACCGCAGAAGAGGCCTACCACTTTGTCGTCTACATGCCGCACATGGGAAGCATCTACGAGCTCGACGGTCTCAACGAGCACCCAATACGACATGGCTCTTACGATGAGTCTGGAGAGGGCTGGACTGCCAAAGCGCGGTATGTCCTTAGATCTTATCTCCTGCGTAACGATGTCGACGCTTATCCCTGTTTACCAGAGAAATCATTCAGCAAAGAATAGCGACATACCCACCTGGACAGCTGCAATTCAACCTTCTCGCCGTCCACGACGACCCAATACCGATCCTCCAGAAGCAGCTGTCCGAAGCGCAGGCTGCAAGTAACGCCGTTCTGGCTGGTCAGATTGCTGCTAGACTAGAGCGGGAGAATCACAAGCGTCAACAATGGGCTGTGAGCTATCATTCGTCTTTCTGCATGTCCTATCTCGCTAATCATGCCCGCACGCGCCAACTCCCAGTTCGAGAACAGCCTTCGTAGACATAACCACATCGGCTTCATCCACGCACTGCTTACAGCCCTCGCAAAGGCAGGCAAGCTCGACGAGGCAAAGGAGAACGCCAAGAAGGCGCTCGCAGAGCGCAGAGCCAAGCGCGGCGACTCCATGGACGAAGACTAGCATGCCACTGTCTCTTGGTATCATGTCCTCCGCTCCCAAGTCGTATACGCTTTGACTTAGGGCCTCTGCCACTATTGTACATCGTTAATCCCCCATCGGATGCAATCAATCGCATATATATCTAGTCGGCATCGACCGCGTTCCAGGTGACGGCGCCCTGCGCGCCCCTGTCGAGCGCGTCCAAGACCCCGCATATCCTCGTCGTCCAGCGCGAACTCGAAGACCTGCGCGTTCGAGCGTATGCGCGCGGGCGTCGCCGACTTTGGGAGCGGTGCGAACCTGGGTTTCCTTGAGTGGTCAGCCTGGCGCACTTGGGTGCGCATGCGCGCGGAGGGGAGCCGCACCCTTTCTGCAGCGACCACCGGACGAGGACCTGTGCAATGTCCATGCCGTGCTTGTCTGCGATCTGCCTGAGGACCGGCTCGTCCCGCCTGCCGCGGATGAGCGGCGTGTATGCCTGAACGACGATGTTGTGCTGCTTGCAGTACGCGACGATGGGCCGCTGTGGGCAGAGCGGGTGCAGCTGCGCGCGCCGCCGCCTCTTTTGAGCTGGTTCGGCACGGGGCGTGTAAGCGGGCGTTGCCTCACCTCGATCTGGTTCACGGCTGGCGCCTCCAAGCCGGCTTCGCAGATCTCTTCCAGGTGTTTTATCCCGCTTTACAGTCGTGCGTTCAGCATGAGTTTTGAGCGCAAGTTATGAATAAACAACACAGGATGGCAAGCGGAGTTTTTCTTTCGTTCATAAAGCCAGGCCAAAACAGGCCAAGCGATGACCACTCTTGTCGCGCCGAAACAAATTAGGCAAAGTCCGGTGCAAAACCGGCCAAATCGCGTCTAAACCGCGGTAAAGAACTGATAGAAAGTGAATATTTTCTCAGCCAAGAACCGAATGAAATTTGGTTCTTGTTCAACCATTGATCCTTACCACCGAGTGTAATGAGCTCAACTAATTGGAAACGCCAACACTGCGAATATCTCCCGCGTCTCTGCGCTCGAGGAGGGCGCTGTAATTCTCGAGGCGGAGCCCCTTCCCAGAGTGGGGGTTGTGAATGAGGAACAGGTCGACGTAGCCTGTGTGCAGCGCGCATCAGCCTCGCGGCTCCTTCATACCGTGAAAGTCGACGTCCACCGCCTCCAATCTTCGCCAACGATGTCCGCACCGCCCTCGAGTGTTTTCTCATGACCATGGTGGCTAGAGATGATCTTCGTGGCTCGGGAGCGGTGTCAGCCGGCATCGCGAGAGCTCAGGGAGCACAGTGCTCACTGATGAAGACGTCCTCGCGCGCCAGCCCGGACTCCGCCACCGCGAAGCCAACGTCCGCCTCGTTGCGGTACGCCTGGGCCGTGGTCGACGAGCCTGCAGCGTCCCGGCGAAGACGTACGTCAGAATGAAGGCCAGACCCCGCGGCGGGCAAAAAAAGCTCGGGGAGCACCTGTAACCCGCCCTGAACGCGTCGAGCACACACAGCTCCGTGTCGTAGTTCTGGTAGACCCCGAGGCCGAGCACGGGCATGGCGTGGCCTGCCCGCGTTCGATAATTGCAAGGTTTTTTTTTGTTTTGTTTTCGTTTTTTTTTTTAGCGATCATGACGTAAGGGTCTCTAGGAGACGGCGCACACCGCTCGAGAGGCGCACGATACTTGTGATGCCGAGCGACGCCATATGTTCTTTCTCTCTCTAGGCTACGCGTACCAGCTGTAAAGTCTGCGCAAGAGATGTCTCTCGCAGACGAGCATACCCGAAGATGTGCGACCGTGACAGTCCGAGCGAAGGCAGAGATGCTGGCGCGGCCCGCATCGCGAGTCCCGTGGGGCTGTATTCTCACACCTTGACGGTATGTCACCCGCTTCTAGTGCCGTCCCTGCTCGATAAGCTAGCTCAGGGACGTGGACAGAGCTCTAAAGTGCCGCGGGAGCGCCGCTGTGCGCCGCGGGGCGCCTCAGCGGCGAGAACAAGATTGAGGCATTCCAGCAGCAGGAGCCTCCAAGCTCGCGCCCCGCGAGAGCCAGGGTGCACACCAAACGCCCGAAGAGACAGGTGACGATAATGGGCTGCATCGAGACGAGGCGGGGATCGTCGTGGATCCTTGGGGTGATGGATGTACCTCGTGCTCCACCGTGTCCAACTGACGTTATGGCAACGCTCTGGATGTCGACGAGACCATAAAGGACGGCTGGGTCGTCACGGCGGGAAGCATGCTCTGGAGTCGCTGACTAACCCTATGCTTCAGGTGAAACCCGGTGCTCTGGAGGCGAGCCCCACAGCGACCCGTCTCGCCTCCCGGTGTCTGGCGGCTGTCCCCGCCCTGCTCTGCTGTTCGCGACAAGCTATTTCTGGGCGCATGCGGTGTCAAGTCGCCACCCTGCGCGGCAATTTGTCGGCTTGCAGCATTCTGTGGCATGTTTAACCTTGGGCTCCCACAGAGAAGCCGGCGATAGAGACGCATGTCACTGCTGTGTAAGTTTTAGCTGAGAGTTATGTCTTGTGCATGTGCTATTGACGTGTAATAGCGGTGCTGCGGTCTACAGATAGCATGTACATCCCGTGACAAACAAAGAGTCCAGAAAAGTCTCGAACTGTGTACAAATAATTACAAGGCGGCCCGTCATGAAGATCGTGAGGGATGGGTACTCGTGACGAGGGGGCGTGCACGTTGGCAGCCCTGCTGGGAAGTGAAAGCCTTCAGTGTCGTAAAGGCCGATGCACCGAGACTATGCTTCCGTTGGCAGCAAGGACGGATCGCCGTCGAGCATGAGCGTCTTGATACGCGGGGTACTCCCCCGCTGCTTGGCGACGCTGCGGCCGCAAAGTCAGCCCCGCACCCGAATCGAAACGCAGGGCGGAGACGCACCATGCTTCAAGCGTCAGGACCTGCGCCTCGGCCGACTCTGGCAGGGTGAACAGCACCTTCACGCCCATCTCGGGCTGCCGAAGCCAAAAAAAAAAAAAAAACAAATAACAAATAAAAAAAGAGGGAAAGGACAAGTCAGCGTACTGCGGCGATACGGGACACGCGGGGCACGCAGGAATGCCTTACGTGGAAGCCGTCTATCCTGCGGTGCAGGCTTTCGCAGTCGGCGTACCGGCACTGTGTCGGGCTCCACCACTTCTGGAGCGCGCGCAGCGCCTGCTTGAGCTCTTCGCGGTCGACCTCGCGGCCGCCGACGAGCCCGCGCGCGTGGCGCACGAACACGCGGTTGAACACCGCGCTGAAGGCGTCGCTGTCGGGCAGCTGCTGTGCGTTGGTGACGTCGTGCGGCGCGGCGCTGTGGTTCGGGGCGGAGAGGAGCAGGGTGAGTTCGTTGGCGAGCCACTGCGATGGTGCGCTGAGCGACATTGGTGTTTGTTGTTTGGTGCGAGGGAGAATCAGGCTGAGGTTTTTCGAGTCGGACAGACCGCGAGGTCTTTTAAGTCGAACGCGCACGGAGCTGCAACTACTAGACCAGCCATTATCGTTCCTTCTGACTTGGCAGCATCGGGCGCAAGGTGCATGCCGTTCTTCGAATTCCATGCAAACGGATCCCGAGTCGGGGCAGTTCCAGCTCGTGCTTGGATGGCACTGGCCCCCGGGCCAGACGCTGGCCAGATTCTACGCAGCCTCGGGAATATGATCGGGAGCAGCTTCGACGCGTTCCCACGCTTACGACGATCTAGGAGCGCCCGTCGAGCGATGCCATCGCTTATGTAATCTCTGCAAGTGCATGTGTCACTCAAGCTACGTTGTACAAATGATACACCAATAGATATGTGCTACTAGACAATGAAGGGTCGTGCTCTCGACACTCCAGACGAGTCCAGTTTACTTCTTCAAGTTGCCAATGACAGCATCAGGGGCGTATCGCGGGATGACCTGTCCAAAACCGTCAGCAAACAGGTGCCCGGTATCAGGCACAGAAAGATACACACCTTGGGGTCGTGGAGCATGTTGAACTCCTCCGTCGCATCCCGGCCCGCGTACAGCAGAATCGCCTTTTCGCCTCCCGGGTGGTCAGGCAGGAAGTTCGTCACATCCAGCACCTGGTTATCGACGATCACCCAGCAGTCGCTCTTCTTGTTGTGCTTCGCAACCTCCTCCTTCGAGAACGACTTGGTGCCAGCGTTCTTCGCCGGAGCGCTGCTCGTCTGTGCGGCGGGCTTCGTGCTCGACCCGCCGCCGCCGAGGTGTCCCGCAACCGAACCGAGACGTCCCGCCGCCGACGCTGCCAAGGGACCGGCTCGCTGGAGCAGATATGCCGCAGCCGAATCACCAGAGACACGGCCGAACACGACACAGCCCAGGAGTGAAGACCCTCCAAGACGGTTGGCGCCGTGAACTCCACCAGCGACCTCGCCCGATGCGAACAGACCCGCGATGGGCTTCCCGCTCTGGTCGATCACGCGCGATTCGGCGTCGATCTCGAGACCACCCATCGTGTAGTGCAACACTGGCGTCATGATCGCGACGTTGAAGATATCGTCCATCTTCCACTCGCCCGACGAGAAGAACTTCTTTCCGAAAGGATCCTTCTTCGCCCGCACCGCCTGGTTGTAGTCGTCAAAGGTCTTCTTAAGCGCCGCAGGTGAGAGACCCATCTCCTTCGCAAGAGCATCGCCACTCTCGAAACGCTTCATCAGTCCTCGGCCGACGTAGTGCTTGCAGTGCCACTCAATCTCCTTCGATGCCTGGCCATTGAGCACCAAGCGGATCGGATACTGTACCTGGCGTTAGAGACCATTCAACGGCGGTATTAGAGCGCAGCGCACCTTGCCGTTCTCCCAGATCTTTCCAGTGACATAGTCACGGTGCTGCAGCTCGTCCACGAAACGCTGGCCCTGGTTGTCGAGAAGCAGACCGCCGACACCACGCAAAGCCTCCGCCGCCAGGAACTTGACTTTTGCTTCCGGGTCGTTCGGGTCGACGAGACCGGTAGGGTGCACCTGAACCTTCTCGAGATCGATAGCAGACGCGCCAGCCTGGAGGGCAAGCTTCTGGCCATCACCCGTGCAGTGATCGCCGTTCGTCGTCGGGAGATCAAAGTATTCAGGGCGGTACTTCTTCAAAAGCGAGTCCTCAGTGAAGTCGGCAGCGTAACCGCCCGTCGCGAGGATGACGGGCCCGTACGCAGTCTCGGTCTTGCCGCTGTGGGTGTACTCTACTCCGATGACGCCCGACTCATCCTTGATAAGCTTCGTGACGCGAGCCTTCTTCTTGATCGTGACGCGGTCAGGGATCTCGGTCGCGAGGTCCTCGAGACGCTCCATCTGCGCGTAGGTAATGACCATCCCAGGGAACTGGGCGCCGCCACGATGTGTCCGCGGCTGTGAGTGACCGCCAAGACGAGCGACCTTCGACAGGTCGAGGCCGAACTTTGACTGAAGCCAGTTGACGGCGTCGCCAGAGCGTCCAGTTAGCACACGAATCAAGTCGTCGCGAGCAAGTTCACGAGCCTATGCAGCACCAAGAGTCAGCATCACAGTTACACTTGGCCAAGAAAAGCTGTTAGAGAAAAAGATGAATTGAAGCTCTGGCTAGAGGAGGATCCATGATACGGCTCGGTGTTCCCAGCGCCAGCATGCCCAATCGCCGAACGCCACAAAGGGCGTCGCCATCAACGGAACTTTCGGCCGTCCGCAACAAGCGCCAACGAGAATGACGAACATATGCCAGCGAAGCGAGACAGACATGAGCCGGCGGGGCGTGCGGCATATTCGTTGATTGGAAGCATTGCAAGAAACAAAAAAAGCGACGGCAGAAGCCCGAGTGAAAAGGGTCGATGGCTGTAGCAGACGGGCGTGCGCCGGGATCGCCATTCCGTGCGGTGGCAGCTGCGCAATCGAACGAGGGGGACGACTTCTACGCGAATCGAGTGCGGTCACTCCTCAAGACGAGAGGTGTCTTGAGTGTGGCCATGTCCTACAATCGTGCAGAGGTCTCACCGCTGCTCCTACGTGACCAAGTGCCTCAACAACGTCAATGCGCCCCCGTGTACGCAAGCCAGTGCTGCTGTCCGCTGCCTCAAACCCAGCACCAAACCTAGCCACAGACCGCTAGCAAAGCAGACACATGGGAACAAACTCACCGAACGCTTGGTGTCCTCGAAGAAGATCTTAGCGTTATCCGGGATCCCGAGCTCCTGCTGAGGCTGGGTGCCTGCGCCGTTGATACCGGAGGTCGCTTTGGTTGAGTTACCGCCCATAAACCTAACGCACACGAACCGTCAGCACAGGCTACATCTGCAAGACGCATGGTGCGACGTACGGCTGCTTGTCCAGGAGCAAGACGTTGGCTCCGCGCTCGAGGAGAGTGTGAGCAGCAGAGAGACCGGCGAGACCTCCACCGACGACAATAACCTGGGCCATTTTTTTGATAATGTATGGAGTGTCCGGGTGGCAGAGAGTTACGGAGTGGTGGTCGAGAGCAGGCTGCTCTTATACCGAGCGCTCCAATCACGGGGTGACCATTACCGGCCGGATGGGCGGAAGCATGTGATAACTCCGCGACCGCACTGCGCCCTCCCTTGCATATCTCCGCACTCCTCCTTTTCGAGCCGTCTCAGACCGTTCGTTGCGCTTATGTAGAAATGTCTCGCAAATAAATCTTTCACGTCAACTCTTGCAGTGAGTAGTGCTAAGTAGTGCAGCACGACACGTCGCATTTCTTTCACGTTCTGGCCGACCCGTGGGTGTGCAAGCGGCTCGAAGAGCACCAACGGAATGCCATATTCGTTCTTCTCGCCGAGGCAACGCAACATGCACGCCGGGGACCACGGGTCTTTCAAGGATCAGGAGCTCTACTCTACAAATTCCCCTTTCTACATTCAGCAACCGGATCTCCACTCCCTACAAATTCCCAGCGCAAGCCCAAATATCGAGATCTTTAATAATATACTAGCAGAAGGCAGCCAATCAACGCTGCACCGCCTGCGCAAGCCTCGCGCAGACAAGCTCGATCACGTCGCCCATGCTCTTCTCGAGCCCTTCGATCAGCACGAGGTCCGCGACCTTGCCCGTCGGCCGCCCGTGCTCGACGTCGCCGCGCTCGAGCATGTCCTGGTGCGCGTGGACGTACGCGGGCCAGACGATCTGTTCCCAGTAGAGTGGTGGGTCCTGCCAGAGCGCGCCCTCTGGATCAGATTGGACTCCAGGATGGCAAGTTCGAGCGTCGAGGGGCGCGGACGGGATGTGCGGCGGCGTTAAAGAGGGGGGGAAAGACGTCAGCTAGAGTAGTCCAGCCATCGGGAAAGAAACAGGCCAAGCGGACGCGGAATGCGCGTCTCGTCTCGTTTAGAGCGAATCACGAATCGGACCGCCAAGGGAAATTTAATCGAAAAATGCTCTTACCTGCAGTGTGGTACCCGTGTCGCTCGTGCCTACGCTGCTTGAGGGCGTCGTGGGGCACCCTGAGGAAAACGCGGACGTCGAGCGAGTCTATGACCGCCTATTGCGACGATCATGTTAGGTCCAGTGATGCTGCTTACACGCCGGATATGCCGGCGCACCTGATTCCAATACAGCAGGAAGCCGTCAACGAGGACCCAGATGAGTGTCTCGCCTGCCTTCTCATGTTCTTCCTCGAGCCGGTTGAAAACTTCTTGCCAGCGATTGATGATCGCATCGTCAGCGGGCACATCTTTTTGCTTGTTTAGGTGGTCGTGCGAGTAGTGTTCCGGTGGTATTACGCCAGTGAGCTTGATCTATAGAGACACTTGTCAGGGTTTTCTACGTATGGGGTCGGGTGACGTACCTCTCCAAGCGACTGCACCATCCTCGGCCAGTCTATCGCCCCTTCCGGCGCATCCCAGTCCTGAACGCCGTACTCCGGGTGAATGGGGATCAGCTCTTGCGGCTGTGTATGATGAGCGTCGACAGCATGCCAAGATCGCAGAGACGTACCGGAGCAAAGTCCTATCGGCAAAGGATGTCAGGTCGATCACTGAGAGTAAAACCCAGCGCGACGCACATCCTGGTGTAAAATGACACCACGAGGGAGAATGTTCCTCAAATGCTTCGCAAGCGTGGTCTTTCCCGAACATGTTGCGCCCCTGAGTTGCGTCGCGTCAGGTGTTGTGGGGAGAAAGAGGAAACGTCGCGAGACGTACCCAATCCCTACCAACATTACGCGCAACTTCTTCTGGCTCGGTGAGTTTCCGCTACTCTCTGACATCTTGCTTTACAGTGGGCTCTCGATTTGAAGCTGCTGTGCTGTACAAGGCTTGACAAATTGTGGTCTCGCAACGGCCTGTGCCGAGTGACTCGAGGAAGTGAAGGGGAAGGTCGGAAGGTCGGATCGGTTCATTTCACTCGTTGCCAACGGATCACGGCGGCGGCGCCTGCACACGATATCCACTTTTGGCAGGCGTCGTCGGCCGATTGTCTTATGATAGGCGCTGTATTTTGCCTGTGGACGTTGTCCGCTGAAAGACTGTTGCATATTGCGACAATTCCTGGCCCAAGGTTCCACAGTGCTTCTTGTGTGCTACTCTGCCATGGCTCTCGGCAGAGGCTGGCGCATTCTAGCGCGGCCCGCTCAAATAACAACACCGCTGCAGCCCCTATAAAGCCACTTCACTCGAGACTCTATACTTGAAGCGTCATCTTTTATTTCCTCTCCATAGTCGTTCTCGCCATTCAAGTAAGTACACTGTCGGAGCTTGTGCTTTCTGCGCTGACTCGTCGCTCGGTCAGAATGCATGCCTGCCTGCAAGTTCCAGATATCCAATACCTCATCTTCTCTCTCTACGAAGAAAGCAGCTCTCGTGAGACATTGGGCCGCTCTTGCGCGGACGTGCTCGCAATTATGGTCCTGCTATGGAAGCTCTGTGGTATTCCATAGACGGTTTCGGCCCATTGCTCCATAGCTGTCCTCCACACCTCTTTGCAGTACGGTCCCGTCCGTGTATATGGTTGGAATATGACAAGGAGAGAGAGAGAGAGTTTGTGAGTATCTCGCTCGAAGTTTCTCACTCCGCGCTCACAAACATCACAACACTTGCGTTGATAGTACTTTGCCGAGGAGCCTTCACCGGAAGATTGAAGGCCTTCTTCAAACACGCTCATCGCATCAGAGATCTCACCATTGGACTTACAACGCCTAATTTATGCATGGCCACAACATATTCCAAGACGATATTCCCAGTCATCTTGGAACAGATGCGCTTGCGACTCACGGACCCGTCCCATCCTCCGATCTTCCTCAATCTACTTACCGTGAAATGCCGGTGGCGGCCAACCCTTGGGATCGTCTCAGATTATATTCCTCGTCTATCCAATTCCCAACTCCGTACCGTCTGGATCTCCGCAAGCACTCAAGGCCCCAGAGAGGTCGAGAAGTACAATGAATTCTTGTCATCGATGAAGGCTGGTTATGACAACGTGGAGATTCTCAGTGTGCTCTCAGGTTTCTCCACGAAGGACGTCTTCGGCAGCAGCTCACCCCAGCTGTCGGAATATATCGCCAGTCTGCATGCCCTGCGGGTGTTTCGCAGCAATGTCCTCATCGACGAAGCAGCTGTACGACACTTATCACTATCTCGCCATCTCACGAATCTCAGCTGTTGTGTCTCGGAGCTGCCACAGCTGACCATTCGAGCTCTGCTCCACGTCGCAAAGCACTGGCCGGATCTCTATCAGCTCAGGCTCCCCGTCGATGCTTTGGACAGTAACCAGGAGCTTCTTGGTAGCTTGAAGGCCGATGAACTCGGAAGGTGTCTCAGAACTCTCGAGATGTACTCACCGTTCTCTTACGTGGACGACGCCAGAGGGGTCGCTCTGTTCCTCTGTAACTTGTTTCTGAACCTATTCAGCGACACGGACCTTGCCGTGAGTCATGGTTGGCTGCATGTTGCCGGAGCATGCCATACCCTGGATCGCACGGCCTGGTTACTACATCCTGGTGTCAATGACATCGCCTCGAAGCCCATCGTATAATATTCGTAATGATAGCTCGGTATATAATAATACATATAATATGCTCGACATAATATTCGAGAAGTCCGGGTCCGGTTCGGAGCGACAAGAGAGGGCAGCATTTCCATATTCAAAATCATCAAGCCTATTAGTACTTTTCTTTAGATGCATGCTGCTCAAACAAGCAACCTTGGTAGAAATATGGAGGAAGAGGCCGAGGACTCTCGGCCGATGTCGGCGCCCACCAAGCCTGGCACTGGACCGGACCCTGATCGCTCTAGCGAATCACATGAATGCTCATCTGGATAGCCGCAGCAGAGAAGGTGATAGACTTTGTGGCGTAGGTTCGCTCGAGATGTGGCTCGCTAGTGCAATGTGACCTGCCCCTGAGCGGCCGCCCGATCCAGAGCGTATACAGTACAATGTATAAAACACCTCGTATACCCGAAGACTACGAACACTATCTCTCAACAGTCACACATCATACCCATGACTCACGCCCACTCACACCCAAACGCAGAGTCCCAGTGGCTCGCGCATTCGCTGTCTTTGCTTCTCGCTGCCCCTCATATTACCTTACCAGACGAGGGCTCTGAGGAGGCACGCCTTGGCCCGGGGCCCGTGGACGTCTTCACCATCAGGTTCAACGAGATGTTCATGCCCGAGGCACGGGGCTTCGTCGGCGGACATGCAGTCGATCGCGAAGAGCTGAGGAAGACCCTCGTAGGCCTCCAGCGGCGATGGAACGCCGCCGAGGGCTCGTGCGTCGGCAGCGAGGTACACCCAACACACGTCACTGAGTTCCATGTACGCACTTCTGGTTCGAAATTGGCGAGAGCTGGCTGACACCTGGGCGCGGTCTAGCCTACGATGGCTGCACGGATGGAGTTCACGCCTATGTACATGTACCCGAGGGAGAAGGAGACCATTATGGCGGAAGCAAGGTGAGCCACGATTTGCGCGCGCGCTGGAGAGTATGTGACTTAACAGCTCGAATCAGTGGAGAGGAAGTTGGGGGGGTTGAGCGCATTGACTGCTTGATGCTCGAGGGTGACGAATATCTGTTCCGCCAGGAAGCGTAAAGAATTTCTTTTGGTTGGGGGCGGGAGTTTCTTCTTATTTTGTGCTAAAGCAATATCTTCATCTTCGCGATTGCGATATTACACTAGTGTACATTAGCAAAATTCCAAGCGATGTGGAACAACAGAGCTTCGTAATGACGTGTATTTCTGCATTTGTGCGATGCATGAGCCCAACGTGCGGCCGGGCCCTTCAGTCGCTGTCCTCGAACTCAACTGCCTGGTACTTCCGCACCTTCTGGCTTGGATTCGCCAGCGAGGCGCCTTTGGCACGACGAGGCAGTTTCTTAGCTGCTTCTACAAATGCAACCAAGTCATTTTCGGGGCCAGAGCTGCACATGTCTTAAAATCCGCACCGGCAGAGTCTTCCCGAATAAGACGCTTGATCATTTGGTTAGCCTCAGTAGATGAGTTGCCACGATGTTCACTGTTCCTGCGCTTTTCTTTGGCGAGCTCAGCCTCCAACTTCTTGATTTTTAACTCCTCAGTTTCTTTGGACACTGGAGAAGCTCTTGGAAGAGATTTCGTGGTCTCTACCGGAGACTGTGTTGCTTTGCGTTTCTCTGCGGCAACTGGGGAGGTAGTGGAGGGCACAGCGGAAGAGGAAGCAATGGCTGAATTATTTTTCGTGGACGTTGGAACATCGGCCGTCGAGCCAGTGAGGTCGTATGGTGACGGACACAGACGGCATTCGTAGTCTTTTGCATTAGTGGCAATCTACGAAAGGCGCTTAGCGACGACGTCAGACAGTGCTAGTGAGATCCAGTCTTACTAGCGAGAAAATTGATGTAGCAAACTTCGCAGCATCAGCAGAGCTCAGGTCTTTGAGCGGTATGTGCACGGGACGCTTTGCCGCAGGACCCAGGGTAAGCTGTAATATATCAAATGTTAACTTTCAGATAGGATGCGACCTGTCCCAGCTCACGTTGATATTTGCGCCTGGCTTGTCGCTCCAGTTGCCTATGTGAAGCTCGCCTTTCACAATCATTGCCGCGAGGCTATCGGCGAGCGCCTCTACGTCTTCGGAAGCCCTAGTACGAAAACGTATGGTCAGCGCGGAGTGGCTCGCGATGCGGATCACGCACCAGAAATGTCTCTATATCACTAGGAGACCACTGTCCAGACCACCACCGTTCTGTCTTGTCGAGGGCTACGTGAATGGTCCATGCCGTACGTGTGACCTTGGACAGCACAATGAACTTCAGGGCACCTTGGTATATAACTTGGATCAGTTCGTCCACGGCAAAGAAATCGGAAGTCATGTCTATGGTCATCTTGATCCAGCTCAGGTCGCTTATGAGGCTTGCTCAGAGTAAATGTAGTGAAAGCGAAAGAGGTAATTCTCCCTTGGAGGTACTCGACAAAGCAACCAGACGGCATTAGGCGCTTGTGGTAGCGGGGATCAAAGTGATGCGCCCATCCGCCTACGGAAGGCACTGTGAGTTGTCACCAACGTTTATCCCATCAATCTCATCGTCGTCCAAGACACGGTCTTTTGCCCACAGATCTCCGCGTATACCTAGACAAGCCGTCAAAATGTTTTTAGCATTCAAGGTACATACATCCAAGCCACATATTTTGGAAGCTTATCTCAGAAGTTGCCCCTCACTGGCGCGTTCGCCTCGCAGGGTAAACACATGCACCACCGCTAGAACTGAGCATGTATCAGTGCTCGTTTAATGCGAGATGTGTCTGCTTCTCTTTATTAGGTTGGTCAGGCGGCACGCTGAACGTCACCTCTCGCAGTTCGACTAAAACGCGGGGCCCTGCACTCATCAATGTGTAGATTATAGCTTGGCGAGTGGCGGTTGAGGCCTCATAAGTCCGCTCGCAACTACGTACTGACAGTGTTCCTCTGACTTTGAACTGGGCCATTTCTTACTGACACTAACAGGAGACGCAGTTCTGTCCTATGTCCTACTTATTTTCTACCGCGAGAACATGCGACAAGAAAGACGCGACGTGGAAGAAATTTTTTAGGCCCAGTAGTGATTTGCTTACCTACACCTCCGTGAGTAGGTCGTTCAGATACACCGAAATGAGATTGACAGCGTGCTGAACGTCCTCTCTCTCGTAATCCGGTACTCGCTGTAGCTTCAATCCGAACTTGTCTGGATGCCATCGAAGAAGGGCTTTCTTGACCCTTTCCCGCTTTGACTGGTGTCGGAGAAAAGGAGCTCCCGTATAGCATGAGGCGCGATGCTCCCAAGATCTCGCGGTGTCTTCACCGTTGGCCAAGGGATGGCGCTGAACGGCAAGGCGTCATCGGTGAGCACCGACCATAAAGTGTCGTACGTCGTCCAGACCGCTCGAATCCTGTCTCTTTTCAGCTCTTCTAACTGATATTTTAACGTAGTAACCTCCTGCTGTGCTCTATGAGTCTCTGCTTGCTCGTAAAAGAGACATAATTGCATCCTTTCCACGCGATCCTCCACAGCTTTCGTCTTCTCTTCCGCTGTCGTACATCGCTTCTCAAGCTCGCCCACTTGTCCTTCCAGGAGAAACATTCGAGACATCAGCTCGCCGTCGGCGTCCCAGTCACGAAGCCTGGTTATCTCTGCAGCTTCTGCCCGTTCTTCCGCCTGGACGCGCCTCTGGTGCTCTTAGGCATAGTTCCGCGCCTCTATCTTGCTCATCTCCCTCTCCGCCTTCAGCTGCAGGTTGGCTTCGTGGAGGAGTTTGGCCTCTTGAAGTTTGACCTCTCTTTGTACGACCAGCTGTATCCATCTTCTGTCTCTCACCAGCCTCTCTTGCCCACGAGCGCCCTCTAGCTCGTTGACTGCGGCTATGAGGCTAGTGAGAGTTGTCTCAATCTGCTTCAGGACGTCGATTCTGAGGTGGAACCTAGGATACGGATCTTGATTCATCGCAATGGCCACGAAATGCTGAATCTCGTTCAAGTTCTCCCTCAACGCGCCAATGCCCGCTTGTTAACGGTGTATGTGATCTACCGCTGGAAGCATATCTTCGAAATACGAGTTTCCTCGACGGGGCCTGTTTGGGTAGATGGAGAAGTTGACGGTTCTGGAGAAGTTTCAACGTGCATCAGCGTGCCGCGAATAAAGGACGATGCTTGGGCCTCATCATGATCACGCATGGTCACATCTCACGTGCAGTTTGTCACTCGCCGCTGACAACATCTTCCGGCCATCGTCTGGGCAGTGCACACGCATCTACGCCCGGTGTACAACCATACATGATCCAATCAGCCATCGCACTGGCTTTAAGATATACACCAGGCAAGTGGCAGCTACTGTTCAAAATGTAACATCTGCTATGATGTCTAGATCTCAGGTTCGCTGTTCGGGCGACATCGCTAAGGCAACACTTGCACGGCTTCACGTCCCACTGTTTGTTCCTCGTGCTTCCCGGTGACGCCTCTCCGGCCTCGGAACATATGCTGGATGGCATCTAGTGACGCACCATCGATATCTCTCATTGTCCGTCTCTGACCGGTGAATACATCATTCCACCACTGCCTGTAGTGGGATCGTCAGCACAGCTCCGTGCGAATCTACATCTGCTTTCGTTTAATAATCAACTCATGGTCATGCTCACATCTTTGATATTCAACAAACATAAACTGCACTGATTACTTTGTATTTTGCCTGGCCAGCATAAATAGGACCTCAGTGTTCCATGGTTTCCCCAGCTCTGGGAGCCTGTCTTCAATTTCTATTCATCTTACAACTTGGCACTGGCTGGTTCGCACTCTCCACAGTCTATCTTCAGCTCGGACTGATTTGCTTTACAGCCTCTTGTGTCAAAAACACCTTCGATTACTCCCTCGCTCACTTATCAAACGACCACCATGCGTTTCACGTCCGTTACCGCCTTCTGCTTCCTCGCAGCCTCCAGAACTCTACATGCTGCTCCGCTGACCGGTCGTGCTGAGTTCCACGTATCTCGCGGAGTCCCCTCGCCTGGCCCTCTGTCCTGGACCTCTGACGGAGCAGAGGATCTGAGCATCAGCCTCGGCACTGCCGCTAAGGCGGCTGGGGTCATCTCTACCGCTCTGCCCATTGTCGAGCAAGTATTTGGACACCTTTTTGGTAACAACAACTCGTCAAGCCGGCGCGACCTCCTGGGACTAGAGAAGCTGCTGAAGAGGGAGGGCTTCCAGCCCGTCGTGCTTTCTCGCCAGAATCCCGACTCTGATGAGAGCGGCGCTATATCCCTCAAAACACTCTCTACAGTGGCAAGCGCTGGCTCTACCATTGTCGGTGGTCTCTTGGACCTATTTCACCAGTGAGCATGATGCCGCTTTGCGCAGATCCACGCTAATTCACCCATACAGCTCTGGAAACAGCACGAAGCGCGACGAGTTCATAAATGCGTTGCTCTCACGCGACACACCCACTACCGCTGCTACTGAGAGTGGTGCTATCGGTATCGGTGATCTCCTCAAGATCTTTAACATCGGCGGCGATATTGCTAATGGGGTCGAAGGTTTGCTCGGCGGGTACGTACTCCATCTTCTCCCCTGATCCTCTTAGCCCATTCCACCCTCTCAGCAGCAGCTCCGACAATCAGCAGCGAGACCTCGTCAAGCTATCGAGTCGTCAAGTAGTCGCAGATGATAAGAGCGAGGCACTTAAACTTCCCAGCCTGTCAGACTTGTCGTCTATTGCCAGCCTTGCGTCGTCTGGTGTCGATATCGTAGAACAGCTCTTCGGACAGTGCGTTTGATCCTCGTACACCCGAATTCTTTTCACTGATCACCACTATTGAAGCTCGTCGAACAGCACGCGGAGACGCGAGCTCACTGAATACCTCCTCCGCCGGGCTGCTGACTCGACAGAGGATGCCAGCGAAGCAGTTTCTCTCAAGACCCTAGGGACTCTCGGCAGTCTCGCAGGGAGCGCGTTCAGCATCTTGCATGGCCTCTTCGGATCTTCGTCGTCGAACAGCACGCAGGCCCGCGAGTTTGTGGAGCTGCTCGCCCGTAGCGCAGCAGACGCCGGAGAGGATGGTAGCGAGGCAATCTCCTTCAAGACCCTTGGAAACATTGGCAGTATAGCGGGAAGTGCGGTTAGCGTCCTCGGTGACCTCTTCGGACAGTGAGCTCTTCGGGGTCTGTTTGTGTCGGTGAAGAAACTGACCGGTCTCGCAGCTCGTCTTCCTCCAACAGCACTCAGCGCCGAGAACTGTTTGTCCGGGATAACGCACCGGATCTGAGCACGATTTTGAAGGCTCTTAACGCTACTGCCACGAAGGTTTAGGTGCGAGACGTGACATCACGATTATTATGACGCTTGTGTGGTTCGTTGGGAGTAAATCATGGTGTTTTGTTACTATAAATTCAGTTTAATTCCGCGGATTCTTCCCACCGGAAAGAGGACATACATGGCTTGTTCTCCTTGTCTGATACCGTGCTAAATCTTTTAATTTCACGCTAACGGCCTTGAGCCGTACGCAACTATTTTGGCGGGCGAATCCTCACATGCCGGCACAGCACGCCTCCCGTCCCGAGATCAGAAATCACGCCAACCAGCGACGTCCCGGATATACACCGCCCGCTCTTCCGTCGGCCGACTCGTGCGGCGATGGCTCGCATTACTACGCGACTTGGGGCGTCACGGCTCGGGGAACGCCACCAAGGCTCACTCGCACATAAGCTCGTGATTGCGCCGTCCCTCCTCAGTGCCGGTCCGCCACCACTTGAGCTTACAGAGCTGATTGTTCGGCCAGCGTTCGGGCGATAATGTGTCCGAGTCACCGTGCCTATATATTATCCTCATAAGGGCTACAGTATCATGCTCGCTTCCTTCTCAAACCCCAGGCCTCAGGTAGGACGCTCTCACAAACCCAAGGCATGCATGCCAAAACTGACTACAGCAGCCAATTGCCACAGTGACACAATAGCAAATGTATAATTAAGTTCGATGGTAAGGTGGAAACATCATTTATGTCATTATCGCGGGGCCGTTACGTTCACATTTGATCCAGCAGGGTATTTAACCATCCCAACGATCCCAATAATCTGAATCTCAGGGTTCGAAGCAAAACAGAGAAGGGTGTCATGCTTCCTCGACTTCAACCTTGGTCTTCTGGTCGGTCTTGTATGACATCGAGGGTGATGCGCTTGGAGCGAGCGACGACTTCTTTTCGAGCTCGGACTCGTACGCGGGTTTGGATGCACCGATGCTGCTGTGCTTTGCGTGTGCGAGGTGGCCGATGATGTAGTCCATCTGTGCTGGCGCGATGACTGCAAGACACAGATGAGGATCCCGGCGCGCGCGAGAGCGGGATGGACAAACCTCGAGACGAGTCAGTGAGGACAAATTCGTAGACGGCCCCAGCTACCAGCGTCGCAGGAATATTGGTGAGCGCGGCAATCGCAGCGTATGGACCTCCTGCCGCGGGCGTGCCCCAGATGACTAAGGCAGCAAAGCGACCGCCGAGGTCACGCGCAGTGTTGGCCGACACGCCGACAGGAGAGTAGCCCCAAATTATCATCGAGCTGAGAAGCGACGTCAGCGCCAAGATTTACAAAGGACAAAGCGAATGGACGTACTATGCTAATGCTATGACCCAAGGGCCGGCAGCGGGTGGAACTAGGAAATTGGTCGGGTCCAAGCAAGCCCAGATGACAAGGCCGATTACGAAGTCCTGCGCAAGTTAGCATGTCGGAGTTTGGCATACAAAATGGCGGCACGTACAGCAACGAACTCGTTCAAGAGGACCTGGCCGAGGTTTGACCCTGGCGGTGCGTAGAGCGCGAAGGCACCCGCAACGCCTGATGGCGTGAACATGAGAGTGTCGAACTTGCCGCTAGAGATAAGTGCCGCTTCTGTTGCTTTAATGTTCACACTCCATTGCACATAGACGATGAGGGCAGCGATGAAGGCACCAAAAATCTGGGCCACTATGTATCTAGAACGTGCCTTGAATACACTTGTGTGAAAGCCGAAATATTCGGCGACCGCACCTGCATGCCTTCTTGACTGGAAAGCCTCGATATATGACTTGGCTAATTGTGAAGCCAGGGTGGAAGTGACCACCGGAAGTAGATGCGCATGTCTAGGTTCGTTTTGATCGGCAAATGGTAGAGGCAGTAAGTAGACTAAGCTTACGACGAGGGCAAACAGGATTCCAAGGGAGTACGAAAACCCGATCTGCAGAACAGCTGCATGGAAGCGTCAGCTCTTTCAACTACCTTAGGGTAGGAGACAAAACAGGATCTTACACGAAATAGGCTCGCCGACAATATTCCCGATGACGTAGCCTAGGTTAGAACCAACACCTGCAACATAGTGAATACATCATCCCCATCGACACAATAACAAAGCTTCGCACCGGCGTACACGTAGATGAACACCCCCAGCTGCCATGGCAATCTATCATTGAAGATCCAACCCTTGAATACAGCAAGCCTGTCACTTACAGACTCTGCGACACATTCTACAAACCAGTGAGCTTGGCGATGGCGGTATCGTTCCCATATATTGAAGACATGTGGGCGGGCTCGAATGTCCGTGAGATGGACGACATCTTTGTGGGGAAGCCGGTCTAGGGTGAGCGTTGCTGGAACTAAGGACATCTTCGAGGTGAAGGGGCGTCACGGATAGCGGGAAGGGTAGAGGACTTCCAGAGCTACAGCATAAAGGGATGTCTTGACGGTTATATGTACAGGCGCGCTTGCCGTATATTGTGACAAAGTTCACATGGTGCGCTTGCTCGCATCGCCCTGCAGGAAGTTGGGATAGACAACGGCGTCAGGCACAATCTTCTGACATCTAGAGGTCAGTGCTGGCATGATGAGACCTCCCAACTCCGTGCCTGATGGACGATGCCTCACCCGGAAACAACTGAATGTGATGAAATGACTCCAAGGGTCGGCGCAGGGGGGGCAGTGAAATCAGTTTCGGAGACGGGCCTAGCACGGTCTGTCTCCAGAAAGTTACGTGCACTGTGCTGGGCTGTGCGCTTGGTAGTCAGCAGGCTCAAAGCAAGCACTATTGGACATCCTACCAGGGAGGATTCGGCGTGCTCTTCTGGATTAAGAGAACGACAAGCGGTTAAAAAGCGAATCGCTTGCAGAGAATTGCCAATCCATCGCTTGCCCACCCTTCTGTTTCAGTAATGTCACGCGGGCGAGATTGTGCAGCCGAGGATAGAAGCCGTATTTATTCCAGGGCTGCGCCTCCTGGTCAGCACATCAGCATGGGGTGGTACACATGCGAATCCTCACGTGTGTGATGAAAACGACCGGTGAACTCAGTTGTCATGCCGGCCATCGCAAAGACCGAAGGACGACGCTGAGTCGGCAGTGGCGTACAACGCAAGAATGCAATACGGTGAAGTTCAGTCCGAGATACAGCCTCCCACCGGGATATCATGTCTCTGAGCATCCAAATACCTGCATGAGACATACAACACAACGAACTAGAAGCGCACATCAGGCAACGCAGATTAACGGATGTAAGACATGTACGTAGACTCACTACCCAGGGACCGAGCGCAGTGGTTGTATCTGAGATTTCGTGGCATGCCGTGGGTGGCGGATCATCGATCAATAGCGATAGTTCGGTGTTTCGGTGGTCGCATCGCCGCGGATGAACGATTCAAGATTATCCGTATATATGTATTGATCGTCAGAATCCAGCGGATTGTGGGGAAGCAGAAAAAAATCTAAGTAGCATGTGCCTGGCACACGCACATGGCACAACAGCGGATAGGGAAGGCTCAAGCTCAAGTCCCAACTCCCACTGCATCAAGCTCTTCCCCTGAGACCCATGGTTCCAGGTCACCCCGTAAACTAGCCTGTCGCACACGAAATCAAGAGATTTCTCGCCACGCTGCAGCAAGTATAGCTCGATTTTAAAAAATGCTTGCACGGGTAGATTTAAGAGGAAATTGATGTCGATTGACCTGTAACATGATGAGCGGATGTCTCTGTGAGTGCGGGCCTGGCGCCAGCGGACGTACTACGGGGGCCTGGAAGATGATCAGCGTTGCAGTGCATAGCAAAATGTCTGATGAGCTGTAACTTGTCAACCGCTTATACCGTGGCCACTTAACCGAATCGAAGCCATATGGAGTAGCTACCGCCGTCGGCCGGAAACATTGAGAGCCTGGCAACAGTACAGGAGGCACTGTCCCAAAGATCATGCAAGATAAGCTGTGAACATGTAAAACGAATTAACAGGTGTCACTGTATCCCTTACCAACTCCTGGATTCAAATCAACCCCCCGGAGAGCCGCTTCCCGATTCCAATCCGGGTGCAGAACCATACAGGACTTATCTGAACCTGGGTACAAATGACCAGACTCTGGCAGCCGGCTTCAAACGGCGAGCTGAGCCCGGTAAAATGTCCGCCTGGTGACGGAGTGCTTGAGACATAGGGTAACAAATTCGAAGATTATTCGTGAAGAAGAACTTAGAATTGGTCAAAATTTTCGAAAGCGTGATGCACTGCGAAATCTGTATCTCCCACACCTGCTTTTTGTGATGAAGGAGGTGCCCTTCGCACGCCACCGAGGACTGGAATTTGGAGAAAATTTAGGAAATTGATAGTGCATGAAATCTGCCTCCAGGCACAATTGAGCCGTTTGGGCCACCCAACCCACAGCATCCGGGCAAATGTACCCAGGTCCAAGCGCCAGGAAGCGGAGTTTAGGATCGGACCTCTTGGGGGTCCAATGTCATCATCATTCTGGAATAAACAGGCTACCTAGAAGCGCACTCAAAGCAAGATCGACTACATGGAAATTAATCAGTCTCACCTGATTATGCTGCTGCGGGGGCCGAGCAGTGACGTGTTTTCGCGGGAACGGTGTATGATGAGACAGCATCCACCAGGAAGCTCTTAGCTGCGTGATCATCATCGGGCAGCCCGTTGGTGCTAGACTGCTCGAATAGGAGCATAGTCACTACTCACCAGTAAAATATCAGTGGAAAACACATCGGCGAATTCTTTGCCAGCACAGCCGACTATGGCCCTAACTAGTACCAAATGATCAAGATCGCGGCGACGCACAGAGCGAATCGTTCGATTGTGAAAGTTTTGTAACATCATCACCACTCCGTAAAAGCGAACGCGTCGCTACTGTTTGTACATATTTGTCTGCCCGACACAGTAAACGCCGGTCTCAACGAGTCGGGCGCGTTATTCGGAGATGCGGATATTCGCTACCGCACCGGTGTACACTTCTCGTTTCACTGTTGGCACACTTTCCATGTTTTGTATAGGCCAGCTTCCCGGACGACGAGACACTTGCCGGTTTCAATATACCATATTCCCCAGAGGGCCCCCGAGATCGGAGTCCGTCCTCGCCGGCCTTCAAGTTGGCAGTCAGCATGACGAACAGCTGGTGTTGTTTCAAGCGTGGGCTTGTCATACACCTGAACGGGTTTGGGTACCTGGCCATAGCAACGACACGCGTAGCGTCAGCCTTCTCTATCGCTTTGACTTCTGAGCCATCCAGTCGAAAGGACTGACTTTCTTGAAGAAGCCCTAGTCGTGTGCTCTCCGCTCGGGACAATCGGTTCTCCGCATTCATCCGTTTTCCACTGTATGCAGAACGCAGTTAGGACGCTCGCGAGTGAGAGCAGAAGGAGCGTACCCAATCACCGGGTTGTATCGTGCACGAACTGGGCATGCACATATGGCGGGGCAAATAGTCGAAAAGTCGACCCCGATAAACCTCGTCAGGAGACTCTTGCGTGCGGCGCCATATCAGAGTAGAACGCCATGGCAAAGATGCAAAGATGCAGGACACGATGGTCGAGAGCGTCTGTGAAGTCAATAATGCAAGATAACTCTTAACTAGCATTCCCAACACTGAGCTGCTGCATGCAGCGTCCGAGTCCGAATCGTGACCTGTTGAGGCTATTACAGCATTTAAGAAAGCGAAAGGCTTATGCGGAGCCATTGATTCCCAAGTAAGACGGTTTGTAGATCAGGCCAGATCTATCAAGAGAAGGTTTAAATACCGTTCAGGGCCTCGTTTGCTCCTTCGTTGCGGGGAAGTAGGTAGTCTGCCGGACGGGTGGACCATCCCACTATTTTGAGCAGGTTGTAGATGGGTACGTCCGGGTAATGAGATCGTAGAAAGACGGTCAGGCCCTCAAACATCATGGACATGCACTGAAAGAATGATCTTCAGGGTGTTACCATGATTGCTGAAGTACTCAAGATGTAGCTGAAGTCGAGGATGCTATACAAGCGGGTCCTTTGCTACGCGACTCTTGCTGCAGCGCCGAATCAGCGTCGGTACAGTATCGGGCTATTCCGACCTGCATCACGCCGACCGTAGAGTCCAGCTAACCAATATGCCTTCTATTAATGATTGCAAAGTATTCGGGACCACCGGAGAGGTAAATGACGCACTTCATGTGAGGATTCATGCGAGCTAATGGGTTTGAGTCTTAGAGGCTGTAAATATAAAGTTAAACTCGTTGCATGCGTCTCCGGGACGACCACGTCCATCTTTCCTCCATGACCTAACACCGACTCCAGAAAAGGACTTGGAACGTCTTGACCGCGGCGATGCGTGTGGATGAGCAGGCATCTCCCGGCAGACCGACAGCCGGGCGGTTGTACAACATCAACAGGCCCACGGGCTGTCAGCGAGACCAGAAATAAGATCTTCCGAGCGTCATTCAGCCCGAAGCAAACCTTGCTTGTCTCTGACCATACCATGAGGGGTATGTAGTAATCGCCGAGGCACCTGGAATTTATTCTGCCAGTGGGCGCGTTCAGCATGCGACACGTCTTGCAGGTCACAATGACATAATTTTACAGAATTCCAAGGGACCCTGACGACCTTCTGCAGGCATCGCCACCGTTTACCCCGGACGGGGAACCACCACCGATAATCAAAGCGATGCGAGCGGTGCAGCTTCTAAGAGGGCGGACTGACGGGGCCGGCGGGGGAATGTCAAAAGATTGAGTTAGGGGTTGTATAACTTTCAAACTCCGACTTTGGTTTGACAGGCGGAGATAACACTTTACGTCCAAAGTGCGATCTCCGCTTGCTTTTCCACGTAGAAATAATGGGGTCTGGGGTTTCCTATGTCAAGCGCCCTGAGGTTGTAGGGAGGTCGTTTCTTGCGATGCGATCAGTATTGAAAGTGATGCGAACGCGGAGACCGGAGGTATACATTGCTGTCACCTAAAAGTCAACTGTCTTCCGACCTCTCCTCTCGTCCTCCAGGCAGCCCAGTTTCGCCCTGCCACTCTCAGGCTTGGCTAAAACCCCCCTCGACACCCTCCAAGTGTCCACCGCGTCGGCATAGCCACCGCCTCGCGTCTGAGGCACGCCGCGTGAGCACTTTTGTCTTTCTTCACAAACTTCCTAAGCGATACGGGCAGGCGGGGCGCAATGATGATACCACCAGGCCTGCTATCAGGTACAGGCATCGCTAGACGTTGTACTTGGCATTTTGTCCTCCACGAAACTGCTGTACAATAGTCTCGCAGGTCTGGGGACTGGCACAATCTGCAGAGCGGACACCATGCTGGCAAATGATGCCATGGGAATATAGTAGACGTTCAACGGCACGCAGCCAAGCGCCAATCTCATCCGCTGGTGGTGCCTGCATCCGCACCTTTCCGTCGCTCTGGTCTCGTATCAATATGATTCTCGATCGCATGTGCTGATGCTTGGCGTGTTTTGTAGGTCTTTGGACTGGCTGCAATCTCGTCCGGGTTTTCCCCGCCCCGATATCTCGTCGCCTTCCGAGCCTCGGAACTCCGAAACGACTATCACGCTGACGACCTGCTGGGGCCGACAGCACCACACCTATGGCCCGCACACGATCACTTCGCGATGCTTTATTGGTCCTCGTGGGTGCGCTATGCATGCACCTAGCCACAAGCTTCTTTGGCACATTTCAGCCAGAGCTCTTTTCGGGCGATATTATCGTCAATACCCAAGTAAACCACCACGAAGCAGCGCGGGATCAGATCCCGATGCAAGATCCCCACATTGAAATCGCCAGTTCCGCAAAGACAGTGGATACGCCAGCTGTCGACGTTGCATCTGATTTCCCGGAGACAACTATCGAAGCTCATGCACCCGGCTGGACCGTCTTCAAGAACCTCTACATGGCCAACGGAACGCTTTTCATCGTCACGCCACATCCATCCTCGGAATTCCCCGACATCAAGTTCATAACTTCGACTGGCCTGCCTGCCGAGAACACCCCAGAGAACATTGCAGCCCGCATGCCGACGGCCAAGGACATCGACTTCCTCACACCCGCCCAGGCACGTCAACGATGGGGCTCCTCTTTGGACTCCGCCACGCAGCGAAACCGCGTCTACCCCATCGAAGGCAACACCTTCCTGTTCAATGACCCCCAGCAGTTCCTGGACCACTACTACCACTTCTGTGCGGAGCTGCTCGTCGGCGCCTGGGCGATGTGGCAGGGCGTGCACCATGCCAAGGTCGACCCCGCGCACGCGGACATCACGACCGCGCCGCCGGTCACCCGCGCGATCTTCGCGCACGCCGACGCGACCGGCTGGCGCGACCGGCCGGGGTTCAACGCGTACTTCCTGCGCGCCGCCTTCCCGTCGCTCACGGTCGAGGTGCAGGCGGACTGGCAGGACCGCATCGCGGCGAGCGCTGCGGGCGGAGGCGACGGCGCGCACGCACGCGTGTGGCGGCTCGACACGGTGCTGCTCGCGGACCGCTCGGCGGCGTTCCGCGGGGTGGTGTGCGGCACGCAGGTGCACCGCACGGCCGGCGAGGCGTTCCACCACATGCGCAACCTCGGGCAGCTCGCGCGGTGGTGGTGGGAGCCGGTGCGGCGCGCGGTGCTGCGCTTCGCGGACGTCGGTGAGGGCGCGCTCGAGATCGGCGTGCGCATGGCGGCGCAGGCGGAGCGCGGCGCGCCGGTGCCGGGCCCGGACGAGCCCGTCGTCGTCACGTACGTCAACCGGCAGGGCGTGCGCCGGCACCTCGTCGACGAGGACCACGAGCGGCTCGTGCTGGAGCTGCGCCGGCTGTGCGGCGCGCGCGGGTGGGAGTTCGTCGACGCCAAGGCGGAGCTCATGACGAAGGAGGAGCAGCTCGCGCTCGTGTCGCGGACGACCGTCCTGCTCGGCGTGCACGGCAACGGCCTGACGGTGAGTCTTGAGTCTTCTAATCATTGGCTCGTGGGCGCTCCCCTGACGCGGCAGCGCACAGCACCTGATCATGATGTCCCCGACGCCCGTCTCGACCGTCATCGAGCTCTTCTTCCCCGGCGGCTTCGCACACGATTACGAGTGGACGGCGCGCGCGCTGGGGCACAAGCACTTTGCCGTGTGGAACGACACGTGCGTCTCTCTTTTCTTCCCGTCTCGGCGTGCCCCTGCTAACCGTGCGCAGGTACCATACGTACCCGAACCTGCCCTGGGTGGACTATCCCGAGGGCTTCCAGGGCACCCGGATACCCGTCCACGCGCCGACGGTCGCCCAGATCGTCGAGGACCGTATCGCTGGCCGACTCCCATGATAACCCTTTGTCGTCCCATCTTCCCCCTCAGCCGTTTTTATTTACGAGCCAATACCTCTTCTTGCCGATATACCAGTGACGTTCCCGCCTAGCTATGAAAGTTGATCCTTCGTACTTTACGACGCTTCTCTGCCTGGTAACGATAACCACCACGTGGGTGTAGATGCATTTGCTATCTTCTTTTCTGAGGGGCCCTGGCTAGCCTTTGGTGTAGTTGTATTCTTGCATTACTATGACATTCTGGAACTTCCTAATATCCGTCGCTGTGCGTGATGGCGCTCAAGTGGTTCCCGGCGCGTGGTAGCAGAAGATGGGGGGAACCTCAGTAACCTCTCGCCTGCAAATGAACGGGCTAAGCGTGTGGTGAGTCCTGCACTCCGAGTACTAGTCTAGCTTCGCCTATCGTACTCACCAGTTCTTGTACAGGTCTTGACCTGATTCGACTCGGAGCTGGGGGTGGATTTTGTCGCAGTGCGTTGCCGAAGTCGCTGGCGAGCATCGAGCTTCTCACAGTGTGTTAAAATATGTGGAAAGCTGAGTCGTCAATTAATGTGCTTGGGAATCGAGTCTGCGCACGGGTCATCCGCCTTGTCAGACGCCGTAGTCGCATCAGGTCGCGGACTGCCTCTCGACTGCTGGGCGGCTGTGTGGCAGTTTAGCATGAAAACTTTTGGCACTCTCGCATGCATCAGCTAGTGCGGCCAGGAAATTTAAGAACATAATCAATATGTCTTTGCTTTGCGGGTGTCGTTGACGCCAACTTGAAGGCCGTACTACGGGGTGACGTCTTCATAACCTACCAGTGCAGCCTACCGTAACTTTCGGAAGGGGCGATAAGCCTATGGTTCTCGAAGTCTGGCAGGTTTCCACTTCTCGCCTCGCCGCATCAGCGTTTCCACTTATCACACACACTGCCTTAGACTAGCCTAATATGTCAGAAAAAATAACTGGACGCTAGCGCTCAACTGCTCTCGCCAAGTTCTCAAGAGAGATTATCTAGCCGCCCGGCGATCTCAGGAGCAATCATGAGTGCGTGCTGACTGATAAGTAACTTGGTAAGCTATTCTACTAACAGTAGTAAGGAAACAGTGTAATCCATTTTCTTATGTCGCTTGCGTTACTTACTTCGAGCGTCTCCTGACCAATCTCAGGCGACATCACGAACTATTTCCCTCTTCTCATGATGACCCTAGGTGTTCTCAAGCTTCTCAAGCCTCATGAGTAATCTAGATGCTACAAGATAATTAATTATTTTTTCTGACAATTTATTATGCATGAGACCTCGAGAGGGTAGCTTCTCTCGACTCTGAACCACGACCATACTTTCTGCCGCTCTCAAGTGAGTGTATTTGGTCCATACCTTGACTTTGTCAACTGGCTAATTTACATCTTTAGAAGACGCTTGCACTCGCATCTTCGTCAAGCGAACGTGTCATCGGCAAGTCGCCCTTAGTAATTGTAAGAACATCTCTTATGTGGGAGTGCATGCTAGCTAACGCAAATGGATTCTCCCGACGTACCAGCCTTGATCCATCTCCGTCCCACCTACCGTGCTTTGTTTTCCTCGGCGGTATCTACCCTCGCTTCGCCATGCTTCAGGATCCTGCCGTCGAGCTTCCTGAAGAGCTATTCCTCAATGTCTTGTCCTATTTCGTCCTCCAAAACCCTCGGTCTACTTCGTCGAGGTTGATTGTGCACGCAAGCAAGCGGGAGCTGGCGGAGTTGTGTCTGGTGGCTCGCTACTGGGCCAAGATAATCCGCCCACTCCTGTTCCACGACATCTACATCCGCAGCAGAGCATCCCTCGATCGCTACTTCGCGTTCACAGAATCACCAGTCCGGCTTGAACCCCGCCTGGAGGCATGCCTGCGGAAAACAACCGTGGAATTTACAGGCCCTTGGTCGGGCTATTGGGCATGCCTCAGTTGGAGAAATTCGCCCATTGCGCTCAGCATGCCCGGAACAGCGGTCTTCGTATTGCGAGAAGGATACGTTCCCGACATACTGTCCAGTCCCAGATCGAAAGCTGGCTACGCGCCCCGATCGTGGTGGATAGGGCTTCCGCGTTCCCTCCCGTTCGGCACCGTCCGGTTCTCCGAACTCAAGCTCGTGGACGTACGCTTCAAGCACGTCGCCGACCTCCTTTCTCTCGCCAATGATGTCCAAGGTTTGCGAACCCTGGACTGCAGGAAGGTCAAGTTTGACGACCTGCGGCTCCCCGGGGCGCCCGTACCTACCAGGAGGCGCCCCGCGCGGAACGGGAACCGAGCATACGAGATCATCTTGTCTGATTGCGGTTCGGACAACTCGGAGGTGCAGGCGCTTCTGTCCCTTGTGGGCTCTAGTTCGCGGCACGGTGCTCCAGGATACGTTCTGGATGCACAGACCTGGAATCGACTGCACGATTTGGTTCGGTGGATGATTCTTCGGCCAAAGCGCAATCGCTACACGATCTCGTACCGGTTCCATCAGGCTTTTCCACGCAAGGGTTCCGGGTGCATCTGCGCGGCGACTGTGAGCGTATGTGTGCAACCCATTTCGGCGCACCTTGGCGTCAGGCTCCTATACAGCTGCCCCTCCCACGACGTCCGCGACGCGCTTGCTGGGAGCGGAACGGCCGTTCACTGGAGTGTTCTCATGTTAGAACAATCGATAGTTCAATCAAGAGACGACTTGCGGCCGCCGACAGCTATGCTCGAGTTCTTCGCAGAACTAGATCGGCGAGCCTTCGAGCGACACGTCAATGCTGTACGATTGTACCAGCCCATGGAGGTCAAACTCTACAGCACGCCGACGATACTCATACTACCCACCATACAGCAGCGCGTCAGGGTGCGGGTTGTCAGAGGTGTCGTAGCAAACGAAGCGCCACTGGTACAAAGCGGTGAAGATAAATATTCGGACTGTCTTGTCCTGGACGTCCACGCTGTCGACGGGTTGTCGACAGTGCCAAATTTCCGTGATGTCGGGCAAACTTGGAAGTATATCGATGTCACTGGCGATCGCACCTCGGTCCCCATCCTGCGCTACGAGATCTCACGTAACTGGCTTTCCCGCACATTGATGTCGTGCATCCATGAGGTGCGACTACTCGCAGGAGGCAGTGCTTGAAAAGACGAGACTCGGCATCCTTGCAAGCCACCGCACAAGAGCTTGAGCCCCTCACCATCAGCCACGATTAGCCTTGACGTGATGGTAAGTCTGAGTAGCTATCACATCAGACCTCTGGTTAAAGGGTGTTCAGATACGACCGTCTGGATCAACTTCTCGTCTCTGGGCGCACAGGCCGGCCATATAGGTATCGCAAAGCTTCAGTATGGGAATGACCGGGACCGCCCTAAAGTCGGCGCGCCGCTTGGTGCGAGCAGGAGCGAAGGTGAACGACTGAGGCAGTCGCCGGCGTCGGAAGACGAGAACAAGAGCATATGAACGGGGCCGGTACGTAGCCGATCTGAAGGTTCCAGTGCAGGCTCGCCAATGTCTCAAGCTGCGAAATCCGCGAACTCGAGGCGCTAAACGGTGGCACGGGATTGGATCTGCCTGGTTAAAATTAGAGGCGACGAATGGGCAGTAGAGCTGAGATACTGAGCACATAAGGAGCCAGTGTCATGGTAGGGGACGGGACTTTGTGACGAGCGCCCGAGGCCAACCTTCCGACTGTTAAGGCTCGCTCGTCACAACACCTTAGGGTCGGCTTCTCATACAATGGGATACCAGTATAGGTGGCTACGAGATCTGCCTGACAGAGTCTTGAAGTTCAGAATTTTGAGGTTTTGCAGCGACCGGTTACTTTTGGCCCCACGTCTTGAAGCGGCAGGTGCTGAAGACAGCGGAGGTCTACCCTCGTTTTTAGTTTCGTTGGGATGCAGGGGAAAGTATTCCGGGCGTATGAAAAAGGCCGATTGATGCTCTTTGGAGCGAGTATTTAAGGCATATGGAACCGTTAACGAAGGGCAAATTTGGCCGCTTTCTAGGGTTAGCGTTAGAGTTTTGTGCGTCGAGATTTGGACTTAACTTACATGAAGTAGCCGCGTATGTGCATGAACGACGCTGCTCCCTACTGCCCTGGTATGAATGGACATGGTATGACCTGACATTTTACACTGGCTGATTTGTGCCTGCAGGAGATTCATAGTGCTTGTAGTCGCTGTTGAACGATCGCGTCACCGGCGCACATGCCGCTGTAACCCAGGGCCACACAGACCAGCTCCTCCGGCAGCCCATCCTACATTGATACAGCATCTCTAGTTTCCAACCTGTTCTCGGTGAGATAAACTCTCACTTCGTCATGCGTCTGGATCCTGCCGCCGAGCTCCCTGAAGAGCTATTCCTCAGCATCCTGTCAAAATTTGGGATCGTTATTCCTAACCCCACACAGTATTTCAGACTTATTCAAGCCCTTTTCATCTCTCAATCCGCTCAGTCCATTACTCCCGTGCAGACCCTTGATGCCCATGAGCGGACACTGCTATCTGTCCCGCTCTCGCAGGCAAATAAGCAAGAGCTAGCGCAGCTGTGCCTAGTGTGCCGCTATTGGGCCAAGATAATTCGTCCGCTCCTGTTTCACAGCGTTCACATTCGCAGCCAAGCATACCTCGATCACTACTTCGCTTTAGTAGGATCTTCCGTCCAACTCGAGCCCTCTCTGAAGGCGTGTTTGCGGAAAATATCAGTAGAGTTCAGAGGACCGTGGTCGGGCTACTGGGTACGTCTCGGTTCGGAAGAATCGCCTACTGCCCCTAGTATTTCCGCAACAGCTGTCGCCATATTACAGCGAGGGCACATTCCCGACCGCTCCTCCAGCCCGAGATCAAAAGCGGGTTACGCTCCCCAGTCGTGGTCGATAGGACTTCCTCGTTCCCTCCCGTTCGGTACCGTTCGATTTTCTGAGCTTCGGCTCGTCGACTTGCGCTTTAGACGCGTCGAGGACCTTCTTTCCCTTGCCAACGAAGTCCAGGGTTTGCGAACCTTGCATTGCGGGGATGTTAAGTTTGACCACCTGCGGCTTCCCGAGTCACCTGTACCTGCTAGGAGACGTCGTCAGCCTGAACAGAGCGGGAAAATAGACCAGGAATACGAGATCAACGTCTCTGGTTGTGGCTCAGACGACTTAAGCGTGCAGGTGCTTATGTCCCTTGTCGGCTGTAGTGCTCGGCATGGAGCTCCAGGATACGTTCTGGATGCACCGACCTGGGACCGACTCCACGACCTTGCTCGGTGGATAATCCTGCGCCGAGGACGCTACACGATCTTATATCGCTTTCATCAGGCTTTGTCACGCGCACGTCCTGGATACATCTGCGCGGCGACCGTGAGCGTCACGGACGCACAGATTCCCCCCATATTCACCACGCCGCGCCCCAGCGTCACGCTCCTATACAATTGCCCCTCTTACGACGTCCGCGATGCACCTGCCGGGAGTGGGTCGACCGTTTTCTGGAGCCTTCTCGCATCAGAAAAGTGTTCGTCACCAAAATAACACTTCCGGCCGCCAACAGCTCTGCTCGAGTTCTTCACAGGACTAGACCGGTGGACCTTCGAGCGACATGTCAATGCTCTACGATTATATCAACCTATGGAGGTCAAGCTCTACAGCTGCGCCTCGATGACACACTCTACGCATGTGCGAGTTGTTAGAGGTGTCCTACCAATCGGGACACCACCGGTACGAAGTGGCGAAGATGAATCTTCTTCTAAACGTCTTATCCTTGACGCGCGTGTAGTCGATGGGATGCTGTCAACGCCAGACTTCTGTGATGTCGAGCCAGCCCCGAAGCACATCGGTACCGTCGGCGATGACACCGCCGTCCCGATTCTGCGCTACGAGGTCTCGCATGAATGGCTCACCCGCCCGCTGAGACTGCACATCCAGGAAGTGCCAAAGCCTGTAGAAGATGGCGATCCGGAATGAGACGAGGCTGACATGGCTGTCGATCGTGAAATAGAGGATAGCTATCGGACCCATCTTGAGCCGGACGTATGTGCATGCTACGCCCAATGAGGGTAGACCCATTATTTTGCTCTGACAGTGATGGACCAGTCTCACCTTTGTGGCGTCGATGAGCACTGCATCACTCATCGGCAAATAGAGATGTAAGAAGCGCAGCATCGGGGTATTCATGCAGCCGGTAAAAGAAAAAAGAAAAAAGAAAAAGAAAAGAACTATATGTGTGGATCATGTGGCGAAGGATATGCAGAGATATATCCAAGAAGATACAGATAAAGCGACAAAAAGGTGCACATATCCAAGATGCTAGAGATGTGGGAGTGTAGAATACGAGTGGGCTGTGCGAGGAATATGGGAAAAGATGGAAAACGAGTCCTACGGCTCCCCAGCAAAGAAGCCGAGCAGCCCACCAGGACCGTCCGAGTCATCCGAGACAGCTCCGAGGCTCTCCACGTCCGAATACACTTCTCTTCCCCGGGACTTGCGCCGGATCTTGTGCAGCTCGTCCCAGAACAGCGTCGGGCCCTGCTCGCCCTTCCGCAAGAATTGCCGGATGTGCCGCAGCCACTCCTTGACGAGCCGGAACTTCGCCTCCCCGAGCGCCGCCTCCCCGCCCGTGCCGCCCGCCGCCCCGGTCGCGAACGGCGGGAGCCGCTCCTGGTACGCCAGCAGCGCGACCTGCGCGATCCAGTAGAACGGCAGCGCGTCGTGCAGGAACCGCGGCTCCTCCACGTCCGAGTACTGCGGCGTCTCGGGCGAGCTCCACCAGCTCTTGAGCCACGTGTGCAGCATGTACTGGATCGACAGGCTCTCCGGCGTCGGCTCGTCGTCCACGCCCGTCGGGCGCTCGATGCACTCCTCGAAGAGCTTGCGGAGGATGGCGTGCGAGAGGATGAAGTGCGCGAGGGGCGTGACGAGCAGCGGCTTGCTGGAGTCGTCCTCGCTCGGGTCGGCGAGAAGCGTGAGGGCCTCTTGCAGACCGTAGGGACGGAAACGCCGCTCCTGAGAGCCATATTCGGATGGCCGCTGCAGCAGAGCGTACCACTCCCCCGGTGAATTTGCCCGCCAGAGCCCATCTTCGCACGGTAGTGGCACAGTGACTTCCTCGCGAGCGAAGAACGGGCGCTGGGTAAAGTAGATGCAATGGCAAGTGTCGTGGAGGTATGTGAGAAGAAGGGCACTGTGAAGGATATGAGCTTCAAAGTCCAGCAATGACACAGAAACGCGAATACTTGCCGTTTGGTAGTCTCGTGGAATGCCCATTCTCGCCAGGCAGTGTCCATGTTGATGCTCTCGGTGACCACAGGCGGCTGCCAGCTTGTGACCTTCTGGATCAGCCCAGACTGCCGTATCATCTTGACAAGCAAGCATCAGCGTCGCTCGCATATTTGCAAATGACTGTTTCCATACCGAAACCAGCATCGGATGATAGATGTTCGATTGCATCCTCTGTTCCGGCCGTTGATGGAAGAGCCCTATGGTCTGAAGCAGGACGACGGCGAGGACAAGGTGCATCTGCTCGGCCGTGGTCGTTGATTTCTTGGCCTGATCAAAAGTTGAGACGAGAGCGGCGACACTGAGAATGGAAGAACACTTACGAATTCCTGCAAAAGCTGTTCGCGCGCGTTCTTGAGTGTGTGGTCGATGAACTGAGACGCGGCCGCCGTCTTGACGTACAACGCTCCACATGCCTGCATCGCAGAGAGAAGTACCGGCGGCTTGCCCTCGATCGTGAACGTAGCAATGTGCATGACGGGCATCTGGTACAGGAACATCTGGTAGAATAGGTGCACTGCAAGCAGACGCAGTTCAGTACCAAAACGACAGCTGTTTCGCAACCGATGTGACGTACTGTACTGCTGTAGCTCCGAAGGATACGGTGCTGCGCCAGTGGAAGTCGAGACTGGGGGTTGAGGCCGAGGCTGAGGTAGGGCTTGAGGCTGAGGATGCTGCACGTCTAATGGGTATGGCGGATACGAGGTTGGCCCTGGCACCGTGCACAGCTGGTTGAGGAACTCTTCGTCCATGTCTGGAGGCACGGAACCCATGAATGGCTGCGGCTCTGGCAAAGGTTCCGTGGCGAAAGGGAACTGGCTGCTGTTGTCGAAGGAAGATGCGTACGGGTCTATTGGAGACGCGAACGACGGCTGTGCGCTCGACTTGCTCTCATCGAGGTAGTCGTGGAAGAACTTGTCGAAGAGCTCGGTCGAGAACAGTGCATTGAGCTCGTTGTTGACTTTGTTGGCCTCTTGTGCAAACGACCCGCTGCCCATCGCGGGGTACGAAATCGGGTACGCGCTTGTGCTTTCGGAGTAGCCGCTCACCGAAGGCGCATGCGACGTGGAGGCGTACGACGAGCCGTAATACGACGATGTGCCGCCATTGTGGTAATCTCGGAAATCTTGCCAGGTACTAGCGGGAGGTATCCTCGGTTCTTCTGGGATAGATTCGAAGGAGGGTGCCGCAGAAGGACCAGCGAGCTCGGGCGCGGAGAACGAGCTAACGAATACGCCGTGCCGGACCTCTGGCACTGCAAATGGGGGAGGCGTCAGTTCGCTTTGCGGCCTGAAACTTTCCTTGTCTCGTTGGACCTCTGGTGAGCTCTCGGGGCTAGCGGAAGAACCCGGGTTCGGCGACGACGACGCCTCTTTCTCGGACTTCACAGACGGCTTGCGGAGGTAGGTGCACTCACATCCTCGCGCTCTGCACCTGCCACAGGGCTGCTGCAGGTCGCACTTTGTCTTGCCGTCGGCGCACGCCTGGCACGACTTTCGTCGGGACCGATTAGCGATGGCCCTGCGGTATCAAATAGGTTAGATGGGACAGGCTGCGCGTGAATTCCGCACGCACGGGTCACCGCAGCTCCGTTTGTGGCGCGTCAGAAGATCACTGCGAGTGAATTCCCTGCTGCATCTCTGGGAGCGAAAACTATGAGGATGAGAGGATGAGCCGGTAGATAAGGCACCCACATCACACTTGTGAGAGCGCGAGTTGGAGTCTAACGGCTGTCAGCGACAGACTGCAGGGAAGCGAGGGCCAGAGACTGGTCTCTGATGACTTACGGGTTCGGAGATGACGATGGAGATGCGTGGGCCGCGTAAACTTCGCTGGACAGAGGTGGCACGGGTGGCTTTGTGGGATGGTAGGCTTGTTGCCTCGATGAGAACGCATTCTCGAGATGGTTCCCTGTTTGGTGAGCTCAACCAACTCGCCATTGATGGTCTCGAAAGTCGCTGGCGCTTTGCCGTTGCGGCTCGAACTAGGAGCCCTGCTCCTGTTGGAAGACATCGCTACAAGGACGGGGCGACGTTGGTGTCAAACAACGACGAGGATGGGAGAGGAGAGAGGAGAATCGTGGAAAGGAGACAAGGTGCACCTGCTGAATCGGTGCTTCGAAGCTGTAAAGATTCCCTCGAGGTTAGCCTTTGATCAGAGGCTGACGCCGCCCATTGCGCGGACGTATTTGCCCCAAGGCTGTCAGCCTCTCAAGCGAATTGAGATTTGGACGCCGGCGGGAGACCAGCAAGCATCTCCGTGTCCGCAGCAGCCAACAGCTTAGTCAACGACGGGCAGTGGCCCTCTAGCTCTAGCACTCGTCCGCGCCAAGATTAGGTGTTTAGCAGCATAGCATGGCAGATCGACACGTCGAAAACAGATTAGGTTGGTACGGCGATCATCATAGGAACACAATCAATGCTTCAGATGCCCTCACTGAGACCGACATCGTCCCTCCGCTGACCGTCACACTCTCCATCGTCTGTGCGCCGCTCCGAGCACAGGTACCCGCGAACGACGCGCTCCCTCCGATGGTGACCCCAGACGTCGAGGTCGCATCTGGCGCTGTCATCCTCTTGGCAAGCTTAGTGCCATCCGTCGAGCCGGCGCCGCTCAGGGTAACCACAGACGTCGCCGGGGTGCCCGTGCCTGAGTAATAGTCAGTATTGATGATTAGCAACCGCACTGGGCTGTTCGACGCGTTGAACGCCGCGTAGACGCCAATCGCACCCGTCCCGTCGTCCAGCATGGCGGCCTTGACTCCATTGCTCCCGAGGAACTCGGAAACAAATGCCGCGCCGTAGTATGGAGCGAACACGGAACTCTGTCCCCAAAAACAATACGCCTGATAGTCCCCGGACGATCGTCGTCGTCAGCACACGGACCAACACAGCATACCAAGTGGAGCACACTCACGCAGTCCGATATAGTACCCTGATGGAAGTAAAGCCGATCCACGCCGTTCAGTGCGCCTTGGAGCACATAATCCACGATCCACAGCGCAGCGCCGAAAGTCTGCACAACCCACATCTCAGGGACAATTTTAAGCTTGGAATGGAAGATCACCTACAGGGCTGATGCCGCCGCCACCGCATGTCGCTGGCGGGGACACCCTGACAAATTAGCATTGCAGGCACGCAAAATGAGAGATTCACTTGCCTGAGTTCGTCTCGCCTAGGAAATACTTGATGCTCGCTGCATGCGCTTGGGCAGCCTCCGTCCGATATTGCCGCGTATACGACACTATACCCCTAGAGGCAGCTCGTTGAAAACGCGTTTACGCCACCGTGAGGGCACCCACGAGTGATTCATAAGACTAGGCAGATTTGTCGAGGCACCGCCGCACGCAGACTGCGGGTATGAATGCCGCGAGAGTGATTTGAGCAACGCCGCGCCGTCCGAGCCAATGAGAGTCAGGGTCTCTCCCGCGCTCCATGACAGGGTCACTGCGCCTTGGAAAATATTTCCCACCTGCTGCATATCAGACTTCTGCCGTATGGCCATTGCAAATTTCGTGGACTTACCGAGCGCGAGAACGTCTCGAACCACGATTTCTCGCTCGCCGCGTCCACGTTTTGGTTCCATCCCTGGCCGCCGTCGACGATAATTGGAGAGTTGCTAGCGTAAACTGCCCGAAATGAGCTCGGACGACGGGAATGAGGAGCAAGTGATTACGCACACTCCGGCTCGTTGCCCAGCTCGACAGCAAACAGGTTCGGCATTGTCTCTTTCGCGAGGGCCGCTGCAGCCAAACTGGCAGATTGATTGTCAAGCTGCCGGTTCAAGCCCAGGGTGACCTCGCCCTTGAGCTGCGCGGCGAGTGCCATGAATGGCGGGCCAAACGTGAGCGAATCGGGTGCGTCCGCTGGCGACGCCACGGTGTAGTTCACGGCCTCGTCAAGGTCTGCATAGAACGTCGCGCGGTCTCTGCCCGAAGAAGACTGTTGTCAGTTTTTTAAAAAGGGGCTGAAGGAGAGCGACAGAGCGCACTGGGTGGTCCCACCAATGCGTATGGCGGGCTGTGCACCGCGCAGCGTCGCAAGGTTCGCGAGGCAGTTGGACGTCGCCGCGAGCGTGGTGTACCCCGGGAAGGCGAAGAATTCGAGGGACACGCTCAACAGCGACGGGTCGACGAGCGCTGCAGACAGCGGGGCGCTCGATGGAACTGCGATCGCACGACAGAGCGGGACGAGCAGGCTGCCCCAGAGCAGCCTCAGGACGTGTCTTCTGCCGGCCATAGCTCGGATGCACATACGCCAGAGCTGCACACACTAAGCCCCGCTGCGTGCTTTTATCGCTGCATGACTCTTGGCTTTGCGATCGCTGGCAGAAGCGAAGTGGAGGCGTGCCGTCTCCAGGGGTCCACATGCGCGTACATCCAGAGGCTCATGCACTTATGGTGCCGGCATTTGGCCGTGAATAGGTAAGGTGAGTGAGCTCAAGAAGCGACGGTGATACTCCGGCTGCAGCTGCACATGCTGGAAGCATCGGTAAAGTAGGATGCAGCACCAGGGACAGGACCAGATGACTACGCGAAGCGGGGCGTGTGTCGCTCACAGGGCCGGTCAAGTACGCTCGCGGACCGCGGCAAGCCCTCAGTATATCGCATAGCTTGATGCAGTAATCACCACAGGCAAGAGTCAATTGATATAACATCTGGAGCTACCTATTCATAGCAACCTTCAGCTGATCGGACTGAACGATAACGAGTGCTTACCCAGACCATTCCCCAACCTGAGCTATAACTATTCGTACCAGTGCAAAGCCTCCATACTTGAAAAGAAGTGCAGTTTAAGCAAGTCGCATGTGCTGCGACGCGTTCGTACATGGCGGTCGGGGCCGAAGTCAGACACGCCTGGCGCTCCCACGAAATCCTCATCACCATCATCGCGGGTTGACCACCCTTGATACTGAACACAGCTTCACAGCGGCGGGGACGATGGATTCTCTTGCTACAACACCGGACAGAAAAATACACATGTAGAACTACAGACTTGTGTTTGCGACAGAAAAATGCCTGGGAATGCGAATGGTGGGAGTCACAAATAAGTACAAGAAATCTTACAGAACCCGGAATCCTATAAAAATAACCATACAGACACGGAAGTCAGAGAAAGAAAGGAAGACAGAACAGGCGGGATGATAACCCATAGAACGAACGGTGATGGTCGGCGTCGGACCAGTGTCGACGCCGGCGGGGTACAAGAAAGACAGAACAGTCAGGCAGGGCTGAGCACAGAAACAAACAGCATTGATACACAAGAAGGGACGAAGGAGACACGGGGTTGGGTGACGTCCGCAGGGCGCCGTGAGATGGTGTTCTCGAGATAAATTACTGAAAGAGTGAGGATGTGGTCGATGCTTGTACAAAAGGCCAGAGATCAGGCGCGACCTGTGAGAGACTGGACAAGCGTCCGCAGGCCAAATCTATGCTGGCGTTGGCTGCGCGCGTACGAGGGTGACTCCTTCCAGGTGTCGCCGCCAGATGAAAAGCCCATCTTGGTGAGCTTCTGTGCGCGAGCAGCCTGGCGTTCCTGCTTCGTGAGCAGCTCGGTGCGGGGTATGATCGTGTCCTCGGCAGGACAAGTTGGGTATCGAGTGAGCGGCGTGCCAAAGCCCGCCGGCGCGGTAGTCATCCTCCGGGAGCTATCCGGGTCGGGAGTGCGGGAGCGCGAGACGTAGGTCTGACTGGGAGGAAGCGAGTCGGATCGCGCCTGTCTGTAGGACGACGGGAAGCTGGAGGAACTGCCGATGCCAGGCACCGAGAGCAGTTTGCCGTTGCGATCTGGATCTGAAACAGACAAGAGGTTGACTTTGGATGATTGTGGCGACAGGAATCTGTTAGCAGACTCTGGGTGTGCTGTACGACAATCAATCAGTACATGTGAAGCGCATATCAGATAGAGGAATAAGTACACTCACGTTCTCCATCAGCAGTGTGCGGCCTCCTCACTTTACCCATCGGGTCGCTATGCGCCCGCTCCTGCAGGCTGAGCTTCCTCTGTACGCCCGGTACCTCGCTTGCAAAGATCTGCTCGGATATCGGCTCCATGATGAGGCTGCGCCGCTTCTTCTTCTCTTCTTCCTCCTTGAACTTTCTCTCTATAGCCAAGCTTTCGCCGAGCGCCGCGAGCTTCGCAGACAGCGGCGTGCGACCGTCGCCAAGGTTGATGCCCAGTGACTTGACCTCCTCTTCGTCGGACGACTCGCTGCCTGCTAGTATACGTCGCTGTGTATGCTGGACGAGGGCTTCGGCTTGTGCATGGGAAGAGATTGAGCGGATGTCGATATCGAGGGGACCCCGGACACGCCTCGTGGGCGAGATGGGCACTACGGAGACCACGGCCAAGTCCTTTTTCTCAGCCATGGCTTCACCCGGAGAAGGCAAGTCTGTCTGGCCCACAGAGGGCGAGACCACGTACGGCGTGGGTAGATTCGACTGCTGCAAGGCCGGCGTGGGGACACTGCTGCTCGGGTATCCGCTGCTATCGGTGATCATGCTGCTCATCGAGTTCCCACGGACACGGCTGTCGAGACTGGCTCTATGAGACCGAAGCGCGGAGATCTCGTCCTCCTCCTCGGGTGGCGGGTAGTGAATGCTGAAGGGGCATTCGAACGGATGGTTGACGGTGTCCTGGGAGTCAAGGTCAGAGGCCCGCGACTCGATAGACATCCGCCTGGACTTCTTCACGTTCAGATCGTGGAGGAGCATGTTCAGCTCGTTCATGCCGACCTGCGGCTCGACAGGCCCTCCGTACTCCTCCTCCTCTTCCTCCTCGATGTAGCCATCAGCGCCGGCAGGCGAAGGCGAACTCATGTGCTCCGGCTCGTGCTCGAAGCGCATGCCCCATGGGGAATCAGGACTATGCGAGCGCACCGAGTTGAAGCTGCCTCGTCCCCTTGTGCGACTGTGACTGCGACTCTCGGCCCGGGCAGCGCGAGCGCGCGATTCCGGCCGCCGCGTGCCCGACACCGCACCAGGTGAGTTCGGATCGAATCGCAAAGCTCTCACGGACGGTGGGCCGGACCCGCCACGGCTTGCATCACCAGGGGCAGACTGTCCTGAGGACGAAGAACGGCCGTGTGTAGCACGTAAGATGCCAGGACGAGCCGACGGACTGGCCTTCTCGAGGGTGTCGTTGACGAGGGCGGCGCTGCGAAGGCTACTGCGAGACGCAGCCTTTCGTGGCTCTGGGATCGACAGTGCTGAGGGAGAAGAACCCCCGAGCATGAGCGAGTGCAGCTGATTGCCAGCGGGAGGGCCGGGTATAGAGGTATCAGTAGGTGATGATGCAAGAATATCGCTCGAACGGCTGGCTAGGGCCGAAAGAGCTAGCGCGGAAGGAGCAGAGGGGGACTGCGATGCTGATGTGACAGCAGAACTCGATGGCGAGTTGCTATCCGGTGTGCCTTCGTTGCCCCTCTTGAATATGTTGAGTAGCGAGATCTTGCCTTTGACGCGCTGTCCGGCACATTGATCTGTATCAGAACCTGCAGATCTCGGTCGTTGTGAGCTGGTACCCGAAAGGTTAGACGGTCGCCTGCTGCGGTGAGGGGTTGTGACGCCATGGGGAACCTCGAGCACCTGGGGTAGAGAGGGCCGACGAGGGGGGAGCTCATCTATCGCGTTATCTGAGACAGGATAGAATGTATACTCCCCTAATGGCCGATCTGCAGGGGACGGTGGTTGTATGGAGTTCGTAGCGGATAGAGAGCCCGCAGACGGAGGGGGTGTGTTCGCGGCAGACTGGCTGGACGACGTGTGACGCAACATGTGAAAGGCGTTATCAATCGAGCGTTTAACTCGTATCCTCTTCCTAGTGGCGCACTCGAAGCAGTCTAACCGTCCACAGTAGTTATGAGTCTTCTCTTCCTTGGAGATATGGTCTTCGGACGGATGCGGCGTCAGGACCTCTCGCTCTCTGAGATCCCGATCTCTGTTTTGAGCCCATTGTTGAAGTACATCTGCGCAATCGGTGTGGCCGTTCTGACGCGCAATCATTTCAGGCGTCATGCCGTGTTTGTCCGTCCGGTCAGGGTGGGCACCGTGCAGCAGCAGGGTGAAGATGACCGTCATGTGGCCATGCATGCAAGCAAAGTGGAGGGAAGTAGAGCCGGAGGCGCCAGTGGTAACAGGTGGTGGTGCGCTGCCGCGATGCCTGTCAGTAGAGTATCGACGAGGCAGTCTGTTGGGGCCATGAGTGACATGTTGAATGAAAGAATCGTTGGCGCGTGCCTACCTCGGAGCGTTGACATCCGCACCATACTCGATCAGAAGCGTCACGACCTGATCGCTCCCCCCGAACGAGGCTGCGTGCAGCGGCAGGACGCCGTCAAGGGCAGAGTTGACGGGCTGGCCGTGATCCAGCGCATACTTGGCTAGACCGAGGTTGCCGGACGCCGCTGCTGTATGCAGGCCAAGGTTTGGGTCTACGGGAATCAATAAATACTGCTCGGCATGCAGATAGCGGGGACACTTACAGTCAAAGACTACGTTATACTTCGCCTCGGCTCTCTGTGTTCTCGATGTTCCGGGCATGAGTAGAAGTTGCAAGGATCACAAGTTCAGCGATAGGCTGAATGGGATAACATATACCAGGTGAACAGCCTGTCGGCCAGGTGGTGGAATCCCCAATGCAATGAAGGCTGAGGTCGGTGAAGTCGGAGGGATGACAGCTCCGCTGCTAGTTCCTGTTCAGGTCCAGAAAGTGTCAAAGCAGGCTAGAGAGCGCTGCGGTTGTCGCCGACCGCGAGGCGACAAGATATCGGTGGTCCGTGATGAACAGCGGCGACGCTGAACTCGTTGTGAGGGACGTTGTGGACGTCAGAAGCAAGAGCCTCCACAACGAGGACAGAGGTGGACGAAAGGGAAGCGGAGAGCCCACGGCGGCTAGAGCGATCTCGAGTTCGGCAAACACCGGCGATGCCCAATCTAATCATACCGCTTTGACCCCGGCTCTTGCACTCTTGTCCTCCTCCTCTCCAACGTAAATTTCGCGGCAGTCTCGTTTACCCAACGCCCTGCAGGCTGCGCTGGCAGTGCTTGACCAATCCACAACAATATCCACGTATTTTTGTCTTGTTCCCTTCATCCATCTAAGGCCAACGCGCAAGGCTGTGTGCAATTAGCGTTCAATGATACGGTCTGTTCAGCCGATGCCTTTTTGTCTAGGACAACTCTCCAATGGTGCCGCATGGGTGATACGGCAACAGAGCGTTGCGCCGTCCCTTTCGCAGCCCCTTCCGCCCTCTTCGGATGCGATGCTTCTGGCTACAGAGCGTGTCTCCCCTAACAATACCAGCCCCGTGCGCGAGTACCGACCCCTTACTCCCGCATTGCTCCCACTGGGCTGTCATCGAGAACCTTGTAACGCTCTATGGTCATGTCTGGGTGACGTTCGTCACAACGGCCAGCGAGCGCAGGTGTCCTCAGCGAACATGTGGTTGCAACGTGGTCCTTTTCCTGGTCAGTGCAACTTCCCTCAATCAACCCTCCAGCGTCCGTATGCCCTGCCTCCGAGTTATATCGGTCTCGGCACCTAGAAGCTACCGATCCTCCGGGCGACATCGAGGCTCCTCCTATCTTAACTGGCCTCGTGCTTAGTGCACTGGGAGCAGACCCGTCTCCTGAACACGGGTGATATTCGATATCACGAGTCCAGATCAAGAATCCCCTTCTGCTTCTCTTCAGATCCTAGTTCCTATGTTTCTATGGTTGCGAGCCGTGGATTGCGATGACCGCTACCCTGGGTCCGCTGAACCCGCGCGCCGGTCGCAGGCTCGATGCAAGCCTCGCCATCTCATGGGAGCCACTCTCGTTCGCATGGCTTTTGGCAGGAGAAGCTTTGCCCTGGTGACAAGTGGATAGCCCTCATCGAGACATCTATGGGGTGAACACATGCATCAGGCTACCTTGGTCCGTGGCAGTTGCCCATCGTCTCCGTGCACAGCTGACGAGATGTATGAGCAGCGCCTGCGATGGGACCTCCCGAGAGGCTGTGTGGTCTGATTGTTCTTCGCACTTGCCTGAAGTAGGCATTTGTGCTCCAACTTGATGGATTAGGTAAGCATCGCTGCTTTTTCTTTTGCGGTGGAGTTTCCCTTTGTGAAGAACCCACTCAACCCGTCTCTGGCAAGAATTAGCGAACAGGCTACGTGTTGACACAAGCTACCAGGAGTGCCCAGATCTGGCGGGCGTGGCGTGGAAACATTTCTTGCGCGTCTGTAAGCACCATGACAGACGTACAGGCTGCGTACACCTCCAAAGAGCCCAGCGAGTAGCGGTCGATGTGGCCAAGGTTTTCTGGAGCCAGCAACGAGCTGCGGACGCGGTAGACGTCAAAGATTGCAACCAACCGTCCAATAAACTACGGTACAATAGACGCCGTTGTTGGATCAGGACCGGGATAATGGCCGTACTCGTGATGTCTGCAGCTTCGCCTTGAAGCTGTCCTCGGGGATCAAATACTCCGAGCCGTGGTGCTCTCCAAAGCAGGGAATGGAACGTGTTCGGAAGAAGATGACAGATGCTCCGGCCTGCCATTTTCCGGGACGAGGAGTCCTCCTAGGAAGATATGCAGCCTGGTTTCCGCGACAAATTGAAGCTCGTGGGCTGAGACCCTTTGTCCGCGGACATGGTATAAGGTATGCGTGACAATCTGATCTGGGAAAACGCGCTCTGTACATGTTCAACCTGCTGAGAGTTGACGACGACGTTTGTACACTGAACCTACAGTCGCCTCTTTGGTATGAGGTTTTGCGATTGATAGTGCACCGTCGTTTACCTCCAGACGCCAAGCACTAGTCGCAAACTGATGCGAACACACGACCCATCTCTGGTGGGGACGCGAGAACATCGATGATATGTTGTCTTAGAGCATCCTTAGAAATGAATATCGAGGCGGCATAAACCACCACCACGGATGCATGCATGCTTGCTGCGGCTCAATTTCTCGCCGCATATTGTGTGGATACAGCCTGTAGCGTGTATTACGACCTGGAATTTATTCTTTTCAGATTTCAAACACGGAGCTCTGGATGATGTTGCGTGTGCTGGTATACACTTAGCACAAGAACGGTGAGGCAGTCTATCTGCACTTGGGGCTTGATGGGTGCGACACCCTGCTGCAAACGGTCCAAACTTAACGGCCCCCTTTGACACAACTCCTCCTTTGGTCACTACAGACAAACAATGTGGCATTAGGGACTAAATATTATTCAGTGCCTCGTGCAGAACCGCGGCATTAATGGCCTTAGCGGCCCGTTGCGCAGACAGCGGCATGTCAGGGCCCACCGGAAGTTGTATGAGTCTCGCGCAGAATCCACGATTTTCTCTCTCTATGTTCACCCCACCTTCATCATCGCCACAGCGCGACTCTTCAGATATCCAAACCTGCACTCAGACAACAGGCAAGATGCCCGTCGGGCGGTATGCCTATGATTACGGTTGTAGCCACACTTGGCTTGGTGTGCGGTACCAGGAGTCTGACCTGCGCTCAACGAGGGTCGACGCACATGCGGACGCCACATTGTCCGACGTGCTCGCAAACTGCAAGATCGAAGACCCCGCGCAACCAACACCCTCTGGCCAGCTCGCGGCAGCCTTGGCCACGTCATTTGCCAGGACGTGCTGCGTGGGAAAGCCGAGCACCACGGTTAAGGTATGCGGCCGCTTGCAGGAATTTTGAATTAACCCTTACTAAGTGGATAGGTACAGAATGCAGATGCACTCGAAGACGAATTTAAGCAGAAGTGCTCCGTCCGCGCGCTGCCGAGAGAAGTATGTCCTCAATAGTCGCTTTGTTGACTCTTCGCCTGACAACGTGCTTGGTTTCAGATCAAATACAAGAGCTAGCGTATTTGTCGACTTGGGTGGTCTCCGTGGTCTGCTTCTCAATTTCCGGAGTGGTTCACAAACAGGAAACTCACAGAGACACGCATCGGCTTGTCGCTGGGCGGCGTAGGGTAGACCTAACAGGATAGAGTCGGATGGGATCTAGTCATGATGTCTGCCTTCGTCGTGCCGCACCTGCATTATTTTTTGGATTACAGTACATGATGTATGCATTTCGATCTAGACCATATCGAAGCAGAGGTCGACCAAGAGCCTGCCTCGACGCGAGCTACGCCACAAAGCTTCAGGGTGGAGTTGAGAAGGTATGGAGTCTTTGGGGTCCCGTTTGACGTCAGTGGTAGTGTCGTCATCGGGGATTGCCCGCTAACATGAAAAGGCGAGGCAAGCACGTTCACACACACAGAGCACTCTAACCACCTCCTAAAATCCACCTCATCTCCCAGGCCTCCCTTTCCTTCGAAAACCAACACAGCTATACGATGATTCGCGCACAAGCATCTCGCACTCTCGCCGCAGCGACTCGCGCGACGCCCGCGGTTGCACGCGTCGCGGCCGCACCGGTATGTTTGCTTTGCACGCTGGTGCATACGAGTTTCTCCGTGTAACGTTCGACGTCGCAGCACGCACGCACATATGCGACAATCCCTGACCCCCAGCACCCGACGGACGGCCCCAAACCCAACGACAAGCCGACACCATCCGCTGGCGGCGGAAACACTTTCGCGATGCTCACCGTCGGCACTGCTGCGCTTATCGGCGGATGGTGGTACCTGCAGCAGAAGGAAGACCCGCATGCGAAACGGCTGGAGGACCAGGCTGCACTTGAGAAGAAGGCGCAGGAGATGAAGGAGGCGGGCAAGGCAACCGCCCATGATGCCGCCCGCGAGAGCAAGGAGAACTACGAGGCGACCAAGGTACGTCCACTTGCAGCGGCGGTCCTCCGCTCTCGCTCAGAGCATGTGCTCGAACTGTACAGGTCGCTGCAAAGGACAAGCTCAACCAGGCTCGCACAGAAGCCGGGTCTGCCGCCGCCGATGTGAGAGGCAGGCTCGAGTCTGTCAAGAGCTCGACGGTCCAGACATACGACTCCGCCAGAAACGCTGCAGCAGCGACCGTGAACGACGCGACGCGCAAAGCCGAGGCAACGTACGACGAAGCAAGGAAGAAGGCGGCGGACGCGGCGCACAAGGTCGAAGCCGAGACGCAGAGCTGGGGACAGTGGCTCGGCAGCTGGTTCGGCTATGGCAAAGCCAAGACGGAGAAGACTGCTGAGGACGCGAAACGCGAGGCCGCTCGCCAGGTCGCTGCTGGTGCCGACCGAGTCGAGAATGCCGCAGATAAGGTTGAGAATGAGGCGAGGAAGAGGGCATAAGTCGGGCGATTGTGATTGCGGACCTCTAATCTTCAACGTGTGTACTGTATACTAGCAATCTATATGTTCGTAGCAGCTACTCCCGGCCACTGCAGTGTCGCACTTTCCAATGCAAGTATCGCGCAGCCAGCGATCGGCAGATGGTTCGATGGTCATCCAAACACCTGTACATCTTGCCAAGCCCTGTGCAAAGTTCGAGACTGTGAGCTCTCTGACGCAAACGTTGATGGTAGCAGCACTGGGCGCTCTTTTTCCCACGCAACCTTCAAGCTTCAAATTTAGTAGTTGCTGGCGACAGAGGGGGCAGTCCTGCTCCAAGGCAGTGAAGCGGGACGTACACTGACGTACAACAGCTCGCGCGACGCGTCGTGGATGCATCACGCCGCGAAGTTTCATCCTGGCAAGCAAGAGTAGTGTTACGTTGATCGCTGTGACGTTAGGCCTGAGGCTTGAGACCCGAAACCGTGTCGCTCACCAGGACGGCGACCGACGGCTTACTCCCTATGAGGATCCCCGGCCGTGGCTAAAGTTTGATTGGTAGATGCGCGTACTACGCCTTGCGATAACCCACCTGTCTAGCGCGCGGCAAGCTTTCAAAATTTCATCCTCGACTAGCAACGTGAGTGCTACGTTCTCCTCAACGCCATTTACAACCCCTGCTGACGGAGGCTGTCTCGGGCTCCCCGGACATAGCCCTGCGCCGCTCATAACTGAAATCTGGTTAATCTCGGTGCTTTTCCCGTGTCTCAGTACTGAGACGCGAAAAAAGCGTCGGGAAAAACTAGCAATCCGCGATGGTGGAGACTTCCATCAGCGACAGGGGCGAGTACACGCCTCGGTGCCCTCGTGGCGTACACAGTCCGGATCTTTTTACGGAAGCTTGGCAAATATGCTTGAAACACATAGGGGCCCGAGACTCGTTGGTCCTTGGCTTGCACGCCGTACAGAGTCGCACTCGAAGGTGGCGGTATACTGTGGTACTGGACGGTGTACGCCCAGTATGGCTGCATTCTAGCTAGTCCAAGTTCAGCTGAAGCTGTTTGACCTTGTTCATCGAAACTGAACGGCCGAGACCAGATATGAGACCGTGCTGCGGGTGAGACATGCAGATCACCTGTCGTCAACCAAGATGGATACCTGTTCCAGAATTCGTTTCGGAGATGATCAGCGCAGTGCGTGGCAGACCGCCGACCATCCTATAAATGTGAGACCAGGGCGTTCTCAGTTCCTCAGCTCCTCGAGTTCATTTCGTCCTTCGCTATCGCACTCAAGTCGGCACTGGTTGGTGAGTATAGCCGCTTCTAACTACGGCCAAATTGTGCTGATTATGGATCTCATGCAGCTATACTTGATTTTTATTCGCATTCTTTCTTTAACGACACCGTTACGTTCAACTTCTCGACAAATCTCCACAAACTACTACTACTTCCTTATCCCGTTTAACGTTCCAATCAAACAACATGCGTGCCTCTACCATCATTGCTCTCGCTCTCCTTGCCGCCGCCAACCCCGCTCTTGCCGCCCCAGTCAGGAGGGGGCTGACGTTCGGTGACATCGAAGACATCGGAAGCATCGCTGTCGGCCTTGGTACTGCCGCTGATACGGTCTATGACGAGTAAGTTCCTGTCAAAGTTTTTGACGGCCTGGTGTTGACGAAGTTCTTACAGCATTACTGGCAAGAGCAGGCGGTCACGCCGGGCGGATGCCGCTTCTGGCGCGATAGACATCTCGGACATCGCGGACCTTGCGAATGGTGCTGCGGCCGCCGCCGCCGGTCTCGTGCCCCTCGCGGAGGATGCTTATGACGAAATCACTGGCAAATCCAGGCGCATTGATTTCGGTGACGTCACGGATGTGCTGAACATTGTGGGTGGTGTCGCAGGCGTAGCGGACGCCGCTTGGGACGACATCACCGGCAAGTCTAGGCGCAACGACGACCTCGATATCGCTGCCGACGTCGCAGGTGTCGCCAGCGTTGCCGTGCCCATGCTGACATCAGCTTACGACTATATCACTGGCAAGTCTAAGCGCAACGACGACCTCGATATCGCTGCCGACGTCGCGGGTGTCGCCAGTGTTGCCGTGCCCATGCTGACATCAGCTTACGACTATATCACCGGCAAGTCTAAGCGCAACGACGACCTCGATATCGCTGCCGACGTCGCAGGTGTCGCCAGCGTTGCCGTGCCCATGCTGACATCAGCTTACGACTATATCACTGGCAAGAAGTCTTCGCGCAGCGACCTCGACATCGCCGCCGACGTCGCGGGTGTCGCTGGTGTCGTCGCGCCCATGCTGTCATCAGTTTACGACGATATCACCGGCAAGAAGTCTTCGCGCAGCATATCCTGGGACAAGGTTACGCGCCGGGACGCGCTCGAGATGCTCTTGGCCCGCAGCCTCAACGCCCTCGACTAATTGGTTGGAACAACGACAATTCATGATATCTACGATCATTTCTTTAGTATAGTAGTATTTTTGTGTGGCAGTTGAACTTTGCGAATGCGATGGCTGGATCGAGGGCTCATTAAACGACTTTTTTGTGCGTGAATATGAGCTGCGGTGACCAACGTACAATACGGCTGGAGTAAGTTGCTCTGAGTTGCATGGACTGATGCCTAAGGTCTTTTAGTAGAGACTTCTTGCGAGAGAAGCACCGGTTTTGATAATTTTGAAGGTGGCTATCTTACTTGCAAGGGCCCTCGAAGACTGATGGAGGCGATACTTTGGCTTCACTTGCAAAGCATAGTTATTTCTGAACCGATTTCCGACATAGCATCATGCACGCTGGACTCGGACTCAGGCGCCTGCCGGCCCCCACGTCTTTGGCGATGACTATCTGGCATGCGCGCATCCTCGGTCCATGACGAACCGTTTATGCGTCATAGAAGACCAGCATGGACCATAGCAGCCGCCGACACCGACGATAATGATGGACAAATACATTGACACCAGAAAGTTCTTTGTCTTGATCCGTACAGAAGGACAACGTAAACGCCGCCTGCTACGTGGGCTGCACTCTTCCCCTCTACCATGGCCTCGATATATGGGTTTGTACAGCGACTGTACAAGGTGCGCCAGCCGCTTCTGAAAGCGTCGGCGACGCGTTCTGACTGTGTGCCTTACGCGCAGGCGAGTGTCCCACCGCGATGTGCAAAGAGCACCGACAGCCCGATGATTCGCTTTGGTATCCTTGGCGCAGCGAATATTGCCCCTGCAGCGCTCCTCAAGCCAGTGCTTAGCCACCCAGAGGCGGTTGTCTACGCCGTCGCGGCGCGCAGCCTCGAGAAGGCGCAGGCCTTTGCGAGGAAACATAGTATTGAGAAGGCGTACGGTGGGCCGACGGCGTACCAAGGTATGCGCTGTACTTATTCCTGTCTACGTTGCGCTCACCATTCGGATACAGAGCTCCTAGACGACCCCAACGTGGACGCGATCTACAATCCGGTATGTTAGCGGTTTTGTGGAACGGGCGAGAGAGTTGAGGCATTGACTCAGTGTAGCTCCCCAACGGCCTGCATTATGAATGGACCATGAAAGCTCTGCATGCGGGAAAGCACGTCCTACTGGAGAAGCCCAGCTCCGATACAGCAGATGAGACGCGCGAGATGTTCGAATATGCAAAGTCGAAAGGGCTTGTGCTGCTCGAAGCTTTCCACTACCGGTAGGTATATGCGCCCTTCTGTCATGAAAGAGCGAGATACAAGCTCATGTATGCAGGTTTCATCCTGCGATACATCGAGTCAAGGCCATACTCGACAACGGCGAGCTTGGGGCAATCAAGCATGTCGAGGTCACGATGAAGCTGCCGAAAGGGTTCGCTGCCGATGACGATATTCGCTTCAACTACGAGCTCGGCGGGGGTATCATGATGGACATGGGCTGTGCGTCCATCTCTGCTCCATCCAACGTGTTATCTGACCCTACCTATATACCCCAGGCTACACCGTCAACTGCCTGCGTTACATCCTCGGCACAGACCCACTCGAAGTGCTATCCTCCATATCAGACCTGATGCCTACAAACGACGGTAGCCCATCCAAGGTCGACACAGGCACGACCGCGACGTTCGCCTTCCCGGGAGACGCGACAGGCACGGTAACGTGCCACATGCGCGTGCCTTACATGCTTGGGTTCATCCCGCACTTCCCGACGATACTTCTGACAGTGCACTGCGAGAACGGCGAACTAAAGATGTTCAACTTTGTCATGCCGAGTATGTATCACACTATTGAAGTCAGCGCTGGGGACTGGAAGGGCAATAAGAGTATGAAGAAGCGCATCGAGAAGGTGTACAAGCCGACCGAGCCGGGTGCTAAGGGCGAAGAATGGTGGACGACGTGCGTCGCTCGCGTCTTCATGCCTTGTTCCGCACCCGACGCTAATGCTACGTGTCTAGGTACCGCTACCAGCTTGAGGCCTTCGTCGACAAGGTGAAGGGCCTCACGCCGGAATACTGGTTACCTGCTGAAGACGCTATATCGAATATGACCTGGGTGGAGAAAGTATATGAGAAGGTAAGCCTTCTGTTACAACTCTCTTTTATTTATTTATTTATTAATTCGCGGGTGTTGGATCAGACGGGTCTGGGAAGTCGACCGCAGTCGAACTTCAAGCTGCCTATTCCATAGATATTTTTACAAGAAGAGCTAGCCGAAGATCCAGATGACGGTATAGGTCATTCCCTTCGAGCATGCCTCGTTTAGCTTCACACGTACACGTACGCTGCATCCATTCAATAGCGCACCTCGTACTTTTACGAGCACTCTTTCGTTGGTGATTTTTTCCAGCGGATGATTCTTCCAGAGCTATTCACAAGCAGGCCGAGAAGCGATGCATATTGTCCCACAACCACACACCCATGGGAAGACTAAGTTATGAAATTCCATTGGTGGGAGACGTTCTGTGTCATACGCAATATTACATATAAATGGGGTGTGAACCGACACAAACCACCGATTGTCTAGTTGTTCATGACTTTTGTCTTCGCCCATGGCCTCACTTCGTGGTCTCGTGCATAGAGTATACAAGGTGAGCCACCCTTTTCACCCAATGCGAACAGAGTCAACTGTGTGCACTGATTACGCAGGCCGCCAACCCACCGCAGGTTGAGAAGAGTACCGAGGGCTCGCTGATACGTTTCGGCATACTGGGCGCAGCGAGAATCGCCCCTCCGGCTCTTGTGTCGCCTGCCAAGAACCACTCAGAGGCCGTGGTGTATGCTATTGCAGCGCGGAGCCTTGAGAGGGCCCAAGCCTTTGCAGCGAAATATGAGATTGAGAAGATTTATGGAGGTCTTACAGCGTATCAAGGTATCGACGAACCTGTGTGTTACTAATGGCGTGCTAACTGTAGTGTAGATTTACTTGACGACCCGAACGTGGATGCAGTCTATAACCCCGTGGGTTACCAATGATGGACTGGCATTGTTTCGCTGTTCTGAGCGTTTACATAGCTCCCCAACGGCCTTCATTACGAATGGACTATGAAAGCGCTGCAAGCAGGCAAACATGTCTTGCTGGAGAAACCCAGCTCTGACTCTGCAGACGAGACGCGGGAGATGTTCGAGTACGCAGAGTCGAAGGGCCTTGTCCTATTAGAGGCGTTTCATTATCGGCAGGTTATATCTGAATTCAAGTCAGCTATTGATCAGCTTACGCCCAGCTCGTAGCTTCCATCCTGCCATTCATCGTGTGAAGGCCATACTGGATAGCGGCGAGCTAGGGACGGTCAAGCACATCGAGGTCAACCTGCAAATCCCAAAGGGGATCACGAAAGACGGCGACATACGCTTCGACTACGCGCTCGGTGGCGGCTGCATGATGGATATGGGTTGTACGTCTTCCGCATGCGACTCGCTGCGTCCTTCCCCTGCTAGCCACGTTCTCATCTGCCGGTTCTAGGCTACGATGTTAATTGCCTACGCTACATCATGGGCACAGATCCTGTCGAAGTGCTTTCCGCGAAGCCAGACTCGATGCCCACGAAGGACGGCAGCCCGCCCAAAATCGACGGGGGCATGACCGCAAGTTTCGCCTTCCCCGGCGGTGCAACGGGAAGCACGATCTGCCACATGCGCACGCCCCCGAAATTCGGTGTCATCCCGCGATTCCCAAAGGTGCAGCTCAGCGTCCGATGCGAGCACGGCGAGCTCGAGATGCTCAACTTTGTCATGCCGGTGCTGTACCACTGGATTGAGGTCAGCGTGAGAGAGGGAAAGGGTGGGAAGGGGAGGAAGAAGCGCGTTGAGAAAGTATACAGACCCCTCGAGCCGAGTGTCAAAGGCGAAGAGTGGTGGACGACGTGCGTATCTCGTCAGTTAGCATGTTGTATCTTGTGCTGACGCCCATGACTTGTACTCAGATATCGATACCAGCTCGAAGCATTTGTCGATAAGCTCAAGGGCCGCGCGCCACAGTACTGGCTACCAGCAGAAGATGCAATCTCGAACATGATTTGGATAGAGAAAGTCTACAAAAAGGCAAGCTACTCTAGATTTCGTTAGTTCTCAAGCTCAACCTCTACCACTTACCAGGCGGGATTGGGAAGCCGACCAAAATCGACATTCAAGCTACCAGTTCTGTGAGGGCGACCAGGACAGGCGGAATGTGATATTACATGCTCCCATGTGTCATTTGGTGTAATAAATATCGGTATCTGTAGTACTGCTACTACTATGCTTCTTGCCATGCTGTAATGCTGTAAAACATCATCATCCTTCTGATAACTCACTTCTCATACTCTTCACGCTTCTCCTCCCATATGGTATCATCAGATCCACGCCGACTGTCTGCGCGGCCCACCGCCTTTAGCCACAGGCAATCAGCAGGCGACACTCCAAGTTGATCGGAGTATACTCACCTCAAGTATAGGCAAAGGCACGTCTATTATCGGCGTCCCTACCGCAGGAGTGCTATCTGAACTCGTTGGCCACATGAGCGGGGAATGCACGAGTGCAGGACTGGGCAGCGGAAGCGGGCCGAGGAAACTCGGTGCGCGGCTCGGTGCGCGACTGTCAAGCATGCCGTGCGTCATGATCGTCGGAAGCGAGCTCTGCCGCATGCTCTGCGACTGCGCAAAGGTCGAAAGAGCAGGGCGTCGGGGTGGACTGCGCTTGTTCGCGAAATCTGGGGAAGAGAACGAGCGTGCCTCGGTTACGATGGATGAGATGGGCCGCAGGCTGGTGCCTGAAGTGAGCCAGAAGAGGGCGATGGAGCCTATAAGGACCTGGTATGTGCTGTTAGTGTAGTGAAGAGCGTGTGCGGGAGATGGCAGCCTACATCCGCTTCCCAGGATGCTAGACATATCCAGCCAGGTTCCTGCCCATGAAGAGCAGCAAGAACGGTGATATTCACGCACGACGTTCCGAGGACGATGGCCGCGGCTGTGACAGAGCGGCGTGCGATGTGCCGGAGCTGTGCGCTTTGGAACTGTGTGCGCACGAGCGGCCAGACGAAGAGGGAAGTCATGAGAATACTGACGATACTACAGTGCGTCGTGTAAGGTCATGAAAGTGCAAAGAAAAGCAGAAAGACTACAACGTACACGTCGTAGGCGATAAGGATGATCACGCCATCGAGGCGGAAGCCAATCGTGCAACGTTCTCCAGGATCCAAGTGCGCGATGCGCACTTCAGTGACGTTAGAACGCGTAGTGCTTCAATGGAGAGGTGACGTACCGATGAAAAGATGGCATACAACACCCAGATACATGATGACCGCGGCGAGGCAGACGAGGTACGCCGGCGTGCGCCAGCGGGGGGTGGCGGCTGTCGGGCACCATACAACGTACGCACGCTCGGCTGAGCATTACTCGAAGTCAGATAAAAGCTACAGAGACCAGGAAAGAGACAGCTTACTTAGAAAGAAGTACACACACATTTTCGCGATTCCATACAGCGTAACACAGACGTAGACGCCCGCAGTGCAAAGACTGAGGTTCCGATCGAGGCCTATGCCTTGTAGCACGAGGCCCGCTGGAAGATAGTCAGACATCTCCGTAGTAAGTGAGAGCTCGCATGCGCACTGATCACAAAGTAAGCCCATCTACAAAAGTCTAGTGAGCTGCCATGCTGTCTTTCACAGGGATAGACGTACGCAGTGGAGAATAATAGTACGAGAAATAGTCTCGGTAAGCTGATTTGTCTTACGTGCTGTAGCGATCTGAAGTCCTCCAGCCTGACACGATGCGTCAAAAACCCAGCGAGAGTCGAGGCTCCTAGGGTCGCCCGTCAACCTGTATGCAGGGACAGGCACAGAAAGATAGATATCCACGCACCCAGCACTTGGAAAATCGCCGTAAATGACGCAACACCGATATTGACATGGGTCAAATGGTCATTCAGGCTCGAGACACTAATAAACTCGCTTGAGTTTTTGGGTTCCATTAGCTGGATGTGTAGCGTTGATGAGAGAGATGAAGAGGAGGCTCCACAGCCCACGGTGCCCCAAGCGCATAGTGCAAGTACCTAGACTTTTACACGGCGGATGTGACAAAAATGGGCGGCCACTGGGCCCTCGATCGAGATGCGCGAGGTACACAAGCGAACCTGACATGCTACCTTTTATGGACTCCCGTAATGAAGACTCCGTTGCTGGGGAAGCATCCGCGCGGAAGTCGAAGAACGGACTGGCCTGCATTGAAATATTCGAGGCACAAACACAGGAGCGACAAAAGACACAGCGATATGCATCCCACGTTTTGGTCGGCAGGATCAGGACGTTCACTGCCAAATGTTGTCCTCGATGTACGCTGCGAATCTGTGCGCGATGCTGCCATCGCTCCAGTCGAGCGCGCCCTTCTCCGTTGTGCCGAGTATGATGGCCTTTTTGTTCACGGTCACGAATTGCCGCTTCGTGCGCTGCAGCTCGCTGAGCGTGACGTTGCGCGCAGGAAGCGCGACGTTTGTCTTGACGTTGTCCGGTAGTGCAAGGGTGACAGACCCACCAAGCCCACCGGACGCAGCTTGTTCGGCCATGATCGCAGTAACTATCGCGGTTGTCGTAGCCTCTAGTGCACGCAGGGCATCGGTGGGGGCTTTTGGTACCTGAACGACACGTCGATGGAGGGGGATATACGAAAATCGCTATAGACGTACCGCCTGCGTACCTGCATTTGGTGGCTTGACGTTGCCTTCCGTAACGGCCTTCCAAATGTCGTCCGCAGGAATGTCTTCATCTGTCCACGGGACGGTTATCAGCGGAGAGTCCCAACGAACCATAGACGATGGTTCCTCATATCGCATGAGCAGATTGTCGAGTCTGGGTGTAGGTCGAAGCGTTCAGCGACGATCGAACGAGCGAGAATCGGAGACGTACGTTTGTGGAGCATATGTCTTCCCATCCATTCTAGTTTCATTCCACTCTTTTACAAGGTCTTGAGTAGCGACTACATATACCTGACCAGCATATAAGCCCATCGGTGGGGATGGGATGCAATCATAACTCACCGTGCACACCCGCAGCTTCAGCTCTCGCGCCGCACAGTACATTTGGTATCGAAATCCTTTGATGTAATTCATGGCGTCGATGATAAGGATGGTATCCCGGTCCATCGCCCGCTGCATAGCAGTGAACAGGGCACCCCTCGCAGGCTTTTCTGATCGTGTGTCTGCAGTGACAGCATGATTATTTGCACTGTGCTCTACCAACCAAGTTGCTCACCTTGATATGCATCTCTGCTTATACCTAATGTGTCGTCAGACACGATAACCACCCTTAGCTGTGGGCCTGCATAGCTTGTGTCTTGAAGGCGATGTTCAAGAGCGATCTTGATTCGTTCTGCACGTCGTGTCTTTCCACTGCAGGGGTATCCAGAGATGGTGACAAGAGCCATTCCTTTCTACTTCGTCTACACAAATGTTCAGGCGCATAGTTCTCACGGTACCCCATGAATTTCATTGACAATCATAATTAACTTGGTTTCATAAGAAGTAATATATTTTTGTAGTAAGAAGTACACAGCCTGCATATAGAGCTAATTGTCACGAATGTGAGGGTTTTCCAAAAATTGCTGAAGGCCGAAGCCGACAGACGTGTTCGGATGTGTAATTTGCAATCAGCAAAAGACTGTGCCTCGGTAAAGACCTCACTGGCGACAGTACGTGCCCGAGCACAAGAATGAAGAACCGTAAACTCGCCTCGCAGCCTTATAAGGCGCGGCTGCTTCGCGCACGGACCACCTCGTCATGTGATACCACTTCTAAGAGCGAAGCGCCCATCCCGCCGTCGTGCGCCACAGTCCCGCCCAGCGTGAACAGCTCACGCCGCCTACCGCGCAGTCGTCGAACTCATCGCGAGTCCTACTAGCATGGTATTCCCCAGGCACGCCCCCCGGCTGCCCCCACTTCACACAGTCATTCACGCTAAATATTTTTCGCGGGGAAATACGCGCTTTGTGCGACATGTGAACTACTGCTCTGATACCACGCTCTTTAGACGCCCTCACCTCGAGTCTCGCAAACGCCGTCGACGTCGACGAGTGCGATGACCAGGGAGGATTGAGTTTCCCCCACCGGCCTGCTTCTGCCATCTCACCCGTTGCTTTCTTTCTTACACGTTCTCGCCGGGCCCAATGCCAGCGGACCCACCCACGACGCCCGAGCACGCCTCTCAGGTCAGCCTTACTTGGGACGCATGCCGTTAGTTACCCACACCTGATTGCATTTCAGAACATGCAAGGCCCTTCGCATTCAGAGGATCCCCACAATGGCACCTCTCAGATCGGCCAAACCAGTTCTAGCCTAATCAACGCTTCAGAAACCCCTGCAAATCCCGCTGGTCAAACAGATTCATCGATCGCTCCTAGTACGCCCCCGCCATCCGAGACCAAACATGTGGGCAACAAGGAGGCCAGCTCCTGGACTGGTTCCTCGATAACTGTACCCGTCAAGACTCGGCCACGACGTAGGAGCACCAAGGGAAATGGCAAGGGCTCGCCGTCTGGTAAGGATAAACCCCCGTCCGCTTTGGGCAGCGCCGAGGGCAAGCAGTCGACGAAACGGCGCAAGATCTCCTTCTTTGAGCGCATAACGTTCATCTGCACTTCCTGTGTCACCTCGTCACCGCGCATACACGATGTTGACGTCGAGGAGGGAGCATCCACGCAGAAGGATAAGGACTCGGAGAAGCTTTCGGAGAAGCAGTCGACCAAAGAGACAGAGACGACGACTGCTGCAGAGCACCCCACGCGCGAGCCCTCTGCCTCAAGTACAGGTGAGCGATCGTCGCTTGGTCTTGCCTCCCGGTCTGACCTCGCTGTATTCAGCTGTCCCGGCTCTGTCCCTCACGATCCCTGCCGTGCCCCCCGTACCCGCCTCCGTCACTCCCGACGTCGAGCTTGCTGTCGTTGTACCACCAACTCCCTCAGCGCAGCTCCTGCCGCTGTCTGAGACGGATGGCCTCACCGCTGGCGCCGTGCAGGCGCCAGGATCTACGGGGAAGGAGCACCGGCAGCAGGAAGTCCGCGTGAGCATTAGTGACTCAGACACCCATACCGAGAGATCGTCTCTGCAGCTCGATGACGAGCCTCCTCTGTCAGAAGAGTGGGAAGATGACGAACAGAGATTGATCAGACAAGGCGGCAATGGTGTCCCAATTGGACCGGTACGACTCCCCTACTCTCTTCTCCGCCCACACAGTCACCGATGCCTGTAAACCTTGTCCAGGACGGCACGCCGCGCCCGCTGTTACCCGCCATCGCGAGCAAATATCTCGGGCGCAAATGCCTCGTGCTCGATCTTGATGAAACGTTGGTGCACAGTAGTTTAAAGGTGCGCGCCACATTTTCCGAATTCCGCCGCATATATGCTCACGGTGTAGACGCCACAGCCTGTACCAGCTCCCGACTACATTGTCCCCGTTGAGATCGAGAACAACTGGCACAATTTCTACGTCCTAAAGCGTCCAGGCGTCGACAACTTTTTGCGGAAGATGGGTGAGATATACGAGGTGGTTGTATTCACCGCGAGTCTCAGCAAGGTGCGTTCCCTTCGTTACGGAGCTAGCTCATTCACCTCAATCGCACCGCTAGTATGCGGACCCGGTGCTCGATAAGCTTGACCCGGGACGGACGGTAGCCCACCGACTCTTCAGAGAAAGCTGCTTCAACCATCGTGGTAACTACGTCAAGGTTAGTTCTTCGTGCATTTGTCAGTGCCCTCTGACGTATGCATGAACGTGCCCCCTAGGACCTGTCACAATTGGGTCGGCCAGTTGGTGACACTATAATTCTAGACAACTCTCCGGCATCGTACATCTTCCATCCGCACAATGCCGTGCCCGTCTCGTCGTGGTTCAATGACCCACACGACACGGAACTTACAGACCTCTGTCCCTTCCTGGAGGATCTCACGAATGCTCAGGACGTCCGCGGCGTGCTCAATCCCTTCGTCCAACATGCCTAGTTAGCTGATCAGCCACCCTTCGCACCTCTACCGTTCCTTTCCGACCGACAGTACACCTGCACATCCATCCTCCCGTTCCTTTACACGCGTTTTGTGACGTCCTCGGCTGGCCCGCTTGTCATGGGCTCCCTGGTCGCACTCTTCGTCTCCCTTACCCAAGATGTGCGATGTGGTGGCAGCAATGGGTTTACTTGTACCCACACCAAGTGAGTGTTCCTATGCGCGCATACGTATGTGTCGGCTGACGAAGGGCCGTAGCGTGCTCCTCTTTCCCTGTTTTAGTATCGTCACGCTCAGGCAGCTCTCTTTTGCGAAACACCCCACACTCCTTACAGTACCCTTGATATCATTTTGCTCATCTTGTGTGCGTCTCTCTGTTCCCTCCCATAACCTGTTCTGACCCACTCACATCACTGCTAATCGCAATGCAGTATTCGCTCAATACCACTCGCACATTCATCATTAGTTGGCAAGTTGTATACCCCTCGTCTCGTGCCTGTTGCCCTGGTCTGTTGTAATCCAATGTTGTCTGTTTCGCTCGTTGGGATATACTAGTGTTATCGTTTGCCGGATGCTCTCATACACAAATTAGAGTTCGACGTGTGCTATCTGGCACATGCTGAAGCCTGAGGCCTGAGGCCTAGGTGCGTGCTATCACGGATGCGAACCCTGCCTAGAGTGGAAAGATTACCGACGGACGTCCGCGCACCCCACCTTACCCTGGTCAGACCAGAGCGCAGTAGTGATGAGCTGGAAGCCTGGGAAGCCACCCGTGCAAACGAAGGAAAGCACCGGCTGAGAAAATTTGTGTGCCTGAAAAGCCAGACAAGGACCCTGCGTGGCGCGGCAAGGAGAACGCAAGCATCTCTTGCCGCACCTGCGCCGTCGCATGACGAGGCTGCGCAGTCCGGAATAACCAATCGAACCACACGGCGCACACGGCCAGCGGGGCATATCGTCTCGGATACTATGACATTCACATTTCAGGTTCACTGGGGGCTATAAGAACAATAGTTAAGCTTTCAGGCAATCGCACACACGGAGCATGACCACCACCACCACCACCACCACCACTGTCACCGTCGACGCCGAACACACCTCACCCTTCACCCTTCACCCTAACAACCCATTTCACCTAGGAATTCGTATACATACAGCGACGACTGACATCTGGACCCTCCCCTCCTTTCCGCAGACGTCACAGCGTTGAAGCAGACAGGCGTGCTCAGCGCGCTTCACCCTCGGTGTCCGCCTCGTCCTCCCATGGCGAGAACTTGGCCTTCCTCATCCGCGGCAGCGCATTCAGCCACGCAAGGCCGGGTGCGAGCAGCGAGCGCGCGCCCGCGCCATGATCGACAAGGGCGTGTGGAGGCGAATGCTGCTGCGCAGTAGCGGCGGCGATGGCGTGGACGTGGTTCGGCGACGGCGGCATGCTCCCGATCTCGCTCAGCGTCGGGAGGCGCTCGAGCGAGGTGTTCGTGCTCGTGCCGGCGGCGCGCGCGAGGGCCTCGCGCTCAGCAGGCGACGGCGCAAATGCGCGCATGGAGAGTGTGCTGAACGCCGAGTCCGAGTCGCTCGACGGTGGTACGAAGATGCTCGGCACGCTCAGCGAGGACGTGAACGAGGACGGCTCGGAGCTGAGGCTGTCGTACGGTGAGTGCTTTGCAGCGCTGGCGTGGCCTCCGAACATCGGGAACGTCTTCTTGAACTGGAAGACTTTCGCCTCCGGATTGAGGCCCTTCTTGTCCTTCGTTTCGCGCGGAGTGGAGAACCACCGGCGGTGCCCGACTACCTTCTCACCGTTGTCAGACTCACGGGTACGCGAGCGGGTGAGCGGCTGCGGCTCAGATGACGTGCGGACGTTGTGGAAAGTGCGCTCGGTGTCCACGCCGTCGCTGGTGATACGATGACGGATGGGCGGAGGCGGAGGACGAATTTCGAAAGGATCTTCTCGGTCAACACCGTCGAACGAAGGGCAGGTGAGTGACGTCGGGGACGAGTTAAATACGCCAGGGCTTTCGACGGCTGCGCTCGGGAAGGTATGCATCTTGCGCCAATCCCGATCCAGAATAGCATCGTTGTCAGACTGGAAGGAACGCGACAAATCGTCGGAGACCCCGCCAGCCTCTAAGGACTTGATAAGACTAGTCGGGATCAAAGACGTGCTCCTAGGCGAAATGCCAGGGCCTTGATTGTCGAAAGCAGGCACCTCAAGTTCGTTATCGGTGAATGGCGAGAACCGGCTAGACTGAGATTGAGACGAAGACTTGGACGTCGGTAGATCATCATGTACAGCTGGCGGGCGCAGAACAATCTGAGGATGTGCTGGCTCCTGTATATTAATGCCATTGCACTCGCGGAAGTTGGAAATACCGCCAAGTGAGAGATGCCGGGGACGAGGAGAAGTAGAAAAACCCTGAGGCTCCTCAGAGACAGAAGCACGCCTGCCTTGTACGACGGGAAAGTGTAGTGCAGTAGGAAAGACTTCGATCTGCGCAGCACCATCGGTGTTGATCTGGTCGTGGACATCGCTAGCCGCAAGGTTGGAGGCTGTCACAATGGGCGACCAAGTTGTCGCAGCCTCTTGCGGGTTGACGACATGCAGGGGGTAAAAATCTCTGTCTTGCTTCCTCAACTCTGCTTGCTCCTTAGCCCGCTTCAGCCTCTGTTCCTCAGCCGCGATCTTCTCTTCCAACTCCTTCGTTCGGCTGTTCAGAGCAGCTACCACATCCTCAGCGACCTTGATCTCCTTCCTTTTCTTCTCCAGCTCCCCAATCAATCCCTTCTCGGCCTCATCCGCCTCCGTCTTGCAACGAACGATCGCATCCTCGTCTCTGCCCACGCGCTCCTTCAATGCTCCTATCTCCTTGTCCAGCCGTTCTATCCGCTCGCTCGCACTGTTCCTCGCGCTCTCTGCAGCGCGCAGGCGCTTCTCCGTATCTCTCCTGCACGATTCAGCGGACCTCTTAGAGTCTTCAAGTGTCTTCGTGCGCGCCTTGAGCTCCTGACGCGCAGCGTCCTCCTCGCGTTTCCGTGCACGGTGCTCGCCGAGATCGCTCTGAATCGCGGCATGCGATTCCTGAGCCTGAGCGCCGGCCTCAGAGAGTTGACTGCGAAGCTCGTAGACTGCGGCCTTGGATGTGGATATCTGGCGCAAGATTTCACTGATAACGGGTGACTGATCGAACAGGGTCGACGGCGAAGGGTTGAGCTGTGGCGGATTCAAAACTGCTGAAGGCGTCGGGGCCGGGGTTACGGATGGCTGGGACGGCGCTTGCGCATGGCGCTGGTTGTGAGCCTTGTCTGAGGGCTGGCGTTGAACGTGAAGCGGTAAAGAGGCCGATTTAGGCAGCGGGGGAGGTGTAGTGCTACGGTGCGAGCTGCTAGCGGTGCGCTGCATGGAGCGTTCAGTGCTGCGAAACTTCTGTGTGCTGTCTCGAGACAGTTGAGCCGACTGGTTCATTGACATTCCTAGCCATCGAGCGTATTGAGGATATGTCCTTAGGTGTAGTAGTAGTGGAACATACCCTCATAGCACTCCAGACCATCAAATGCCTTCATGTCAAGTATTCCAGAACTGCATCTCTCAGCGTCCTTGTTGTTTGCTACGGAGTCGATCCACCACGATTGAATCGGACCACCTCTCCACCATTTACCGAATGCTCCGATGAACCAAGATTCCGAGACCATGAAACCGCTACACTCGATCGACCGACCTTTGCTGCCTGAGCGGCCGGTAGGAAGAACAGCTGCGATCGTCATGATGCCAAAGCTGTAGAAAACGTGCTTGGGAGTACGCAATGAAACGGTGGCACGACTGTTGAAACGGAAAGGTGGCGTCGAGTTGTATGATGAAGACCCTTTCTGAGGGGCCTGTCGCGAGCGTGAAAGCGTGAAATGAACACCGGAGTCGCTTGAGTCACTTTGGTCATCCTGATTGTCGCCCTCCAAACGACTGAGGTGCTGCCGAAACGACTGTTCGGTGAGGTATGTGCGAAAAGACGTTTCAGATGGGTTAGTCAGATATGCTGTGGTGCGTGATTGTAGCATTCGGGACCGTCGGACATGATGGTGGGGGCGTCGCACATGCAAATTGACGAGTAGATAGTGAATGAAGGGGATGTAGACGGCGATGAGCGAGTCAAATTTCACGGTTTCGAGGCAATGCGACTTACCGAGCACGAGTATAACAATCATAAGCACGGTGGCGAAGAACGTGCTTTGGACGTCGACCTTGTCCAGCATTTTGTCCCAGGCGAGGAGCGGAGACTCTCCACCATAGAGCATGATACCGAGACCACCAAAGACCATGCTAAGAGGGAGAACAGGGAGTCTCCCCTTCGAGCCGATGTGTGTGGCTATGCCTCGTGGCGAAGTCGCGCGGGTACCCTGGTTGACTAGGTTGGCCGACAGCGTGACGAGGGAGACGTGAACCTGCGTTCCCTGCCAGGACTAGTATTGACGGAATTGAGCAAAAATCAGAGCAGATAATGGGAGAAAGCAAGGAGGGAAGACGAAAAGCCAAGCGAAAGGGAGAAATTACCAAAGCAGAGAAGTGCCTCGCTCGGCGCTTCGGGCGTGACCCGGAACATCAGCGCTGCCATGCGGCACACGCCGTGCCAATCTCCATTTACGGCTCCAGCTCTCGCCTCCGATATACCCGACGCCGGGCCCGCCCTCACTCTGCCTGTCGTCGCTGAACCTGTTCCCCGCCCTCGAAATTCCACAAAATGCGCAGAAAATGCTGGCGGCCACCGTGGGTACACCGTTCGGGTCGCACGGCTATCTCCATCAGCCATCTCTACTGGGCTGATCACCGATGTCTTCCAATCCCTCGTGGGGCACTGTTCTGATCTCGTCATCGGTTCCCCTCCCGAAATCTGAATAGGCCTGTGAGCGACCGTGTTCAGCCCGTGTTCGCAATGTTCACGTTCACAAATCCGTGAGTGGGCTGCGCATATGCATTCCTATGCCTTGAATAGAGCAGTTTACTCATACGCCACCTATGTTTAGGTGTATACTATGCCGCGGCCGTACGCCGTTACTTGTACGACATGCTGTGGACGAGTCATGTCGGCCGGCGGCACTCGAGCCACTTACCTTGTTCTGGGGCTCACAAGACACGCGAATTCGTCAGGGTGTGGCGTGAGTGACGCCCATAATAGCAGGGTCGTCTTCTCAAAAGACCGAGGTTAACGTCGTGTTCACGTCGATTTCCTCGTGCATAACGCGCGACTCGGTAGGCTACAAACAGTAGCTGCACGCATCAAGCTGTTGCTTCATCTTGCAGTGCAGCTGTGCCCTCACGACCATCTGGATGCCGACGCTTGGGTCTCAGATGCGACGACGCCCAGGCATGCTTCAACTTCTATTTGTCTTGCCTACGCGGTGCCTCGCGCACAGCTTCCCAGATAAAGCTACTGCCCTCGGCGACTACTTACATTTCTTATCAAGTGTTCTCCATCCCTGTGTACGTCCAGCTGATCACTGGTATCCTCTTTAGACCATGTTGATATGTGCCACAGCGCGGAATGCATTACCCGGTAGCCGAAGAAGTCTTCCTCGATGTCTCAAGTTCACGCTTCAGCTAGCTTGGTACACGCTCCATATATCAAGCGTGACCGTGAAGATGAGCATCGCTGAAAGTTGTCGCGTGGTCTTTATGAGCCCCCATGATCGCAGTTGCCGTCTAGACGAATGTCTTCTTCAGCTAGCCTATAATACTCACAGGCTCGTGCCAGGAATTCGCAACGTAAGATAGACCATCCTCTGAAACTCGGGCCTTATCGAACTCTACTATCTGAGAATCCTTCTGCCTGCCTGATGGTCAGCAGACATCCGGCTTCAGCATGGTCTGAACACTTGCTATAGAGCTGAACTCGTGCGATGCAGCATTGCGAAGCCGTTGCACTTCCCTTCGTGTGTTCCACGGCAGCATCTGTAACATTCACCTTATCGTTGGCGCGTTGGCGTGTTATCCTCTCTCTTGTCCTTCAGTTCGCGATCATTCTGAATCTCAACGTCGGCTTGCGTTGCATCGATGGCGAGCTGAATGACCGGCGGTATGTTCACTGCTTCCCGACTTCCCACAGGGGCTTCTCCATCTGAAGTATCTACGATAATGGGACTACATGACAGTGTATATTTCCGACTAGCACACTTGCGACTGGCACCTTTATGGATAGACCTGACAAGGGACTGAACTTGCACCGATGCGCATTGGCCTGACAAGCCGTGGCCGGTGACAGAGCGTGAGAAAGCCGAGGCGTCTGGTGCCGAAGGTGAAGTGATCCTGTGCTACATCCGCCTTTCGCTTTCACCTTGGTCGTCATCTCTGCCCGTCTACACCCCCAGCTCAAGAACACCGACAACAAGGCATAACCTGCAGAGACCAGCCTCTGTCGTAGCGAGACGACTTGGAGATCACAGGGCCTGCGAGGCCTTACGCGTATCAGCCCCGACGCCACTTCACCATGTCCCTCCCGGACGGCAAACTCACCCTTCAAGGCTTCTCGCAGCTTGGTGATGCTAACCCGAAGAAGCACGCCATGGTTGTCCGCCTGTCTACAGAGACTATGGAAGCTTTAGAGAGATTAGAGAGCGGCGCGAAGATAGACATTGACTTTGGAGAGGGCTCATCAGTTCAGTCCCACTGTGATGCCTCTGCTTGCATGCACTGATCCCCGAGCAGAAGCTCTACATAGGCGACACGTCGTTTACGATGTCCGCTCAGCCCGAGACAGTGTCACACGAATTGTACCTGCGCATGGTCCAGCCGAACAAGCCTGGCGCAATACTGAAGCTGCAGGGCAACGTCGTGGGCAAGCTGCATGTCGAACGGCAGCTGAACGCACAGGCGGAAACGGCCATACGCGACCGAACACAGCAAGCTGAGAAGCAAAGGCACGAACGCAAGATCGAGCTGCTCGATGCTCCGCTCGCACAAGCCCCGCGGGCCACACTAAAAAAGCCCAAGGTAGCGAGCAAGCCGACGAAGTCCACGCCCGCCGGACGCGCACCCCCGGACCCGAATCGCTCTCTATCAAGCTCGACGTCACTTCAACCATCTCGTGTCGCATCACCGCGCATCTCGCCACGACCGCTAAATGTTGGCGGTTCAGAGAACCATGCCAAGTATCGTCTGATCCACTTTGTGGCTCTGAAGCCGAGGACGCACGAGGAGATTATCAGGCTTGTGGGTGGATCAAGCAAGGAGTCTAGGAAAGAGGTGCAGGACTTGGTACCGGAGGTGGGCAAACTCATGCATGCTATTCTGCAAGACTCATTCGTCCCTTCAACAGGTGCTCGAGAGAGTGCGAAGTAGCGATCCCGCCCAGCCAGCCAAATACAGACTGAAGACAGAATCTTGGCTCGAGGTTAGACCGTTCGAGAATGAAGCTCTGCGTGCCGATGAAGTACAGAAGCTCGTGGACCAAGGACAAGAGGCTCTTAGGCGACTGTACATTCCAGAGTCTGATCCACTATGGAACAACTTCCGCCGCGACAATGTTCTCGTCCCACCTACTACTCGGCCCTCAAGACCATCGCCAGTCCCGCCGCCTGCAGAGCCCAAAAAGTCCGTGGTAACAAAGAAAACGAGGCCGTCCGAGATGACGAAGAAAGTGACTGATACGATACCAATGAAGGACGAGAGTGTGCGTCCGCCCAAACCGGAGTCGATGAAGGCCAGAGAGCGGGAAGGGACTCCCACGACATCCGCAGCCGCTGCGAAACCTACGGCAAGGCGGGTACCCGGTTCTGGCTTCCGAGCGAAATCTCATAGCAGCACACCTCCGACGATTGACGGCACTGTCACGGAGCCACAGGCGTCGCTGAAGAGACCAAGCGTCGACCACGAAATGAAGCGTGAGCCTCCGTCACCCGTCCCAGGATCCTCTCGACCTTCATCGTTAATGCCGCCTCCGCCAGGAAAGACTGTTAAACGGGAGGAGGCGGAAGTCAAGAGGAAAAAACATGGTCAGTCTTCCCGCGCAGAGGACACTCGGGAGAAGAAGCGGCCCAAGACGGAGCCTGGTGAAGTCGAGCTGTCTCCGCGAAAGAGACATCGAGACGTCCCGGAGTCGGACTACTCCGATCGGGATTCCGTCGCGAACCTCAGCTTCAAGAAGCGGAAGACGGACCAGCGGGACAGCGACAAATTGCAAGTCAAGGCGGAGCCCCGGGACATGCCAATAGCCAAGAAGGATCGGGACGCATCTCCGCTACCTGCCCGTGTGAAGACAGAACGCCAGCCTACCCCGCTGACCAGGTCCCCCGTTCCAGCTCCGCGCTCCCCCGCGCTCCTACCTCGGCCGCCTGTGCAGGAGCGCGTGGCCTCAGCGGCATCGAACGGCTCGCGCGACACGCGACGTGAAGACACGGCTCCGCGCAATGGCTCCGCGAAGCCGCGTCGACGGGAGCCGAGCTTCACGTCCTCTGAAGACGATGACCCAAAGCCCAAGGCGGACCGCAAGCGCGGCCGCTCGCCGGCGCCGTTGCAGAAGACGCGTGAACGCGAGCAGTCGAAGAAGGCGGCGGTGCTGCCGAGCGATGCGCGTGCGCTGCGACGGCTGTACGACGAGCGCATCCCCGAGTTCGTCGCGTTGCGGAGCAAGAAGAAGCAGCTGCGCGACGACCTGAAGCGGCTCCAGCGGCGCATGCGAGATGAGGGCATCGAGGATCTCAGCACTGACTGTGAAATTCCCGACGATGTCGAGTGCGAGAGCCTGCACAATGCGGAGGCGGCGGCGCGCGAGGAGTGCGTGCGGATACGCGACGCGCTCTACCGGCTCACCGGCCAAGAGATCCCCGGGGACAACGGGTTGTGGTCTGAGGATACCGACTAGGGAGGCGACCCAGGATGGGAACGTGTTGATACCCTTCGGAAAAGTAAAGCCCCAGGTTGGATACCGGCAGCTTTTGTATACCTTATATCCATTCATACGACACAGGCATTTGTGGCAGCTCATGTATAACGGCAACATATCAGTTCTTTGTAACGTGTATTTAGCATTTCACTAATAGAGGATTCTCGTGATGAGTTTAATGCATTGTTTCAGTCTTTGGGTCTAAAGAGGTAGTGTCCAACTCCCCATCTATGCGTCATTCAGTCATTCCGACATTATAATACGGACTAGGCCACGTACTCTTCGCCGCTGTTCAGACCGAAGAGTTCTGCGCAAGCAATGTAGAAGACGCGGAACCTAGTTCAGGTCAATGTGCAGTTCGTTAGGTGATCTTATGGGCGCCTCATCCACACATACCGATAGAACATCTTGCGTCCGTGTTCCTTCCCCAAACCTTGTCTTTCTGCTCCTTTTTCCAACTCCGCCAGGCCAACGGCGGCGTTGCGATCCTGTTGCTTCAGCCAGTCTTCTAGGGTGCGCGAGTAGTGCTGGCCGTTTATCCACCAGCTGCGTACGAGGCTGAGGTCGTCCTGAAAGTACAGCTGAGGGTAGGTTGATGAGTATCCAAACACGATGTCAAGAGCGACATTATGTGCGTACTAGAAGATCGTGCGACGGCATAGTCCCCCCTTCGCAGATAGCCAGTTGTCGGACATGGCCCATACTGAGTAAGGGCTTAACACACCTGAGAAGAAGTTCTGCGCCATCCAGCCGTCACTTTCCTCGAAATGATAAGGAGTCATCTTGTGGCAAAAGATATGGACGAAGAAGAGCGAGTCCTCGCCTGACGGCTCGGTCTTAGGGCGTAGCCAGGAGGAAACTTTGGACATGAGCATCTTGTAGTTCTTCATGTGCTCGAACATCTGTAAGCGTCCAGTTAAATGGCTATATGCGCGACATGAAGAGTATTTACTTCGATAGATAGGACGCGGTCGAACCTAGGCGAAGAGTAGTGTAAGTAGCATGTGAGAACAGGGAATGTTGCGCACCTAGCAGAGCTGTCAAACTCAAAGGTGTTCACGTCGGCTGTGATCACCTACAAAGCTATTCAGCATCGAGCGGTGTGTTACGATATGTGCGACACACTTGAACGTTTGTGAGGCCACGTGATTTGGCAGCCGTGTCGATGTATGCCTTTTGAGTCGACGAATTGGACAGCCCAGTAATGCGAGAGTTTGGGTATTTCTGAGCCAAGTACAGTGACAGGCTGCCCCATCCTGCCCGAGGAGTTTTAGTAGGGTAGAGATTACGAGATACCTCGCTGCATACCACATCCTAGGTCGAGGACGTCAAGTCCATCCCTAAGCTGGGCTTTCTCGCAATAGCTCTCCAACATAAGGACTTCTGCTTCTTCTAGACTCTCTTTCCCAGTCGAATAAAGACAAGAGGAGTACTTCGCATATGGACCGAGACAGGAAAGGATGAACTGGGTAGACACCTATGTATAATAGTGAGTAAAACGAAAGCTGGGCGAATATAAGGCTCGCCTCGTAATGCTGTTCATTCGCCTTCTCCGTCAAGTCAGCAATTGTCGCTCTGACCCGAACTTGCTCGATCCAGTGCATTTTGGCCGCATGGTTAGCCTCAAAACTTCCCAGGTTGATTTCTCTAACCCGTTGGCGGCATAATGCTCGGATAGTGAGGCGCAGAGCAAAATCCGGCACCAAGCCCTTGGTGTTACATGAGCAGGGCACTTGACTTTGAATTTGAGTATTGGACGTGCCTACCTTGTCTAGTAAAGCATACCCCGCAGCGAGACTACCGTCGACAATCTCTTTCAACATGATGGTACACTTTGAAGATGTTTATACCGCACACAGACGACAGCTTTAATTCTAGCAGGAACAAATCGTGTTGGCTGCCCGAGTTGAACTTATGACTGCCAAAATGAACAAGGTTAGCTTTGAGTCGGGAAAAGCCGAAGACGGACTTGCCTGTTTCTCCTCGTGCCTGCCCGTGACGAACATGGCTTGACTCTGCTTGCCCTGCTCCTCGATGGTCTCAGCGACAGTCGGTCTAGGAGGCTTTCTGCAACGCCCTCGAAACAAAGCCGTCCTCGACCGCTATGATCTCGTACGGAAATTCTTCATCCGACAGGCCTTCCCTGGCACGGCCGGCAGCATGCACACAAGGGTATCCTGGTCGCGATATTCCTCAGTGACCTATACCCAGCCATCGACATCGCGCACAGGATTGTTGCCTGAGAGACACACCTGGGACTTTGCTCAGAAAGTCTCTTTCGCTGCGCATCATCCGTCCCGCTCCCGCCAGTCCTTGCTCTTTAGCTATCGGGGCATTCACACGACCACTCAGGTCTCTCAAGATCGTCCGCCTTCTGAGCATCGCAGGCTACCGTCAGAAGGAGAAGAGCCGCAAAATGAGAACAAATCTTCTCCGGGTGTCCAGCCACCTGCTCAGCAGGACTCACGGCCGTTAGAGAACTATTCAAAATTCTTCCGACAGCTCGCTCTGTCGCTCCCTCACGTTCACCGACCAACACGAGACGACTTCCTGAATGCGGCTAGCGGCTTTTGGCAGCGCATGCGCGTACGCTTCAAGTGGCTCACCATTCGGTCGTTCCGCAAGTACAATGCAGACGAGATATCTGCCTTCATAACGTGGTTCTTTATGAGCCAAACACTGTGGTTGTTCGTGGGCACGTAAGTAGTTCGAACTGTCTCTTCAAAAGATGTCTGACTCGTATGCAGGACCACTTTCTTCTCAGTGTTTCTTATAACTGTGAACAGTCTCCGCTTGCAAGGTATGTCTGCCTGGTATCGTTGTTCCATCAATCTCCTGAAAGTTATCGCAGAAAATGTTGCGCGCGCAATTAGCGACTATCTCACTGCGGAGACTGGGATACATATCGTATTTGAGTCCGCCATCGTCCCAAAGTGGAAGGATTCGCGTATATCCTTTAAGAATGTTTACATCACACGTAGACCGGACGTTGTTAACAAAGTGCGAGCGGACAGGAACACTGGGTATCACTATGCGACAGGTTACGACGTCAGCAATCATCCTGCGAACCATGGCTTCATGTATGACGAAGAGGACTCAATCTTGGAAGAGCTGCCAGGCGAAGATACCAACTATTCGATGTTTGACCTCAGCGTGGATACAATCGACGTTACTCTATCTTTCACGCGGTGGCTGGAGGGCAAAGGTCTTGTTACAGATGCAGTTGTGAAGGGCGTACGCGGTGTCCTTGGTAGGTCGTACACTATCAGTACCGCCACTTGCCGATGAATTTCTCCACAGATCGGCGATTCGTACACTGGGATCCCGAAAATCCTCTTGACCCGGCTTCCTTCCGCCACCAGGCCCGGCAAGGCGACTTCGAACTGGAATCTTTCCAGCTAGAGGATCTCCTGGTTACCGTATACCAGCCAGGTAGCTTCCGGCCATTCACGGCCTCCATCTTCCGCGCAGACATTCGGACATTCCGGAAGCAGTGGCTCTTTTACGATTTCCTTTCAGCGGAGAACGTCGTTGGGCAGTTCGATAATTGTCTATTCAGCTTGCACAAACCGCAAAGTATAGGACGTACTACCGAACAGGACCTCAAGGATGGTCAGTGGGCCCGTATGGTAAGTATATGCGTGCAGTTCACCATATGTGCCATGACTAAGCCCGCATTGTAGTCCCGACTTCGCATCGATGGTGTCAACATCGATCACCTGCAGCACATGTCCACACAGGAAGGCCCCATTTCCTGGATCACCTCTGGCAAGGTGGACGCGGTACTAGACATTAAGTTTCCACGTGACTACAGCGATGATTCACCCTTCAACACTCTCATTGGTGAGATTGCAGACGCGATCACGACTGCCGCAACGTCGGCGGTCGCAGAGCGCATTCCTGGCCAGCGTGAGCTCGCGAAGCCTCCGCTGAGCGCGCCATCGGACCAAACTGCTATGCCTGCAGACAGCGCGGAGCACCCCAAAATCATCATTGACATTGACCTGAGGTTCCGTGACCTCAAGACAGCAGTGCCGTTGTTCACTGCGGATCTGTCATACGCCAATAATGCGCTCATCAGACCGATTGTCGCGTTCATGAAGTGAGTGCCAGCCACACGTGTGTTTAATATCTCGCTGGCTGACGTGCGGATCTAGTGCAAATCGTACTCTGATACCCATTCACTCACGTGTTGTCAAGGATCTTAGCAACTTTGATGGCGCATGGACGATGTGGGAGAGTATGTCCCATCTCTTTCGTGCCCCTGTACCTTCTGACGGTTATCTCGCCCTGACAGCTGGCCTCGTGGACGATATAGGGGCGAAGGTGTATGAGGCTATGGCCTACCACGTCACACAGGCAAATTTCAACCGACGCGTGAAAGCTGTGAGCGCATGGAGCCTGCAGATGACTGCGAGCGCCATCTTGTCCGCCCTCCGTACAGCTATGGATCCGATGGCCTCTCACCTGAGGGAAGTCTATTCGGAGGGGCTGCCGTACGACATAGCCTTCCCTGTGGGGTTGGCTGAGGGGACGAGCATCTGAGATACAGGGGGAGAGCTCAGGGCAGTAATGAAGGTAGAGAAGAGAGGACGTACGTAAACGCCACACCCCACCTGCGAGCGTTAGTTAGAGCAGGGTCGATGTAAGCGCGCATCCAGTCAGTAAACGATCTCTGCTATCGAAGTGTGCCAGCTCATATCCGGATGACTAGGCCAAGCTTGCAAGCTCTCAGTGGCTCACTGACCGGCGATCCATGAGACCAATACCAGCTGTTATCTTCTTAAATGTGGCCCTCTTTCGCCAGATGGGCTGGTCTGTGGGACCCCCATCTGGCGAATCTCCGACGTATCGACCATCTTGTGAAGATATCGTGGCGTTGTGAGCGTCCGCTTAGCTGTAGCTCATGACCGTAACACACAATTTCACCAACTACGCAAGCGAAATGGCTCATGCCGGCAAGGCTTGCTCGGGCGATCGCAATCTTGTAACGTGGTAAATACGTGGTAAGTACGTGACCTTAAATCGCATGCATCGTGATACCCAGGGCCACAGGCAGTTCAGCAGAATATTGCACGAGGCTGCCCTCCCCAGGCAGCGCCCGCGCCTCAGAGGCGCTTCTCAAGACTCGCTCAACAAGCCGCACCCAAGCTGAGAACTCCTTATTTCGTTCATACTCTCGCATCTCAACTGTAGCATCACGTTATCCTACCAATGTAATGACGCCTTGCCAAGCCTAAAGCTGCCTCTGCACATCACCGTACTCCGCATAATGTGCTCCGATAGTAGAAGATCAGGTGAGATCTATCTGGATTTCGAGCATCCTCATAGCTCACCGTCAAGACATATCTTCACGTCACTAAGGCCACCCGCTACTCATGCCGCAGCCGACATATTTTGGGGTTCGCTTCTCGAAGCAAAATGCGCACACCTCAAGGCTGTTTTGACACATTGCTATGAGAGTGAGGAAGCCCTGTCCTGCATATCCCTTCTTTTGGTGCGCAACTCGCGGTATGATTTGCTACCCAACAATTGGTAAGGTCGCAGCCGCTATCATGCCATTCTACTATCGCTCACCGGGACGCAGATCTGAATACTACGCAGGGTGCGTAATGGAATCGCCATCGGCCCTTTGCCCCACCAAATCTTACCGCCACCTCGCTACAAACCCGCTTCTTGTGTTCAGTGGCCTACGCGTATTCTGCGCTCGAGCTCGCAGCTAGTACAGCCTAGCTTTCGACGATAGATAGCGCTGGGGCGGACCCTGAAAGCCGACGATCACTCGCACCTGCGCGACATCTCATCTCCTCGCTCTGACCTAACACGCTAAAGGATAACATACTGTGGGGAATGGATCGCATGCTCCCATGGAAAGTACGTGATGTTTATGATCACAAATAATGCTTGCTGGCTTATGGCCTGCCAGTTAAACTTGGGAGCTACGTGCCTGGGAGTCAAATCGGTCACATCTGATGCCGCACATCTTCGCAGAAGGAGTCTAGGTCCATAAGCGCAGGTCAGGTTTCTCACCTCGTGGCGTGACAAGCAGTCTGTCCGATGCTTTTTTGTGCTATCTCACCGCACAACGAGTTATTATCACAGGTGCTACATTACGTCCAACTGTGCAAACAGTTAAAGACTGGCGTCGAGCCCTGCTTCTCGCTCTTTGTAAAGCCCTTCATCTCACGATCCCGGTGCGTGGCGTCTCCGATGCGGCAGCTCCTCTCGGAGATAGAGCCCAAGGCCGCAGGCATGCCCTTTCTTCGTGCCTGTGCACGCCGACCATCTATTGGCTGCGTCGAAAATATAATCGCACATGATATCGCATGTCGCCGATTCTTGAGATTGAGTGCAAGATTGGGTTACATGGTGCGTCGTTTGTCCCGCATCTCGTGTCGCGCTAACCGTGATAGTATGGTGCAGGGCATGCATAGACAAGTGCATGAGCAGAAATTCTTACGTACGGAGACGACTCGAGGCTATCCGTGCATTGGCCCAGCCTGGCTCTCTGGGATATAAAATGCACTAAAAATTCGAACCTGTATGCTCTTCAACCGGTTGCATCTACAGTAATGACTCCTGACACGCCAATTCCGATTCCAGCAGAGCAACTCGCTCAGGGATATCGATTGACCGACATGCTTTGGAGTAAGTCCCAAGCTGCACGTCTGGCGATACCTGGCGCTAACGTCTGGAAGTTTGCTCGTACGTGGTGCTCCTCTATGAGTACCGTGAGTATTGTACTGAGTAGTCCGGGAAGTGTGCTAACTAACGGCCTGATCGCAGTTATTACGCTCGACGACGAGGTTGGTGCCCTGTGCGCCATATTCGCTGCACAGCTAACCTGATACAGATATCCTTCATCTGGACGGGCGGGTGGACGCGAGCGAGGATTCTATACTTAGCGGTACGCGGGAAACCCTATGATTATACTACCAATTTCTGATAGGATCGTGCAGAATCGTTACTGGCCGTATGTATCTTGAACTCTCGCTCTGCCACCAGACTGAACGATTATTGTTCGTTGGTTCAGGCTTGTCAACTTGATGTACGTGCCTTCTATATTTCAAAGCCCATGTCATTTTTATGCGACCACAGACCCTCAGTTATATGTGCGTCGCGAAGTGCCTCTTTCATGACTCTTGTCTCACTGCACAACAGCTCTCAACCTCGACAATCCTGGAGCCAGGGTGAGGATGCGAGTCTGCACTTTGGCCCGAGACAGCTGACGACTAGTAATCGCAGTTCTGCGCCTTCTGCTATGCTTGGTTTACATTTTCGAACCTTGTAACCCAGTTCACCACAACCCGTTGGTCCAACTTATCTTATTTCGCTTACATATCTAATGCGCCCCTAAACAGTTATCCTCATTCTCCGATTGTATGCGATGTACGGGAGCAGCAAGAAACTCCTGTATTTTATGTTGTCACTGCAGGTTGCCATGCTCGCTTTACAGGGCGCTATGACAACTTTCATGACAGGTGGTGCCAAGTGTATGTTCTCGAGTGCTAATGGTAGTCCATGATTGCTCTCTAACGCATACACGATAGTGATGCCCTTGTCTCATGTATCTGGCTGTCTACCAGGGCACTGGGTCTTACAGCCCTGGGCGTACGGGATCCCAACCGGTGTGCTCGACGGCGTCCTCTTCTTCCTTGTCACTATCAAGTCGATTCGACATTTCCTCAGTCAGGACAGGCACACACCAGAGCTTTTCGTCGTTATGCTGGCAGATTCGATAGTGTACTTTGCCTCGGTAGTTGCTGTGTTTGTGGCGAATCTGACTGCGTGGGTGATCGGAGGGGTACGTTTCCTATCATAATGAGCTGATACTTGTGCTGACGTGACCATTCAGGCGGCACTCTTTGCGGCACTACCCGAGTAAGTCTCGTCAGAAAAATCCGCCGCTTGCAAGCTCACAACTTCCAGGACGCTCATAGTGGCGTACTCGATCATCGGGTGTCGAATGCTGATCAACGTCAAGAAGACGGTACAGCCTTGGAACGCTGCGCCTTGGAGAAACGAAGACACGGCGGTATTCTCAGCGGTTGTAAGACCCTTAAGTTTCTTCCGCATGAGTGTCCGCACACTTCTCCCCGTGGCGCAAGATAACAGTTCAACGTGAATCACGTTCACGTAGACGAGTGCTAGTTGCGCACAGCGGTCTGTAAAATGCTCTTGTTATATGCTTTTGGGATATCATTACAGCCTTACAGGAGCACATCTTTCTTCGTTTCTACAGCGAACCAGTCTGAGACAACATAAATAAGCGATTTTCCTTTCCGGGTAAGACACAGCAATACCTAACTTACGCTGACCATCTTTGTTTTGCCACAAAAAATCGCGTCAATTTATGAGTCTGAATTGTTCACGAGCCTGGGCTGTCAGGTTGCTTCACGAATATCACTGACAGTACTAAGCACAATACTGCAGTACGGTAGGCTGGCGATCCCTTCTGGAAGTTACTACTGGCAGCGCGTACTATACGATGTCCGGGGTCCCGGCCAAATATGACATAGCTGCGGAATCAGACGCTAAGCCCCATAGCTGCGGACTAATCGCGGTCCTTCTCTCCTCAACTACCACTACCACCTCTTCGAGCGACGCAATGGCTAGTAATTATCCCGTACCTCCGCCATCGTATTCCAACAATAAGGACCTCACCTCTGTCTCGTCCGACGAAGAGGCGCAGCAGCCGCTTCTGCGCCCCCAGGCTGGGCCCAGTGCAGGCATGGGAGGATACTACGATCAACCACTGGCTGGCGACGTTCCTGACGACTTCAAGGTTCGATAGAACCTCTCTTGCTACGCGTTCGATGTTTGACCTTCTAAGTGCAGTACGGAACAACCGTCGCTGACAGCGCGGTTGAAATTAGGAACGCGTTCGTTCGCAAAGTCTATACCATCCTCTGTGAGTTCCCGGTCTTCCTGATAGTAAGTGTAACAATCTAATTTTCCCTAGTCATCCAGATCGTAGGCCTTCTTATTTTATTGATCGGTTTTGTCACTAAGCCAGAAGCCAGCTTGCCACTTGCATTGTTGCCGGCGGAATCGCTTCCTCCGACGATGCAATCTTCTGGGTCGTGACGCAGTAAGTGTACACATGTCTCGTGTTTGTGTATCGCACTCAACTAATCTGCCCTAGTCAATGGTCGTTATATGTCCCACTCTTCGGTACCCTCATCAATCTCGGTCTCTTGTACTGGAAGCGTCACAGCCACCCGCTCAATTTCGTCCTCCTGTCGACCTTCACCCTCATGGAAGCCTTCACTCTTGGCGTACTTGTCGCCTTCTTTGAGACCAGAATTGTCCTGCAGGCTCTGTACGTCCGCATTCTCCTCTCCCCTCTCCGCTCACACCCTAACCCGTCTTCCAGGCTTATCACGCTCGGCGTGTTCCTCGGCCTGACGCTTTTCACTTTCCAATCCAAGTACGATTTTAGCGGAATGGGCCCCTGGCTCTTCGGTGGGCTGGTCGCGCTGATGATGACGGGTTTCGTTGGGATGATCTTCCCCTTCGGCCGCACGATGGACCTACTCTTCGCCGTCGGCGGCACGCTGCTTTTTAGCGGATACATCGTTTATGACACGTATCTCATCAACCGTAGGCTCTCACCTGACGAGTACATCCTGGGCGCCATCAGCCTTTACCTTGAGTGAGTTTCTCAGCTTACCTCACAAAGTGTATGCGCAGTTGCTGATCGCTTATTGCGTAGCTTTATCAATCTCTGTAGGTTCTCGCTGTAGGCTTGCCTTTCCCAGTTCGCTGACTGTTGTGTACAGTCATCAACATCCTCCGTCTCCTCAACAATATGCAGGATCGGTAAATAAATAAATAAACCCTAGCCAGCTAATTCGCCGATTTCCTCGCACATCCTCATGCACTCCGTTGCCGCTTGGTGAATGTGTCTTAGCTTCATCTGTACTTTCAAATACGCTGCTTTGAACTTGCTTTGTACTGGTACTTGATAATTGGATGCCATTCAGATCGCCACTTCTCAGAGCCCTTCAGATATGATTATAGGTTACACTTCATGCGTTGTGCACTACTCAAACACATCCACATCCACTCCACCATTCCACTAACTAGAAAAGTCAAAGTCTTCACTCTCAAGCAGACGGCGCGTACGCGGGATTGGACGGGACATCTTGGTTCTTAGCAGGAGCGGGGGCAGGCGCCGGAACCGCAGTAGGATCCGCTGAAGGAACGTTGTCTACCGCACTATTGGGGTCCTCCACAGGCATGGTCTTCTCTGCAGTCTTCGCAGGCACCTCCTTCGCAGGGAGGTTGCTGTCGAAATTGAGCACGCCCATGCTCGGGTCCTTGCCGGTCATGTTCTGGGATGGCATCAGCGGATCCGTGTCAAATACGAACGAATGACGCTTCACGGTTGGCGCTGACTGCACGTTTGCGTCCGCGTCCGCGCCGGGGACGGGATCCGTGTACTTGTAGCTGTCGACGTGTGGGTACGCGCCGGCGTTCGCGGTCGTGGGCACCTCTTCGTCCACTGGGTGGGGCGCTGCGGCCTCCTGGGCGGCGGCCTGCGCTGCGGCAGCTTCCGCAGCGCTGTTGTCTGCACTGGTGAGAGGTGTGTCGGGGATCGTGACCGGGGCGGCACCAGTCACGCCAGAAAGGGCATGTGGCACGGCGCCGATGGACTTCACGCCACTTGCGAGCCCAGAGCTGTACGCGGCGGGGCCAGTAGCGTCGTCCTGCGAGGTGCGGTCCTGGGGGCGGGTATCCAGAGTGTTCGCGGCAGGGGTCTTCTTATGCGCGGTCTTCGCATACTTGGAGCGATCGACCGCGCGGCGAGCCAGTTGTGCGGAAGGCTCACTTCTCTGACCAGATGTCCCCACATGCTTGTGTTTATGCTTGGTGTCCGCCCGGCGAGCAAGCTTCTGAAGAGTCTCGGTGTCATGTCCAGAGGATCTGTGGTGCGAATCCTTCGATGATTGACGTTCCTCGTCGCGGCGAGCCATCTGTTCGTCGTCCTCGTATCTACGCAAAGAGGCAGATGCAGGAAACATATCCCCTGGTTCACGCTTGTCAACGTGAGCAGTGCGCTCGTAGACCGGTTCCGGGGGCTCCCCGAGATTGCGAGACTCGAACTGTGAGATGTCGAGCTTGTTCTTGTCCTTCCCCTGCTGCTCGTTCCGCATGTGCGCATGGTATTCCTTCTTTTTCTCGGCGCGTTTGTGAACACCAGAGGCAAGACCACGGGAGACAAAGCCAGAGTCACGCTTGTAGGCACCAGGAGTAACCACAGGAGTATAGCTGGGATCGCGCTTGCTGGGGGCCTGTCCAGCCTGAGGAACCGCAGGAAGGGTCGAGTTGGGGCTAGCCTCAAAATCAGCACTGTGAATTTGCCGAGGGCGGATGTCGACAGAGTCATGGTTCGAACGACGGGCATGCGACACGCCGCCTGGAAGTTGAGGGCTCGGGAGGTTCGCGTTCGGGACGGCTGTAGGTCCTATGGCACCGAGAGTAAAGTCGCCTAGACCAGGGACAGGGACCACCTTGGACATCTGCATAGGCGCGGCGGTGGCGTGGAGGGCAACACACACCGCCGCGAGGAGGCCGAGTGCGCGCATAGATGTGGAAGAGTCGTGAAATGTAAGGAGCGTGTATGTTCTTGTGGGTGTTGAGGGCCGTGCGGGCGTGGGTTAGCTTGCAGGAGGTAGGCTGTGCGAGCGGCAGTGGGCGTCGAGGAGAGAGAGGCAGCGTGCTGGTTCAAGTTCAAGTTCGCCGAATATGTACAGAAGCGGCTGACTGCGAGGGCTTCGATGTCCAAACCTTGTTTTTTAGAGAGACCCCCACCGCCAGTCTCAATTTCTACTCACATCTCGCTGGAGATTTCCTGGAGGGTTCCCATGCCTGCATATCCTGTGGAGGTCAACGTTCCACACACCCTGGGTGCGAGGTGGAAGTCGCATGTATTCAATCTGGGACATCTGAAGTGAGACACACCAAGCTATAGGCTGCATCCACTGACTCCAGGCGTTGATAGAATCGGGAGATATTAAACCAACACAAGCCATCCGATCGTTGTGGATGATGGCTATGCATGCCGCGCGCGGGTCGTATTCCGGGCATCTTGCACGAGATAGTCGCGTTTCTGGATTCGCCCGACACTGCGTTTCAAAGTGGTCAGTTAAGTGCAGGTGAATATTCAAGCCATCACCTCTGTAGGCAGGCTTACGAATGGGTGTTACGCTTTAGTCGCCAGAGGCATACACCGTCATTGTCTCGCTATGCTCACCGACATTGAGGACGTCGGCGATATGAGGCGCCGGCGGGTCAAACGGCGACCAAGCACCGGCAAACAAAGACCGTCGGGAAGGAAGCGCTTGTTCGGGCTCTTGTCCTGCGACTAGCGCGTGCTCACCTTCGGACCTCTCGCAAAGTATCGTATATCTACCATCGCGAGGAGCACTGCACTTGTGTGCTGCTTGCTCGTCAAAACGCCGAAGAATGCAGAGCGGAACGGGTGCACTGCATCCGGATAAGGGACGCTTTATTGTCTTCCGCCTTACCGAGAACAATGAAGGCCAGCAGCCTTCCGGCACAATGAGAGGCCTTCTCTCATAAGGCATGCCTGTCGCCACACTCCTGTCGTTTGCACGGCCTTGTTGTGCGCGCCGTCGTCTCTCTCGCCGTCTTTTCACGACCTCCAACGTCTTCCCCCTTCCTCCCAGTCGCCGGCCGACCTCCTTCGACAAGCATGTCTGCGACAGCGCCTGTTTACGACCCTCGTTCGACACACCACACCACACTAACACCATATCTGCAACTGCCACACCTCCTCTCCCTGACGTGGCTCGCGTATCCAATTCTCTCGCTTCTCTTTGTCGCGTTTCGCCTCCAACTTTCGTCTGCCTCTGCCCAGGACGCGGTATCAAGCGCGAAAGATGACCTTCTTGCAAGCTGTCAGGCAGCTGAGAAAGCCGCCACCGCCGCTGCTAGCATGCCCCGGTATATGGCTGCCGCTACAAATGTCCGCATCACCGAAGCCGTGAATGGGACTATGAACGGCGCACGTGCAGCCCTCGTGCTCGCGCTGACGGTCATGGAAGCTATCATCAACTTCATAGTCGACATGTACCGCTCGACCTTTCTCTGTTTTCTCGAGCTTGTGGTGAGGGGTGCACTATCGATTCTCATTGGGGCGGTGCAAGAGGTAGGTGTCAATATGTGCTTCCCTGAACAATTACCTGACGCGTCTCCAGTTCAACAGCTTTCTCTCTAATACTTTTAGTAGTCTGCGTACCTCCATCCAAGATGACGTCCAAACCGCCAACAGCGCCATTACGACAGCCATCAATGCGATAAACAAGGTCAACCCATTTGGCAACATTACCGTCCCTCAAATCAGCGTACCGAGCTTAAACTCGTTGCAAAACGTAACACTTCCCTCGGACTTTGAGAATGCTTTGGTAACGCTCAACAATTCCCTGCCTACAATCTCGGACCTCAAGTCGACGATCGACGATATGTAAGCGGGCTGCACCCCTCCGTCAATACGAAGCTGATGGCTTGTAGCATTGATACCCCGTTCGAGCTTGTCAAGAAAGACATCAATGATACCTTTGCTGGGCTGACCTTCGATGCGTCTGTGCTTCCTGTGCCTGCTCAGAATACCGTCGAATTCTGTAGTGATATGGACACGTCTGTGGTCGACGATCTCGGACACGACCTCGTCAAGATAACCAAGATTGGTACTGTCATACTGATCGCCGTTGCCATATTGCTTATTGCCGCCCACTGTGCTCTGGAGTGGTACAAGTGGCGCTGTCTCAAGAATCACCTGCGTTTCACCCGCGAGGCATGGACGTCGGACCCGTCTGTCACGTATACCGGAAACAAAAGCGCGCCGACGGTGCACCTCAGCGATCACAACTTGATGATGTTGCAGGGGAACATGCAGCACCCGCTGTTGACCAAGATTGCCAACCGCATCGCGCGGCTCCTACGCTTTAGCCCATCGCAATACGTCCACCTAACGTGGTTCTTCCACTACGTCTTCCACCCTCCTGCACTCGCCTGCTTCCTCATTGGCTTCTTCGGTCTGCTCTCGGTACAGATTCAGCTCATCGCCATTGGGCCACTAGAGCACAAGTTCAGCCAGCAAGCCGCTGCCTCGGTGAACGACTTCCAGAACACTATCGCGACGTCGATAAACGCAAGCATGTACAATCAGAGCGCTACATACGCGAACGACATCAATGGACGTGTGGATCAGGTTCAGAGCACCGTGAACGATGGACTTTTTGGATGGGTCAATGGCACGACGACGACGCTGAACGACACGATCAACGCGTTCTACACGGACATCCAGGACGCGGTTAACACTGTGTTCAACGGCACTATTCTCCAGGAGCCCATCGACGAGTTCATCCGCTGCTTCATTGGCAGCAAAGTCAACGCGATCGAGAGCGCCCTCACTTTCCTCCACAACAACCTCTTGATCGACATCCCGCGCGTCAACGATTCCGTGCTTGTACTTTCCCCAGATGACATCCGCGAAGTCACGCAGCCCATCGCTACGGCTGCGATTGGTGGCGGTAACAACAACAGTCAGGGCGTCATCGGCAAGCTTGTGAACACCTACGTCGCCTCGCTTGAGAAGGAGCGCATCATGTTCAGCATATTCATGGACCTGTGGGGGTTTGTCGTCCTTATGGCGCTCTCAGTCATCTTCTGGCACTCGTATGGGCGTGACTGGGTGCAAGCTTACAAGAAACGCCGCTGGCGCAAGACACAGCGCGCGGGTATCAATGACGTTGTCATGCCCTTCCGCGACTCCGGCCATGAGGCTCAATCTCAGGACATGGGCGGAGACGTAGAGAAGATGCACCGCGTTGACCTCCCGCCCTCTATGACGCGGATGTCGCTAACCGACAAGAACAAGCTGCACCCCTACGGACAGAACCGCAATCCCCAGCTTGGTAAGTCCTGGGAGTCGTTCCTAGACCAAGCCCAAGCCCAGTCTGCTCCCGAGCCCAAGTCCCGTTCCGCGATCAGCCTGCGCAAGTCTCAGGCCTTACCACCAAGCAGCCCGACCCCGGGTGTATCGAACTCCCCAACTGAGCCTTGGCACAAGCGTTTCTTAACGGCCTTTTGGCGACGCAAGGCATCCCCGGACGAAGAGCAAACAGGCGAGAAAAGCCCTACACCTAACTTGAGCATGCGCGAGAAGCCGCGCCCGCAGCTCATAATCACGACGAGTGACGGCGACGTCGAAACGCTGACGGACAACGATGAGGGCCGTGTGGAGCCGAGCTCGGCGTGGAGCGTCTCCCCGCGCAAGCCAGGCTGGCTCTCGAGCGTCGCGCCGCCGAAGCTGCCTACCCTGCGCCCGAAGCAGCGACACCGCGCGAGCGTCCCGCTCGACATCGGTGTCACGCCCTCCGCGCCTGCCGCCGCGACACCGCTGGACAACGTCGCGCCGTTCGCGATGCCGCTGCACCACGGCTACAACCACCCGCCGACCCCACCACCGAACATGCAGCTCCCCGCGTACGCTGCGCCGGCGTACATTCAGACACCCCTGTCGCCGCCTCCCCCGAAGAAGCTCGGAATTCGCGCGTCGACACTCGACCCGTTTGCAACGCCCTTTGATGACCGCTATGCCGTGCGAGACGAGGTGCCTTTCTCTGGGAGGAAGAGCATGACGAATCCGTTTGTGGCTATATGAGGAGGGACTTTTGGATACCCCCCTGCGTTTGGACAGGTTTACATGCTCTACGTTATCACCTCTCGCCTCGCCACTGCCAGTGCGAGGTAATATAGTTGCAATGTATATTTTTTATCTTTATCAATAACACACTAGTCCTTTCTTTACTGTTGTAGCCTTTCCTTTACATGCACTGTAATGTACTTCATGCCGTCGACGTTAATGCGATGTCATTTGTACCATTGGTGCTGCTTACGGTACTTGAAAGCGCATCGTATCCTACGCGCATTTATAACTCATCGCAGCTGTCACCTGCCTCTTCATGATCCTCGTCGTTCTTTGCTTTCTTTGCTTGCTTCTTCGCGCCTTGCTTCTTCACACCAGCATCCTTGTCTAGCTTTACGCCGGCGCTCTTCACAACAGCCCTAATCTCCTCTGTCCACGCCTCCAGATCCACCTTCTCGTCGGCACCTTCGTCTTGACGAGCACTCTCTCCTACATCTTTGTGGTTTTCACCCAACGCCCCAGCAAGCCGTTGAAGTACCTTCACTTCCGTAGCCCATACATCCCACCCTTCTCCCGGGCGAAACTGGTTTCCACGGCGTGCACCGGCCGTAGGTTCGAACGCTGGTGTCTCGAGGATGAGGGGGATGTCCCGTGTACGGCGGTCGTTCAAGATGTGGGCGAAGGTCTGAAGGCCGAGATGACCTCTGCAGGCAAACCATTTTCAATACAGTAGTACGGAAGGCGAAGCAGGAGGGCACGGTACGTACAGGCCGATGTTCTCGTGTCTGTCTTTGCGGCTCCCGAGCGCAGCTTTGGAGTCGTTGAGATGCATGCCACGAAGATATTTGAAGCCAATTTGGCGTTCGAACTCGTCCACTGGACATGAATATTATCTTAGCGGGTACTGGTGATCACTGCAGACAATACGCACTTGTCACACTGGATCAAAACCAGCATGTTGAGAGTTGAGGCAATATGAATCATGAGAGAAGACGACGCACTTCCAGCCTTCCTCGGTGCGAATATCGTAACCCTGGTTTTCCAGTCGTAAGTATAACTTCGTTCTTCAAGGCATTGTGCACACAGAAATTATAAAATCTTACAGCAGCGAATACGTGGCCTTGATGCATGTCAGAGTACTACTTCAGATCTGCTCGAGGAGAACTTACACGTGTCGATACAAACACCAACACGACTCTTGTCCTCGACTTGTTCTATTATCCTTCCGATCTCGGAGAACTTCGAGCCAACAACGCTACCAGCACCAACCTGAAGAACCCGTTAACGACTGATTACGGCGTAACCAAGAAAGGGATTACCATAGTCTCTATCACCGTGATGATGCGCTCTGTTTCTTTGTGAGCGCGGTTGATGCATTCAGCGATTAAGGTGAGGGAGTCATCCGTGGTTCCTTGGCCTACGGACGAGCCTGGGCTAATATGAGAGTAGGTATTTGTTGCCAACATATACACCAGGGTAACGCACTGGAAGTTGTACAGTAACAGCCCAAGCTGTTCACATCGTTTTAGGTCGTCGACAAAGCAATCGTACGACTTCGCTCTCTTATTCCTAATACGCGCATCAAAAGATGTGTAGGTAGCAATGGAATATTTTACTTGCTCGTCTGGGTTTCCTAGGTTAATGAGATAATTCCCATGTGGCAGGATATGCTTGGAGTCGTAATTAAACTCTCCAAGCCTCTTCTTGAAGGAGTCTATCGACTCCTGAGTAAGCGGTGGAGAGTCCCATTTCCTTTGCGACTTCATAAACAAAGCAAAAGCGGTCGCTCTACGCTGCACAAGCGCATTGAGCGTATGACTTGAACCCAACCATTTGGAACGTACCCGATGCTCGCTGCGTTTAGGATCGTGTTCTGAACGCCTCCGGCCGCAGAGACATGAGGCCCAATCTTCCAAGGAGATTCGGACCTCTTTGGGAAGTCAGCTAGAGTATATTCGATAGCTGCTACCTTCTTCCGGGATGCCTTCACTTTTCTTGTGGGGATCACCGCCTCTGTATCGTCTTCTGACAAAGCTGTCAAATCCGAAGAGTCAAGAGACGGGTTCCGAGCGCGTTTTCTCGCGCTTCTCGTTTGTTTTTCTACAGGGCCGGATTTCGCGACTGCCTGGGTATGAGTATGGCGAGATTGCTTCGCGCGAGTGTCAGAGCCCTGAACAGCCGCAACGGTAGCGGTGTGGGAGGTGCGAGTCACGCCAACGACAGTCGAAGCAACAAGAGAGGTCGAAGCAGCCAGGCGAGAGCTTCTGCGCAACGGTGTTGTCATTTTGGAGGCGATTAATGGCAAGTACATCAACGAGGAGAGGTGTTCAAACAAAGCGCCTCGTCCCCGCGTCATGCGTCAATCCCGCCTCAATCCAAATATGGCATTGATGCGCTTTCAAGAGATCAAAATCTGGCGCTTTTCTTCGCTTCGTCGAGCGCATATCAGAGCTGTCAAGTCACATCCGCCTTCGCTTCGGTCCCTCTCTGTGCACTGACTCGGGGCGCTCTTGGTATAAAGAAATTCGCTTTAACTCAGATGGCGGCTACAGGAAACGTACAAGCTGAGGATACTGCTACAACAACGAACACAAGCACAACGATGAGTACGTCCACCGATGCACCAGTCACCTCTGATACCACTGCCCCTGCCGGTCCTATCCCGATGTCCTTCCCCGCTATCCTACGGGGCTCAGGCGGAGCGAACGACCGCTTCGCACACCTACATGCATCGACCGATCGTGCTGGAGGAGACCTCTCTGCTCTCGTTCCCAAGAAGAATAGGAGAGACGAGAAGGAAGGCAAGCGATGGGTACGGAGGAAGGAGAATGGTCCGTGTCGTTCCTCGCTGTGCATTCGCAGGGACTGAGCGGATGCACACCCTTCATCAACTGTAGCTCGCTTTGTGGGCAACCCACATATCACCAGACCCTCCGGGTCTGATCTATCTGTTCCAGTCCCGCACGTCAGACCGACTTTCCCTAGCCCACTTCCTGCCTATCTTCCTCGCACTGCCGCCATCCCCTCCGCGATCCCTACAGTCAGAGAACCCAGCTCTGCCTCTGCTGGACAGTTCTCTCTGAGCTTGAAGGGCATGCGCAAGGAGCTAAGAGGACGTGGAGTCATGACTGAAGTCCTAGTCAGGGAGGTCGAGGGCGAGCTTATGAGCTGGTTGGCCGTGGGCGTGTGGATAGACCCAGACTCAGTCGAGGTATGCAATGACGAGAGTACTCCTATCGGTACGCTCGGTGTCATTCGGGAGGTTGAGCGGACGCATATGCGGTTGGTCTGGGAGATCAATGACGACGCATTCGCCCGTTACGTGGTGCACTGCTGCGCTAGATACCACAATGTGGTTAGCTTCAGTGAGTTCTACGTTCGTTCGACGACGTCGCTCTGTTTATCGTCCTTTAGGCAAGGATTCGCCCACGGGCACCTCGCCTCCGAAACGTCTCACGTACATCCTCCGCCCACATGTTACTCGTCCGAACCAGATCCCACTCTTCGAGCTCCCGGCAGGGCTTGATACACCTCCCGTCACCGATATGGGTACTGACTTCGACTCTGTTGGCGGCACAGACCTTGGTACCGATATCGACGTCGAGTCCGACTTTGTCTTCTCCGAGCTAGACTCTGATGCAGAGTTAGAAGGCGCCCCGCCTCCGCTTCCAAGGCATTCCGCCCTTTCCGCGATTGCGGAGTCAGCCGCCGGCTCGCCGCATCTGGGCCCTGTTGGCATGGTTCAAACAAATTCGGACGCAGAGCACGACGCTGACGCAGAACACTCTGACCTTGGGTCCGATGCAGGCGAAGACGAGCTAGAAAATGGCATAGCCGGTCTGGATATTATACCGCGGGGGGATAGAAGACTCCCTCTTCGAAGGAGGTCACGGCCGTGGGACAGGCAACGAAGGGCTCCGTCGTCCCCGTCCGGCTCACCCGCAAGACGCAACCCACCCAGACGAGTACCGAGAGTCGACCAGCCTGTTGCTGGAGATAGAAAGGTCTCATTCCACAATTATCTCTTTGCGTAGTGAGTTCAGAGCGAGCGTTTCCCGTGTATAGGATGCCCCATTCCTCATCCTGGCTTACCTGTGATTCATACGCCATTTGTACAAGTAGACTCGCTAAACCAAGGCGTTTCATGATTTCGATTAGGCACCCACGTTGTTGCGCGTTAGGCCCTTGCCCTAAACTGTACAGAATATATATTCCATTTTATATTTCTGTTACCATAACAACATTTGGATGCTGTTGGGATTTATCGCCGGCTCTTGTGATGCTTTCATTTCGAAATAGAGAACGAATGTCTGCTTGACCCCCGCGCTGCGAGGGTCTGTCAGAAAAAGGCAAGAGCTTCCGATTCTAACATGAACAAATAAACTACGCGCCCGCTATGCTGGCGTGTCACCGACCCATTACACGCGTCCGTGCGCGACAGCTTCCTACCATGTCCTTAATCTTTACCATATTCACCCTTGTATTTTTAACTGAGCTCATCTCATGGATAGGCAAGTCCGTCCTGCTTGAGCTGGTAAGCCTCCGCATTCTAGATCCCCACTGTACCCGACTCATAAGCCCCGCCCGCAGGTGTACGCACTGTACTTGCGACTGTTCTATTCCTCAAAAATTGCGCAGCAGAAGAAGCTGAAAACTGAAATCCTTGTGAACAAGAAGGAGCTCCTACAAACGAGTGCGCAGGATCAGTTCGCAAAGTGGGCGAAGCTGAGGAGGGGCGTGGACAAGGGGTTGGCTGAGTTGGAGAAGCTCAGTGAGTCACCGGTCCTCGCCGCACTTGCCGTACGGCGCGTGGCTGTCGCAAGGCTCTGGTGCATCTGACACGTTTGCCTTTTTGCAGATGGGGAGCTTTCATCTAGCAAGACATCCTTCTCGCTGAAGTTCAACACCATTGTCTGGGTTCTGACAGCAGGCCTCCAATTCTTCGTGGGCTGGTGGTACCGCAAAGCTGCTGTCTTCTATCTGCCACCTGGGTGGTTCGGCCCCTTGACTTGGTGGCTCTCGTTCCCCTTCGCTCCCGCAGGTTCCGTGAGTTGCGGAGTATGGCAGATGGCGTGTCGCAGAGTGATCAAGGTCGGAGAACGTGTTGTGAAGAATCTGGCTTCAGGTGAAGTCTCCCGTGGCAAAATGTACTGCCCATACAAATATTTAATCCTCGCACAGTGTCTGCGGAGCCGACGGCCGTCCCTGTACCAACACAGGAGAAGGAGTCAACATCTAACAAGAAGACTTCATGATAGTCCGACCCCATGTATTACCTTTACGCGGGCTCTTGTATTGACATGTCAATTTTTACTGTGCCGTCCTAGTTCCCTCAGCGGAGGAAGTATCTGCAAGAAACCGACAAACTCGAGCACTTCTGCTGACGTTCCTCTTCCCATGCAGATTGCGCGTGAACGTGGAAAGCCGCGCAAGATCAAGCCTGTCGATACCGCCGGGCTTCGATAGTGACCGTACATTGCCTGGTCTGAATTCCGAGTTCCGGAAATCAGCGAGGCTAGGAAAGAATTGACGGTGCTGGAAGCCGAGGAGGTCAGCACATTCCGCACTAGGACGTCAGCCCGAGCCGATTCCGCGGATGAATAGAGTGGTAGGCTGTGGTAGGCTGCAAATTCGACGACCCCGTCAAATTCGGGCGAGCAGCGGAATACCCGCGGCTGTTCCGTCGGTAGACATGCCACTTACGGGAGCTGGCTCCGTCCGGGCGCCTATTGGCATGTGAATTCACTCAGAGGATGACGTTCCGAATCCGTGCAAGGTCTCGAGATGGCGTCGACGGGGTGCCGTGACGAAGGTACAAATACTCACAGATGCTGCCTCCTGACAACCACTCCTACCATCCCACCACCTAAGCATGCCCGTTCCAGGCGCACAGATTCTCTCTAAGGAGGCCCAGCAGGCCCAAAGCCAAATCCTCACGGACGACGCTCTCAAGTTCCTGGCTGCCCTGCACAGGACATTTGACTCTACGCGGCAAAGTCTCCTCGTCGCGCGAGTGGTCGCGCAGCAGCGTCTTGATGCCGGCGTGCACCTGGACTTCCCCACGGAGACTGCGAATATTCGTGCCGACCCGTCATGGGTGTGTGCGTCTCCCGCTCCCGGACTCGAGGACAGGAGGGTCGAGATTACCGGCCCTCCGGACAGGAAGATGGTCATCAATGCACTGAACAGTGGTACAAAGACCTTCATGGCTGACTTTGAAGGTGCGTACATATGGCTGTAGACGGCATTCTGCAGCATTGAAATTTCACGTAGATTCCAACTCACCGACATTCGCGAATCTGTTGAACGGTCAGGTCAACCTCTGTGACGCCATTCGCCGCAAGATTGACTTCGAGACTGGTGGCAAGTCGTACAAGCTCAGCCAAAATCCCGCTGCCCTTATCATCAGGTGCGCCACATTCAAGTGCTTCATAAAGAATTTTCTAACATTCGCTTCAGGCCGCGAGGATGGCACCTTGACGAGCCACGAGTCACGATTGACAATGAGCCATTGTCGGGAGCCATCTTCGACTTTGCACTCTACTTTTTCCACAACGCGAAGGAACTCGTTGCTCGCGAATCCGGCCCGTACTTCTACCTGCCGAAGATGGAGCACTACAGGGAGGCGCGTCTCTGGAACGACATCTTTAACTTCTCACAGTCATACATCGGCATGCCGCACGGAATCATCCGTGCGACTGTCCTCATTGAGACACTCCCTGCTGCCTTCCAAATGGAGGAGATCTTGTTTGAGCTCCGTGAGCACTCATCGGGATTGAACTGCGGGCGGTGAGTAAACCTCCCGAGATTGAACGTGTCTGTTATCTGACGTAACAAACAGATGGGACTACATCTTCAGCTTTATCAAGCGCCGCCGTGCTGACCGAACAGCTGTCCTGCCAGACCGCTCAGACGTCACTATGGAGGTGCCCTTCATGGACGCCTACGTTCGCCTCCTTATCCAGACCTGCCACAGGCGCAAAGTCGCTGCCATGGGTGGCATGTCTGCTCAGATCCCCATCAAGGACGACCCGAAGGCGAATGAAATTGCCATGAACAAGGTTCGCGCGGATAAGCTGCGCGAGGTCAAGAACGGCCATGACGGTACCTGGATCGCCCACCCGCTCATCAACCAGATTGCCATGGAGATTTTCAATGAGCACATGGTTGGTCCCAACCAGGTAAGTTGAGACTATGACTCCACGTCTTCTCAAGTTGACACTCTATTCAGTACCACAACCGCCGCGAGGACGTCAAGGTGACTGCTGCCGATCTCCTTAACACTACCGTCCCCGGAAAGATTACTGCTGCTGGTGTCCGCTCTAGCGTCGCTGCCTCACTCGCCTACAGCGGCGCGTGGGTTGGTGGCAATGGCTGCATCCCGCTCAACTATCTCATGGAAGATGCCGCGACCGCAGAGATTACGCGCGTGCAACTCTGGCAATACGTCAAGTACGGCTCGCGCCTGGACACGGGAGAGCACGTTACGGCGGAGTACATCGACCGTGTCGTCGACGAGGTCGCGCCGACGCTCAAGGGCGGTTCCATCACCGAGAAGAACCTCGATATCGTGGCGCGCTACCTCAAGAAGCAGGTCCGCCAGGAGTGGCCGAGCGATTTCCTGACGAGTGACCTCATGCCGTACCTTGCTATCGCAGACGGGTGCCCGCCCCAGTTCCTGCGTAGCGTGCTCTGAGCGCGTTCACAAGTCTCGATTTTCTTATGATCGTGTTTTCTCTTTCGGCAACAAGTGTCTATGTATCAGTGGCATTATATGGCAGTCCGCGCCAGGATGTATCGTATATTCGTCTAACAAGCCTGGTTTCCAAAGTCATTAATGACTTGCGCTTGGTGGTGTCTCGATGTGGGGCTGCTTCCATGCACGATGCTGTCCATATTTGTATGTAAGGTTTAATAGATATCGCTGGACCCTAGTTAGCTCGTGATCCGAGCCTGGCGAAGCATGTATGCCACTAGTACTGTTCGAGATTGGGAGGCATCTGCTTCTTTTAAGAGCGGTACAATCTCCTTCCCTTGACCTTGGCTCGCGGCGCATGTTCATCTCATCCCTTCCAGTTCTCGCACATTCAACAGAGCTTAGGGCGCACCTCCTTTAGTTTCCCACTCCGAGAGCTTTCTTCACTTACATTCAGACCTGACCGCTGTAATAAGCTCGCCACACGCCGTCGTTAGACTACACTCAACGCCATGGCGGGCCCGACGGCGGGTGATGGTATGGACGCCGTGGTTAAGCTACTCACAACCACGATCGCGAAGCAAGAAGTGCTGCAGGCCATGAACAAGAATGTCGAGGGACTTGCAACGAGAATCGAGGGACTTGCAACGAGAATCGAGGGCATCGAGGCTACCATCCTCCGCATAGCGCAAAGTGGGCTCCCTCTAGCGACCAATGCGAGCACGGAGATCCATAGAGACCATGCGCCTATAGCTGGGCCGTCGCTTTTACGTCCGAATGAATCGATCGCGTTGACGGAGGCAGACAAAGAATTTTCTACGTGTGCGGACTCGGATGCGCCAGTCTCGGAGCACGCCAGTGGTGTTTCCGGAACATTAGCAGCTGCGGGCACGACAAGCGACGCGCATACACCTAGGTGCAAGGCGCATTCGGGGTTTGCGGAAGCCGCACCTACTGACCTCACTCGGGTAAGGATGCCTTTTCATTTGTTGCTGTGCATGAGATACAATACTCTTCACAGAAGGGAAAGCAACGGGAGTGGGGCCCTGAGGATATACAGCCCAGTGTACTACCAACGTCTACAAGCGCCCAAGTGTACGATATCCCAACGGAGACGCATATCGATAATCCTTCTCCTCCGGATGTCGCTCTCCACGTTAACGGTTTCGTACCGGATGGCCCGACTAAACTGCCTACGTCCATCAACCAGCGCACCACATCGAACCACCTGTCGAGTTTGGGCGATGATGATATGGCCATAGCGAAGGATTCGCGGCCCAAGAGAAAGCCAAAGCTGCGCAACCCTCCCTGCGTAAGTATACATACCATCTGACAGTGCGGTGTGCTAATATATGGAGGTATACGAAGGACACGCCGTTACCTAGTGTATCTCGGACGGGGTTTACCGTCAACCCGACCATCTCCAGAGTTGATTTGTCCGCAGTTCCGACCTCCGCAGTGACTGCCGCATCACCCGAAGACGAGCCCTCGAACTCTGACACTGGGACGAAGAGGAAGCCAGAAGATCTCCCGACGTCATCTCCATCGAAGAAGCCTCGGCTCGGGCCACGAAAACGTCAGCGTGTAGAGGTAGTCATCAGCTGGGATGCGGAGACACGCGCACGCCTTCGCCCTGCCGCTCCATATATCAATCCTACCGTACGAGAGGTTAACGCAGAACGTGAAGCGCACGACGAGGGGCCTGTGGAAGCTGCTCCGCACAATACCGATGCTTTTGGATCGGGTGGACTTTCGGACCTCACCGATCTTGAGAGTGACGACGATGACGACGGCAGCCACAGCAAAGGCGAGGTCATCGACAACGATGTCAGGATGAACGTCGACCCAGACGGCGAAGTTGGTGACAAGTCGAAGCGCGAGCTGCCAAAGCGAAAATGCGTTCCCGATCTGAGCTATGCGGAGCGCTTTAGATTCGGGGAGTTCGAGGGCGATGTTGGATACATGCCGCCACAAGCACGCGATTCAGACTCTGACTATAAGCCTTCGACGAGCACCCACCACAGTGCGATCCCTGGGCCAAGCAGTCGACCACACACTACTCGTACACAGTCGGCTGTCCAAAAGCCCACGTCTGTCGCCGGCACGAGCAAACGAGGGCCGCCGGGTCCTCCATCGATCACATCCTCTGCGAACCCGCGCCCGACCAGCAATGCCGCCAATCCACCGCCTGTTACTCGAACGTCGCAGGGAGCAACAATCTCACGGAAAGCGGGCTTAAGTAATCCTCAGAAGTTGACCATTGTAATCTCGCCGCAACGACGGCTTCCCGCATCGGGGGACAAGAAATCCGATTCTGCATCGGGGGCGCCAGTGGTATGTGCTCCCATTTCTAACAGACGAGGAACAACCTGACGCCGACCCCCGCAGAGTCGTCATGCACATCCGAAAGGGGGACCTCGTTCAGAGCCTCGTCCAGGTCCACCTCTACGGATGCGGCAAGACATCAGGAAGGACAAGGTCGAACTGGAGCTCGTATTGCCCGCAGGCATCCGCCGTCGCCTCAAGGGCCTTAAGAGCCACGAAGTCAAGCTTGACTCTGAGATCCGCGATGTCGTCGTTCCACGCAAGTTCATGTCCGAGACGTGTGGTGGAAACGTACAAGCGCTCTTCCCTGCTATCGCACAGTCGAAACGCGCCGCCCTGGGTGGACACAAGCACCATCTTGTGTACCCGACGCTCAAGCGTAATCCCGAGGCGCCGCAGATGCCGGGGCAGCCTGGTCTGTTGTGCCGTGCGCTGACGACGGTTCCATGGGAGGATGCGGGCATCCCGAAGCTCAAACTTGTCGTCGGAATTGGCGAGTCGATGTGGGGATATATGGGTGACTACACGACAGAGGCTGCGGAACCGTTATCCGCCATGGAATGGGATGGCCTACCGGAGCAGGTGAACGTTCCAGCCAACTGGGTAAGGTAATGGAGGCTAACACTTAGAGCATAGACGAAGCGCACATGGGCTACTGATATTGCGGCCGCCGATAAGTACATCCCTTTGCGCAGCCGAATCATCTTGCACGAGCGATTGGGTCGGGAGCCAACTGATGGCGAGGTCAACGATGAAGCCGCCGTGATCAAAGCAGGCCTCGGTTCCAGGAAGGAGCGTCCAAAGCCTACTAAAGACGAGATACAACAGATCATACGGGCATATTCATCTGGTAAACAGGTGGGGCGCACGTATCCTCTAGGCATGTCGCCCGAGGCTGAAGCTCTGCGTTGACAGCTCATCTATATCTGGCGCTTCAAGTGCGTCGGGTACGACGAAGCATTTCAGCGGGACCTTGTCAGCAAGTTCTCTGCATGGCGCCGCAGGCTCACCTCATCTGATCAGCCAGCTGGAGGGCCGCAGCCACCGTCCGTTAAGAGAGGCGGTCGTGCGCCTGTGCGCCGTAAGGATAGCAATGAGGGTATTCAGGGCTCTTCCGCGACAGCATCGGGCACTGGTCCGCGTAAAGGAGCCAAGAAACCATCGAAACCCCAGACACCCGCCCGCTCTCGTGCGCCTCCAACTGGGGCTGCCGCGTCCATCCCATCTCCGCCCATCACGCCCTCTCCCACCTCCGAAGCGCCTAATGCACAGGAGAAGCAACCCGGGTGGCTGCTCGGCGAGTTGAGGGAACAGTTCTCCAGAAACCGCGAGACACGGATCCTAGACTCCGAGCTCGCGCACTCGTTGCATGAACGCAAACCTGGCATATGCGAAATGAAGGCTCAAGGTCGAATTGACCTCGGAGAGTTCCACTTGGTGGGTACTGAGTATACAGCGATGTCCGCGAACAGAAGATTGATGCGGCATTGATCAGCTTAGAGAATTCGTTCGAGCACACGGGTACGCTTGGGCTAACGACGGCTAGTTTCGGGGAGTGCATGCTCCGCTGAACGCCACCTGCTGTCGAATCGATCTTCTCAGTTCGGTCGAACAAACATCCTATTGGGACAGTGCTTAAGGAAGGGGATGAGCTTATTCTGTGTAATATCGTTCAATTTTCATTGCATTTTATGCAAGCACACGTCATGGCCATCTCACTCAGAACCTCAGGCCGCCCACTACGAAGAGGCTCGCTGAGCGTAAGTGCACTAAATACCGGCTTTTTACAGACGCTGTGCATTTAGAAGTCCAAAGAGCGGGGCCTCAGGTGGAGGAAAGTGGACGGTAGCTCGCGCACCTCATTCAACTGTTCTCACCCCGCATGTTAGAGCTACGTTGGACAAGGACCTGGTCCAAGTACCAGAATAGCCAAGTACGCCTGCGGAAAATCCAATTAAGGCATTTGGGCGTGCCCCAAGACTGGCGACTTATCAAGGAGCAGGTACAGCGGCGTAGGAGGGTGCCCGGAAGCATTTATGCCATAATCGTGCGACCGGATAGCCATAAAACCGAGCGATAGCGGAATGACACCTAAATGCGTGCGGCGGTGTCGCGGTAAATAATCTCTCCCCTAGCTTGTCCACAAAAGCTGCGAAGCCGGTATCGAGTAGAATACAGGGAGCAAGCTTAGATATTGAGCTTCGTGCGCCTCCAATGACGCCTCTTGGCGTTGTACTGCAAGTTTCCCAGCTGCGCGTCAGCTGCATATATCGAATTTCGCAATCATTGCAGCGCACCTGAATCTTGGTGTCCGATTTCAGGCGGAACCACTGAGGAATGGGCCTGGTAACATTATCCTTCAATATCCCTTGCTCCTCTTTACACTCGATCCCATGCTCACCGGTTCTGGCGGGAAGCCTTGGCGAGGATACGCTTCGTGCGGAAAGTCTTTTGGGAAGGCTGTGCATAACGAAAGGCATATCTTCAGCACAATCATTCTATATTAACACAGAGTAGCAGCATACCATCGTGCTTGATGTTGTCGGCGGCGTCGATGAAAGAACCGAAAAATAAGGTTAAGCAGCGGGTTACACTGTACAGTTCTGACTAAGCACCAAAACGGGTAGTTCAGTCACGTGCAAGAAGCGCTCAATTAATTGTGTGTGCAGTGCAACTTCGCCCTAAGTCTCTTTTTGTTCTACTTCTCTTCGAGCCAACTTCGAGCACACACGGGCTGGGCCCCGCGACTGTTCAACTGCACGATAACCTACAGGTATAATTTTAATGAGGGCCGGACTGCAGAGATCAGCTGCTAGACATGCACGCAAAATAACAAGAGGAGCCGAGACGTAGGGAATGTCCCACAACCCGTCACTAAGCGTAGTCCAACACCTCTACCTTGCCGTCTTTGTCCCCGATAGCCAACCTCCCAATAACATCCTCGAGGTCGGCCGACTTCAAGGCGTAGCGCTTCCGAAGGATGTGGCTCATATCGCATCGACGAGCGTAGAGCGGCCCGTCGCAAAAGTGCACGATATTGGCATCCAAGTGAACCCCAGGGCTGCAAGCAAGCTTGTCTCCATGCTCTGCTGATATCTCTTGAGCCTGTCTTGGACTGACAACGTCGAAACCCATAATGCACCGCGCTGGATACTTCGTGTGGTTCGCCTCAACGTTGTCGGTCTGCACCCAGAAGCCTCTGCCACTCGGCCAGACGGAGAGGCCGCAGCAAGATGGGGCGACGGGTATAGCACGCGTACACCCCGAGGGGAGGACGAAGGGAAGGACTGTTTTCGGCCCCGGGCTGGGACGACGGTCTATGTTCGGTAAGAGATCGTATTGCTTCAGCGTGTTGAAGCCCTCATTTGCTTCGCGGAGCAGAATCGTGACAGTCCCCGTGGCCCAAGATTTCGAAGGGGTAGAAGGAGCATTCCGTGCGAGATTGTCTCGGGCGATAATAACGACCTCGCGAGCAGGGCTGTCCCAGTGAAAGGTCGCGATAAGCTCGACAGTTTTCTCCATGCCAAGTTCTGGGGAGTGTCTGGGTATGGCAAACAACTGAAACTCCTGCTGCCTTGCTATCAGCACATATTTCCCAATGATCTTGACGGCGAGCACTGCATTGGACCCCTGCTGGATTGATTAGCAAACCACTATTTGTCGGAGCAGTATGAGCCGTACCTCCATCACCACTCCTCCGACAAGCCTAGCATAATTTACTTTCTTGGTATCGGACGCGAGGTACCACAGGACTGGGTGGCTACCTGTGACGATGAAGTCGCCGTGCATTAGATGTAATGGCGCCGCGATAGGCTGGAGAGCAAGGCAGCTCATTTTCACTTGTATGCGCCCGTGGAAAGTATCCAGGGATGCGACGTAAAGCTTCGCATGCGCGTCACTGCTCTGACCGTTAGCGGAAATAGCTACTGCAGACGTTCCACTCACTTGCCGGGACGCTGAGCCCAGAATGCGAACTCCCCGCATCCATTGTCGGACTCCTGGTTTACGATGACTTGTTCGATGTTGACTCCGTCCTCATGTACGCACACGATCTCATACGCCCCGGAACCATCGAGAGGAACTTCCCAGCAACTCAGCCTCTTTCCTGCGAGGACGAGTAAGAACTCTCCGCTCCGAGCCGGCATGAACAACACTTGGGAGACGGGGGAAGCAGGGGTGTCAGCCACCTCATCCAGCATACATCTTGCCTGGAATTCGATAGCTCGCCTTGGCGTTGGATTCTTCGAGTACCAGTTGTCATGCAGCTTTGCAGCGTGTACGACGCGTGCCTCAAGGTGCGCTGCTGAAAGGGACTTCAACCCTGGATTCGATGCGGGTATCGGAAGTCCTTTCCCCAGTGCATGTCGCTTGACGGCGTTTGTCCAGACCCAACGTGACTTGGTTAGTCTGCATAACTTCTTGCATGTCTGTGCGTCCCGCGTGTTAGCTGTGGCGGTGGATCTTGCTAAATCGAATGCGCACCTGTCGCAGAGCAAGTATGTCTTTCACTCGAATAAAAGTGATAATTTCCAGCATGATATCGTCTGGTAGCGAAAGTATTGTCTTTGGTCCGTGCATGAGGCGCATGAGGAGGTCAGGAGCAGCAGGATGAGGCATTGGCCTCGACATAGAACCTGCTGTCCGGTGTGCTGAGATCATGGGGGGCTCTGACATGCCACACGAACGTCGACGAGGTTTAAGGACGTCGCAAAGGGCGCAAAGTGTAATGCAATTACGGACAGCATTGACCCTCAGGTAACAAGGATAGCCAAAACGAGCTCTAATGAAGGTTGCATGAAGGGCATTTCCAGATCTGACGAGTTTTCCCACGTCGTGGTTCGCCGCCCTTTGGCGCCTGTTTGCTCTAAGCGTTCTGCATTCTCTTCCTTGTCCACCCTACAATGGCGACCATCCATCCCTCACGACTCGGGCTCGTGCCTCAGGATCCAAGAGATGTCAATGCGCATGGCAGAGATGACAAGCGGGTTCGCGAGCCTTTAACGAAATACGACCGGCGGCACACACCTTCGCGCTCACGTAGCAGAGGCAGAGGCCATGGGCGAGAGGACGCAGGAGAGCGTAGCGGATACATGGATGATAGAGACGATAGGAGGAATGGTGACAGGAGTCGGACGACGAGAGCTCGGGCAGGTGACTACTTCGAGGGAGAGCGGGCTGGTGGCAGAGCTAGAGGTAGAGAGCGTAGCCGCAGTTTGGACAGAGAGAGGGATCGCGAGCGGGAGGAGAGACGTGCGGAAGACAGAAACAGACCCAGACGGCCGAGTCCAGAGTATTCAGAGTACAGAAGGCCTACGCCACCGCATATGCGAGAGGATTCGCCAGCTCCACCATGGCGGCAGCAAGAGAACATGTACCCGGGCAAGCAAAACCGGGCGCCGCTTGGGGCTGGCCCGGGCTTCTTAGAAAGGTGTGTTTTCTGGTAGCTGTACCGCCATCTGCATCGACTGACGCTTTCGACAGCCGTAGGAAGCAACGTGAAGACAATACACTAAGCATATGGCCATCATCGCCGAAGGCTCCCGCTCGGTCGTATGTACACTTTACATCTACTACTTAGCCTTTTGCTCACAGCTTTTCAGGTCTCCAAGTCCGGATTCAAGGCGTCACAAAAAATCAAAGAAACGGCGACGTGACTCTTCTGCCACATCTTCGACTGACACTGAGGAAGAACGCCGTAGACACGAGCGCAAGGAGCGTAAGAAAGCGAAGAAGGAGAAGGAGAGGCACCGGGATAAAGACCGCCTTCGCAAGTCGCGTTCGCGGTCTGTACGGAGATACGGCGACTCAGAGGAAGAAGAGGATCGTCACCAACGTAGCCGGCATAGAAGCAAGCATAGCAGAAGTAGGTCCGTCAGCGAGGAGCGCCGTCGCAGCCGGAGCAGGGAACGCTCGTATCGCAGCAAACCTCGAACGAAGAGTCCCGACGACCGGCCACCCACGACGGATGACGAGGACCAATGGGTCGAGAAGCCGTCTGCCTCTTTACCCGCTGGAGCGACAGCGCCGTCAAAAGCCAGGGAAGCTATGGTGCTTCTGCAAGCTCCTGCTGCCGCTGCCACCTCTTTGTCTAAAGGGGATTCCCCAGAGGACGATTCAGATGAAGAAGTCGGCCCGCAACCGCTCGAGGCGCCTTCAAAAAGCCGGAAGGTCGACGAACGGCAGTACGGTGGTGCCTTGCTTCGCGGCGAAGGTAGCGCGATGGCCGCGTTCCTCAAGGATGGCACTGACGTTCGCATCCCACGTCGTGGCGAGATCGGTCTCACATCCGGCGAAATTGCGACCTTTGAAAATGTGGGATATGTTATGAGCGGCAGTAGGCACAGACGCATGAACGCTGTGCGCATGCGGAAGGAGAACCAGGTTATCAGTGCGGAAGAGAAGAGGGGTATCTTACAGCTACAAAAGGAGGAGCGCGAGAGGAGAGAGGCCATCCTTCGCGAGGAGTTCCAAGAGCTTGTCAAGGATAAGCTCAAGTCTTCTGGAACTTCGAAATGATCCCTGTTTTGCTCCCTTGTTCGTCTCGTACTCACTAAACTTCACTTATTATATCAGCTGCGCGTCAAGCCATGTGCAGTTCGTTTCCATCCGATCCGTTCATAAATCAAGCGGGCAACTATATGATTACAACTCCTCACGAGGAGCCTGTGTATCGAGACCAACGAGCTCCACATCGAAAACGAGCGTAGCGTGGGGTGGAATGGCACCGCCGGCGCCACGTGCACCTTTTCAGAGAAGCTTCAGCATGATACGTGTCTGAAGAGATGTGTGACAAACCGTATGCCATGGCAGAGGGGATGGTGAGAATGCGCTTCTCGTTGAGGCACATGCCCTGCAGACCTTCGTCCCAGCCCTTGATAACTTGACCTACCCCAACTGAAGTGATATTTAGTAGACGGGATAGTTTGAGGTGTGGTATACTCACGAGTCAAGGGTAGTGGCTGGCCACGGTCTCGACTGGCAGCAAGCTCATCGTCAGTAAACACGGTACAGATGCTCCAGACCTTCCTACCTCGAGTCAAATTTCTTCCCGTCGGAGAACAAGGTACCAGTCTGTACATATACGTAGTACCATATTGATTAGGTTGCATTTTCTTTGCTCACATAGTGGACCTTGATTTTATCGCCAGTCTTCGCTGTTACCGAACAGTCACTGGGCTTGTAGGTTGTCTCAATTTGCAGCTCGGTGGGCGGTACACGCTCTTCGTCTGCGAGAGCAACAGAGACAAGAGCTAGGAGAGGAATCCAGTTGAAAAGTTTCATGGCAGATGAGAGGGAGTGGTAAAGTTGGTGCGAAACGCGACGTGTCCAGAGCGTACTCACGCGTGACGCGCGTCAACACGTCTAACCCAATAGACTTGGGGTTAGGGCTTACTGTATGCTATGTATGCAAAAGCCAAATATAGTAGTCTGCTCTCACGCCTTTCCCCGCGAAGTCGCGTCCTGCAGCTTGCTCAGTCACTGCGGCGACGAAGACTTGCATGCGTGAAGATGGAGAACCTCGCCGCTATTGGCGCAGGCCTTGGTCTGCGCGCACTTATTGACACCGTTGCTGGTCGCAGTTACACCGCTTCTGTTCTCGTCGGACTCTGGGAGGGCATCGTCCTCAATCACTTCCTTGCAAAGTTCCCCTCATCCATCGAGCCGTACTTGGCTCTCGGATTTAGACTCTTTGTGGACTTCCTCTTCACTGAATCTTCGTCTCGCTTGATGATCGTTCTCTTATGGACAGGTTTGGGGATGCTGCTGGCAGACGTCGGCGTGCAACTCTCCACGGACTACCGTTTTCGCCGTCTCTGGAAGAAGACACAACAAAACCTGCCTGTCTCCTCCTTGGACCACCGCAGCCGTTCACTTCCGCAGCGTGTACGCTTCTATGAGAACCCTGAGGCGTCCGTTTCTGACCTCGACAATACGACAGCCAGTATCTCTTCCCCCGGGGTACCTGTGCGTCGCACAACAACTCCTGTACCTGGCCAGTACGACCAATGGTCAGAGATCACACGCTCTTCTGCCACAGCTCATTCGCCTTCTCCATCCGACGCCGTTTCCCCAAGACCTGAGCACGGACGCGACTTCCTAGCAGAGTTTGGTCGGCCACAACCGCGCACACCCTCTGAGCTTGATTATATTACCCTCCCTGCAATATCCGACACAAATAATATCTTTGCACCGATAGAGAGGTCGCCCTCCCGACCTCTAACTGGAGCCAGCTACCCAACAATACCTGATGACGTGGTCGACCTCCCGGTGGACGAACGTCCAGCAGCTAACTCCGGGCTTACAACTCCTACGAGCAACCATGCTGCCCTCGCAGGTGCAGTGGACGATGACCAACCAAGGGTTCACTCTGGTCTCACGACACCGGAACACGTTCGTTCCCCTCTTCAGGTGCAGACATCCGGGCTGCCACCAACTGTGGTGCCCGCACTGCCGTATCCCGACAGGCTGGCTGGGCCCATGAGACTCACTCTAGCCGACTCTCCTCCGACAGTCGCAATGCCCGAGCCCGTCACAATGCCCGAGGCGCAGCCTCTTCGTGTCTCTGAAATACCCAACATACCCACGCCTGATGAAAACAATGCGCCGGTCAGGAACTCTGATCCACCGCCGCCCTTCGAGGAAGCTATCAAGGAGGCCCCTGTTTCTGTTCCCGACGACATGTCTCTCGCGGACCAAGAGAGTGTTATTTCCGGCGCTGAGAAGCAGGCCATCATCGCGAAGGCAGACGACATCCGCAAGAAGGCCCGGGAGCAGGAGAAGGAGCGGGACAGGATTCGGCAAGAGTGGAGGAAGGCGGAGAGACAGGGACGTTTTTTCGACGCGCTGCGTCTGGAGATTGAACTCGAAGATGCGCAAGCGCAGGTCGATACATTGCATGCGAGAGCTGCGCGAAGGTATTTCCACGGTGAGTCTCGTACACCTACGCTCAATCGCCTATGTCCTGAATGTACGCTGCAGCCCACAACCTCGAGCGGAGCGCGCACGAAGTGGATGTTCATCGTCTCACGTCTCCTGAGGCCATCTCTCATGTCAAGAAGGGCCTGCGATATGCCATGATCCAGGGCGCACCTGAACTGCGTGTCATTGTTGGCAAAGGGTTGCACTCTAAGAACAGCCTTCCTGTGTTGAAGAAGGCTGTCATCGACGAAATGAAGAAGTCCGCATATCCTTTCTTTGACTGATCGATTACTCACCGGCATCCTTACAGGTATCAAATTCCAGCCACGGAGGACCCTAAGAATGCTGGCGTACTTGTAATCAAAATGCCTCCTCCTCCTCCATGACCCGAAGTGCTATCATTTCCGGTCGTCTCACTATATTTATAGATTCAAATGTACTTCACATTTCTTAGTTGCTATCGCCATGTTGTTGTCTGTGCTTTACACTATACCGTGATCTTATGCGCGTCTATACAGTTATCTAGCAACATTGAAACCTCCCGTAGAGACCGACATTGGCAGGGACGCTCCGCAGTTATCCACGGAATTCTTATCAGCCGTGACCTCGATGACGATGTCCCCGCCCGTCTTGAATATGTCGTAGAAGTCCAAGTGGCACCGTGACGCAAGTAGTTGGTTGTTGATAGTGACGTTCGCGACATACGCGGCCGCGCCCTTGGGTATCGTCTGCTGCACCGAGCGTGCGTCGAAGCCCTTGGTCGTCACCGTCGTGCTTACGTTGAGGTAGCTATTGTGCACTGTGTATTGCGGGATGAAGGGGGAGACGACGAGGAGCTCAGTCGAGCCGGGAACTGCAGGGAAGGTAAGCGGGGATACGGCGAAGGAGGTAGCAGCGTGCGTACCCGGGTACAAGCCAAGGAGATGGAAAGCTAACAGTGTAGCCATTGCTGCTTGGTCGTCATTTCCGGGGATGCCGGCGGGAGCTGCGACGAGATAAGCACCATTACAGATCAGCGATATCAAGACTAAGCATACTGATATCAAAATTGGTGAACACAACATCCCTCACTCGGTCAACAGACTGTGTCGGGTGGTTGGCGTAGTGGTAACCGATAGGTGTCTGCGGCCCGGGCTCAGCAGCTGGGGGTCAAAAGATTCACTAGTCGAACTGACCTGGAAGGACGGCTCGTTACCGGCGTAATAGTAGCCCTTCTCGAAGAAGTGGTCCAGCCGGTTGACGAAGGTTTCCTGCATGATCCGTCAGCGTCATCAACAGCCGCAAAAATGCCGTACGCACATTTCCACCCATGAGCTCGATGAGGTGAGCTGTATCGTGCGGGACGAACCTAGAAGGTGGGTCTTAGTCCTATACGACGGCCGAAGAGACTCTCAGCGACGCACCAGCTATATTCCCACGAAGACGACTCATAGAATCCTACAGTATTATCGTCCTGGAGCGAGCAACTCCTGCTACTGTTGTCGATTGGACTGCAATCAACGGGGTTTGTATAGAGGAAAGTGCCGTTCGGGAAACGCTTCTGCATGAAACCTGTGACCAGGCGATATCCACTGCTCATGAAGGGTTATATGCTGTGTAGAGGGTAACTCACCCGCGAAGCTGTCGCTCTTCACGTTGCTGTCCCAAACGCTGCGGTAGCTCTGGCGTCGAGAGTAAGAAACTTAATTTTCACGCGCGGGGAAAACCGAACGTACTTGCGAACGGTTGTTGAATGTCTCGAAATCCTCTGTCTTGTTCAAGAGCTGCCACAGTTTTCAGTACTGAGTTCTACGCATGCAGGGTGGCTCATACCAATGCAACATTTCGGATAGCAAAGTCTTCAAATGCATACTACCCGAACCAGTCAGCAGCTCGTCCTCCGAAACATAGACGAGATATACCTCGAGGGTTCTGCTTCCTTCTCTGGTCTGCCGCCCGACGCTGTCCGTCTCAAGTACCGAGGCAGGTACATAGCCGTATTTGCTGCAGAAACGTTCAGTAGACTAGTCTAGAAGAGCAGAATTTCAACAAACTTACATATATGCACCGGCTTCGCGCCCCTCAATGTCCCAGTTTGGTGGGGTAAGCTGCGCGTCGGCGAGCTGGGCCGAGTAAATGTCGTTCAGGTTGATACCGAGGGCTGCAGCCTCGTCGTGATACGTCATGGCGAAGTGTCCGACGATGACATCACCGCTTGATCCTACGACCATAGGTTAAGTCGTGACCGATGCTGCTGGTTTCCACGTATACGCACCTCCTTGGGTCCATCCGGGCAGGTGGTTGGCTCTACATTCTGGCATCCAGCCAAGCACTCTCCAGGCGTCGAGGTAGTTGTCGACTATCTGAGAGAACTCGACTGGTGAAGTCAGAGCCATGAGGGGGTAGAAAGTACGGAAGGTATCCCAGCTAGGAAGGTGATCAGAGTGATGAAGTCGGTAAAGGGACTGAATGCTCACCTGCAGTACAGGGAGTCGAAGTAGTGGTGTGTTGTGCCTGCAAAAGGACCTTGCGTTTCGCCTGTGGCATTATTCTGCGGTTCACCTTAGCAATGCGCCTATAAAATATCAAGGAAGAAGTACCGGAGTCAGGAACGCGCGGTATAGTGATGAATAGAACATCTCAGTCACGTTCGGCGGCGTGTGTGCTAGGTCGATCTCGATCTTGCTCAATTTCTCGTTCCACAGTGCGACCGACTGTGCTACGATATCTTCAAAGGACGAGTCGCCGACCTCGCTCTCAGCGTTTGCGCACGCCTGGTCCGCGGACACGAACGATACCCCGACGCGGATTGTAATAGTCTCAGGCGTGCCCTGGAAGGACACCAGCGCGCCGGACTGGTACACGCCCCCGATGAGGTTGCGCGTGAAGTTGAGCTGCGTAAGGCCAAGGCCCTTAGCATCGAGGCCGTTCCTGTGGGCCATTCAGTGTGTAAATTTGCTAGACGAGAAGCAGGTGCTCACGTGTCGGCTGTCCAGACACCGTATTCGTCGAGAGTCTGGTTCCCTCCATTCAATAGGTCAAAGCACGCGAAGGCTTCGTAGTTGAACTCCCCGGGACCGAAGCTAGAGCCCCACAGGCCCCCCATGATAATCCTACCTTGCTCCGGGTCGATGTTCATTGTCCCTCCTGCGAATGAAGCAGGCAGGTCGTTAGCCAAGTCGAGGACGAGGTACGGCTTCGAGTTCTTCGGGTACGTGAAGCGCTCCAGGCCTGCACGGCGGGTGGATGTCGCCTCCAGCTTAATATCATTATCCAGCGTGAGAGCAAAATAGCCCGGTGAAGCATCCTTCGGAGTACACCGTCAATCCAGTGCAAGTACAATACGCGAGAGAGGATACTAACATCAGTGTTGTTCTTGCGGAACCGTTCGCGCGCCTCAAGCGACGTAGTACAAGTGTCGAAACCGCCCGGGCACGTTAGAGGCATGACCTCGAAATTGCCATAAGATCCTGAAAGATATGAGGAATATTATTCTGAAGCAGTACGAGTTGGACCATACCCGAGCTGGAACCGGTGCCGCTGTCATGGAGCGGGCTCATCCCTCGAACGGTTTGAGTGTTGTCCGTGATATAGCCTGCACATACGCGTTACGAAGAATCGACAAGGGCATCCACTTGCCGAACATACCGGCGGGGGCATAACCGGTCAGATCAGTGGTGAACTTGACCTGGAAAGGTTACTGTTACTTTTGAGCCTCAATAAGTCGGAAGTAATCAAGCGCACCATGCCAAATGGAATCGAAGCCCCAGGACTGCAGCATGCTCATGAGATACACATTCCTGGTAAACGTTGCTAAACTTACCATACGTCGCCGTCATTGTCTGTGCCAATAAAGACATTTACAAATTGAGTGTAATCAATATTGCCAGTCGCATTCGCAGCATTCTTGATCGCTTGGCTGATTCCCTTCTGAACTTGCGGTGAAGGCTGGGCCCAAACTGACGTGAATGCAGACAGAAGGAGGACCGCCAAGGCGAGGAGCTGAGGGGAGGGCGCCATGGCCAGGGCTGGCTATGTAGAGGTGCCCGTGCTGCACGTACCGATGCTTATCCGTCTAGCCTTATGTAGTGTCCACGAGCGATAAATGGTAAAACTGTCCCCGTAGAGCTCGATAAACGGATTTATTGCGCACTATTACGGACCGCGAGCCACATGCACCATCCTCCACCGAAGATGCTGCAGGTCGTCGGGTGATACGCGAAGCGAGACGGAAGTCAACGCGTGACCGCGCTTCGATGCAGCCTTCGTGCTATTTGTATATATTTGGCGGCACGAGAGAAGACGGGTGGGCCGTCATTGTTACTATCTTCTGCGTAGAGTCCGCGACAGTGACCGGGAGCATACAGTTGCAACACCAGACCCGAGATCAGAGAATGTTCCACCCCTGAGCATCAGCAGGTGGATTCTCGGCGGAAAGAAGTGAAGTGCACAAGCTGCATCACCCGTGATCTGAATATGCAATCAGCACAAAGATAAGTACAAGTAGGGACGCTTGACAGACCAGTATCGTGTTGGCGTTGCCGTCTCGTCTTAGCCCGGCCGCGGCTGGCCGTTAGCTATCTTTGCCAGCTCTCGTAATACGACATCGATGCCGTCACCGTCGGTACCCCAGTATTGCTTCTCGTATGAAGAAAGCCGACCTAGAACGTAGTCCGCTACATTACCATCTCCGCGGCCGATACCAATGCGAAGCCGATGGAAGTCCTTGCTGCCGCCAAGAGCAGCCATGACGCTTCGTACTCCATTATGTCCTTCGGCGGAGCCGCCAGACTTTGGTGAGGCAACTCCCGGTCGATGGGATAGACTGTCATGGATAACGACCATAGAGGACGGCTGGAATCCGAGGCTTTTCATGGCATTCACGGTGGGCCTGCCGGTGATGTTCATCAGGGCCTCTATACCCGAAACTCCAGTGAGTATACGGCAAATTAACACGTCACTTGCAGCTCACTTGGCAGATACAGGGTTAACGACACATCGTTCTCAGCAAGAGTCACGCTTCCGCGGCCGACGAGACCATCCAACCGTTTGTCCGCTGATATACTAATACCCACGCGGTCTGCTAGAGACTGAACAACGAGGTGCCCTACACTATACGCAATAAGCCACGGAGTGTGTCTCTATAGGTTCAAGCTGAACTTGCCTGTGTCTGGTCAAAGGGTACGGAAAATTTCCGAGGCCAACTACGAGCAGCTTGGACATTCCGTTCTCCAACTGCCCAGACCAGTGTGAACGCCCTCACGCACGCCGTCCTGGAGCACGGGCCTTCGATTGGGTAGTCTGAATGGGTAATGGACCCGTGCGGACCCGCAGCGAGAGAATGCGCGAAGAACGTGCACAACAAAGCGTTGGGCGCTGTGTCACGCTGTCACGCAGCCGGATTGTGATGCATGTGATGGCGTGCCGCAAGCTGCAGGGGTCTCCAACGCTGAATTCCCTATGACACAACGGGCATCCAGTTTCGGAGCGGGACGCACCTCTAGTCACGCATCCGATGGTGTGCATCCAGTCGTCCGCCCTGTGTCATTTAAAATAAATGCTGTGATGCCTCAATATTTATTTGTAACAATACATCCTCAGGCGCTGTGAAACTCGTGTCAAGTGGTGACTCTTCACACAGATCATGGAATGCGGTGGTGATCATGATTAGTGTGATTACTACTGGAAACGACTTGCCTCTGGGCTACCGGCTTGACACGAGTTTCGCAGGGCCTGAGGGAAGTGGTTATGGATAACTGGAAATTGAATTTGACGTGTTATCTACAGGATAGCTGGTAATGTACGTTAATGGCTCCCACGGTTGGGGTCCGCGGCCAGTCGCGGGCGCCCCGCCCCGAGGCTGGACGCGGGTTTTGCCCGTTGCGCGAGCATGCATATGCTCTTCACCGCTTCCTCCTTGTTTCCTTGCTGTCGGCGTGTTCAGGCTAGCTGCACCCCCAGGCTTTTTCAAAGGGTGAGCGCTCGGTGAGCATTGACTCGTTTTGTCATGTTTGAGGCAGATGGCAGCGGGCCCTGCGACGTCACGCTGGGGTTTCAAGAACGTGCGGCCCTTGATGATGAGACGCTGCTTGTCAACACCCTGCGTGCAAACCGCCATCTTGTGGCAGAAATGCGACTGATGAACTTTTCACTGACATTTTTAACCCCACTGCAGGCTAAGGGCGGGCTCATTGACACCCCCACACACCCCCTCGCCCCATGGCTACGATAGTCGAGGCCGCGACCGTTTTCCAAACGCCCGTACCCCCTCAGCCTCGACCGGCGCGCCCTAGACTCTCTACCTCGTATGCGGACAAGCAACATGACCGCTCTCTGTGCCAGCCGCTCTCACCATCGATGAATGCGCTCGACCTGTCCTTCGGCTCTCCACTGCCCGTTCTTGCGACTCTCCGCCTTCACGTCTTGTCATATCTTGCAGATTTGGAGGCTCATCTTGCCCTACTCGAGTCTCCCATATCGGCCGAGTCGCTGAAGACGAGGAGCGAGTCTACTGTGGAGGAAGCCAGGACATGGGTGGCGACTGCGTTGGAGATGCTCAGTAACATACGCACGGACGTATGCTCCCACCTTCCGGAGTTTTACGTCGAGACGCCAACTGTGGAGGGGTTTGTCAAGTCTCACATACCTGACATGTCCGGCATGCGCTCCCGCCTAGAGGACGTCAGGACCAGCTTCACCGACATAGACTTTCACAGCCCGCTAGAATATATCCCTACGCTTTCCGAGAACTTGCATTCTCTGCAGTCCCATCTATCCTCTGTCGACCTGCCTCAGAGTCTGTGCGACTCTGTTTCGTATCTCAAGCCTCATGCCACTCTCAGCGAGCTGCTGGACAAGGTTATGGCCTCAGAATTCGTGTCAAGAGTGTCTTCGGACATCCGAGGCGGCGAAGATGCGCTAGAGAAAGCGGCAATAGATGTTACTAGAGCCATGCGGAGATCATTGAACGGCTCGCGCCTTATTCATTACGTAGACTTGCCTGAGAGGTGGCGAAATAATCGCTTCGTCACTCGCGGCTATCGGTATGTGCAGCACTTTCATTGTAGAGTACGTAAACTTACGCGACGTCCACTCGAGCAGTTTTATTCCTTTGCAGCAATGGCCTCTAATAATTATGTCCGTCTTTGCATTGCATAATGAGACTGGTATGTTCATACGGCGTTTTTGCATCCATATTCTCACTTCGGAGCAGTCAATATCCACACGCATTTGATACCATTTTCGCTCTGGTCTCTCAATCTCATACCTCTCAACCCTTTCGCTGCCGACGTAAAACTTGAATCGGAGCTGCCTGAGCTCGCTTTTACTGCGTTTGCTCTGCTGTGCCTTTTCACGAGCACAATCTGGCATACTATGGCTGGCTGTGCTCATCCCAAGGGAATGGAACTCTGTGCTCGAGTGGATTACGTCGGCATAGGATGGTGAGCTTCATCTTAAATTATGATGGTCTTTAGCTGAGCATGCGGCCCAGGCTGATAAGTGCGACCGTTGGCACCATCGTGTACTACGGGTTCCAGGGTCACGATGACGCACGAAATAACTTTTTGGTGCTTTGTTTTATCAATGGTTTCCTTGGGAGTGTCTTCCCCTTCATGGACTGGTTCAACGACCTGAAGTACCGGGTATCTGACTCGCATTGTCGCAGTCAACATGCATGCTGACCTAAATCACAGAACTACCGCATCCTGTTCTTCCTTACTCTGGCATTCTCTGTGCTCGCCCCCCTCACACATCTCTCCTACCTTTACTCGACTTGGCAGATGCTTGCTTTCATCCGTACGTGCCTTCATCCGCTCGTCTTCTGCCTTGAGCTGACTGCCTTGTCAAGGTCCACTTGTGCCCTCGCTCCTCGCCTACATCGCGGGCTTCGTCTTCTACGCGACACACTTCCCCGAGTGCGTGCTCGCGCGCCCGGGCGAGACACACTGGCTCGACTGGCTGGGTGGTGGCTCGCACGCGATCTGGCACGTCTGCATCGTCCTCGCGATTGCCCTTCACCGACATGCGATGGACAGCATGAAGGCGGGCGTCAGTGCTGTTTAGGTGTATGAGCAAGGCGCCGGTCTCCCTTTTCTTCCTTGGGCTGTGGGCGGGGTAGACACGTTTAGCCGCACTCGCTTCGTCAATTCTTGTATTTAGTGGGGCGAGGCACTTTCTGCTTTGCTCACTACGTGACGGTGCTCATAATCCACTAATTCGCTACCGCACTTCGGCGCTCATTAAATTATTTATTTATGCTTATTCAAATCTGGACTTCGCGCGAGTTAGATCACTGCACAAGTGGGAAAGGTTGCGATGTCACGGAATACATAACTAAGATGATGCTGAGAAGATTGTGCCGGAGCCAGTCTGGAATGTGGATATTGAGTCGCCGGATGTGGGTATAACGTCGGAAGAGGGGGACTCAGGTCCTTGACTTGGGGCTCCCGAGTCCGCTTGGTCTTGCGATATGTGAATCAGGTCCTCATCCCAAACCTGCTCCGGATCAGCCTCAAAATACGCAACAATCCCACGAGCATGCGCCAGCTTCGCCTTCACATCCTCCGTCAGCAGACCACTCTCGTCGCATTTCTCCATGATGTCCAACAAATGACCCAGCTGTTCAGGTGCGATCAACCAGAAGTTCCGTAGAGTGAATGTCGACAGCCACGGCAGCTTCGCGTAGCTTCCGCAGTTGGTGTAGGAGCGCTCCAGGGAGGTTTGTGCGACTGAAATCATAATGTTCACCACGGTGTGTACTTGATCCGAGTTGGTCGTGAGCCAGTCGGTTTCTGGTGCGATCTCAGCGGAGGCCAAGCTGTTGAGAAATCCATTTGTGAGGGCAACGAGGCAAGAGCAGTCTTCGCGCCCGTAAGGTCGACCGAGCATGGAGTTTCTGTAGGTGACGACAAGATTTGCCATGACAACGCTCGGAGGAAGGTTTTCGAGAGGCCAGCGTCGTTCTGCGAGTACATCGAAGGTGAGTGGTTGACGGCTCCATCTTCGGCCAGCAAACATACCTTCTCCTAACACTAGCCTGCCGCTTGCATCACAATAAACATCGATGAAACGGTAAATGGTAACGAGCAAGGACGTCCGCAGTCCCGGGCACCACACTTCATCGATACAGTCCGCCCGCGCGTCGCCCACGAGAGCGTTGTAGCTGTCGATCAAGGGCGTAAAGGCTTCCTCCAGGAGCTCGACCTGCAGCTCGGGCCACTTGAACTGTGCAGCGCGGATGAGACGATGAAACGCGCAGAGCAAGCCCATGGCTCGACAACCGACAGCCAAGGGCTCGACATGTGCTCCTCGGCTCATTGCGAGACGTACGAGCTCGAAGATTGTGCCTTTGACATCGCCAACGAGCAAGCGCAGGAAGATGTGGAAGTCCTGCCTCGTGCAGAACCAGTCGCTCTTGGCATTCCACGTTCTCTCCAGGAAGCCGAAGGCCTGATGGGGGCTTACAGAGAGATGCCCACCGACTCGCCTTGTACGGGTCTCGGGCATGTGGTAGCACCGGCGGAGCACTTCTAAGAGTGTGAACATAGTACCATCCAACCCTGGCAGCGCGTAGTCAGGTAGGGTGGGTAGCCATGCTGAGACGTCAGATGATTCCCGGGGGAGGGGACTACTGTCGCCTATCCTGTCAGAGAGGAGATGAACGGCGGAGAGGTAACGGATGTCGTAGGGCAAATCGACTGCATGGAGGAACTCTGCACTGGAAGCGACATTCGCGAGGACCTGTTTATCCTGTGAGGCATGAGATACCCAAGAGAGAGCGCGTAGCAAGGTTTCCGCCTTCCCCATTTCGAGAAGAGCACCATGCATCTCGCTGGTGTCACCTCTGAAATGTACCTGCAATTTGTTTGAGAACGTTGTATGGGCGTCGGCCTCCCTATCATCTGAATCCACTAACACTCTGAGATGGCTGGCCTGGATGTCCCTGGTCCGCCAATCCAATCGGATATCAAGTGCTTTTCGGAGAGGACGAGAGCCGTCTTCCCATAGTTGAGTAGATCTCATCCGGGAGACTCTTTTGACGTTGTTGACAAGATTTTTGAGATAGGTTTTGCCAAGGTGGTAGAGAAGTAGGATCCCGTACGTTGTGGGCGATTTGTAGGGACATCGTTTGATGAAAAGAGGGAGAATAGTAGCGGCGGCAGCGCATCCAAAGAACAGTGATATGAAAATGGTGACAACGATGGCGACTACGGACTCGACGCTCCAGAGGAGAATCTCCAGACCGGCAAAGAAAAGGACGAGGGAAAGTTCAAGTAGTAGAGGGATGTATATGATGGTAGTGTCCACGCCCCAGTCCTGCCAGGCTTCGAAGCGAATTTGGCGGACAAGCACGTTTTCCTTTGGGTCGCACAACGGAGAGTTCCATCTCATATATTCGCGTAGCCATTGCTTGACTAGAATTCCAAAGAATGCTGCAGCAAGGCTTAGTACGAGGCTGACAAACCAGAGAGAGTTGACCCAGAGAGAAGCTCGGGTTGGTCGAAAAGAGTTGATGTCCGGCATAGGTAGTGCTGAGTTACCAGGTGATGGATTGTCCAGTTGTAGCGTGATGCGTGTGAGCAAGCTCACAGCGGCCTGAAGATTATCGATTTGCAGTAGAGCGAAGGAGATGACGAGGAATGCGGAGAGAGCCGCAGAGAACAGACCGGCCTGCACGCAAAGGGGTGCTCAACACAGCCAACAATAGTATCCCATGACATGAGACTACTCACGAATACCAGAAGAGTATCAACATCGTCAGAATAGTCTTTCGTTATGCTCCCGTCGTAACCTTGCATGTAATCCTCCACCGCTGACCATCCGGCGAGCCCACTAGCACGCCCAGAACGGCCTACAGACTGTTCAACAACGTTTATGATGAGTGACGGCACAGATCCATAGTATCGTCCAGCAAACCTCTTGCAAACCAGTCTTAGGCTTCATTCTAACGGATGTGCAAGTGCAGGCTGGGACACGACCGGGATGGTGGCAGGCACGGAAAAGCCCTTGCTGTGCGCCGGAGCGTCGATGGTAATCGTGGGAAATATTAGGGCGCCACAATGCTCCCATGTGAAGAGTCACCTCGCGCAACATGAAGGGCGCGTCCATCCTTCTCAGGCCTCAGTTTCTGCTTATACTACGTTTGAGATTTTTTCTAGCGCGCTTCTTGTCTCGCGAACCCCTCAATCGCCACTGGCCACCTTACCTCTATAATTTGAATTTTCAGAGATTCCATAAGGAAATTACGCCGTCACGTGAGAGGCGCGTCGTGACAGATGTGACGATCGTGACCTGCCGCAGCGTGTTGGATTCTGGCTTTTGTCTCGTGGACTTCGCTTGATACCCCGCCAGAGCCACGCTTGGATACCCATTCACGACACTGAATGTTGCAATTGTTCACCTAACATGTCCTCCCCCCAACATCCTCACGAAGACTCCGAGCCCGACAGCTACGACTATGATTATGATTACGACAGCCGCAGCGTTCAACAAAACTCAAACTATACCCCGCTGCGCAACACGACTTCAACGTACAGCGGTATGCTCAGCAACGCATTTTCTCGCGTCCAAAACACGCTCGTGCAACGTATTTCGCCCAGCAGAACCATGCAGACAAACCTTGCCACCGTCCCAGAAGCATCAGAGGAAGGCTCGGATAGGCAGTCCGTCTCTACCACACTCACAGGCGACTCTGCACCTTCCAACAACAATAGCAAGTTTACGGAACACTCACTCAGTGAAGTACGACGCGTTAATGGCGGTAGCCATCCCGACTACGATGAGAAAGACGACCCTTTCGTCGACACCCCACGAGACTCGCGGAGTATCGCATTTCGCTTCGCATCGAATCTAGACGGCCAACCATCTGCGCTTCCACTTCCTACCCTGAGCTATTCTCGAGACACAGAAGCCTACGCCACCGGTGCCTCTCGTTCTCCTACACCTGCAAAAAAAATGCCACTGTACCGGCGCGTTGCAGACGAAGAAGAAGCCTCCGAGGATTACTTGGACGACCAGGATGAAGATGTTACAGAACTTCGCCCCCGCTCCTGGGTGTCCTATGCTCAATGGCCTTCCATCGGGGGCGGTGATGCTGAAAAGTCTTCACTATCTTCGTTCAACAGCTCCACGCTCGATGGGACTCTACCAACCTCTCCGCTTCCGACGCGTCACTTTGGCCCTGCACCTGTCGGGCGTGTGCAGCGACGACACAAGAAACTCAAGAAGGCTGTGCGGCTGACAAATGGCAACCTTGTTGTGGACTTGCCTGTACCACCTAAGCTAGTCAAGATCCTGCCTGTGGTGGGCGGCGTCCGCTATGAGGAGAAGAGCGAAATGACCAAGACACGGTATACTGCTATAACTTGTGACCCAGATGAGTTCGAGAAGCGTGGCTTCTTCCTCAGACAGAACGAGCTGGGTCGTACAACTGAGCTTTTCATCGTCATTACCATGTACAACGTATGTCCTTCGCCGCGTATCTCGATAGCATATACTCACCTCATTCTCACAGGAAGACGAAGTGCTCTTTTGTCGCACTCTATACGGCGTTATGCGCAACATCTCGCATCTTTGCACGCGCAAGAATTCGCGCACGTGGGGGCCGGACTCGTGGAAGAAAGTGGTCGTCTGCATCGTCGCTGACGGCCGCAAAAAAGTACATCCGCGCGTACTCGACGTGCTTACGCTCCTAGGCGTGTACCAGCCAGGAGACCACATGAAAGGTGCGATCAACAACAAAACGGTCACGGCGCATCTATTCGAGTACACGACCTCTTTCGGACTCGACCCGAAAATGCACCTGCGCTATCCTGACAAGGGGATTGTGCCGACGCAGATCTTGTTCTGCATGAAGGAGAAAAACCAGAAGAAGATCAATTCTCACCGGTGGTTCTTCAATGCGTTTGGCTCGCTCCTGCAACCCAATGTGTGCGTGTTGCTGGACGTGGGGACTATGCCGGGGCCGAAGAGTATTTATCACCTGTGGAAGACCTTTGATCTGAACTCCAACGTCGGAGGCGCCTGCGGGGAGATAGCGGCGTACAAGGGGCGGTACTGGAGGTCCTTGGTCAACCCGCTTGGTAGGTTCTTCACCTGTCAATCTTCTGCAACTGCTTATCGCGAAACTAGTTGCGGCTCAGAACTTCGAGTACAAGATCACAAATATCCTTGATAAGCCCACTGAATCGCTTTTTGGGTATATCAGTGTTTTGGTACGCGCGTATTTTATCTCACAGCTCTGAAATTTCGTCATGACTCGTCATTTGCAGCCAGGTGCATTCTCAGCCTATCGCTATATTGCCCTGCAGAATGACAAGATGGGAGTTGGGCCGCTTGCGTCTTATTTCAAAGGCGAGGTGCTCCACGGGCGCGACACGGACATCTTCACCTCGAATATGTGTGAGCTCTCCGTTCACTCTACATAAACAAAGCTGATACTTACAACCTCGAAGATCTTGCCGAGGATGTGAGCCGCAGCTGCACTCATACGCGTGCCTAGCGTATACTCACCGTTTACCGTAGCGAATTCTGTGCTTTGAGCTGGTCGCCAAAGCGAACTCTAACTGGTATGCCGCCTACGTTCCGCTCGAACTTCGTAGCTGACATCCAGTTAGGATCCTCAAATACGTCAAGTCCGCGATCGGCGAGACGGATGTGCCAGATGCGATGCCCGAATTCATCAGTCAACGCCGGCGATGGCTCAATGGTTCGTTTTTTGCAGCGACGTACGCCGTCGCGCACGTCGGCCAGATGCTCCGGAGCGGCCATTCAACCGGGCGCAAGATTGCGTTGCTGATTGAGACATTGTATAATGTGATTAATTTGATCGCGAGCTGGTTCGGGATTGTAGGTATCTCTAAGTATGTCGCGAGAATGTTACTAACAGGGTCGCCAACCACAGGGAAATTTTTATTTGTTCTTCGTCAGTCCCATTCTGTCTCTGCACATGGCGCTGTGACTAACCGCTTGTGCAGGTCATCCTCACTTCATCACTGGAGACGGAATTTCCTGACGTCAAGTTTATCAAGTATCTCAACGCATTCATTCAGTACTGGATGGGGGGTCTTATTATAGCCGCGTTCCTCCTTTCCATGGGTAATAAGCCGAAAGCGTAAGCTTACAACTCGCGCTTCAGTTAAGCGGACAAGCTTATCAAACATCTCGCCAGAGCACCGTGGAAGTACAAGATTCTCGCGCTCAGCTTTGCGCTTCTCATGGGCTATCTACTATTCTGTGCGGTCATGTGTGCGATCGCGGCTGCGAGACAGGGTGGCAGCGCAAACAGCCTCATGCTCTTCAGCATTATTGCCACCTATGGCGGTAAGTCCCGTCTTCCACGATAGAAGCAGACTGACGGGAAGCGGTCAGTATACCTATTCTCAAGCGTGCTCTCATTCGATCCATGGCACATGTTCACAAGCTTCCTCCCGTATATGCTCCTTTCGCCAACATACATCAACGTCCTGAACGTCTTTGCGTTCTGCAATCTTGACGACGTGCGTTTCCTCCTTTTCCGTCTTTCTCTACCTCGCTCACGCCGGGCGGGCAGATCTCGTGGGGCACAAAACAGCAGACGGAACAGCCACCGCTCGACCTTGGACAGGTGACGCAGAATCCGTTGAAGGAGGTCGATGTCGAGGTGCTCGCGGACGGCGCAGATGCGAACGAGATGTACGAGGAGAGCCTCGCGAACCTGCGCGACCGCAAGCCAATCCCCGACGAACCTGGCGCATACATGTTTGATCGCGAGCAGGTGGCACGGGACTACTACGCAAGTGTGCGAACAAATGTGTTACTGTGCTGGGTGCTGTCGAATGTAAGCTTCTCCCCATCTGATGTGGCTCTACCAACACCCGACTGCCTTGTTTCAGGGTCTGCTCTTGGTGGCCATCCTTGGTGGTGGAGATCCTTCTTCGGCTTTCTCAGAAAACAACACACTCTCAAGGACGAAGGCGTATATGACAATCATCCTTGCCTTCGTTGCGCTTACGAGTATCGTGGTGCGTACCTAAATCCGCTTAAATTCAAACCGGACCGGGCCGCTGACGTTTGATATTCAGAGGTTCACGGGCTCGACATTGTACCTGATCATACGTGTCTTCACGGGATAGATATGGTGCGACGCGGGCTGTCGTACTTAATTTCTCTCAGGGGTATCTTATTCAAGGACTTTCTCATCTCTCCCATCTCCTCGTGGAATTCATAACGTCTATCATGGACTCGGATTTTATCACCCCTGTTTTCAATATATGGACTCATGTATCAGGTTGACGTGGCTAGAATCTGTTGTACGCTATGGTCTAGGGAGTCTCAAGTTTCACGACGTGTTCTGTGGTCTTCTGTATTGCGCTTCATCTTCATTTTTGTCGCTGATTCCACATGCCCACAGATGGACATGTCCGCGAAATTGCATCGTTTCCGAAGTCAGACCGTGACGATCCTAGTTATGCATGGGTCGCCGCACGCGCCGCCTCCGTTGCGCCTGTGAATCTTTCCCACGGGCTGTGTCTGCTTCCAACTCCGAATTTCCAGATCGTGGTCAGCCGTTCATATACAGATTGCACGAGAGGGAGCACCATCGATTTCGATGAGCAGCCGGCGTGTCTGTATCTCCGCTGGTAAATTGCAATTTCTGTGAGCGTTTTATATCATGCGCGGTGTAGTTGTGCGTGCTGAACACTTCATATGAATGCTTTGCTATCGTCAGGTAATTTTGTGAGGATGATGAATGGAAGAGAAGCTGTCAAAGTGTCGATGAACGGAGCTGATCAGCAAACAGCAGACCCACAGGCATCAATGCCGCTAACCGTATCTGCACTATTCGATGCAAATGCTGATTCAGGCCCTCCTAGGACTCTTTCATGAATGCCTGAATATATATATATATATATATGGTCACCTTCAGAGGAGCTGTTCTTTAGGCCGAGTCTTCCTATTGCTCCAGTATGCACACTCGTCAGCACTTCCCACTTCGTCACTGACCTCATCATTGCAGTCAATCGAACAAGAAACCATGACATACACAATCTCAGTGCGCGTCCAAAGCGATACCCGTGTCCAGCTCGTCGAGAGCTCGGTCTGGCACTACGCCAACGGCGGCACGTGGAACTTCAGCGCGGCCCCGGACTCGTTTGTCCTCACTATGGCCGGCAGCGGCACGTCGGGCATGCTCCGCTTCCAGCTGCCCTCAGGGGAGTTATTCGCCATTGCAGTCGGCATACACAACTACGCGCCTTGGAGCGGCGTTGCAGTTGACATCGGCCCAAGCGACACGCTCCAAGTCGTTCACAAGGAGTTCTACGCCGGCGGCCCAAGGTCGAGCCCGACTCTCAAGGATTCAGTGGGTAACAGCAAGTCAGGGCTGTCTGCTGGCGTCCTCTATAACGACACAGAGAGCAACGACAAGTCGTACAAGGCTGTTATCGCCATTGTCATTTAGCTAAACGCGTCCTTGTGGCGAGAACGATATCGTGATGACGATGTTGATCCCTAACACAACACGATACTGGCATAAATATTCTCACCATCTCTCGTATTCAGACCCTCGTCAGCAAACGGCTTACATATTTTGTCATCAAGATGCGATTTGAAGTCTGACTGTACCCGTCCATCTTAAGGCAACATCGCCGCTCGGAAGAGGGGTCACGGTTGGCAGTACAAAGCAGGTAGTATAATGACACTTGTAAGAAATTGAGAAGATTATAAGGTTTGAGATCGGGCGAAACACGCACTACTACAAGTACGAATAAACTTGCGTCCTTTGAATCACTAATTCACTATCAATGAAGCCCAACTAGGGTGGCGTAATACCTTCACGTCGCCGCATCCGCATCAAAATGATAAGAGGCGGCTTCGCTCCGCTACGCGATTAATGTTCCCTCGGAAGCTGTTTTCGTGGCTGCCGTTTCCGCGACTGGTGCCTTCGTGGCTGGAATTCACTTGGCTACGAGCCGCAGCACTTCCTGTGATGCTCACAGGCTAGTGCGACCGACATGAGTCCTGGAAAGAGACATTGAAGCTAACAGCACGAGCCTGGAACACTGCAACCTGAGAATATCGTGAAGGATGCGGAGCTGGAAGGACTCTGAACGTAGCCTCCGGTGGCTCGCTTCGACGCGTTGCTGGAGAGGATCAAAATCCCTGACACTGCTACCAGTGGGATAAGCAAGGACATGAAAGCGATCCGTTTGATCATGATCAAATAAAGAGGTCAGTGGGGTGAATGTAACGCAACACAGTGGTATTTATCCTGTCATGATGGAACAGCGGGATTGTTCAGGTTGTTTGGCGTCACCTTGAGGTCAAGACTGTCCTTAACTAAGTCAGAAACCGGATGTTTGTAGAGCAGAAGACTTGCGGGATAAAACAAACGGCTTGCAGTACGTTGATATAGGCTGTTTCAAGGACAAGCTTGCTAGCGAACTGGTCACTCTGAGATCATAAGTATGAGTATGGCAATTCGCTGTGGAACACGTGACGACACACGAAGTTCGTGTGCCATGGCGGTGGGAGAGACACAGCCGGGAGCCAGCTAGTTTACTTTTCGGAGGTCATTAGCCGGATGTTGTCAAGCGCGCTCTTGGGTGTGTAACGTTTTAGCAACATGAGCTCCCACGCATAATGGAGAGCAGAAAATAATCGATTTTCGGAGCAGCCGGTAGAGATATCACAGCACACGGAAGAGACAGCGGACGGAATCTCATAGATCTACCAAATCTATAATAAAGACAATACGTAAATGAGCGAGAGCTGCATATAACCACAGGAGATACTTGCATACCCAGTCCCTGTAACAGGAGCCACTGGCGGGTAGCTTAGCAGGAACTGCAGGTCGCAGCGAGACCAGGGCTGCATGTTCCCGGCGGGCAGGGCGACTCCATAGTTTCCCCAGGAGCTGGGGCGAAGAAGTTTGGGTCCGTAGGAATGCAAGAGGTCGATCCAGCGTCTGATGAATACAGGTAAACATGGGCTCCTAAACTCATTGTAGATACATACTGGGCTGATACGTTCCTGGAGGACACTATGCAGAGGCATCAACATATCATTACGGAGAATTGAGGTATGTGGACATACAGGGTGACAGGTGCCATCGACTGCACCATACTCCCCGGCAGGACAGGCGGCCTGCGGTACGGCCGCAGCCGCCGAGGCCAAAAGAATTGTGACCAAACAAGAGATGGAAGTAGAGGTGAGGATCATGGCTATCAGTGTGCTGCTTAATTGCTGCCTGATAACCGCCTGCAATGGCCCCTCTTATATGCTACACCTCAGGCGCTATGTACAGAGTTCAGTGGGCTTCGCCGTCGCGCCTCGGCCATGAAACAAGCGTACAGTCGCAAGGGCGCAAGGGTGCTCATTGTTTGCTTCGCCCCTGCCCGGTCAATAGCCGCGAAAGGTACCCGCTGATAGCAATGCTACGATTGCTCCTCGCGGCTAGAACGAGACGGTTTGGCGCGCCCGCTGGTAATACCAGTGGTTACGCCGCTGGCACAAGGTTACGGGATAAGTCAGGCCGAGGTGGTGTCGGAGAAAAACGGCCACGCACCCCACGGCTGCCCGTCGAGGCCGACGATCTCGACCTGACGCATATGCACCATGAAATTGCAGAGCCACCTGTGCACATCCGATCGGAAAGCAAGATGCAGGAGAGAAAGGTGGCCAGCGAGGACATCCCCAGCGAACGTAAAAGTATATTCCGACAAATCGCGTGAACGAAGATTATCGTCGGTAGTCGTCGAGGACTGCGATGTCGAGATAGCTGAATAAAAGGATCGACAGTCCGGCTCCAGGCCATAGTTCACGTGCTCAGTGACCTCTGTCCGTCAAGAAACGCAATCAGTTTCGTTGAGAAGAAGGGCGAGCGAAACACCGGACTATCGCGGACTCCTACAGCACATCGCATCTACTCCAAAACGCTAGACCGCTTTCGCACTTTTTTCACTTTGGATTCTATGTGCGATCGGGTCCAATTGAAGGTTCGCCATCGACGGGATGCGGTATACCAAGTGCTGGTTGACTCGCTGACACTGATAAGGTGCAGATATTGTTTGTTCTGTTCTGCTCTCAGGACAAAGAAAAATCCGGTAGCAAATTTCTTGCAAAGCGGCCTAACGTTTCTTTAGTAGCTGTTATGTATCTTTCGTCTGAACGGAGTGATGCAAGATTTGACGCACAAGGATGCACGTTCGCCGGGGCCCGCCGGGGCCCGTCGATGCTGCCATCAACTAAGCGACGAGGCGGCCGTTCTCTATTGGAATCGTATGCAGATGTTGTACCATTTGACTGGCAGTCAAACGAGTTCCAAGCTGGTGAGATGTCAGGGTGGTCGCGCTTTTTGCCGCCGCAAGGTGGAACTAATGATGCCTCCTTTGATCCATAGCGGCATAAATTCTCATGCGCTCGCGGCACGAAAGTACACTAGATTTCTAAGGCATTTCTTGGCGGCAGGACAGGGAAGAATCGACCGACCAAGCTTGTTCGCCGATATCATGGATCTACGAAATCTGCGATGAAGACGCCAGGTGAGCGATATATATTTTACATAGAACCGCAAGAAATACCTACATACGTGTTTAAGAGTTTTGGAGAGGATGCAGGATGCAGCAATACCTGCACTGGGCGACTCCATAGTCTCCCCGAGCTGGGGCGTGGAAACTCGGGTCGGTAGGAATGCAGGAGTTTGACTCAGTGTTAAGAAAAGCCCCAGCTGAAGGGGAGGAGACAGATGTTTCGCGCACTCAGAGATCGTAGTCCACCAAGTAATGTAATCAGCTTCGGAGAGGAGCGAGTCTGTCACGCATACCTATGCTAATGAGCCTTTTGTCTGGGCGGAGCGATGCAAGATGTAGACTCGTTACCAGTCTACTCGGTAGTTGGTAGAGGCGTGTACCGAGGGTGGGATGGTGGTCGGTGCGCTGGGATAGCTACCGAGTAGGTGGCCGGTATTGAGCTTATACAAGATGTGATATACAAGGATACACACTGGAAGCTAGGGTCTCCCGGTATCGGTACTGCAATCTGCTGAGAACCTACGACGCCTCAAACAGCAGATCAGGCTCCACACAGACTTCGTAAAGGCCTGTCGGCTAGGGAAGAAGTACAATGGCTGTTCTCAGCTGATGTCGAGTGCAGATGTTGTATCGCTTGACTGGCAGTCCCTAGTAGCAACCAGTGAATAAGCTCATGTACAGTCGGGAGAAAGAGTAAAGGCAAAAGATTGTAGATCTGGACACTGTGAGTGCATGCTGCCTTTTGTACAGATCGCATACCAGGTTAGCCTTGCGAACAGATGTCGCGAGAGGATGGCGGTGGTTAAGCGCAGGACGTGAAGGTGATAGCGACGAAGCGCTATCAGCCATCTTGCATCTCTACATCCACCTCGTCGAACAACCTCCGTTCACTGTTCAAAAATGGACCCATAAAACTGGCCTGTTATACAGCATCGTGTGACCCAGGCTCAACAGACAGACCTGAGCTCTCCCTTCGTCAACCATAGTTCCAAATCCATTACGGATAGCGGGGTCCTGCGAGCAAATAAATGTCTCGGCACTACGGGTATCTAGGTAGTCTACTACGCGGACACACTGTTGTGGACGTTGTGGCGCGGCATGCACAAATTACGGACCACTCTCGGACGTCGGCCTCCGGCTGGTGCCTGAAGGTGCCTGACGGTGTCTTGAAGTTGTCTTGTCGTTCTCTGTTGCTATAGTCTTGGTCTATTTGTGGGTTTTGTCAAACCGCACAGGCCGGTACATCTTTGGCTCTTTTTCTGGCGCGTTGACCTACTTTTGCAGGCATTGCAGACATTCTTGGCCTATTCCTGTGATCCTCCACTTCTTGACTCTCGTCACGAGGTGCCAACAACGGTCAAAGTCTGGTCTGGCTGGCTGTCTGTTGGTTGTAGGACGGCTTCCACCTATTCATGCGATGAATCCGTTTCCGAGGGTGTAACGACAATATACCGCACGTCCATGGCGACTGGATGATCAGAAGACTGTTTCTCCTTGCCGTCGCATCAATTCCGCCCTTTACTACAACATAAATTCGCTGCAGTGCCGTTATCCATGAATTCCCCATCTTCATCTACACCAAGCAAACTATGGCTAGGCTCTCGACATTCCTCTTGTTCGTCGCCGCTGCGACCCTCGCGAGCGCGTTGACCGTCTGTAAAAAGCGTGCAACTGGCGGGTATGTCCAGCAGGCCACGGGTCAGGCGTCCTTCACGATGTACTCGGGCTGCGGCTCTCCTGGTACGCTTCCATCATTTTCCTGCCACCCACGCTGTCATGTCTGACGTCCCACCTAGCCTGCGGCAAGTCTGCTTCAGGCTTCACCGCCGCGATCAACCAGCTCGCGTTCGGCTCTGCGCCGGGCCTGGGTGCGGGCGACGCGTGCGGCCGCTGCTTTGCGCTGACGGGGAACCAAGACCCGTACTCTCCTAGCTTTACCGGACCGTTCGGACAGTCGATTGTCGTGAAGGTCACCGACATGTGTCCCGTGCAGGGCAACCAGGAATTCTGCAGCCAAACGACAAGCAATCCGACGAACGAGCACGCCATGCCGTTCCAGTGAGTGCCCTGTACTGAGTCGGGAGTCAGGCGGGCGTGCTGACGGGCCGCTAGCTTCGATATTTGCGAGGACACCGGAGGCGCGGCCCAGTTCTTCCCCTCGGGACACGGCGCACTTACGGGCACGTTCACCGAGGTGTCGTGCTCAGAGTGGTCGGGCTCCGACGGCAGTCAGCTCTGGGACGGCGCATGCCTCTCTGGCGAGTCCGCGCCGAACTGGCCCTCGACTGGATGCGGAAACCAGGGTATGTTCCTGCGCATGCAGCCATCTTTGACTGCCCGTGCTGACAGTGGTCTTAGGAACCGCTCCCTCGTGAAAGTTGTAGTCCCTTCGCTGTAGCACCCTTCATTAGCACCCTCGTTTTAGTACCCTTCGTTATACCCTTCATTATCGTGCGATTATTTGTCAAGCGAAATTTGATGGCAGCCGATGCAGGTATGGTTTGGCTCTTGTGTCAAAACTCGTCAGAGGCTGCATAATGCATAAATTCTGTCTGTGAGATACATTATTATGCGCGTTCTATCGATACAGATTGGTATACGTCCGAGCCTAGATACACGCTCTATTCCTACTGGTACTGACTCTTCCTCTTCCCTACCTTAGCGCCCAGCGTCAGCGGTTTCAGCACACCCGGCGCACCACTCGCTGTCTGCTGTGCCTCGCGTATCGCGCCGCGGCTGAGACAGTAATCAACATGCGCGTTCAGGCCCGCGTTGTCCGTTGCCCAGGTGCGTGCACAGACGGGGCAGGTGTGTTCCTCGACGGCGTCCTGCTCGACTTTGTGCCTTTTGTCGCGGGCTGCGGAGAGTGCGACCGAGGTCGAATGCGGCTTTTTTTCTAGCTCTTTCTGTAGGCCAATAACTTTTGAGGACGAGGCAGCAGGTTGAGGCGGCTGAGACTTCGCTCTCGAGGCACTCGGCCGTACTGTTGCTGCTGACGTGGGCTTGGATGTCGGCAAATTAGCGTCGTGATCGGCCTCGTCAAAGCCATCGCGCTCGAGGTCCTCGTGCTCGTAAAACCCAGGCATAGCATCTTCGTATCCGTCCTGCGTGAGCTGCAGCTCGTCTGGGTCGTTCGGCTCCTTCTGTCCCGCGACTGAGAGCCTGCGTTTCTTGCGCGGGGAACTCCCTGCGTTTTCGAAAAACTGCCAATGATAGAGTGATGAGTAGTGAGGTGGGCATATGCGCGGGGTAAAATGGAGAGGCGCACCCGCCTGATGCTTCCTGGCTTATCCGCGTCGACGCGCAGGTCCTTGAGTTTCATGACCCGGAGCCCAATGAGGCGCAGGCGGAGGGGCAGCTCCGGCAAGAGCAGCTCTTTGCCCGTCTGCATACGCGTTTCAGATATGCGCACACGGGTGGAAAAATAAGCTCACAGCAAAGAGATCCTCTTTTTTCGTTGAGATCCAGCGATCGAAGGACTTAGCACGGGTGAACACTGTCGGTGCGCATGATGAGCAGTAAGTCTAGATGTGAAACGGAGCAGACGCACCCTGGTAGGTATCGAGCTTGTACTTGAGCGTCACTGTCTTACCCGTCCAGCCCGTGCGTTCCAGATCTTCGTTAAGCTCTGCAGCGACCTCCTCAAGCTTCCTTAGGATGTCCTCCTTTGAAGATATTGTGTGGAACGTCCTACACCAGCGTGCCATCGTATTAGCTACGAAAATATCGTGCGATAGGGAACAGAAGGGTACACACCGCTCGGCGCCGATGCTCTTTCGCTCCTCGCGCTGCCCCGGCTGGACGACATTGGACGCAATGCCAAGGTATGTCTGCAGAAGGAAGTGCAGTCCAAAATATTTATCCATGAGCGCGAGCGTCGCGCGGTGGGTGTAAATATCCCCGCAAGTCTGTCTCGTTTGTCAATAACGCACGGCGGAACCTTCGCGCTATTGAAATACGCGGGGAAACAGGGGAAGACGCACTTGAATCCCAACGCTGTCGAGAAGTCGTTCATTCACCCGGCCTACACCGGGAATCTTGCGTATGGAAAGGTCGTGCATGAACGCTTTGACTGCTGCGGGTGTGAAATCAAGCGCGAACTGGCCGTTGGGTTTGTTCTAGCATATATGCGTAACAATAAGCGGGGCTGGGACTCGTGCAAAGTAAGACGGGCGAACCCTATCTGAGCAAATCTAGCGTCGCTCGTGAGCTTGATGAGCAGAGTTTGATAACGTGCTAAGTGCTGTTACCTTGGCGAGCATCTGCAGATATACAATCAGGGCGACGAACAGTGCAGGAAGCTCAGGGAGACACCGGCAACGCACTTTATTTGGCGCGATACCTGCACTAACAGTCAGCTTTGTCTCTCGAAACACTGTCTCACGCATCCCGCGGACACAGTCGTCCGCGCTCAGCATATATTCTTCGCAATACGGTGTAATACTTGGTGTGCCGTAGTCAGAATCTCAGATAACGGAGGTGCAAAAGATGGATGTACTTGAGATAGCCCTCATCACAGCCGGCAGCGCACATCGTGGGGTCGTACCGCCGGAAGATGTCCATAACTTGCCTCGAGAGCTCCATGTAGCGCGAAAAGTGACAGGGCACCACGACGAGTTGAGGACAGAGTTTCCTGGCGACGAACTCTGCAGGATATGAATCATAAGCCTCAGACGGCCATAGGAGCGGAAGGCGTACCGGCCATTCCTGAGCGTACGCCGTGCTTCCGTGCTGCATAAGACGCCGTAGAAATAACGCCATGACCAACCGCAAATGGTTTATCCCCCAACGAAGGGTCATCGAGCAGTTCGACAGAGGCATAGAAGGCGTCCATGTCAACGTGTACAATGATCTGGCTCAGGTCGCGCTGGACCTCCATCTTCGCTAGCTGCATGATCAACAATTAGCTGTTATTAGTTGTTCATGCGTACGAGATGGAGGGCACAAACCAGACTGTCAGCGTGATGTTCCGCTTTTGCTTTCGCGGGGTCAGACGACGGTGTGGCAAGGTGAACACAGACAGACGTACCAATGTCAGCCTCGCGAAGAACATCGTCCCGCGCCTTTATGATCCTTGCTATTCGCTCTGTCAACTCTTTGTCTTTCCGTTTTTCGTTCTGTAAGTCTGGTAAGTCGTCCCGTGCCCAGGGCTAGCTGGAGAGCATGTACCTCGTAGAACTTGGATCCCTTTGAAGCCTCTGCTATGATCCTGTTAATTTCTGTCTGATCCTTGGCCAGTCTGGTTGCCGAACGTGAGCGAGAGTGCAGCTGGAAGGCGATTCATAACGAAGCGCACCCCGCCTTCATAATGGACGGTCCCGCGAGCCGTCTGAGAAAGCTGGCGGTATCTTGTGAAGCTGCTGGTGCAGCGTCGTCGTCATCTTTGTTCCCTAGCACTCTCATTCACGCATATGACAATATCCTTCGGAAGAGAATGTATGTGCGCAGCTAGTTGTGCGCTCGGGACAAGAGGTAGGGCGCTTTCAATCGTCACGACGTCGCGTGAGATAACGCCTGTCACAACGCGTCTCCACGCGCGGCACGCGTTCAACAGAAGGCACGATGCTGTTGAGTGTACTTAATCTTATCGCGCGACTTTCGGCAGGACGCCACAGCCTCCTCCCCTACAGTGCGCAGTAGAATGTCCGGAGCGAATGACAGCAGTCCTTGCGACGAGTATGCCCACAGTTTGTTCCAGAAACCAAGCAATGGCCTCCCTCCGCCCCCCGATGACGGCCTCATCTTACGCGTTCTTCCACTGTTATCCTAAACCTAACTCAATTCCAACGTTACAACTCCGGTTCGTCGCAGTGCGCCTTTCGTGAGCAGACCTCTCCACGATACTTCAACCTTGAAGCCCTGCCCCAGAACTCGAGCCATTCATCACCATGACATCTCCGATTCCATGCCCGCCAGACCGACACTCTCCTATGCCCGCTCGACTGTCGCACCCTGAGCCTTCTCCGCGACGGGCGGTTCGGTCATGGTTGCGGAACTTGCGCCCGTCTGAGATACTCCGTTTACGCGCACAGCTACAAGTTCCCGCAGACACTCATCACCTCTGTTCTGGAAAGATCGGAGCACCCATTCAGCTTGTTCAGCGGCGTCAAGGATGATTGGAACACCGTCGACAGTGTGCTCCGCCGGCACGGATAGGATTTCTTCACTTGTGGCAACGAAAGAACCGGGAAACCAGAACCGCAGTTTGCGCGATCTGAGAGCTCGCTCCAAATGCGAGCACGGTAAGACACAGCGCAGGATTCCTTTGCAGGTATTCGATAGCCTGGGCGTCGGTGAACGAAAGCTGGAGGTTGATACGCTCAACAAATACGGACGAAGACACAGCACCTCTACCCGCATTCGACAGTATCGGCAGTGACATGATTTGCTCACACTAATTGAAAGACATACTGAGCAATTTGTCCTCGGGTTGCCAGGTCTGAACATATGTTTCTTGAAGTGTTCCAGGTGTCAATGCGAGCAGTGCCTCGACAGGCCCTCATGTAGCAGTAGTTCTACGGGCCTTTATAAACAAGTGGAAAAAAAAAGCAGTGCCTCGAGAATCGCGTCCCACGCTCGGACGTCAAGCGTCACGCGTCAAGGCCCACACGAGCGGCAATCCAAAGGACGTCAGAAGCAAGGGTTGTTTGGGAAGAAAGCGGCACTTCCGTGTGCACATCGCCATATGTAACATTCGGTGAGAGATGACGCAGACCGTCGCGGACCCCTGCGAGACTGGGCGACCGGCAATAGGTCCAGGAAGGTGAGTTGATTGCAAAAGAGACAGTGTATTGTTGGAAAGCTGTCAACCAGGAGTGCGAGCTCAGTCGTGCTCGCATGTCGTAGCCTCTCGAGCATAAGACTGGAGAGCCGCCGCAAACCGGAAGGCGGGGCACCCTGGGCCATGAACGAAATAGGTCCCGGTGGCCGCCTATCAACGTGGAGTCATATGTAGGGCTCGCGATGGCGCAGAGAAGCACTGTTTCTTGAAGCTGGGATGACAACCAAAGGACGTGATGAAGCCAGAGCTTTATCTGAGCAGCCTCCTGATACATTCGAGTACGTCTTTGTCTTCGTCTGGCCAAGAAGGGCTCGGGAAGCGTCTAGACGCAATGTCGAAGTCGCGCGCTTGAGCAGAGCTACGAATTACGCCGAGACGTCGACTGGCTGCGAGAGCTTTCGGGCCGGTAATGATCTCAAGAACGAGACCAGGATTTGAAGACGGCTATCGAAGGCACTCTCCAACAAATGGCACCGAAAGCTAAACCTGAGTGTACTACTGACGATAGTCTATATGAGCCCATCTTGTGTCACTCAAGTCTAGATCTGCTGCTCTGAAAAAGATGGCGCATAGTATCCCACACCTGCGGCGCCCGTGTCCTTGATCATACTCCCTCTTCCTCCAGCTATCCTCGGTCCGCTAATGTCTACATTCTCTTAGATCGCTCGTATGTCTGTAATGTATGGTTCGAACCATACCAGACTGTGCTCGGGTATTGCCGAGGTCCTACTAAGGGGCTCCCGTTTAGGAGGGTTTCAAGGACGATGAGATTAGCCTCTGGTCTTTGCACATTATAACATCTCTTTCCCCATCCATCACTGCATTCACCTGGTCAACCTGAATACTGACGGCAAGGACAAAGCCCCGCGTACCGAGCAACCCGCACGACAGTAATATCGCACTAAAATGAACGACATGATGATCAGCTGTCTCCCTCCTACAAAGTTCCTCAGCAATCTTCTGCCTGTGAGGGATGCAATTTTGAATGAAATGCCTAAGGGTGTTACATTCTCGAGAATTCCTGTGGACCCAGACTCTGAATCTGAAATGTACCCTGGAGTTGTGGGTAATGAAAATATGAAGCTCAAAATAATAATGCTCAACCTCTACTTCCTAGGTGAGAGAGTTCCAATCATTAAGCCCGGGATTCGCATGGTTTATTACCTCCCAAAAAACCGGCAGCGAGAACGTCTGCATACAACCGAACATATGTTCCGTCGAGGGCGATGCAGGCATGGACGACAATTTCTCTCCATCTGAGTACTCTGGAGGCAAACGCAAGAAGAAGGTGAAGGAGAAGGAGAAAGATGAGAGCACAAGTCAGAAAGCACAAGTCGATCCACCGTTCGACTGGGCGCGATGCGAGATAAGCGTCGTGGTAAAGGCCCGTTTAAAAGACGACCCCTTCGTTGACCATCAAGACAATGCTCTTGAATGCGCCGCTAAGCAGGGTAGATCTTCCTGTGGCCAAATCTCCTCGTACGTCAAGGAACAGTCCACAAGACAACACCGCGTTCGCATTTACCAGCTCCTCATCCTCGGACATTCTGCTCGCCTGCTTTGCTACGATCGCTCCGGCTATGTTGTATCCCAGCGGTTCGACTTTCACCAAGAGCCAGAGATTCTTGCGCAGTTTTTGTGGCGATATTTCAAGAGCAATCGTACAACAAGGGGATGGGACACAACAGTCGTTCTCGCAGAGCAACACGAGGTCGCAGCGTTCGAAAATGCCATCACAAGCTTTCTCAAGACGGTCGAGGATCTCTCAAGCGGCGATGATACCGCCAACACTGATGATGGTGTCCACGGCAGATTCATATGCAAAGAGTTTCACCGCACTCTTGATTCTGCGTATCCAACATACAAGATCCTCGTCTCTTCTAACGAGTACTCTGCAAATCTCATCGTGAGGCGACCTTTCGTCGAACCACTCTCACTATATGGGCGCTGCACTCGATCATATCTCGCTTACGACGTCGAGCAGTCCGCGATCGTTTTCTTCAAGGATACCTGGCGCACTAACCACACAGGACGTGATTCTGAAGCAGAAATCTACATGACTCTCAAGGAAAAGCATGTTGGCAACATTCCTAATGTACTCTATGCGGGCGACGTGATAGGGGATGATGGCGAAGTGCAGAAGAGTTATGTCGACGAGTACTCAGTGATGGACCACAAAACATGGTCACAGAAACCCTGCTTACCACTTCGGTCCCACGTCCACAGCCGCATCATTCAAGATTTAGCCTACCCACTGTGGTCAGTGCGGGGCACAAGGGAGCTTGTTCAGGTCCTCCGTGATGCTCTCATTGGTGCGTCTTCACCCATCTTGTCGCTGCAAGCCTCACATTGATATCCTTCAAGTAATACAAAATGCAAGGGCCGCAGGAATACTCCATCGTGATATCAGCGTCGGGAACGTCATGATCACGAAAGATGGCCGAGGTATCCTGAACGACTGGGATCACAGTTATAGGATAACTTCGAATTCGACTGACAAACACTCGAATATCAACCGACCCCCATTTCGGACGGTACTCCACATCCACTCTTTGCATGTTCAACATTAATGAATGGCCTAGGGAACATGGCAATTCATGTCGTGTCGCATTCCTAAAAATCCCCAGGCGAACCACGATGTGTTGGACGATGTAGAATCCGTCTTTTGGGTTCTCTTGTTCATTGCCTTGCTGTGGTTCAAGCACAGGCTGGGCTACATCACATTTGACATGTTTGACCAAGAGAACGTCCGGCGTCGCCCGAATTTGCGCCCACAAGTTGTCGGGGGAGGCGACAAACTCTGCTTCCTGTACATGGACGAAGCATCTGACCTCCAGTTCGAATCAGCCCCGCTCGACACCCTTGTAGTTCAACTGGCAAATGATCTCTCGAGACTGTATGGTTTCAAAGGTTCCAAGGAGACAGAGGAATACAAGACCATACGCGGGCAATGTGGCGTGGAGAAGGTCATTCAAAGGTTTGACGAAGCACTGGCTCGTCATGACTGGCCGCAGGGCCCGGAGCGCGTCAAAGAGGAGCAATACCCCCGACAGTCGCGAAACGCTACCACGAAGGAGATACACCAGAATACGATAGTATCGGCATATGGTAGATGGGTCGAGAACAAGAGCGGTGATGTCGATCTCTCCCCCGTGCTGGGACACACCCCTTCCGAGTCGCGATCGACACAGAACATATCTGCACAAGCAGGCGAGAGGGGTGGTCCACTCACGCGTAGCAAAGCCACGGCACGAGCCGCGGATATGTCTCCACCGCCACCTGTAGATTCTCAGCCGTCGACCTTCACACGCAACGCACGCCGGCGTCGCGAGGTGTCTCCAAAACAGCTCTCACAAGATCCTGGTGACCAAGACTTACCTTCCCGAGGCACCTCCTCTCGTAGGAGGGGCCGTGCACCCAGCCGGGGTATGTCCGACGGACAGTCGTATGTGCCCTCGTCCGGTCGCGGACTGCGGCGCAAACGCAGCACCAGCAAGGAGCCTGAAGCTGAGGCGTCGACGAGTCGCAGGAAACAGTCGCGGGCCACCAGCCAGGAAAAGAAGGGAGGGCGCGGAGGGAAAAGGAGGAGGACGTAATTTTATAACATTGCACTCGCATGTCACTCTGAAGTTAACGTTGTATCCCGGATGAATTGTACCTGTAAACACCCTGTCAATTCGCCTTTATATCATTCGCTCTCTTTGAGTCTAGCCGACCTTGGATGGCAAAATGACGACGACTTCGCCTTGTCAGGAAAGGCGCAGAACGCAGTTGCTGAGGTATTCGACCGAGCGTGAATAAGTTCGTCATAAGAACAGATCATGTAAATACGCCAGAGCGCACCCGTTCTTGCCCTTCCCATCTCCCGAGACGTCGCTATCCGCATCCACGAGGAGACTACGTGCCGTAGCGCGTATCGATGCGGCCTACTCGCACAACATACCAGTCGCGTATGTACCTGAGCGTGGCACAGCCCTAGAGCTTCTCGTGGCAGGTAACCGCGCACAAGACACTGTCTTTGCGCATGCCACGCAGGTTAACTGTCACTTGGCTGTCCTGCGGACGACACCAAGGCTGAAGCACGCCATGAACATTTCTGCGAGGAGTGCCAGGACTGACTTCTGCGGATTGATGAACGGGAGCAGCCCGTACGAGGCTGTCGCCGACTCGCAACCGGACTCGGTATGAGGCGTGCTCCTTCCTGACATCCTTGATAATATGAAGTTCTGCATGCTGGTCTCCTGCACTGGCCGAAGCTTTACGGGGATAACGTCTTTGTTTCGCCCACCCCGGCGGGCTGTTCACGCAGGCTCCGCCGACGAGGTCGCCGTTCTTGACCTCACTCATATAGTACTCCCCGCAGGACACGCAAACGTATGGGTGAAAACAAGCGTTCTGCAGCCGCCTAGTGTCACATTGAATCCGTCTTGCGGTGCTCGGACGTTCAGCGCAGAAGGGTCAGCAGAGAGTGTTATGAGACCGGGACGATGTGCCGGGACTTGGCCATGCTCGATGACGATGTGAACCTCGATTTAAGGTTGGCGCCCATTAAGCGTCGACGCCCGCTGTCTCAAAGCGTCCATTGAGACTTCAAACTCTCGGGCTGCGTTCACCTAGACACAACTCATCGATATGACTTTTCCTCTCGGCATAGGTCGGATATGGCTAGATCACCTGCGACATATGAAACACGTCATGCGCTACGAATGTAATTCCTCATGAGCTTCGCGAGGGCAGGAGGAAACGAGGCGAGTCTTTCGTGCTTCAATGAACGTCGGCGCGACCCAACGTGCGAACTCACGTCCCTGTCCAGACCAGCTTTACTTGTCCAAGTCGAGTATAGTGCAACATAGCGAAGACATAAAAGGCTGAGCGGGCTGCGGAGGAGTGATGTGGTTGCAAACGACCGCTGATCCTATGTTTTCTCGACATCTCATAAGCGGTCGGTCCTGCACAAGAAACATGGCTCTGGAGGCCTAGGCATGCTCCCTGTGACTTTTCTGCGGCAGGTGGCGATGAGAGAAGCGATCTCTTGGCAACTCCCATCGTGTCAGCGCGATCAGGATTGATATGACCTAAGCTCAGACAGTATATAAGACCTGCAGCGCTGGCCAATTTGGACCCAGCACAAGAGGCACCTCTCTTCTGCCAGCACACTCACCAACTTACCAAACCTCAACTCTATACGCAGACGGCATGTCGACCTGGGCACCTGGCACTCAGTACAATGTCGGCGATGTTGTTGAATACGAAGGTGCACCTCACCCATGCAGCTGCCATTCCATCGATGACTGACATGTCGCCTTGCGTGTTCAGGCTTCAAGTATAAAATCATCCAGCCTCACCTCTCTCAGGTACGGGCCATGTTCTTCTGCGACCACTCTCGACTTGGTAGACTCCGCAACGCTTCTTCTTCCCGCGTCTGGGTTAGAACGATGCCACATCCTTCTCGATCTGACTGTAGCGGTGGCGTTGAAAACCTTGTGATACCTTGGTTGCATGGGCTTTGAGGAGGTCGCCACTACAGAGGACAGGGGTTTACCCTCTCCAGCTGCTACTGCCTGCGTGCCAAACATTCATCTGACGCTCTCATTGCAGGGAGACTGGACCCCCAATGTAACCCCCGCGCTTTGGGGGCGCCTGCCTCCCGATTATGTTGGAGGCGGTGGAGAGAAACAGGGCGGCGGCTACCAGCCCGCGTACGACCAACCTCAGCAGCAGTCGTTCCAGGACGAGCGCCCGCCGTTCGACCAGCAGCAGAGCGGTAACAACTGGGACGAGCATCAGCACCAGAAGGTGGACATCCCTCACGAGGAGCAGAAGAAGAACTGGTGGGACCTTGACGACGCGGCCAAGAAGAAGATGGAGGTACGTCGTACTTCGTCTCGAAGCAGGGTTTGAGTCTAACGTGGTTATGATAGATCGGTGGAGGTCTCGCTATTGGCGTCGCCGCAATCGGTGCTGGTATGTTCGCATACAATCATCATCAGAAGAGTGAAGAGCAGGTGAGTATCCTGTTTAATGATATTCGACACGATAGACTCGGTGGCTTGCCCACGTTTCTTTGATCCGAAAACCAAGTAAACCGACACGTCTGAGGTCTCAGTAGGGTCCCGGGGCGTTCGCTGTGGCTTCCCGCAGACCCAGCTCTATCGCGTCAAGTGCCAATAGATAACTCAGATCTAATCTTACATACCTGACTTTAGAAAAAAGCGGCTGTCTGGGCTCTACAGAGGTGGCTGCGCGAAGGCCAGGATCGCACCGAAAACTTCTACCGCAACGGTCCTAGCGCGCCCACGACCTGGCTGCTTGTCCACGGTAAGAGCTTCCCTCGGGACTTGATCGCCGGTGGTGAGGAGGGAGGTCAGCCTCTCTATGTCTGCCGTGCCTTCCACGACGTGAGCTGCTTTCTTGTCGAACAACCCATGTACAGTGCTGATGGCATGTCTATTTACAGGGTAGCGTCCGTGAGTAATAGCGCGCATAGTCCACGCAAACAACTCATCACTGATGTCTTTCCAGAGGTTGGCAAGGCAGGTGCAAACCTCGACACCGGCGCCGTAGTCGGCTACGGCCACAAGGAGGTTTCTGTACGTCGTCCATCGTAGCACGATGTGACAGTGCGCTGACTGGTGCAACAGGTCGAGCAATATGAGCTGCTCGTCGGCAACCCGAACGCCGTGCGCTGGGTCGAGGTGCACGGGCAGCTGAAGCTGGACCGGCTCGGGGCGCGCCCGGTCGAGGGCGGTCACGAGGCAGACGGCACGCCGCTCTTCATTGCCCAGGCGCACGTCGAAAATGGCATCCACCCTGGCAAGATCAGCGAGAAGCTCCATAGTGGGTGTCCTAGTTTGGGCCGTGTACCGCTTCGGCGACTTACCTGTATTCTTCCGCAGAGGCTTTCATTCCTTACGGTGGCTCCGAGAAAGAGGTCGAGGTAAGTGGCTATAAGCACTGTGGCACTAGAATTTGAGCTTACTGGCCGCCCCCACAGCGCTACCGCGTCCTCTGCTACAACTAACAAGGGTCCCGTGCTGCATTCTCGATTATCTCTCGCATCGTGCCATCCAAACACGTTACAGCTCAAATCGGATAGCTCCATGAACCCAATGTACTCTTGAATAACACAATGATGACACATCGGAAGCTGTTACATAACAGACTTGCTCTTCTATAGAATCGCTGCGAGGCGAGTGGGGCCGCCCGATAATATTGCGCCTTCATTCCATGTTCTGTCGACGAATACTCGGCAACTAGTCTGTTGAGGATCTACTCTAGACTGGCCAGGAATCTCCTCGGCGTGTGCGCCGATTTTGCGTTACACATGTCACTCGCGGCGCTGCTCGCGGGCCCGTCGGCCGGCACGCAATTCGTGCGGCGCGACGACGGCAAGAGGCCCGTGCAAACCCATGACCTGCGGGCGGGTCCGTTGCGATGGTGCCCTGCGACTGGACGAAGCGTTCGAACGAGGGTACTGTACGCGGCACGCCCTGCGGCGGCGGATATTGTAAGCTCTGTACATCCCCCCCCCTCCCTTTTCTGCAGCTGCTACATCATCATCAAGCCCGGCTTTTTCCAGCTGGTTCCTGCGGCGCTGCTGGCCCGGACCCCTTCCACTCCGCGCTCGCGGCCGAAGCCAGCCGTCGTCGCTTCGCAGCTTCTTTCTCCACGGCAAGAGCGAACCCAATTCTCGCACTTAGCGGCAGAGCGCCCCCGATGACATAGCGAGTGTGTGACGGGGGGCTGCGCGCGCTGCGCCCGCGGACGACGTGCGTGCTATCGATATGAAAGCCATGCGTTGGGCATGCTGCGGGGCGATCCCGTGCGCGCATGCATTGCGGGGTAAAGATTGCCTGGCGAGATGCGAGCGTTGGGTGTCCTCATGCGGGGGCGGGAGTGCGCGGTACACCTGGGAGCGTCTCATATGGGAATAACGAGATCTCGCGCATGTGCCGGATATAGTGCCATTTATCATTTATAGAAGGCTAGCCGGGCCCATGTAGTGGTACACGACCGCACGATGATCTGTGGTACTACTCGACGTATGGTATGGTCAAGGGGGCATGCCCAGCGCGTGTGCGCTCAGCTGACGGGGTGTTCCTGGCACTTGAGCGCGTCGGCTGATCGTGTGTCGGCTGCATAACGATCGCTCGAAGCTCGGAGCGAGGTTTTCTGTTAGGGTGTTGTCGGTCAAGAGACGCTGTGTCGTCGGAAGAACCGTTTCGACTGGATCCCAAGGCCTGAGCGCTGAGCAGCGCGGGTGTCCCCTGAGGCTTGAGGATGCGGGGGCTGTAGGTTACGTCCCGCGAAAAATGGCAGGGGCAAATGCAGCGCCTGCCGGTGATCTGATCGCTCCCGACGCACCGCTTCCTCCGGTACCTGTGTGATGGGCGACCCTGTCGCAATGCAGCACAGCGCCTGACCTTGCGCGCGCCCCACGACGACTCCTTGCCTCGCGTCGGTGCTGGAGAGTCGTACAGGCTCAGCAGGCCTGCGCGGCGGAAGAACTTGGGGGGCACGGAGCGGAGGCAAACGCCCGCCAGGGACCGATCACTAAGGAGATCCTCAACAAGCCTCAACACCATGATCTCCTGCCGCCGGCACTGCCTTTCCGGGCGTGCGTCGTCATATTCGCGCGCGCAGCGGGCGACCGCGTGTATTCCCATCTCAACGGACGCATCGCCATTGTTTCGAGTGGCCGAGGCCGACGGAGGCAAGCTGCGATGCCCAGCATGCGGTCGCTGGAGGTGCGACGGAGACCCGGATCAATAACGTCTGTCGTTCCCCGCACTGCCATGGAGGTTTCCCAGCTGTTACCTCGAGGGAATGCAAAAGCCGAGGAGCAAGCGGTGTATACGCCGCCAGGGGGGCGGGGAATGCTGAGGGGACTACGCCGACTAGCAATCCCCGACATGGAGCGAGTGGTGGGCGCACATACTCTGGCTGCCTGTACCCGGGGTTTGATGTGGATTGGAACGCTAGACCGAGAGAGTCGCGTAGGATTACACTCGGTATGTCAAAATGACCTGGGAGTGGTCACTATTGGCTGTCAAACGTCCGGGGCCCGCCGGTGACGGCTGTACGGAAAGAGATCAATATGACTGAACCTGGGATCGTCAGAACATTCACCGGCCAGTCGAGACAGTGGAGTACATGTCACCGACCAACGTAACAGGCCTGCAGCGTGCTGAGGAGCGGAAAGAGCAGGCCTCTACATAGCGAATGACCGCTCCCAAATGCCTTCATAAATGGTACATTGGGCGTAGTCGCCCCTGCAGCAGCGGCACGTACGGCGTGCAAGGGCGTCAGCTGACAAACTTGGGGAGCTCACACATTCAGTCGGTCTGTTCGTAACGTCAGTGTATACATGGAGTACAGTATACAGTTCCGCATCGAGTAGTCGCGGCGAACTCGCACAAGACCGCGAGCGGTGCTACAGTTGAAACATGTGGCGCCGCGGTCTGTCCTCGCGGTGCAGCGTAACGATGCAAGGCGTCTTCGGACGCGCGCGAGGAGGACCTCAGGCGACGCAGACATGCAGGATGCAGGGAATGGCCGGCTGTGTGTCCTGTCCGACGGTGGGAAGCATGGACCACGGCCGCGAGGGAGGGAGGATGAGAACGACCGAGGTGATGCGCATATCGACGGAGGCGTGACTGGGCAGTGACAGGCTGCTCCTGCCTTTCCAAGCAGGTTTCCCCAGGCGCCGCCATCGATCCGGCACGCCGGCGGAGCGTGGTTGCCCCCGACGCCGAGACAAAAAGGCCTGTTGTCCCCCTGCTCGTCGTCGTGCTCGCCGCCGGGAGACTTGGCCCAACGCAGCGAAATAGAAAGAGATAGATCGAGCGGTCGTGGACGAGGAGGAGGGATAGGAGTGGCAGGAAAGTGGGGTGGAGTGACTTGGTGGACAAATTCGTAATGGGCCCGACCGAAAGAAGGGAGAGATGGTAGACGCCCGAATAGAACCGGGTGGCCAACGAATGGCCCTGACCTTGTTCACCTTCCGCCGCCGGACTTCACGCCATTGTTGCGGTCGTCCACCGCCCACATCCCCTTCTCTTCCTACCACCACCACCACCACCACTCGCGCTGCGACCGCCATGCATCGCGCCACCCCCTCGCCGTCGACGACAGCGTCGTCCACCGCCCACCGATCACGCCGCACGTCCGTACCTCCCTCCTCTCCACATCGCCTCGTGGCTACCAAGCTCACATCCTCTCTTTCCAGGCGCATCACCCGCGCACAACTCCAACGACGTCTCGAGGTATGTTGTCGACATGCATGTCTGCTTCTCCCCGCAGCGGCTAAACTGATCTCCGCCAGGCCCTCGGTCGTCCCAGCCAGCCCCTTCCCATCGAGCTCCCGCTATCATCCACCGATTTGCCGGCACCCGGTTCCAAGCGCAAGACAGAAAGCGATTTCCAGCAGGGTCCAAGCAAGCGGCCACGAACGAGCAGCGTGTCGGAAAGCCGTCGCCAGGCGCCGCCATCATCAGCGCATCGGTCTGAAGCCGCCTCCCAGCGACGCCCCAACCCTCCGACCGAAGACGGAGAGCTCTGCGAAGAGCTCCCCGCGTCTCGCGATACTTCGCAAACCACGGACATTCCAGTACGTCGACCACGGCGACAGCCCATACCTGTCCTCGGCCGACAGCACTTCGAGGGCCTGTATGATCGGTACTATGCATCCGCCATCCATCTCAAGTGCTCAGGTCAACTACGAACCATGGCGAACGAGCGTCCGGATTCCTCGTCGTACCGCCCATTACCGAATCCTCCTCCAAGCAGCTCTCCGTATCACAAGTACGGGAACCTCATGAGCCGACTAGAATGCCTCGAATCTATCATCGACTTCTGCTACGCATACTGGGCCAAAGACACATGGTACAAGAAAGTGGATAGAGGCGCATGGCGTGGGCTGCAGCCATTCCTTTCGTACACGAGAATACACTGGGAGCAGGATGCGGTGGATGACCGCGAGAAGGCGCTCCTCGGTCTTCTGTAGGTGTCTCACATGAATTACGGGAGCCTCTGCTTCATAATTTCTGTGTTCATATTCACAGGTACATGATCGAGGCGTCTGTGCTGAGTAACAAGCTCCGCGAATCGGCGAAGAGCAACGACCACGACAATAAGATCCTCATCTGCCGACTGCAGAAACTGTATGTCGAGGACGAGCAGAAGAAGGAGAAGGGCGCCGACAAGTCAAAGGCCATCGACGGCAGCGCGTCTCTCGCAACACCGCCGATGTTACCGTCCCCCGCCAGCATCAGCAGCAATGGCTCGACGCCACCCGGCAAAAAGGCTGAAGACGTTCAGCCTCCGCCCGCGGCCGCTGCGCCTAGGAAGGGTAAAGATGGCGGAATGCCCATCGCTCTTCGCAACCCAGACGAGGTATGGTCGGACAAGCCAGTGCCGGATAATTACTACACCGAGGTCAACTGGTCACAAGTGCGGATGCGCAAGTCTGAAAGCGAAGGGATCATAGGCGTTATGCAATCTCTGACCCTTGCGCAGGAGCACTTCACCCTACCTATCCTTGCGAAGCTTTTCCCCCGTACATTCAAACGCGTCCTCAACACCACCTACACCGCAACCGACGAATACCATCCAGACATTGAAGACGAAGACGGCGAGCTGTTCTGGCCGGGACAGGTCATGGTTAACGCCGGCGGCATTGCCTGGTACTGCGCGGTTGGCAAGGCCATGCTGAAGGAATTCAGCAAGGAGTATGGCTACCGGGGCATCGATGGAGCGGTCTCGAGGAGGGATATCGACTTCCGTGAACTCCACTACAAAGTTCCTACTCCAATGTCTTGGGGCGACCTGCGGTACGATCGCTAGCGCACCATGGTACATTGGTGCCCGTCTTTGCCCTCCCATGCCACCGTATCCTCCGCGTTTGCCGCAGCATTATCTATGCACTGTCCAACACTCGCTCGTTCAAGCACATCACTATCTCCTGTCTTGCGCTGGCGACCAGCTCTGTTAGACACATCTCTCGCGGCCCCCTGGATACGTTACATCATACAGCTTCACTCGGCCTCCCCTCGCGACTTGCAGGAACCATCGTTCTCTGCTCATGTCGCTTCTCCTTCCCCCATATTTATCGAAAGTCTCCGCTTAGGCATCCGGCCAGCCTGTCTGGAGCATCAAGGTGTCGTCATTAGGCGATAGCGCGTCCTGTCCCTTGCTGTATTCGCATTGCTCTGTATAACATGAGACATTTCATACGACCCGGCTCACCGCATTGCATCACCCTCCATCACCGCGACCGCACATCACTGGTTGTACCCATCACTGTCGTATGAAACGCCTGTACCACTACTACCTCGCGTACCAACAGCAGTCCACCTCCGCCGGGACCCCAAAAGCTGCCTGCGTTTGCTCCTCTTGTACTCGTCCAAGCTTTCTCGCCCAGCCCCACATGGATCTCCTGTTTGTGCATGCCCATCCCCGCTTGCTGCTTTCACGTCGCTGGGGCTACCCCGTGTTCTTCTTCATCTGGGAGTCTTCCTTCAGGATTTCATTCGGATCTCACTTCGCTGGCACTCTGGTTCATTTGTTCATCCGTCGTGACTGTTTAGTCTAATCGCATTTCCTCCCTTTGCTTAACCCCCCTTAACCCCCTCATCGCAGCATACCCTAGCACATCACTGGATTACCTACTCTAATATGATCACCCTACCCGTCCATCACATTTTCACCGCATCTCCTCCATCTTCTTGCGCATTGGTACGGACAGCACATCCGACGTCGTCCAGCGACGTGTTCTTCTGGTCTCACTTCGCATAGTTATTGGAAACTTCGACGGAGTCGTGACTATCGTTCCCCGGGGTGGACGCGGATTCTCGAAAAGTTCATATCCCTATTTACGCTCCTGATTTATCTATTCTGTAGCTTGGGCGTGGAATAGAGGCGCACACATCCTGGCTTTTCCGGGTTTTTTCCAGCGGAATTATTTATCATTGCCGTGACTACGAAAGCATGCGCTCGGTTTACAAGCGAGAAGCGTCAGGGTAGCGAGTGTGTGCGTGAGCCGAGACCGGGAGAAAAGGACGATGTACTTTTCTCCAGTGGTATCTGGGCTTCTGCCCGCTATCGCCATTTGACGCATGCGCAGGCGTGTCGTGCAAGCTCGAACAAAAGCACGGGCACACCCGGTCGGGCATACCTCGAAGATAAGTATCTCGCGTCTTGAATGAACGTTCGATAATGAAATCATCGCCTCCGCGGAGGTGACGCCAGAACGTTCTCCGCCCTGTCCTGTCCGCACGACAAGCCACACGGTCCGCACCGTCATGCGGTTCATGTATGCACTGTGCAGTGCGTACGCGCTCGTAGGAACCCTCGTGCCCGAGCAGCGGCACTGGCAGAGCCGCGCACGAAGCCTATTACACCGGTGGGCGCGCCTGTGCCACACGCAGTTTAGCCCTCGCGCGTGTATTGAATGTGTGCCACGGGAGCGTCAAGGGGGGCGTCCCGGCGGCGACAGGCACGCGCGTCGAGCAGCACCCGGGCAAATCGGCGCCCAAGCCTTTCAGGTTCCCACGAGGCCGCTCCCGTCGATGGCTGGGCGTGAGGGCCCCACCAAAGGCGATCCGTCTCCAGGGTAAGGAGAGTGCAGCGTTTTTCGCACGCGAGGGACTGGCGGTCTGATAGTCGATGGAGAACAGAGATAGGGCCCGGAGGCGTGGTGAGATCCGGGCCCGCTGTGGGCAGGGCGTCCCCCTTCCCTCGCCGGATGTGTCTCGATGCTGCCGCCCGCGGGTGTACGTGAGCCGTCGTTTCAGGGAGCTTTCCCGTGCTTTTCGGTCTGCCCGGAAGATCGAGGGTGACCGATGGCGATCAGACATGTAAATGGTAAAATGAATGGAGGTCCAAAACACTAAAGGGGGCGACCGGCGTAGGCTGCACGCAGAGCGAGCGGCGAGACCTTGTGCCCAAGGATGTGATCAGCCCGACACAAGGAACCGCACATTCCATGAGTGGACGATTGCGTGAGATCGCCGGGTCATTCGGGCTGAATGAGGCTGAATAAGGCGGGCCGAAACCAGCTCTAGCCTGCGGGTATAGAATGTTTGTAAACATTTGCGTGATCGTTTCGACTTCTTGGGTGCAGAGGAACCTGTGTCCGAAGTATGTCACTCAGTGCTGAATATCAAACCGCGAGCGAGTGCAATTAAAAACCTAAAATGGCGAATCACTACGGCTACATCAAAAGCCGAGGACCCGTACCGAAAGCAAAATACTGAGCAGTCCACTCTTGTGCAACCAGAGGTTACAAGTGGGCTATTAATACGTTTCGCAAATATTGCAAGCTCATCTAGCCAGTACACCTGTCATCGCGAGAAGGATGTTGCCATAGCAGTCACATGGGCAAGCATGGAGAGCGTTATGAATATAACATGCGAAATACAGAAACACCAATGATATGCGATAGTAAGCGGTCTCCTCTGGTAGCAGAGCCGAGTGAGCCCGGAAAAACCGACAAGGTCTTCACCGGTTAGACTTGGCAACACGCTCAAGCTCATCCTTTTTCTACATAATCAGAGAAACTGTGAGCACCAAAAATCCGTAACTAAAGGAAGAGGCGCACCTTGATGGCGTACGAGTTGGATGAGCCCTTCGCTGCATTGATGAGCTCATCGGCAAGGCACTCAGCAATAGACTTGACGTTGCGGAACGCGGATTCACGGGTCTGATAGAGGCAGGTGTTATATTAGACGCTCGGGAGTTTTGGCATACAAGACTTACACCAGTAGTAATGAGGGCTATAGACTGATTAACCCGGCGGAGAGGTGAGACATCGACAGCCTGACGACGGACGGTACCCTGGGAACCGATACGGGTAGAGTCCTCGCGGGGACCAGTGTTGACAATGGCGTCAACGAGAACCTGGCAAGTTTACAGCGATTAGCTTCCATTTCCGAGGTGCAGTGTTTTCAGCTGTGCAGACCTGGATGGGGTTCTGGTCGGAGAGAAGGTTAATAATCTCGAACGAGTGCGCAACAATGCGGACGGCCAGGAGCTTCTTTCCGTTGTTGCGGCCCTTCATCATCAAGCTAAGTACATTGAAAGGCGTCAGCGTCGAATTCTGGCTTGGAACCAAAGCGAGCAGGCAATAAGGATGCTTACCTGTCGACCAATCGCTCAACAATGGGCATCTGAGCCTTCTTGAACTGCTTCTTGGCATAACGGCCACCGGTGTGGGGGAGGTAGACAGCGTGACGGATTTGAATGTAGTCAGTCAGGGAGATATCCTTGACCTCGACACTACGGTACAAGCACACAGTCAGTATGGTTCACTATCTGAGCATGGTCACGCACTCCTGGGTATCCCACTTTCCAAACAGCTTAACCTCCGACCCGATCTTGGAGACCTCCTTGGGGAGAGTTTGAACCGCGGCCATTTTGATTTTTTGTTGTCTGGGGGAAGGATCGGAGGGACCTTGAAGGCTAGAGCGTTGAGTGCGGTGGGCGGTGGCGTGCCAGCGTCCTTGCGCTTCGTCGACAGCCACACGCGAGTAAGGTTTGCGTTAATGCGGCAAAAGCCGATATAACTATACAGCTCTCAAATTCGGAATCCCACGTGACTTCTCTCACTTGCACCTGTCCCTCAATGTTCCCGCTATTATCCTTCCTTTTGAATTCTGCTTGCTCTGGACTACTCTGTCGGCAATATTGTGCCCTCCCGCCTATGGTTGTGCAAGTTTCCGCAGTATGATGAGCATGAGGTGACTGCCAAGCTCATGCTCCACTCTTCTGGGGATCTGTCGTAGGGCCTCCCGACTGCAGCTGTCTCTGATCATTGCCTGCTAGTTGTCTCTCTTACGATTGCGTCGCTCAGATGGCACGCGGTGCAATACTTGTTGTTGCCTCTTCAAAGCGTGCGCTCGTCCCTGTCTACCTACCATTGACGTATGTACACAAGTTTCGACCTTCGCTTTACTGTCGCAGGCGGATTAACTCAATACCGTGCCCATATCTGTGTGCTGGGGAGCAGCCGCACATAAGACTGCATCTATTGATCACGGTTGCGGCACGAGACTTTGCTGCAATGCTGATTCTGTGGCGCTGACGTTCATTCCCTAGTTCTAGAGCTGTTTCGAGACCGCATCACGGGTAGATTCGCTCTGTAGGTACTTTGTGCTAAAATCTCACCATAGCGGCTTGAGCTCGTCTGGGCAATCTGAGCTGTCGTGGAGCTTACAGTTCGCGGCTTCTCAGTCCTTGGGTGTCCGTTGCGAATGCCCCTTGTTGGGCTAGTCCAGCTGAAATAATTCTGTAAGCCACGAGATTCACCTTGTATGTTTGCTGAAAACGCATCGAACGTCTGTAAACGGTACAGTCTTGAATTCTGAGCGGCGCCCAGCCCTGCGTGGAGGAACAACCCAAAGAGGCAACTTGCCTGCGTCTGCCCACCAGTTGACAGTGAGCTTCGCACACGCTTCCTCTTCCGTCTGCTTACAAAATCCAGGCTCGTCTCTGCACAGAATGTCTTCCTCCTCTTGTCTCTCAACTTGCCTACCACCCACCGCCTTTCAACACCATGGTGGAGGGGCGAGTCCACCGCGTTGCATACATTGAGACCAACCGGTCAGAAGCTGACGTCCACAAGGCGTTCTCCGCATGTGGCGAGATGTCAGTATTAGCCCGCCCCTCGAGACTTGTCTGATTTTGATTCGCATATATGCACTTCCAGTCACAGCATATACCCATGGAAGACAGGCGAACACCGGGCGTCGACTCATTTCTTTGTCGAGTTCGAGAATGGCGCCTCTGTCAAACGAGCCAGAGCGTTTCAAACGCACGATTACAAGGCGCATATAGTTGCATACTCCCCCCAGATGGTTGCCCATTTCGAAAGTGTATCACGTTCCAGTTCCCCGGTCAAGAGGTCTCGCTTCGATCGTCCCGCATCTCTTTCACATCTACCATACTCGAGAAACGCTCGTACAGAGTCACGTCCGTCTTCAGGTATGCACTTCTGTAGCTTTTATCGAATGTATTAGCTGATGTACCCCATTCCCTACTACAGCGAGAAAGAGCAGTGGCTGTAAGACGAAGTCCTCCGGCTCTCAGGCGCACAAGAGCCCGATTGTCGAACTCCCTCCGCTGCAGTTTCCGGATGTTTCCTCCAAGAACAAGGAGAACGTTGCAGAAGCCGGACCATCTTACTCCGTGAGGCCGTCCTCCGGCTCCGTCGAACAAACCCTTTCATCTACTTTGTACGCCAACACCCCTGCGAAGGAATATCTGAATACGCCTCACGACGTCTTCGGCCCGAAGCAGCCTGTAGCCCCTACATCGAGCCCTGCGCTTTCCATAATCAAAGTCGAACATGAGGCTGAAAGGGTCAGCACCACCGCTCAATCTGCCCCACCTTCGCAATCGCTAGCGCCAGAGTCAGCATTGCATCGTGCTCGCGAAGCTCCCGTAACGCCGCCTACCATACCCTCTCTTTCCATCGCCTTTTCCTACTGTGGACAGTCTCTTAATTACGAGCTTGATTCGTTAGCTAAGGACCCTACAGACATCATCTTCGTACTCTCACAGGCTGCCGCATGGCCTTCGGAGAGGGATAAATGGATGATTATCGCGGGTTACTATCGCAGCAAGCGGAACATCCGCGCCGCGATCTCAGTCGTGACTGCTATGGTTGACGGTGAGCAATGGGCCAGTTATATGCAACAGATGCCCTTGTCGCTGATGCAGTATCCACTAGTCATGATGTCCCCTGCTATCGGACTGACGAACGACGACTTGAGGCCCGCTTTCATCATGCTCGCCAGCTGCCATACTGATCTGAGCAGAGATTCACGTCGGTCTGGCCCTGAGGGCGCTGAGCTCGCTCGGGAGCACATGGAGAAGGCAAAGAAGTTCTTCCAGGTTGTCTATGGGACGCATTTCCCTTCGGAGGAGTCCCCGCGCGCCGCCTCATTGGCGTCCTCGCGGCGTCTATCTCTCCTGCAGCGAGTCGATCGCCGTCCCCAGGATCCCATGTCCCCCGATGACGCCGTTCGCATACGTACTATGGAGCGCGAGATACAATCCCTACGTGATAAGCAGACCAGTTATCCTGGGCAGCTTGCAGACGCGCGCGCCGCGAAACGCAAGGTCGAGGAAGAGCTCGATGCAGAGCGTGCCCTCCGTCGAAAGACCGAGCAGGAAACTAGCGCCGAGCTGCTGAGCGCGCGCCGCAGCGCAAAATACGCGCTCGAGCAGTGCAAGCGCGAGGTCGAGAACCGGCGGCGCGCCGAAGAACGGACGAACGAGCTGCGAGACGAGCTGGCGACCGTGCAGGGCGAGCTCACCGGCAAGCTGCGGGAGGCGCGGGAGAAGGATCGGAGGGCGAGGGAGTGTTTCGCTAGGCTGGGCAGCCTGTTCACAAAGGCGGCGCAGGGGGAGGTGGACGATCCGACGTCGCCCATGTTCAGCAGCTCTTCTCGTTCGACTCGCGTGACTCCAGTGCCGCCGAGGCCTGACAGCTCTTCCCGACCGATTAGAACGACTCCGTCGCCATCGATGGGCCCACCCGCAAAACGTGTCAGGACCGACAACGCGTAAATTGTGCAAATCCGCTAGTAGCATGGACCTTAGATAGATAAAAATTAACTGGGGATAATAGAGCTAGCAACGAAAACGAGCAATGGCGTTCAAGTAGCACGCGCCAATGATTTAAACATTCTCCTTTGAGCTTGACGGAAGGCCTGGTGAATGTGGTACCATGAAGAAACGCCTTCGGCGTGTAGCAATGTGCCAGTGTCTGCACAGCACCGGCCAAGTCGCTGACGATGCTTCATGAAGAGGACAAGGGCGGCTGAATTAAGCGTGCACCTGGCGCTTTCAACGCAAATCGGCCTGCCCTGAATTGGGTTAACGTTATTCGCGGGCCATTACGCGACGGTCCTCAGTCGGCACGATGGTTGCAGGCACATCGAAATTGAATTTCGACGGCCGACCCTATTGCAACTCTCGCCTATTTATTCTGGGTATGAGTATTTAATACTCCTGGCAACGTCACAGTCATAATTTCTTCCACACAACGAGATGGTCCCTGCCTTTGTGAACCTCAAAACTGACTTCCGGAACCTTGTCTACCACCTTCTCCCATCCATCTCCGAGAACCTCAACATAATGTTCGGGTCTTACATAGTATGGTGGACCCCAGTCCTTTGGTGGATCTATAGGGTAAATGAGTGTGACCAGATAGCCACCCGGCTTGATCAAGCGAGACATGAACTGGCCCCACTCGGCGCGACGCGACGGCGGAATGCAAATGAAAAACCTAAGCAATGGCGTCGTTGAAGCTGAGCCTCATACAACGCTGAGTGGGACAAGAGGCGTACGTGTGGTCGTAGATGAGGTCGTACTTCTCCTGCTCGGAGCTATCAAGGGCGAAGAAGTCCCTGTGCTCAAATTTGACGTTCACAGTGCTTGGTAAGTTGAGATCGGCTAGCGATCTAACCGTCAACATCAGAAAAGTGGTCAAACCAACAAGAAGGCTTGTCACCGACTCTTTTGCCAGTCGCACTGCCGTCGGGGAGATGTCGACGGCGAGTGTATCGAGGCCTGTTGTAGTTGCAATGAAGTGTGCATCATAACCCTATGATTATGCATATATACTTGAACTACTTGTTTACTGCGACGATAACCTGCTCACCTTGCCACATCCGGGAACAAGCGCACGGCCGGATGTGGGGAGCTTCAGCTCATGTGCACTAAGCAGGTCTCGCAGAGGGGGCTGGACACCCCCGTCATCCCATGGTGTCATGTTCGCTTTCCTTGTGGCGAGAGGGGTGAGTACATGTTCAGTAGCCCTGGTATGAGCCGCAGCACAGACCATGCGTCGTCCCATCCACGTACAGGATCTTTGGCAACAAGATCGCGCACCACCTCTCGTTGTTCCGTGCGGGAAAGGTTTTGCGTGACTGACATCCTTCAGAGGCGAACTGGAAGTCGTTGTGCAAGCAAGTCAGCACACCACTCAAACTCTAAACGATAAGGAACCAGGAAGGATCAATACGTCAGCGCGTCATGTTTATATGCTTCCGACGCTGTCGTGTCTCCAGGAGCATTGTTAGTAGCGAACATGACTGCAAACAGCCCTGGGGATTATAGACAAAGTATGTGATGACGATATCGATACAACCCGCACCATACAATACTTCCTGCACGCTCTGGCTTGCTCCCTTTCTCTCCCTCAACCCTCAGGTCTTCCCTTCTATTTAATACGTACTCGTCGTTGCCATAATTAGTATCATCTTGTGGTTGTTGGTGCGGCTTCTAGGAAAGAAAATAGAGGAGTATCTGCACATGCAGGATGGCTGTCCTGCCGCAGCATCATTGAATGTCGTTCGTTTTGAGGGCAGAGCGACCATGTGGCGCAGTAAAGAGTCCGATAGTCTTGCAATAGATATCCCAAGCGCAGTGCTTTTCCGAGTTTGGGTCGCATTTACCATCCCAATGGGCTGCATCGGGGCACACATGAAGTGCCTTGAAGGGTAGAGAAAAGCAGATTTCGGAAGAGATAACGCGCTTGAACTCATATACTATACGCTTGATCCCGGATCCCTGCCGGCATCCAATTACCTGCAGCAAGCGCGAGCCCAAGAACGAACGGGCAAGCTGGGGCGAACAAAACGATTCGACATCGCCAATGTTTAGCAGCATTCTTGTCGAGCCGCGCGCAGCCTCAATACGGCCGACGCCCTGCATGCTATCTATCTCGTATTACTCTCATCTTCCTGATGCACTTGCCACTCACAGGATTTGCAGTTGACGTGGGTCCTCATACGCTTTGTGAACGGACCCATCGATAGCGGCGGTGTCGCCCAAATCGGTCAGTATACAGAGAGACGAGCAAGACTGTAGGCATGTATATATACAGATTAGTAGATACAAAATGGCATAGATCAGCGTACTGAGAACATTGCCCTGAGATGTTCCGGGATATCACGATGCAAGCATGTGTCTAGTATTACACGAAAGGGCGCGTAACAGGCCGCTGCTGCTCAATTATCCGTATTCATACGACCTGTGGTGGGTCTATCAGATCCAGTTGACGAGATTCTAGATAGACAGTGTTCAGCCGCCAATTGCGCAAAACGTAGGATGCTCTTGAGTGTACCTTAGGCTTAGCGTCGTCGGCAGTTCCTCGATGCGCGACCGAATAGCACGAAGCGTCTCCTTCTTATCATACAACACCCGTCCGCAATTGCTGCACTGTGCAGCCCAGCATCTCTGCGCCTCAGGCCAGTCTGAGATACCAGGATCAAGCACGGTGTCCCCAAGTGCACGGACATCCATCTCTGTCACGATTCGGTGTTTCAGCTCGCGCCAGGTGTGGTAGTCGACTTTTGACCCGCAGTGCGAGCACGTCGACTCGACGCTGTCGCTGACAAACGGCGCCTCGTTCAGCCGCTCACGCAACGTGTCGCGACGACCGCGATGAAGCGCAAGGAGGTTGAGCAGCGGAATCGACATCAGCTTCGCGAGGACTGGGCGGTATTTCTCGTCGTTTAAGTTAAGGGTGAGCGTCTGCGAGGCTGCAAGCTGCGCGACATCGTCCCAGCCGTAGCGACATGCGAGCACAAACAGGTGGAGCGAGTCCGCGAGTAATGGGGGCGTCGATGCGAGCGCGCGCACGATCGACAGCGGGCCAGGCATGTCATATTTTTCGGCAGCAAAGAGCAGTGGTTCAATAACGTCGTAGGACTCGAGGCAGGGGATGGCGAGCCCGCAAACGCAGCGCAGGAGTGCCTCGAGTGTGGATGCATCTTCATCGAGGAAGATGTCGACGCGGTGGTCGCTCGCACGATCCTTCTGAGGAAGGGAGAACATGTCTTTGAACCATCCCGAAGTCGTCTTGAGCGTGTATGAGTGCACGCGGAAAAGAACTCTGTCCTTGGAGCCCAGCACAGTGTCTGCATTGGGCGAGTTGAACAGCTCGTGAAACACGGGGACCGGTTCATCAAGAGGTGCTGCAGAAGCCTCAACGTCTGGACCCTCCGATTGCATTATACCTGATGGTCTTCCGGCTCTGGAAGCTTTGCTGACGAGGTGTCCTGGATGGCGGCGCACGGTGAGATCTGAGCTCATGGGTGTCATCAGTAAGGCTCCCGTCGGGTTTTGCCGGCCAGACACACCTGTCCCAGATGTCGGCACAGGAATTACGACCCTGCAAGCACAGCCCGCGTCGACGTCGTCCACAAAGACTCTTGGGACACGCCACTGGTGTTATGGCCTCTGAAAGCCAATAGTTCATGAGCACTAATACAGAGCGAGCGATCTACGGCATATGTACTTGTTAATGAGCGCTTCCAACCCCTAGCCGGCCACAGGCGTCGTTTCGAACAAAAGTAAAATCGAGGTACGTGCGGGTAGAACGAAAGTCAAGATATCCTTGGGATTTCTTATATCGCTATCTCTAAGTATTGAGAGGCATTTCAAGCGCTCAGGGATTGTGATGACTACGACTGCGCTGTGGCTTTTGGCAAACGCGTCACGTGGAGCCCGGCGCGAGAAGTTGAACCGCACAAGGCCGCTCTCCACGACGCACCCCTCCCCCGAACGTCCACTACTCCCTGTCCGACTTTTGTCGTGCCGCTGCGGCACTCGACTGCTCACGCACCACAAACGATCATCATGCCGCCCGCACGACCCTCGAGCTCTCGCCATGGCTCGCGTCAGCCCCTGCAACCCCAGCCTACGCCACCGAGGATCGACCGTGAGGTTATCGTTTTGTCTTCGGACGATGATGAGCCCCCCACGCCAAAACCCGTCGCGAAGAAGGCATCATCGAGGGACTCTAGGCTGCGGGGGAAAGCGAAACTGAGGCCTCCGCCTGCGGTGCCGGTGAAGGACGTCGTGGAAATATCCTCGGAAGACGATATCTCGCAGCAACAGTCCATGGAAGAGTTGAAAAGGCAGCTAGAAGACGCAAAAGTTGTACGTATCACTTTTTTATGTTACAAAGAGCCTGCAGCTGAATCAAAACGGCCTCAGGAGCTCGAACAGCTCAAGAGGGCGAGAACTCTGCCTGCGCTTGTTCATGTGGCCTCAGCCCCAGCCTCAGCTGATCTCATTCATAAGGTGTGAACGCTTATCGCTATGCTTAAAGGCTTGTACTGATATCTCCAAACTGTCCTAGTTGAACCGTCTGGAAGCCGAGTGCGCGCAGACCAAGGCATGGAATAAAGTACGTGCTTACCTATCACAGGGAACAAATGAATTGCAGCTCATTTTTGCTTCGCAGCGGTTGCTTAATACACTGGAAAGCCACTTATCCTGTGATATGTGCTATGAGAAAATGTGGCAACCATACTCGTAAGTTTACCGCTGCGTGCAGCGCTAAAACCGACTCATTGTGATGCATCTCTGCAGCCTTGCATGTGGGCACACCTTCTGCCGCCCTTGTCTGCAGGACTGGTTCAGCACAGAACTGGCAAAGCACATGGGCACACATCCGGACTACAGCCCAGTTCCTCAAATTCCAAGGCAATACCGCGAGTTCCTGCGGAGGCATGACCTGCAACCGTATCAACGCACGCAGCTTATGCGGCAGATCCAACGGCTCTACGACAGTGTAGCCCATCCAGACTACACATGTCCGACCTGTCGCAAGCCGGTTACCTCAAAGCCAATCGAGGCGTTCACGGTCAAGAACATTGTCGCTGTCGTCGCGGAAGCCGAAGCTGAAGAGTCGCGCTTGCAAGGGAAGTCTGTCGCTAGCCCACGACGAGGAGGCGTGTCAAAGTTGCGCGAGGAGAGCCCATTCTCAGGGTTTTTCCCGGCAGCTGCTGACTTGCTAGCCGGTCAGTAACATGCCATGTCTCGAGCTTCAGTTGCTTCGCTTGCATAATGCGTATCTTCTGTCTGTCTGCGTGTCTGATGTATTCCCAGCCCCTAGACCCAAACATATCATTGCAATCATTGTATCCTGTCGTGTTGTAACTTATCATAATTTGCTTGTGTATCCTTCCGCATCGAAACGATTGCTCGTTACTACAGAGTAACGTGTTTATCATCAAGACTTAGGGTCCTAGATCTCCTTCGAGGCATTCGTCTTCACGGTAGCGGGGGTCCCTTTCTAAGAGTCATCGAAGGCTGTCGACATGCTATCAGGACTGTCACGAAGATAGCTATAATTCCCACGATCGTCATATCCGTGATTCGGGTCAGTTTTACACACTGACAGACTTCTACCTGAGCGCTGGCTCAGTATTGCTGTCACGCACAAGGGGCTTTTGTGGAGAAGACAGTACTAGTACTAGTATGCGGCAACTCGCCCCGCACCCAAATAATTGTGCAAGGCGTAGGCTGATGGTAAGGGTCATGCATTAAGGGGCACAGGTATACAGTCAGCTCAACATAACGCCGAGTGCAACTGTAGTGACTAAAGAATACTGATAAGAAGCCTCGAGTGGTGACGGCCTGGTCCGTTTAGTCGTAAGCTAGGATGCGGGGAGACATAGACAGAAGGCCGGAGTTCGACGAACGGCGGGGGAACTACACCCATTTAAATTTGTTTCTGGACAACATGTGCTGGTCTCCGAGTCTCACGGGGGTTTTAAACTCGTGAGGGGACTCACGGGCTGTACTAGTACGCCACACACGCAATGGCGAATGCGCCAGATCAGGACAACGACTACTGTGAAGGGTATCACGTTTATCCACAACTTGATGTTGAAAAGACAGCCACGCATTGATCAGACCGATGGCGTCACAGACAACTATCATGATGGTGAACTGGATGTTCGGACTGTACGGCTACACGCAGACATATTTCCCGTGCTTGCGCCACAAGTTGATAAGTTCTGCATAGAGTAAATCCGGAGGCTCATATTCACCGTCACTGTCACCTGCAATAAGTATGCTTCGCGAGAACGGAGCGCAAGGGTCAGCTGGCATAGCAGGTTGTAGCTACAATGTTGACATGGGATATTAATTGCCAGTGAGAGTGTGGTATGCAAGGTGGTCACAAGTGGCACAGCTAGATGCCCAGCGAGCTGGTTCTATGGCGTCACCAGTGTGGCGTCACAGGTGCACTGCACCCCGGCGCCCCTGCAGGATACTCAAGATGAAATTCGCCGGATGGTCACAAACCGAAATGATCTAGTTGCCTTGAAGAGGTTGATATACCCCTCTAGTTTCACTCACGCTGGGCAGGGATAAGGCACATAGCGAGAGGAAGTCATCGTGGAAGTCGACGTAGTGGGAGTAGAGGGACACTAGACGCTTTACACGACATACTACCGCCCGATCAGCTTCTCCAGATAATCACCTCCTGCTAGCTGGAACTCGCCCGTTCCACTGCTGGCCATCTTCCCACTTTTCTTGGTCAAGCGACCCTGCTCGCGTACGACCTTCTCCATGCGCTTCTCCGCATCGCCTACATCGAAATCATCCTCGTCATCGCCGCCACGCGCACCTCTGGGTTTGCGCCTACCCTTCAAGGCCGCCTTCGCTTTGATATTCTTGGCTTTTGCATTCGCATCGGTCACGGCGGACGGCGCCTCTCGAAGAGCGAAGGCCTTCGCCAAGTGGCCAAGATGAAGGTGCCGGACGTGAAAAATGTGCTTCTCGTCAGAAGGATGTGTGGCGTAGGCACGAATGTGGGAAAGGAACGCCTTCCGTGCAGACTTGGCATTCTGGGTTTCATCCTCATCAGACCGAGAGTTGTAACGCCAGGCAAGCAAACACACCTCTTTGCCCTTGAGCACCCAGCGCTCTAAAGATAACTGAACTTCGGTCGCCCTCTCCTCGAACTCTAGCCCTTGACCGCCAAATCCGCTTCGGAGCACGTCGTTGAATGGGACTTGCTGAAGTGCAATGGTGCTCTTACCCTCAACCGGCTGGTCGCCCTGCATCTTCGCTTTGACCCACTTGACCCACTCTTGCTCGCTCGGCGCCACAAAGCTCCATGCCTCACCACCTTTACCGACACGAGCAGTACGTCCGACACGGTGAACGTATTCGGTAGCTCCGCCTTCCGTAGGCAAGTCGTACTGAATGACTGCACGCACGAGTGGGAGATCGAGACCACGAGACGCAACGGAGGTACACAGAAGGATGGAGGAGGTAGAGCCGTTGCCGTTCTTTGATCCATTCGTCTTGGGCACCGAAGCGAAGCCTTTCAATGAAGCAAGACGTGTCTGCAAGGGGAGAGACCCGTGAAGTCGGTAAATCGATGCTCCCGGAAGGAGTGGCGACTTGGTCTCAACTCCACTCTTCTTCTTGACCTCTTCCTCCTTCTCGGAACCCTCTTCATCAGCATCAGACTTAGATTCAGACTCTTCTTCGCCCATAGAGGTACCACCAAGCAAACTCCAATGGCAGTCGACGGAATCCGTGCAACTCAGGAACACGATGATCTTGCTGGTCCGCTTCCCATGTGTCTGGGCAAGCAAACTGCGCAGAAGCGCAACGAGAGTAACAAGACGAAGCTTCAGCGGAACGATCATGTACTTCTGTGCAAGCTGTGAGGGAGGTGTGAATTTGGTATCACCAGCAGCGATTTCGGCAACGGCGTCTGCCGCAGGCTTGGACGGGTCGAGAGCTTTCTGTAGTTCGTCTACTTGGGTAGCCTTGAAAACAACGGGATTGAGGAGCGTTGTTCCGGCCAGCTTCTGCACGTCTTCACGAATCGTTGCTGAACACAGGATGGTCTGTCTCCGCCGCTCCCAGTCCCAGCCACGGACCTCCATGCTCTTCCCTTCCTCGACAGCCTGTTTCGCGAGCTTCCGCTGCCCGTCGAGACCCTTGACAATACCCGTAATAGTCTCCTCGAAGCCAAGCTCCATGAGACGATCGGCTTCATCGAGCACAAGCCAGCGACATTTGCCGACATTGAAGGAAGCAGTATTCTGGAGATGGTCCAGTAGGCGACCAGGGGTAGAGACGAGAATCGGCACTCCCTTTCGCAGACGGGCTTTTTCGTGCTGCCTGGTAGAACCACCCGTGAGCAGACCGGAGACTAGCCAACGAGTAAGGCGCGGACCAGAGGAAGTATCGTTTGGGGAGTCATCTGGAGGACGAAGACGCATATTGAGCAATGCTTCTAGTACGTCAGATATTTGTTTTGCTAGTTCGCGAGTGGGGGCAATAATGATAGCGAGAGTACCGATCGAACGGTCTATGTACGAGAGGGAACTGAGGGGAAGGAGGTCTTGGATTATCGGCAGCAGAAAGGAGAGGGTTTTCCCGGAACCCGTCTGCGATTGAATGAAGACATCTCTCGCAGACGTATCTTCTTTCAGGCTTGATAAGAGAGTAGGGAGAGCAGCACGTTGAATAGATGTCGGCTTCTCGATGCCCATCTTCGTCTGCAGGTGACTGACAATGAGAGGATCCAGATCCAGACCAGCGAAAGTGGAGGTATCCAAAGGTGCATTGCTAGGGCGACCATTAAATTTTAGTAGAGGCGGGATAGCGAGTTGCTCGATTTTCGGATTAGAGGTGAATAGTGAAGATATTACTTGGGTCGACTTCGACGGTGCTGAGGCACGCTCAACGGCGAGCCCGGCGACTGGCGAAACTTGAGCCTTGCGAGGCTTTTTGTTGGGCGGTTCTGCGGCCTCAGAAGGGTGCTGATTTAAAGGAGCATCTTGTGGTCTTCCCTTTCGTTTCGCCACACGCTTCGCCCTGACACTGCAGCGGATATGAACACCATCTCTTAAGTACGGGTCAAATCACTGTGCGTACCGGTCAGTCCATCTACCCCCCTTCTTCACGGAACCACCCTTCTGCGCAGAACCTGTGTCAAGCTCGAGGTTGAGGACAAGGTCGTCATCCATACCCAAGTGAGTGCAAGAATGAGATTTTCGGGAGCCGTTGAAGCTGAAAGTAGAAATAGTAAGATAAGATTATATAGCTCCGCCCTTAGGTAAACAGATAAGATCAGTCTATACGTTCGGATTGTCCTCGGCCATCGCGCTTGGCGAGCAGGTCTCACGGCCGGGTTCTTCACGTTTCGACCACCTTTTCCCTATACTCTCATACTGGTGCAGTCAGCAACGCTAAAGTGCAGCTGGCTAGCTAGACTAGAGTCGGGATGTCATCCAAGGAACAGGAACAATGTATGCCGCTGGTCCATGTACAACAGATCCAGAAGGCTGACATGCAGGGCAATAACCGACAGCTGACCCGACGCTGGCCTCTGTACAGTCCACTCAGGTCCGTGTGTTCTCTTAGTAACGTGGATTTGGGTTTGAGAATACTGTCTCAGAGTAGACAGGCGCGGAGCCACTCGACTCAGAAGGACTCAGGACAACAGCTACAAGAAAAGATGAACAGACTAAGGATCCATACGAGGTAGTCTTAGAACCTCACGACGACCCAAAGAAAATGTCTAGATTCAGGAAGTGGATTGTTGTGTTGGTAATAAGCAGCGGCGCTCTGTGCGCCACCTGCGCTTCGTCAATGGTACGTGTATCTCGTCCAGTATGTACTGAAGCCTGTCTGTAACAACCCGCAGGCTACCTTCACAGAAACTGGTGTTAGTCAGGATCTCCATGTAGGACATGAAGTCGCTATCCTGGGGATCAGTCTGTACGTCCTTGGCCTGGGTACTGGCCCGCTACTCGTGGGCCCACTATCCGAAGTCCATGGCCGTAATCCCATCTACCGGTGTTCATTCTTGATGTTCTTCGCATTTTCTTGGGCAGTCGCATTCGCCCCGGATATTGGCTAGTCCTCATTCCGTCCTTATGCGATACATGGTGCTCATGTATCACGACAGCGGTCTACTTGATATTCCGTTTCCTGACGGGATTTAGTAGCTCTGCGTTCCTTGGTGTTGCTGGTGGAAGCGTGAGTGATCTGTTCGACAATGATAAGGTCGCGACGTGAGACGTCCCTGGTACTTTCTGCCATACCCGATTGTCTGCTGATGCTACATGTTGACAGACCCATGGCTGTTTATACTGTTTCGCCGTTCATCGGTCCAGCAGCTGGGCCCTTCATAAGTGGGTAAGTGGACCATCAGCTTACTACGGCCTGTTCGCTTATCTGTATGTATGAGGTTTATCAACCAGGCCAGTGCGATAGTATCGAGTTGGTATTGCGATAATACTGACGTCATGATAGAACACCAACTGGAGGTGGACTTACCGGGTGCTCGTCATCTGGATATTTACAGAGTTGGTCTGTATTACCGTGGTAAGGTTCCGTGATGACTGGTCCAAATGCACGGCCGCTCATGAATATGGATCCTTAGCTAGTGCCAGAAACATACGTGCCAGCAATTCTCAAGCAGAAAGCACGGAAGTGAGCGTTCGTCCTCCCATTTTACCCAAATGCCAGCTCGTTGACTTGCACTTTATTATTATTTTACAGACTCCGCAAGTCGACTGGCGATAGCCATTACTGGGCACCACTAGAGAGACGCGAGCGAAGCTTGTTTCATTCTATGCTCATGAGTTGTTACGTACCATTCAGTCAGTGCCCGCTCTATTGTTTCTCTCAGGTCTGCTGACACCCTTCAGAGCTAATGGCGCTAGAATCTATGGCGCTACTACTCAACTTATGGTGCGATTAAGTCTTTCATTTTCCCTGAGGCCGTCTTATGCTTCGATGCAGGTCCGCTTTGATCCTGGGCATCCAGTATCTGACCTTCCAGGCGTTTCCAATTATCTTTGAGGACGGTCACCACTTCGATGTGCAGTCTACAGGACTCTCATTCCTTGGGATGGCCATCGGTCTGTTCATTGGCCTTGCGTGTCAGCCCTTCGTCAACAGGTATGCCTTGCCGGATTGTCCCCATGCTCCCAAGCTGACCTGCATGCTCTTCAGGTTCTTACGCAGACAAAGGACCAAGTATAACGGCAACCCTCCGCCAGAAATTCGCCTCGTCATTGGCATGTGGGGCGCGGTTCTCATCCCTATCAGCCTCTTCTGGCTTGCCTTCACGACATATCCACATGTGCATTGGATCGTGCCCATTATCGCCTCGGTTCCGTTCGGCACTGGCATTCTCTTCTGCTACTCCGCGATCTTTACGTACCTCGTCACGGCATATCGACCGGTTGCTGCCTCTGCGATGTCCTCGAACACGTTTGTGCGGACATCGTCTGCCGCAGCGTTTCCGCTGTTTGCTGGGCAGATGTACGACCGCCTTGGGACGGTAGGCGCAACTGCGTTACTGGCGGGGCTGACAACAATTGCCGCACCTATTCCGTGAGTCGCTGCGTGCATCATGTTCGAACGCATATATGTTACTAATGCGGATGTTCTAGGTTCGTGTTCTACAGAATCGGGGCACGACTTAGAGCTCGCTCTCGCTTCACTGGCAGCTAGGCCCATGTCTGTTTCCATGCAAACTATTTTGATATCTCACGCACATTGTATATCACGACAATGCACATGATGCAGCATCTGTGCCGTCAGCATTTCAATTTGCTTCATGTGGAGGTGGTGATAATCATACTGAACCCGGGTACTCTTACTACAGTTAGTTACGAGATAACAGATAACATAAATTAGATGGACAATGAGGTCGGCCAGTCATGTCGCAGTGGCGTATTTGGCCATCAGTTCACTCATATACACGCACAGCTGCGATGTCCCAGTACGCGTTCGCGAAGGAAGCAGGATTGTTGTTAACGAAGTCTGTCCCGCACTTTCAGCCCCTTCGCATACATCGCAGAAGGTCAGCTACGTACCAACACAGTCTCCCGGGCAGCCAGCGCTCGAGTAGATCGAGGAAATACCTGCCCAATCGCCACCTGTACAGGCTGTGTGAGCAGCGTTACCACAACGGGGCTAGGAGCACTTACAGAAGGTCAGGTTGATGATAATGTTATTGGCGTCGAATTGCGAGCCAATGTCGCAGTCGGTGTTGGGGAAGAACGCGGTGGGCGTGCCCTGGAAAAGCCGATCAGCCTTCGGCGGGCCACAAACGTGCACGACAGAAACGCACCCAGTTGTCGGTGTCAATAGAGCTTGCGCCGCTCGAGAGGTCGGGGGGCGTGGCTCCGTTCCGTGGGAAGAACCACACTTTGATGAAGTCGTTCGTGCGCTCCATAGCGTACCACCCGCCGCTGATGGTGTTCAGGGGAGGACCGTAGCTATCTGCGGTCGGGGCCTGCACGCCGCAGCCATCGTTGCCATCGGTATTGACATCGCAATCAAGGCCCGTCGGGGTGCCGGTCTCGGTGCGGCTGGAGGGCATGGAACAGGCGGCGCCTGTGTGCACGGTCATTGCGTTTGGAGTCACATCATTGACACCCTCAATCCTGCAAAGCGAAACTAGTCAGAACCAAAAGGGCTCGAGGAATTCGAAGAAACTCACTGAAGCATTCGATGAGACAGATGATGCAAGAAGAGGTGAAGGCACGTTTCATTCCCCAACCATCAGAAAATAGCGTTATCACGAATAGAAAAGGGAGCTTACGATATCAATTTCGCCGCCGTTTGGCCAATTACTGCCATCAGTTTCCCAAAAAGCGGGCCACGTCGAACAGCCTTGTGGCATGTGGCGGACATCAATGCTGTTATACGGGTTAGAAGCACAGATACGGATCACATGGGCTGTGTATTCACATGGAAACGTGCGTCGTGTAACTCTTCAAGCTTTGAATCCGCACGCTGTTTCGTCCAGGACCGCTTGAATCGAGCACAGTGGTGTCATCCGCCCTCAGAATAAGGGTGTCGCCTGACACGAACGTCAAGTTGTCTGCAAGCGCAGTTGCTTGATCAACATAATTCCTGCAAGAGTGGTTCAGTGCATGACCTCAATCAACGATAAACGTCGAGACTTACACTCTGCCATTAGTGGGGTCAGGGATGGCTTGGTGCTCCCATGTCGTGAGGAAGTTGTTGCCGACGTAGTTGTCACTGAGGGCATAGGTGGCTGCGAGAGCTTGAGAGATGCATGAGGCAAGGATAGCAAAGCTTGTCGCGTGCATGGTTATGAGGCTCTGAAGAGAATAGGAGGGATCCTGGAAGCTGTTGTACATCGTCTTTCGGGTCTGTACTTATATCTCAGTGTCTACGAAACCAGCCATGCTGTTCACTGATCATGAGACAGTACCATTAGGTGTCCAGAAAGCGCTGGCAAGCATGTTCACAAGTCAGGGCGACCGATTTGCATCCGGGTACGTTCCACGAGAAGTCGGGAATCGGGCCAAGATCCCGCCAAGGGATACGCATATTCGCAAAGAGACACTCGTGCATGAGCGAGCCGCCACGCTGCTTCCTATTGCGAAAAGTTCGGTAAGAGTAAGTAGTGGCACATGACATGGCTAGCGACGTACGCCACATGACAGCCTTCGAGGACGCATGCCTGCCTTCGGTTCGATTCATCCTGGAGACCCAGCACCGAAATGACGAAGGAAGGCCAATAGTAGAGAGGCGCGGGAGGAACACTGTTTCGGATGCGCTGATGGATGAAGCAAAGGAGCACAGGCGAGAGAACAGAGAAGCGAAGATCTGTGAGCAGTGTTCTTGTCATGTTTTACACTGAGTCTAATAGAATCCATTGGAGACACGTGTCAGGAGGGGATATGGCTTAAAGGAGGTATGACATTACGATTTTGTCTCAGTTCGACAGATATGGACGCGTGTGATCTTCCGGTGATGATAGACACGGAGCATCAAAGTCACCCACGAGCGTCCGAGGACAAAAGTGGTTTGAGGAAAAGCCAGAAGTTGCTCGTCGACGACTGCCTGTGGAACTACATTTGACACCAATGTGTCAGACGACCCTGTGCGCACGATAGAGTGGACCTGCGCAACCTGCGTGATCCGTCGAGAAGCCTCGGTTACCCGGTTCGAAGGTCTTCCTGTGGCGCTTCCTTCCCACATAACATATATGCCGGAGAAAGTGGTCTGGCAAACGTATGTCAGCTGGGGCTCGGGGGTATTGAACATAGCAAATATACCATAAATATCCTTGTGGGATGAGAAGTCGTCATTACGAAGACGAGCAGTGCAAATCACGAGTGTCGCCGCGCACATGAGGGTGGTTTCACTTTACTGTAGGAACGGGGTTTATTTGCACCGTATGAGGATTGTACATATGCATGGTGCGCTGAGTCGACAAATTGCGCAGGTACGACCTTGCAGTGCGGTGCTGGAAGACGCATGGACCGAGCTATTTTTGTAATAACCTCTGAGAGTTTGGACATTGTTGCCTGTAAAGCTATCTAAGCCGCTCAGTATCTTGGCGTTTGCTTCATAGGAGCGCTCTGAAGACATGTGTTCGTTAAACTTCGTTTGTAGCGCTTGCGGAGCATATGGACGTACATCTAGAGGACATCATCGGACATTTGGCGAGCACCAGCGCACAGCGGGCCAAAGGTGTACCAGAGACAATTGGTTTCTGATTTCATCCTCGGCCTACATGCACGGAATCTTACTGTAGCGTGGTATACAGGCCAAGAGCTCAGCAGCCCTCCATGGGTCGACCACCGTTTGCCGCAACCGGGTTGTAATCGCTCGGACAGCCGGACATGGAAGCTCGCCATCACATGGTCTGTTTTCAAACATCGCATCAGTACTCGTCAAAGGCATGTGCATGAGCCCTCACTTGTATTTCCAGGGCGAAAGTGTAGTCTCGATTGTCGTCGTCGCACTGACAGCGGCCAAGCCCGTCGGCGGCGCTGGCGAGAGGGCATTTGAACTCAGATTATGATTTGCCGCCCGGAGTTTGCGGGGCTGCTCATGTGATCGTGCTACAACTCCGCGAGGCCATATTTGATGAGTTTGGCTAGCTGGGCTGTGATCTCTGTCTCTGACTTTTTTTCTCCGGTGATTTATTGGTCAAAATAGGACGGATGGACAGGTGAACATAGTCGAGTCAAACTAATCTAAATGGCATGTGGTTCATACAAATTGTACAGGAAATCAGACAGCCACGTTGCAAAAGGGGGTGTTTGTCTCCCCAACGAGATTCTCGTAAGGATCCTCCAGGAGATTCCTCCCTTGGAACTGGTTCCGTGCAGAAGGGTACGCGTTTAAGGGTCTGTTCAGTATGGCAGCGTTGATTTATGATCTTGCAGGTGTGCCACAGATTTAAATCCCTGGTGGACGGCACTCCGTCCCTCCAATATGCTCTGGAGTGCACGCTAGCAGGTGCTAACCCCATTCCGTCCAAGAGATTTGGCTTGCAGGTCGCATTAGAGAACTTGCGCATGTGGCGCGAGTCTTCGATTGCGCTCGATCGTACAGAAGATTACGAGCTGCCGTATCCTGACGGCACTTTGACCCGTCGACCTGGTAGTAACACCGTCGTGGCACGAACGTGTGTTGCTCAGATTATTCCTGGAAGAGATATACTCGTTACACAGCTGCAATCGAGGTATCGCGGCATCCCTCCAAAACAGTGGATCGTTAAGCCGCCGGAGATGACGCCACTCAGCTTTATCGAGATGGACCAGAGCCAAGACTTGCTCGTCATAGTGCAAAGCTCGTCAGTAAACAAATATTTTGCAACCTACGTCAGGATACTAACCTAGGGGGTGCCCCAATACCAGAATTGTTGGGAATGTTCTCATGGGTTATGAGCTCGGGACCGTAACACTCTCCACAGGCAGACCCCATCCTTTAGGCCAACGACAGGCCATCAGGGTGGCCTTCACTTTCCCCGTCTTTGTCGATTCCCAGGTAAGACTGTGTATTTCGGACAATCACCTGGGAGTTGTCCTCTTCAGCAATTTGAGGCCAATGCCCCACTCGGAAATCTGGGTGTGGAACTGGAAGACGGGCGAGCTGAAGCTTGTGAGCCGTAACTTGCACGTTTCAATGCCGAAACAATGACTTACCTTTCCTACAGAATGCATACGCAGTCACTCAAGTAGGACGTATGATCGCCTCATCTCTGGTATTCCTTGACGGCAAACACGTTCTGGTTCCGTTCTGGACTTCCATGCCCCCTCTCCGCGACGCCGACGAGATGCATCTACGAATATTTTGCTATGATCCCGGAGATCCTACCAGAAGAAGCTACGAGAACATCGAGGCGGTAGCGATTCTGAATCTGCCCGAGCTTGGGCATCGCATTGGTGTTCTGCAGCTGGACGGCGCTGGAAACCCTTACTCGACCCAGCTTCCACCTGCAAGCTTCGACGCACCATTTGATGGTAGCATGAGGTCGCGCGTATTCGCTCTAAACATCGTGCTCACGACGAACAACGACACTCGGCCTCTCTATTATCTCCTGTTTGCACCTATGCGCCTCTTTCAGCGCTGTTGCGACGTACGACGCTTCCACATCGTTAACTGGGACTCATGGTCTGGAGATGCCCGACTGATCTATAAACATCCGCTCGGCATCGTCAGCGATGGGCACATCTTTCAGACCCGGGCTCTCTTCCCTGAATCCAGACACACTTCAGACGGGGCTCAGCCCGACAATGAACACACGCCTCTTGTCATCTACGACTTTTCATCTCCCGAATTGCTGCGCCGTGATGCTTCATTGGGTCGATTCCGCAACTGCGAATACGTCTTTGAGCCGACCGCCCTCGGGAACGAACAGAACGCCTGGAAGCACTCGAAGATTGTGACCGGCGAGGCGCTACCGTTCCGCAAGATCTGGACAGGCTTCACGCTCTCGTTGCGAAGAGGCATGTTCTCATTAGTTGAAGACTGTCTGATCATAGGTGATGAAGACGGGTAAGTTGGAGTACCTTCCGAGTCTCTTCGGACCACTCATAGTCAGCGGTGTTGGCAGGACATCGTGGCATGTCAAGCAATTCTGACTTATTCTCGGCAATCCGGGACGCAACACTCATACCTGCGGGGTCTCACAAGGGGCAATCATTTTTGTAACAAATTTATAATGTGGTTACCCGTCATTGTTCTGTGATAATCAATAATTGTGATCTCAACCTATGGAAGAGCAAACACATCCCCAGTGTTACGGGAAGAAGTCGCCGTCGGGGCTGTCAAGCATCGGACGACCGAGTTCGATCCGCTGCCGGAGCACGCGTGCCCACGTCTTCGAGAGCACCTTTGACACCTTCTTATCAACGGCCTGTCGGGGCGCAAGGTTGCGGAACGATACCCAGAGGCTGCGGAAGTGGCCCTCGCACATCAGGTTCACCTGCAGTGTGTGGTCGCCGCGATTGTCGCGCTTCCAGTTCTCGATGTGCTCCTCGTTCATGTCCGCGTCGCGCAGCACGTCGCAGAGTTCTTCGCGCGAGAAGACGCTGCCGCTGCACATCTGCGTGAGCGCAAGGTTAGATTTACAGCGTGTGATGCACCGATGAGTTGGATCAAATATCTACCCGGAGCATTGTTGCGCGATTGGACGGCCTGGGGTCACGGCGTTCAAGCTCGATAAACACCCTACAGAGTCTGTATAAGCACGCTGACCGACGCGCCACGTCATCATTCCGGTACTTACGTGTGCGTTGCGAGCCTGTCGGGCGGACTATTGGGCAAGTCGAGTGCCGTGATACCGAACTCCATGAGAGTCGCTCGCCAGCAGCTGAGCCATTTGTTGATGGTTCCGATGAGATCTCCTACGTCTGGGTCCGCCTCAGCAGCCTTTCGAAGCTCGGTACCCATAGCGCACGAGCTCTTGTGCGTCGACCATGCTTTTCTCTGACATTCCTCTGAGCAGTACATCACAAGACTGCACCATGATCTACATGTCAGCCTTTGAAGTTATCGAAAGAGTATGGAGTGACGACTTGCTGGCAACCGCTGCATTTCTTGAGATCTTTCTTACCGGCTGACTTTAAACAGAAATTGCAGCGAGCAATTTTGCTGCCGGTACCCTTCTTGTCGGACATGGTTGTCAAGTCTAATACCCGTTGATCATGAGGCTCACGCTATGCACTGCATCATGGCCTTCCCCACATGGTAACTCAGACAAAGCACATTACGCACAATCCCGTGTTCATGTAAGCTTGTGTAAACCATTTGCATCTAGATTATTTACGCTACACGTTGCGTAAAGGTATATGATCCTGCGTGGTGTATAGGAACAAACCATAGTATTGATGTCTACAGGAATAACATTCCATTCTCTTTTGCCCTGTGTGCAAAACAAGCCAAATGGCTCGTTGCAAACACAAAGAAAAAGAAAAAGGGGGAATCCCCCGACGACGCAAGCCGGTACTGCAGTGGCAAGGTCATCATGCCCCCGAGTTGCAAGCAGAGCTCGAGGGACAAGGGCGGCAAAAATTTGATAACCAATAATGAGGGCGGTGCCCTCATAATAGTGGTTAAACTATTAAGAACAGATACTACACTTGATCTAAGCCAAAAGGCCAGAGTGGTAAGGACTCATAGTGGGCGAGGGGCAGGCTATATACCGACACGGGCGTCTCTTTGCATGCGCACGGACCATCCAGGTGTCGGTGATCTGGGCACGCGGAAGTTTGCGAGGACAAGGATGATTACTGTTGGTGTTCGACGTTGACCCATCCATACATCTTGCACAACAACCTGAACTCTGAACACACAATTTCTCCTAGTGCTCACGGGAACTGCGTAGGCCATAACAGTTCTTCCCAGAAGCTGTGCTTCGCTCTCCTTGCACGCGAGCGAGCGCGATCTGAAGCTAAGGTGCAACAGCTAATCATGCGCATCCGCAGGGGAATTAGCGGAGGTAATGTGCGATAGATAACGTAGCGGTGTACTCCGCGAAGGCTGTCTGACGCTGGACTCCAGTCCGCTTTCGCGTAACGCACTCGGTCTCCCAACGAATTCAGGTGAGTCTCGCCAAAACGCATAACGATTCAGTTCACTGACGTGCCAAAGATTGAGCTAGTTTTGGGACAATCAGAATTCGTGCAAAAGCGGAAGAAGTTATATCTTGTCTCGTCGGACATCTGGCGGTATATGAGGTGGTACTCTGATGTCTACCTAGCCACATAATGGCAACTAAACTTTCTATCTTAAGGTATCCAAATCCCAGCCTAGCGGACGTGGGCCGAGTGCAGCGGGAGAGGTGAGGCACACTGACGATTAGAGCCTCCTTCTGGCCGCCCAGGGTATATATATCACACGCGGCTGCCCTTGCGCGAGTCCAGCAGCTCACCTTTTCCTCTTCCAACTCTCCATTAAGACGACGCTGTCCTTCTAGTGAGCCATGGGCCACTTTTACGATGAGATCCCGGACGACCCGAAACTGATTGAGTGGATCAAGGAGCAGAAGATATATCATGTCGCTTCCGCTCCATTGAAAGGTGGTTTATCTTCTCAAATAGATTGGAAATGCGCTGAACATATGCTACGCAGGCGAACATGTCAATGTATCTCCCAGGGCGTACCAGAGCTTCAAGCTCGTCAGCCGTAAGGCGTGCTGGTTTTTGGATCTTTCGGGCTCAGGTGATTGCTTGCGCTATGCTTACATTAATTATATGTTAAGGCATGACATCTTCAGGGAACGAGACCATCTCGCATTTGTACGAGCCAGGAAACGGTCGTATCACTATCCTTTTCCAGGCCTTCCAAGGCCCACCTCGCATCGTCCGACTTTACGGCAAGGGTAGGTGATGGCGGTCCTTCCGGCACTTTACACTGTATTGATCATTGATGATAGGCAAAGTATTTGAAGCTGGCACCCCGGAGTTCGACAAACTTTTGCAGCCGTCCAATGAGCCAGAGGAGATAGACTTCCCCACTCCCGAAATGATGCCAGGAGCGCGCGCCATCATCTGGATTGACATCACACGGGTTGGTACCGCCTGCGGTTTCGCAGTACCATTCATGAAATTCGAGGCAGAGCGTGAGTTATCCTGGGCCTGGCACATTCAAAATTTTGATTTCTGAAGCCTAAATAATCCACAGGGGAGCAGCTGATCACCGTATCAGAACGCATGGAAGAGCGAGACGCATCAGTCGACGATCCATACCAACTGCATCATGACAAGGGCTTGAAGAGCTATTGGGTCAGGATTAACTCCTGGTCGGTAGACGGCTTGCCAGGGATGAAGCAATGCTTTTCGCGTATGACGCCTGAGAGTATTCGGCAGGCTATGGAGCAAGTTGGTATCAAAAACCCAACGCTATCGCCACTAGCGCTGCCGCCACCATCGCAGGACTCGAAAGGCGGTAAGGCTCACGAACTGACTTTGCTGTCCATCGGCCTGCTGTTGGGTGCGTTGTTAATGTCAGCGATACAGCGAAGGTTACAAAGTGCAGGCTTTGCGTAGGAGACTCTTGTACCCATGTATAGATTTCACACGGCGTATGTAATGTTATCGCATATCGGCGTAGCCAGTACAACGAGGCAGCGTCTGCGCTCACACCTGATCGCCTAGAGATCGGCTAACCAGATCCCAAAGGTGACGGAACCAATTATCTGCGCCGCTTGAGGTGCCCATGTGTTCAGGCCAGTAATAATAACGTGAGTCAGTCCTCTCCCTCCTTAAACTCGTACACCCATCTGCAGGTACACACAACACGCCATGGTCCAATTCTACGACGAGATCCCAGACGACCCGAAGCTCATACAGTGGGTCAGGGATCAACAGCTCTTCCATGTTGCTACTGCTCCCTTACACGGTACGTATAGCTCTATTAGACTCACCTGTGCACCGTTTCACAGCCACCCGACGGCGGCTAATGCATTTTTGGGATGAAAGGTGGACACGTCAACGTTTCGCCCAAGGGGCAGCCTACTTTCAAACTGGTCAACAGCAAGGCGGTGTGGTACCTCGATCTCACCGGCTCTGGTACGAGTCTTTCCCCTCAGCCACTGGCCCACTCACTTCATATCGTTTCTCGCAGGCAATGAGACTATCTCCCACATCTACGAGCCAGGGAACGCACGCATGACGATCTTGTTCGAGGCCTTCGTTGGCCCACCACGGATCTTGCGGATGTTTGGTCGCGGTACGGTCCCCCTCACTATTTCCGCCCGCAGCGAGCTTTATCTGACTGGGTCACACAGGCAGGGTCATCGAACGTGGCACTCCCGAGTATGACCGGCTCCTAAGCGAGGGGCAGAGCGCATACGGTTGGCCAACGCCTGAGAACCAGCCCGGGGCTCGCGCTATCATCTGGCTCGATATCGAGAAGATAGGAACCTCGTGCGGTTACGCCGTCCCCTTCTATAAATTCGAGGGACACCGTAAGTTTCCGCCGGGTGCGTTCCGTCGATTTCCCGCTGACAGCTTCGTTTACCGCCTTAGGTGATGTGCTGAAAAACTGGGCTACGACCCTGGAGAAGAACGACCGTGAGCAGGAGGACCCATTTTCCCTCCCGGCGAAGAAGGGCCTCAAAATCTACTGGCTGCATTATAACACCTGGTCTATGGACGGTCTGCCTGGGTTCAAGCAGGTATCCCATAGGGCCACTCAAGGCCTTGTACACAAGGTTATGTCGGACGTGGGGCTAAACCCCAACAACACTCTCGCCACGCGCAGAGGGTCACCGGAGTGGTGGCTTGTTCTCTCTGTCGGCATTATGCTTGGCTTCGTGCTATCCACAGCACTTCATAGCAATATAACTGCACTCGCAAAGCAGCTTATACGGGTATAGGCGTCATCATGTATATTGTACACCGAGGCGCAGACCTGTAAAATACCGTTCGTAGAGAGTGCACATACAATCCAGAGAACCACTCTAGCTTAATAACTCGGAATCCTGATGTAGGTGAAAACGAAACGAACGACGCAGCTTGAAATGTTAAACACTGCCAGATAGAATCGAACTAAGGAGGGAACTAAGTCTACAGATACTGGAGTCTTAAGGTAAACAGTACTAGACGATACACCTACATGATTGGAGGATGGGGAAGTAAGAGACGTCTAAGCCCGTAGGCCAGCTTTGATGCTAAGAACCGCCTTCATGGCGTGGAATCCGACCCGCATGGAATGCATGAGAGCCCAAATAAGGCCGACTACAGATCATGATTAACCGACAGGGTTGCGAGGTCGAAGTAACGAAGACTTACTAAGCAGGATTGGAATCCAGAACAAAATGAGCATGTGATCATGCTTCTTCTGCTGCTTCCGCGACTGCTTCTTGGCTGGCCTGTAGCCGTACGACTTGACCTCTTGCTCGGGAAGGGGGGCGGCTTCGTAGCCGACGCGACGAACAGGAGCGGGAACAGTCGCGGGTGTGAAAGAGTCCTTTGTAGTAGGCGCGACCTTAAGGTTTTCAACCTCTTCAGTGGAGCGCGGCGTATAAGCCGGAGGCGCGTCGTCGGTCGGGGGTCGGGCGGAAAGCGCCCAGCGCTCCCAGATCGCCTTCCATTCCTGGCCGGTGGGGATGCCGAGCCATTGCGGGGAGCGACCTGCTCGGTCTGTGTCACTCTCGGATTGGGTCGTGTCTGGCCGACGATCGCCCCAGAGTAGCGTCGGCATTGGGACGAAAACCGGGAACACGGCAGGCATCTGCGGAAGCGCACCCCAGGCGGGCATACCTGGAAGGTGTAAGGGGATGTTCTGCATCATGCCTTGTGGATGCTGCAGCTGCGCGAAGGTACGCTGAACCATCTCCATAATCGACGCAGCCATCTGCTTCTCGTCAACGATGCTGGCTTCCTTTGCCTTCTTCGATGCCGGAGATCGCGATACTGGGCTATCATCCTCAGACGACGAGACGTGATTGGGGATATTCTTCTCCTTCGAAAGGGATGACTTGCGCTCGGTTCGGCGGCGTCGAGCAGACCGCACGGGAGAGTCGCCCTCGTCGGAAGCCCCCTCGACATCGCCCCATGCGGCTTCATCGTCGTGGTCGTCCGTACTGCGATCACCAGTGCTATCTTCGTCGTCGGCAAAGGGGTCTTCGATGAAAAGGTCCTCGAAAAGACCAGGTAGCGCGATTTCAGCAGCGGTCTTGCCAAGGGCATTGACTATGTCGAGAGCGGCACCGGCCTCAACTAGCAAACGTGCACAGGTAACGTTGTTCTTAAGGGTGGCGAAGTGCAGAGCGGTGAAGCCATTGTTGTCGCGAGCATCGACGTCGATGTGGTGCTTGAGCAAAAACAAAATGACCTTACTGAAACCAAGGAAAGTTGCCAAGTGCAGCATAGTCTGTCCGCTACTGGTAGTGTGCGAGATAATGGAGGTGATACTGCATGTAGGAACAGAGAGAGGTGTGTCCAGGACGGAGAGGAAGTCCAAGATGAGCTTCTCGAAGTCACTTGATTCGCTTGTGCGGGCACGCAGGAGATGGAGGAGGTCGGCAGAAAAGCGCGATGAACCGGCCATCTGCATGCCAGAGTTCGGCGCACTAGTCATCGTGGCACCCATGTTGTCCGGACCTGTTGTGTTGACAATCCTCATGGCGACATCCCTAGCATCTTCAATTTTGCCAGTCATTTTCAGACCGACGACTTGAAGCGCAAGCTCCATGCTACGAGAACAATGAGTAAACGAAAAAGTGAAATGCATGCAAGACTCACAGCGCCCTATCAGTCTCATCTTGATACGCAAACAGCGTCGGAGGAGACCCGTCTTCCTTCTGGATGCCATCAAACCAAACCGCGACAACACCCGGTGTGGGACTCGGTGGCAAGATGCAAACAAGAGTGTTGTCACTCCACCGTTGGGTCGAGGTCGAGCAAACATCGCCGAAGACGCAGTTTAGTTGCATGTTGGGGTGGAAGTTGGTGCCCAATATGGTGATCTCGACACCGCCGTACGTAGGTCCTTGTGAAGGGATAAGACGATGAATCTTCGGCTGTGGCAGAGTAGAGATTGGGGAGGGTTCAGCGGTGTTGAAGAGGTATTGCAGGGACTGCGCAATCTCGAGCGGCTGCGGTGCAGGCATCGTCATGAGTTCTGGCGAATGCATGGACGAAGAGATGGCCGGCGATATGTCATGAGCCAAGAAACTCGCGTGAGATATCGAGGCGAGCGAAGGGTCGGTTCCGTTAACTGAGCTCACATCCCCCATGAGGATGTCGTCAAACGAACGGGACTCGTTTGCAACGATGGGCGGGGCAATCGCGGAGGGTAGCATGCTGGGGATTACTGCAGGTGCCCCATGGTCGCTGAAGTCAGGGGTCCCTGGCTCATGCCTCTGGGTATGTTCGGGCGAGCTACCTCCGTGGCTGAGCGCAGGAGTAGATGCCCGGGTGGCGAGAGCAGAAGGGACAGTCGAGTTGAGGCTGCCAATGCTAGTTCGTCGCGATAGTTTGCCCGACCGCCTGCCGTCGTAGGGCTTTGTCCTCTTCTTGGAGGCACGCTCCTCGCCGGCCTTGCGCTTGGCCAATGGGGAGCCACCGGCGTCTGACCGATCCCCAAGAGAACGAAAGGCCCAGTCCGAATCAGGGGTTTGGCCGGCGCTACTCCCAGCTTTGTTAACCCCAGTGCTCTTGTGGTCGTCTGTTATCATGATCGGACGAGTGACACCAGAGCCGACGATCCTACCAGTATGATCGAACATAGTGAAATGCACGTTAAAACCCGTCTTCTCTCGGTGGTGACGACAGTAGCACGTTATACGAAGGGGAAGAACGACCGTTCCTGACGAGATATCGAGGACTTCCGGGCAGTTGAATTGGATGAGTTTTGTGGTGTCCTCATGTTTGCCCCGACCCGGGATAACGAGGGGCTCTTCCGTGCTCTCGTCGTCCGAACGGGCGGGCCTGACTCGCGCGGCGAGCTTGCGCTCAACGCGCTTGGCCTGAACGGGGTCCAGCGTTAGCGCCAGAAAGATTAATCGGGGTGGGAGCGCACCTCGCGAGCCTGACAGCTAGTGCAGCATGTCACCTTTGTGTGCGGAGGAGTGGCGCAGGTGATTTCCGTGGCCAAGTGAAGAGCATCCTCGGGTATCGCGTCTACCGGACATCAGTACAAGGCCGAAAGCATGTCTTGATGGAAAGGCCCAAACCTATTTTTCCTTCCTTGCGGGTTCGTCGCTTGGTGCTAGTGCCCTTGGGCAAACGCAGCCACTTCCAACTACCGACTCGGTCATAATTCAAAGGATCTCCCGATGATGAACTTGCGTGAGCAAGGTCGACAGTGAGGCGGACCTGCGTCTCGACGCGAGACTTGGTGCCGCCCTCCGGGATGGACGGAAACATGATCGGGAGACTGCACAATAGTCATCAACATTGAACGGATAGAGCTGATAGGTGGCGCGCACTTTGAGCATGACTCCTTCGGAGGATATACGACCGACTGCAGAGCGGCGGGGGGCGGGTCGCGCCGGACTTGCGATAGCGGTGGCGGGATAGGTTTGGTGACCGAGACGGACACCCGAGGCTTACAGGTAGACCGAGCCTCAGACGTGTGATATGAAAGCGACTGCGAGCGGGGACTGACAAGAGATGAATACATGTCTGTGTTGGACGGGGAGCTGTGCGAGGGTGATGGATGAAGTGAGACACGGCGGATTTTATGAGCAGGAAGATTGACAGAACAAATGGACGCGACATACTCTTCGTATGCGTCGTCTTGAATCAGATCACCCAGGTCAAGGGTAGGAGCCTGCTCCTCCTTATCGGCAGAGTCGAGAGGTTCGTCAGGGATGAAGAAGCCATCCTGGGACAGCGAGTGACACCAAGCGTTGACAACCTCCTGAGTGATCGCCGGGTCAAGATTGTCGGAGCCCTCCGGCGTTGAGGGTGATGGCGAACGGGAGCACGCCGTTGTCGAGGACGAAGACATGGAGGTTGAAAGAGAGAGGTGATAGCTTGACTGCGTGGAACGAGTCTGTTAACGTCTAAACGCCAATTAGAGCGGCCGGCTTCGGTATCTGCCGGAGGAGTTACAGTTTATGAAACCGACGCCGGCTTCCGGTGACGGCATAGAATACAAACCGGCCCGAAACCAATACACTTCGGGGAGAGCCTCCGGGAGAAGCGCCATTTCGGGGAGGTCTGCTCGCCGGCTCCGAGGCACGCGTTCGTGCAGGTTCGTGTTCAGGCCACTCAGTGCACTCCTCGTTCCAAACACTGACACTCATCCCAGCCGGCCATGAAACGAGGCGCAGAGAAACAGCTGACAAAGGACGTCGAAGACATTGACGACGATGAGGTGCGTGCGCTACGCAGTACTTCCGACGCGTCCGTAATCACGCCTACGGCAGGTGGTCGAGTCCGGACAGGGCCTTAAGAAAGCAGACGATAATATGCTCGCGAACAGAAAGTAAGCACATGCTCTGAACGCGCTTCCAAGACTCAAATGGACTGTTTGTCAGAATCAGGGGGCTACCCAAGCGGGCGACTGCTGGCCTGGCGTCCGGATCCGCACCTGTATGTATCCAGATCCTTGTCATCTCCACCGGCCTGTTCGGCCAACCTCACCTCCGTGTGCACAGACACTCGCTGCTGTGCCATCTAAATTTGCTGGTTTTGCTGGTTTTGGCACCGCAGCTACCGGCACGTCATCTTACTCCTTCACCGCTCTGTCAAAACCTGCTGAATCTCCTGCTCCAGCGGGCGATTCATTCATGTTCAACTCTTCAACAAGTTCCAACACGCCTCCTGTAACGTCAACGTCAACAGCAGTACCGGTCATGTCATCTACGGCGAGTAGCGCAGCGAAGACATTTGCCTCCTTCCTCGGGAGTGCCGCCGATTCGAGGGCCACCGGACCCAGATCCACCAATGGCGTCCACGGGCAGAACGGCGCAGCGCCGGATGATGATAAACTCAAGGCGGAGACCAAGTACTACCGTTCTCTTCGCGGTCTTAATGTGTCATTCGTGGATGCAATTACCAAGGCTGTGGATTCGGATCCGTTCCTCGATCTTGCAACCGTGCAAGAGCAATACAAATCCCTGCGGTCGAAAGTCAGAGAGGAGTACGAGCAAGATGTCAAGAAAGTTTCTCCATCGACGACATCGGCCGCAGCATCACCAAGCACCACGTCGGCCTTGACATTCGGAACCAAGGCCGCGCCAACGGCGCCGACGCCCCCAGCTGCATCGAGCAGTCCATTCAGCTTTGGGGCGAAACTGGCTGCGCCCTCGAGTTCAGAGGACCAATCTTCACCTGCCATGCCTGCCCCACCAACAAGTTTCGCTGGGTTCACTCCCCCAGCGGCTTCCTCTTCCACCGCATACATGGCCGGAGGCTTCAAACCTAGCATAGATCTAACCAAGACATCTTCCTTTACCTTTGGCTCGACTTCCGCCATTGGAAACAACTCCGTGGCTGCGACACCCAAGCCCGCCTTCACGTTCGGCGCGCCTTCATCATCATCTTCCACCTTCACCTCCTTCTCGTCTAACAAGCCGACCGGTGCTTCGTCCGCTGCTCCTCCATCTATCTTCTCTAGCAACCTTTTTACCACGTCGACAGCCGACAGCTCGAAGGAGATGGAAGCGGAGAAACCTTCCACGTCGAGCAGCGTCTTCGGTGCTGGCCTGGCATTCGGTTCGGACAAGGACAAACCGTCACTGACATCGACTCCTACGAAGAGTAGCTTTAGCTTTGGTACTCCGCCGTCCACGTCCAAGTCCCTGCCGTTCACCTTTGGCACGGCAGGCAGCATAGGCAACCCTGTCGGCTTCGGCTTCGGGAGCCCACCCAAGACGCCTGAAACAGAGCCCAAGCCCGCCACGTCGACTTCTAAGTTCGCGGGCTTTTCGTTTGGTGCGCTGCCCCCCGCACCGGCTAAGTCGGCTGAGACGTCGGAAGCGGGCGAGGGTACTGACTCGTCGAGAGCGGAAACCCCTGCAGAGGAGACCCCGCCTTTGCTCGTTCAGACGTCTGTGCACGATCTGGCAGGCGAGGGCGAAGAAGATGAGGAGACGAAGTACGAAGTGCGGACGAAGGTTTACCGTATGATCAAGAAGAATAGTGGGCAGTCTGAATGGACCGACGTCGGCATCGGTTAGTAGGCGAAGCTAACGGCCGCGAAGAGAGTATTTACTGACCATGCGCAGGTATGCTGAGAGTCAATGCCCACAAGGAGACTGGTCAACGCCGTCTACTGCTCCGAAATAGCAGTACGGGCAAGATTACTATCGTACGTTCCTCTCGTCCACGCTCTATCAACTCGTCGATTGACCGTCACTCCAGAACTTCAACGTCTACAAAGGCATGAACCCGACGGTTGCCAAGAACGTTGTATCATTCATCGGCCACGACGACGAGAAATCGGTGCCATTCAAGCTTCGAGTCAAGACCAATGAGCAGGCTGACGACCTGAAGAAGGCTCTCGACCGGGAGATTGAGTTCGTCAAGGCGAAGGCGTCCGAGTAAACACTCGTGTACCCGGTTGATTCATTTTCTTGCATGCTGCATATGCTTCCGATACATCGAGTTTGCTCTGGTCCCATCTGCCCGTTGTCTCGACTGACGCTACTACTACGCGAGCATGAGCCTACCATCGTTTGAAGATCCGGATTGGTGCGTATGAACTAGGTAACTTTCCGTGGTACAGTGCATATGGAAATAAATACGTGGCCCCTTGTGGAAGCTTCCTTCCCTATTTGCCGAAATGACTCTGCGCGTTGTGCCATGTCGAATAGTGCACAAATGCCTCGCTGAGTAACAGCTCGATCTCATGGTCTGTCCATCCCTGCGTTGGCAGCGACTGGAGGAACATAATGATACCCTGATAAACAGTATATTAGTGAATCGCTTGTAAATAGTGCAGAACGGGACGTACTTGAAAATCCATTTCCTTCAGCTTCTTACTCCATTGTACCAGGAATGCCGAACAGACGTATAGATGGAATTGGGAGAAGGCGTCGGGACCTTCTGCCTACACAATTCATGCAGTCAAGATAAGGGTCTACCGCAATCTATCGAACACGCTCACCAAATAGGTATCCCACATTCGGATAGTGTTCTGCACGCTTATCTCACGCATCAGCAGACAGTTCATCCAACGGAAGGCAAACTGCATGAACTCGACGTTCTCTGACTCGAGATGAGCTGCCAGCGGTGCTGCGAGTATAAACAGATTGAGCTCAGCGTCTCGGCAGCATTCAGCAACCAAACCAGGTACGCACGATCAATGCGGGCGACCAGCTCGGCCATGCGCTTAACACTCCGCTGGATGCCAGGCTGCCCAGCGATATAATTATCCTGAATGCCATCAAGCAGTCGCGACAGACACCAGAAAGAATCTGCTTCCACAGCGTTCAAGGCTTCCGGCGGCAGTGATGCTGGGTCGAATTCTTCGGGGTCCGAATCTAGCATAATAGTTTGACAGGCTTCGCTGCAGCGAGGGGTCGGAACATACCGATGTATGCCGACAAGAACACTTGGAAGAACGGTGTCACTAAGTCGTTGATACCCTGCACATAGCCACTTGCGGGATGCCTAATCGCCCAGACGTACAGTATTCGTTCTAAGCTCTGAACGCAATCAGCCAGTGTTTGAAATCCCTCAGAATTTTGACATACTCGTTGTGTTGTAGCATACATCCACAGGCGAACGCCGGGCCTTGTCCGTGGAACGTCAATCTCAATCTGGTGCCATATTTGCTGATCGAGGCCGTCGCGGTTCCGTGCAAAAGCAAGTTCAACTAATGATAGGTATTCTGAACGCTTCCGAGCGAGTGTGGAAACCCGTAAAGGTGCTGGTAACGGGAGGTAACCCTAAGAAGGCAGGTATATCGGCTTAAGTTACTGTATTACCAACGGGAGAAAAGGCTCACCAGCAACAACGGCCAGACTATGGGACGTAAGTCTTCTGATACGCCATTCCAAGCCAATTTGCGGAGTTGCGCTGTAATTCGAGGTCAACGGGTATAGCTGCGCCATTGGATGCGATGAACGTACCCATACTGACATCTTCGCTGGCGATACACGCCACAAACTTCTGTCGTCGATTGGACCGTATTGAACGTTCGCGCATGAGCTTCTCGGAGCCTTCTACATCCGCCATCGAACCGTCTTTCTGCGAGCTGCTCTGGTGAGATTTACGGGAGACCAGATGAAGGGGATCTAGGGCGTGATGAGAGGCGGACGAACGGATTATGGCATGTATGAGAGGTACCCTTGACAATATCATCAACATCCTCCCTGGTATAGTTAAAGCCGTAGCCGAGCTTGGGCTTCGCCATGGGCACAAGGGTGGTAGAGTGCTCGACCGCGGGCTCCTCTGAGTCCAAATCGCCAAGTATCAAATCCCCCTCTACCTCAGGATCTGCGTGGACCTCACTGTTTAATTCATCGGTGTCGTGCCTGTCCACGCTGCCTCGACCCTTCGCTGACGTCCTGACTATCATCCATCCTTGCTTCGCCGGCGGTGGCTGGATGTCTTCAGTGCGCGGAGGGTAGCTGTTTGAACTGGGAGCATCGACATGGGTATACGAAGAGGCTATAGTCGACGTCGACCGTTTCGACTTCGGTTTCGGCACGGACACAGGTGTGCTAGACGTGATGGGGCGCCCTCCTGAGCTCCAGCCTACCACCTTCGAGGACTCCTCGTCCGAGCCGCTGTCCCAAGCGTCATCCTCGCCCCAGTCTGAGATTGAGTAGGATCCAAAACGGCCAGAGGAGTTGAGGCCGATGTGAGGTCGAGCAGGCGGAGGTCGGGCAGGCGGCGGTCGAGCAGACATAGCAATCTTCGGATTCGTTCCAGATTCAGAGACCACGGCAGCAACAGATTAATAAGCGCCCTAGGCCCACCACCTTTGCAAATCATGCATTGGTGGCGGGGCGCCCGTAGAGGAGCACCAGCGAAGACAATCTCATACGAATGGTGGCTACAAGGAAAGAGTACTGAACAACACGCTAGGAATACAGATGGGCACCTCGACAAACAGAATCTGACGCAGGTTAGACGGCAGGCACAGGCTTTACGGGATTTTCTGAAATGTCGGTCAGTGATCGGGTATGTAAAACGGTCATCTCTAGCCGTACCTTGAGAAAGTCGTCGTCGTTCCAGCCATAGGTACGCTTAATTCGCTTGCCAAAGTCCCTGAGCATGTTAGGAGGGATGGTGCTGTCAGGATGAGCTGAAAAGACAGCGTCAAAATCAACAGGCCAAGGTCAGACTAAGGATCGTCTTACGTCTGTGGAAAGTGATAGGCTGCGCAAATCTAGCCGTTAGCCAGCGAGCGCACAGTGCTGCGGAAGACTTACGTGATCACGAGGATCAGGCGGGTCGAATCGGACGCTGGAGCCTGCGGTAGAGCTGTCGACAGAGAAGCCCATTTCGGTCATGACCTATATACAATATCAGTAAGTATGCTTCGATGAATCCAACAACACATACCTTCACGAATTGATCCCACTTCATCGGGGCAAGCCCACGCCTCTCATCCTCGGCAGTATTGAGCAGCTGGTGCATCGCCGACTTGGCCTTCTTCGACAGCCTGCTGAGGAAGCTGTACTTGCCAGCTTCATCAACCTCGGTCTTTGACTTATCCTTGGTGAAGCGAGAGAAAATCCCCGCCTTCTTCTCCGCCTTCTCAGCGACAGAGAACAATGTTGCATGGTCCGCCCTCGTTTTGACTTTGGTCTTTTCTGAGCCAAGACCCTCGGTTTTCAGGTAGGTGCGAGCAGATTGGGCGCTCTGCTCAGCAGACAGGGGGAGCGAGGCCGTTGAGCCAAAGGGTGCACTCGCAACAGATGAACCGCTCTTGACAGACGTGGCCTTAGGAGCCGGTTTGGCGGGAGTCTTCCTCTGAGGTGTCGGAGCCGGAGCAGAAATGGGCTCTGGTTCGGGTTCAGGAACGATCTCCTCCAGAATAGGCTCCTCAGTCGTCGGGGCGGCAGTTTTCTTCTTCTTTTTCTTGGGCTTTTTCTTCTTCTTCTTGGCAGGTGTAGCCGCATCGTCTTCATCAGACACCTCTTCGACTGTTGCAGCTTGGCTCTTCGTCGAGGCTATCGGTAAGAATATTTCAGTACGGTGGCACATGAAAGAGCTACCTCACTGACTGACCTTTAGCAGCCGGCTTCGTGGCTGGCTTCGCGGCTGGCCGCGCGCCGGGAGGCACTGGCTTGTAGGCAGAGGGCGATGGTTTAGGACCAGTGTAAGGTGTGCGAGGCTGCATACGATCCGTAATTTTGACGGCGGGACTGCCGGAGAACAGACGACCTGTGTTGATGTGAGTACAAGAGTGAAGACCTCGAAGATGCCTAACCCCACCTCTGAGGGAGCCCAGTAACTTCAAGAAGGGATTGTCCTTCTTATAGGAGGCCATGTCTTCGAAGTCCTTTGCTTGACTCCTCGGATTGTGGAAGTCAGGATCAGCCTGAGCGATATCCATAGCTTCGCGGAACCAATCCCTGACTTCCTCTTCAAGCTCCTCGTCGTAATCCGACCCTTCATCGTCAGTCTCATCTTCGTCGCTGCCTTCCTCGTCACTATCAAAGTCGATTTCCTCATCGGAGGAATCCGAGACAGTCTGAAGCGAAGGCATGGAATCGTCGCTGCCGTAACCAGAAGTAATGGCCAACTGCTTCTTTCCACCAGGTTTTCCTCCCTGCTTGCCATTCCCAGAGAATGGTACAAGGGTAGGGGGACCATCTGGGTTGTTGATATCCGACCCTTTCTCGGCTTTTAGAGTATAATAGGCATGCCAGGTGGCAAAGCGGTCCTTCCTATCATCGAGTCCCCAGAGCTCGTCGATCGTCTTGCCCGACACACCTTGATAGTTCTAAAATGACGATCAGGTACACCCCAGAATGACGAAGGTAGGGAAAGTGCTGGAGACTCACAAGATTGATGTACTTCCAGACTGTGTCGAGCACGGCCTTATCCTTGGTCTTGCTGAGAGGAACTAGGAGATCCTTGAACGTGTCGACCTCCTCACCAGCTTCAACGGAGAAAATTTGAGCGTCCTCCCATTCTAAGTATTCCTCTGGCTTCTTGCGCGGTTCTTGTTTCCATTTCTCCCCCTCTTGTCCTAGCAGCGGCGTGTTGAGGATGTCCAGCACCTCTATGCTGTACTATGAGTAGACGCTATTTCAGAGGCATGGACTTAGATTTTGGACAAGATAGCACACCGAAAGATCGCCCATGGCGTCCCAAAGAGCCTGCGGGAATCGCTTGGAGTCTCGCGGTGTTTCATCAACCGCTTCTCTCAGGAGGCCGATGAGGATTTGTTTGGGGTACTGCGATGCAGGAAGACAGAGCTCTACCACGATGGAGTCCAAGAATGATTTGTGTACGCTTTTCAGCTGCGCCCAATCGAAAACGAACTCTGGTTGGTCGTCGCCTGCTTCTTTGTACTCGTTCGGCCTGAAGTACTGTTTCCAATGCGCTAATGTTTTTGGTCAATGAATGACATTGCGCGCGCACTGGACGAGTGAAATGACTTACGGGCAGTCGTAGCAAGCTGCGCGAATTTCTGCTGGTTCACATCGACGATGATATTGACAAGGTCGTAGAGAACGAGGTATTGCTTCCGTACTCCATCATTCTGTTGGAGCGCGAGTTTGATCTGCTTGTCATCTTTCACGACGTCCCTCAACTCCATGAGAAAGCTACCAGCAAGTCGCCAGCCTGAAGCGAGTAGATATGCGTTGTGGATCCTGCATTCTCGTATCAAGCTTCATGCTACAATTTCCAACAATAAGTAGCTCATTACCTGGACGAGACAACCGTGGCCACTTTGCCCGGATTGTTGAGAGGATTCTCTGGTCTGCCTTTCTTATTCTTGGGCGGGACTGGCGGGAAGCGCGACAGTGTTTCAGATGTGATTCTGTCTGAAAACAGGTCCGGGTCCTGAAGGTTTTCTATTTCATCCAACCAGGCTACCGAACCGCGTCAGTCATTGTCATGGCCGAGGGACAGGACAACGGACAGATGAAATAAGACTTGGCAATCTTCCCGCATTTGAGGGAATCGAAGGGAGCAGCAATTGCAGTCGCGTAATGCTCCATCATATCCTCTGTTTAACGATGATGAGCGCATGGTGGAATTGCTGAAAAGAGTACAGACCAGCCAGAAGATCCAATTTCTCTCTACCTGCCATCCTGATTCTCGATGAGACAAGCTCTCCAGTGCCCATAGCACCATGCTTCCCATTGCGAAGGACGAGAGCCTTGATTGTTGTCGGCTTGTTGCCGTATTCATCGCGTTTGCTGGCCCAATGCTGTTTCTTCGAGGCGATAACTTCGCGAGGGCCAACGGGAACGAGATCCGTCGATTTGGACGTTGGCCCAGGCTTCTTGTTCGAAGCCGATGGAGGAGGCATCTTGTCTCAGAATAGAGACAAGAGATACCTCAGTATATGTGTGGGTGACCGAGTGCCACACAAAACAAAGACGTGGAAGGAGACAAAGTGTCTACTTCGCTAATTAGCCCAGTTAGGCAGGACATACGATCAACTGGACGCTATCCCGCCATCAACCCCGCCATCAGCGTAATCGTTACCGTTTATAGGTCTGCTTTGACACTGCCTCGAATGGGCCACCGTCACACCATCAAGCTTTGAAGGGTCTTGTTCAGGGCGGTAGACGTCGTGTCTTGCCTGAGGAGAACGAGATCCTCAAGCTCCAGGAAACAAAGATCGGGTACGTACTTATATCTACGTCCTCATGCGCACGAGTCAGTCTGATTGCTAAGGTCGTATAGGGCTGATATACAAGACATGAAACGTCCCAGTTCCATGGCTGTGAGCAAGAGCGGGGAGCCCACCATGATCCGGATGGCCGGATCGCCTATTCAGCCATATATAAGGCGGCGACAGTCGCCCTGCGTGCACGCCTTTTTCCCGGCCGCCAACGCCCTTCACGTTCACGACCGCTCACTGTCCGCTGGACGGATTTTCCTTTCTTTTCTTCTTCTTTATTCTCTTTCTTTGGTCCAGCTAGCCTGCGACTGTCCGCCTTGATGGCGTCTTTTAATGTTTCTGGTAAGTTAATGCCACATTTCCCTCGTTGCACGTGCCTCTGACCACCCGCACCACAGTTCCTAATAGCTCCCCTTTAATTTATTACACAGCGGCATGGCTAGATACTCCAGTCGGCGATGCGTACGCTGCGAATTACACCGGAAGAGATTTTCACGCGACCAGTATATCCGGTGCGACGGCAACATTCAAGTTCAATGGCACGGGTGTCTGGTTCTACGGTGCTCTCAGACCCGGCTATGGAAACTATTCTCTGAGTGTTGACGGCAACACTGTCTTCAATGGAAGTGCCGCTGCGTCCAGCGCTGTCTTTGACCAATTCCTCGGCGGTTCTTCCCAGCTTGGCATGGGAGAACATACAGCGGTATTAACGAATACTGGGGGAGGATGCGTCGACCTGGACTCTCTGGTGTTTGAGACTCACGTTGGTGCTGAAGAGTAAGTTGTTCACTCTACCATCGCACGGTTAGGACCTGTTAACCCGCCACTGTAGCCAACAAGTCGCTAGCCAGACTGTTGATGACACCAACCCGGCGATAACCTATCTTCCGTCTCCGTCGGAGTGGTCTGTGGCGAGTAATCCCTTCTTCTCCAACGGCAGTGTGCAGTAAGTTCGGACTTTTTGCCTAGAACAACCAAGTCTGAACTAGACTTATCAGCTTCACAAATCTCGATGGCGCTGATGTAGCTCTTTCGTTCTCTGGGGACGCTATCGCGCTCTATGGTGGCGTTTCTTTCGACCATGGAGACTACACGGTCACCTTGGATGGACAGAAACAAACACTGAACGGTGCTAACGGCCAGGCCAGGATTTACCACTCTAAGGTACGTCCGTGGAGTTTTGAGTAAGACAGCTGAGCTGAAAACTCTGTGTTTATAGAGTCTTCTCGTGAGTTTCTTTGCATTCTTCGTTTGCTCTATGTACTGATGATGGTGACAGTTTTTCTCCACAGGCTTCGGCTCTGGCACGCATAGCCTTGGGGTTTCAACCGGCAACGGCTTCTTCGATTTGGATGCGGTGGTGATATACCAGGCTACTGGTGGGAAATCGGGTTCATATTCCACCGGTGGCACGGCGATGGCGAATCCGGACGACCTACATGTTGACGTGTCCGATAGCAACAATGTGTACGTGTCAATCCGATTATGTGCTTGCCGTTTGCTCATGTCTCTATAAGCTCACCACGGGGTGCTGCCGCTCACAATCAGCCAATGTCAAAGACTGGCATCGCTGGCATCGTCACAGCTAGCCTGCTTGGATTCATTTCTATCCTCGCCCTCTTGATCTTCCTCGTGTCGCGATACCGCAAGCGCCGTGCCATGAAAGAGCAGCGAGACGGCCAGTCGCCAGTCCTGCCAATCCAAGAGCCCGACTTGGAAGCGGGTATCAACGCTTATGACGAGAAGAAGCCCGACAACAACTTGAAGCGAAGCACGAGCCAATCCACTGCCAAGTCCTTTGCGTCGAGGTGGTCCCAACTGTCTTTCGCCGCTGGTGCCCCACCTGCAGAAGACAGGGTTTCTGAGATTCCACCCGTACCAGCGATGCGCATCGGTCTCCCTGCGAACCCGAAGCTGAATATGTCTGCACCGCAGCACAAGCGGTCGGAGTCGTCGCTGAGCGATGGTACGATTCTGCACTCACCAGACGGTGATAGCGTGTTAGACGACTACTACTACCGTCACTCAACTGGCAGCCAGAACAGCGTGAGTGGCGACTACCGACACCCAATTGAAACTGAGAGCCTTGACAACTGATTCTGTTGCCCAGGTCGCTCCACTCCGCCCAGCACGCCCACCGGGGCTGAATTTGGAAGACTTGGGTCCCGGTTTTGATCATGTGCCTCTCTGATGCTTCGACGACGTATTGTTGCCGTGTAGTGTGTTTGACACGATACATTATCCCTCCCCCACTGTAGCCAAGCTAATGATAATAATGCGTGACGGTACCTTGTCATTGTCACGCCTGCCCTTCCTTGTCCTAACAACGGTGTGATGTTGTGACCAACGTTTCCGTCGCGTCACGTCTATATCATGCATCTATGGCCGCTGTCGGGTTTCACGCTCGTGCATTGTCTTCCTTCCCCTTCCCCTTCCTCTTTGCCCTTCCTCACTTTCTTCCCTGTCTCGTTGGGTCGAGCTGAGCTCGCTGGACCATCTTCCTTGTCCCTCTTCTGACACCGAAGCCAGTCTTCTCTATACTCTTTTCTCTCAGTCTTCTCAGCCCGTCAAGCCTGCGTCGCGTTTCTGCCAATCAACGGGACTATACACCAATCTTCCGCATCCTTGAGCACTATCCCTGTTGAACGTTAGCAATGGGCAACCTCATTTGGCACGAGTGGTCCCGTTACGTCTCCCTCACCGCTACGGTTTGTAAGTATTATACGCTATTTCCCTAGGTTCGAACGCATCTGAAGTGATTATTACAATCTAGACACGATCTGGGCTTCGTTTTGGGGTATCCTGTACCGCAAGTTCTTCTGGGACTTTGTTGGTGGTACTTTACGAGCGCCCGGAGGTCTTCAGTACGTGCCATGCATTGTCGACCTTTAAAATCTCCCTTCACAATACTCTTCTCCGCTAGGCCTGCCAATAATGTTGCGGTCTTCATTGACATCATCGTCAAAGCTCCAATTGTCCAAATTCTGTCCATGCTCCTAGGCTTTGCTATCGTGGCCCTCGAGTACCCAGCTCCATTCCTCAAAGGCACAGCCTTGTATCGAAGCTTGGTCGTTAGGATAGTGACGCTTCTGTTACAGGCATTTCTAGCTATATTGTACTATCAGGTGCGTAACGTTTTATGCACCGCACCCGCCATCTTTTGACGAAACGATCTCGCAGGGCACTAACGGCGCTATATGGTCACTTGTAGCCGTGATAGGCTATGCACGCGCGATCGCTCTAGGGGAGACGATGGAAGAAGCTAAAGAGAATAGGGGAAGAGGCGGAAAGGCTTGACCTTCGCTGACCTTTCCGTCTCAGTCGTTGAGCGACGAGGGAGTCAGAGACTTCCCAAGATGCCGGGTTCATCTACATTCTTTCCACTTTCCTTTCCTTTCCTTTCTCCTCACTATCTTTTACTTTCGGCTTTCCCTTAGAACCCTCTTTTCCGTTACACAATGCACAGCTGTACCGACGGCCTGCCCCGCTGCCTCGGATTACCAATTTTAAAGTTTCTCAGTCGGGCTCTTCTCTCTAGCTAGGGACTTGTATTACTTTTTTTGTTGTCTGATCGTGCCACGGCGAATGGAACGTAGTTCACCATGAAGTCATTAACGTCATGCCTGCCGGAGTGCTGTGTGTTGCGGACGACCGGATTGTTAGCTCGCTGTGCGCGGTCTATTGGTTAGCATTAACCGCGACCACTAGATGTCACGGCGTGGCCGTCATGCTCCGCCATAGCTCGTCATTGATAACCGGGTCCAGTCTGGCTTTCACTCCTTCCCACGTCAACGGAGTCCCGGTTATAATTTCGCACTCATCTCTTCGTCTCTCTCAACTTACGGACCTTTCACCCCTCGCCGCAAGAAGGATTGGAAATATCATAAAGCCCGCGCACTCACCTATTGCCTCAGAGCCTACCACCCGCCGTAAAAGGTTTCACACTTCGCCAGCTTTTTCGTTACCTGCTCCCCTCACGCAATCCCCGGATTACCCCCGCTCACCATGTCAGACTCCCCTGCAAAGATTATTTCCAAGCTTCCAGGACGCTTCACAAAAGCGAACGAGGAGGGAGACTTGTTATTTTTCCCGTCTACGATCCACAAGCACCAAGAGTTCGGTGTAGAGGTACGCAAGCTTGTCCTTCTCTGCACTCTTAGTTGGCATTCAGACAAGTTCGTTCTGCATAGTGGGAGATTCGTCTCTGCCCTGCCCTCCAGAACAAGCCACACTTGCCCACGCCGCACTTCGATGCTTCCACAGATGAGCGCAGGGCTGAATTGAGCCTTAATGGCAAGAAATTCGACCCATTCACGCCCCCGTATGTCCCCAATCTGCATCTTGGAGATCTCAAAGATGAGGTAGACGGTGATGAATACGTTGTTCTGGTGCGCCCGCTTTCGATATGATGTGTATATATGCTGCTTGACCGGTGTTTGGTACTAGTTCAACAAGTTCTCTGTCGTTCCACATCATATTCTCCTAGTTACGAAAGGTGCGAATTTTCTTCATGATGTCTCTGGTCTAGCCTTACCTCTTGTGCGTTACCAGAGTTTCATTCGCAGACGTCTCCACTTATGCCCGCAGATCTCGTACAAGCTTACCAGCTTCTGGTAGAGGGTCATAGAGTCGGAAAGAGATTCTTCGCGTTCTACAACTGTATGTGAAGATAAGGTCCAGTACTAGACGGAGCACTGGCTAACTTGGTTTAGGTGGCGACCTAAGTGGTGCTAGTCAACCGCACAAGCACCTCCAGGTGGTCCCGGTTGATGACAATGGTCCGCCGGTTGAGAAGCTTGCTCGCGCGACTAACATCGAGGTACTAGGTATGTGCTACCGAGTTTGCGAATTTGAGCGTGCCTCTAAGACAGTTACCGTGTGTCAGAACGACCCTTCTCATTAGAGTCCCTTCCGTACGCAAATCACGTCCGCCGCTTCTCTGCGAACCTGCCCAACGCTTCGCGCGACGAGATGGAAGCCACCCTGCAGCGGGCGTTTATGGAGCTGCTTGATCTTGCGCTGTCGACTTTCCGCAGAGACCCGCCAGCAACTCCAAACGGCTCAGCGAGCAAGAGCGTCCTTTCGTACAACGTCATCCTCACCTTAGAACACATGCACTTCATTCCGCGCAAGGCAGAGATTTATACCCTTCACGAGACCGGCGATGCACTTAGCATCAATTCCATGGGCTTCGCAGGCTGCTTGCTTGTGAAGAGTGAGACCGAGTTCCAGGCGGTTGTGAAGGAGGGTGTGGGAAAGATTCTTGGTGGCATCGCATGCAAGAGCTTCCACGAGCAGCAAGCTGAGGAGGGTACATGTTCGTTGACCTAGATTGGGGAGCCCCATAGTCTCCACAAGAGAATGTACCATACTAGTGATTTATAGTAGATGGCCGCAGTAGGATATCTATCACCCTCTTCAAGTTGTCGTATAAGGACCGGTCTGAACTCACGCGCTTGGCTATCAAATCAGTTCTGCCTCGAATGCTCTTCAGTGATCCTTGGCGACGCTCATTTTCTCTTGTCTCCTTCATTTTGAGGTATCTTTAATCAGCGTAGCACGCAGGCTCCACATATTTTCGTCTATGTAGTCACTGCGTACGACCGTATGGCATCTCCGTGGCCTTATCTGCCGAACTTGTGCTGCGAGCAGACTCGGATTAGAGGGGCATGCCCGATGGACTCGTCTACCCTTACGGGGTTACGCCACAAAATGACGCAAATTTTTTTCACAGTGATAGTCTATTTCTCTGATCGTGCAGACCAGTCGTTGTGCTCTTTGTTCCTGAACGTCTGAACTCCGACTGCGTAGATATTTTTACTGGAGTTCTATTTCCTTCGGTGGTGACAATAATTAATGCACCGATTTCAAATTTCCCAATTCCATGACTCTAATATAACACACAGGTAACCATCCTTGTTTATCCCGACTGGATGTAGCCTATCAAGATTAAACTGCCGATTCATGGGTCGTGACATTAGCAAGTGCCAGAGCTTCGCCCAAAAGAAGAAAGCAACGACTTTGGATCCTAACATGGACAAACACCAGCCTTGCATATAACACATTCGGTAATACCTGGCATAGCAAATTTCATCGCAGAGTATATTTTATACCACTTTGAGATGGCTCATAGTAATCGAAGGTCAGCCAAAGACTCTATTTACGGCAGCCAATCCTACATTGCATTTCAGAGCTCTCCAAGACTCAGAGCATTTTAGCCAGCGGTATACAGAGCGGGACCAGCGACAACGTGCTCGTCCAGGAGCGATAAATTGAACGGAGTCACAAAGGGGTTGTTGTCCGTGATGAGCACAAAGCTGCCGTGGACGAGTCAACTTGCGTAATGCGGCAAGCATTCTAGCAGGTACGCACATAGTTCCGTTAACAGCGTTTGCGGTGTCATTACCGTAAATATTGCCACCGAGCTGAGTTGTTGTAGCCGAGCTGTTCGTCACGTTATCAAGCGGTGTGTACGTGATATTGAATTGCGAGATCCAAGCGGCCCACTGGAAGTGCGCAGGACACAGTCAGAAATGCGCGACCTAGCCAGCCACTAGCAGGCGTACCTTCGCCGCACCGGCTGATGTGGTCGTGTTGTACGTGAGATCGGGACCAACTTGCTTACCAGGGCCTTCTTACGACAAACTGAGCTGGTTCCCAGATGGAGGTCGACTGGTTGTTCGAGATTGCACGTTGAGTACCGTTCAGCGCGTTGGTGACGTTGAGGGCAGGGAGGTTCTGCCACTCGATTCGGGGGTTGGACTCTGGGCAACTGGTAATATACGGTACTAGGTACGTCCGCTGCATGCTTTGAGGAATAGCGGGCGTGAACCAGAACTGAAAATATGTCAAGACTAATACATAGATATCAATTTTGCAATGCGCACCGGCATGGGGAAGAGACCCTCGAGCTAGCGGAAGATCATCTCTTGGCGACTCTCGGTCGAGATCGCCTCAAGCAGTAAAGATGCGCTCGCCCTCGAGTCCAGGTGCTCAAGGACGCCGAAAGTACCGCTCTCGCCAAGACGAGTGATGCGCGTTGAGAAGTCAATGAACTCTTGCACGGTAGTGAACGGGTGCGAGTAGTTGCAGGTCGTCGACGCGTTCTGAGGTGAAAGGAAGTTTGTGAGGAGCTGGGTGTGTCCAATCTCCTGATCGCCCATCCACTTAATAAGGAACTGCTCATCAGAGCCGATATCTGCGCTCTCGAAGTCCTGAGGAGAGAACTGTGCCAAGCCACGGTTGAAGAGATCGAGCTCAATGAACTATTGATTGAGTGCGAGAGTCTACGTGTGTATTAACGTCGGTGCTTGCGGAGATGACAGGAACACTCACTAAGGACGCGCGAAGTCGAAGCCACTCATGGGTGTGTACATGGGGACATCGGACGCATTGGTGCCTAAGCCCCCCTGAAGGGGTCGGCGAAGGAGCGGCTGCGGTGAGAACAGATGTGAGCGGACTGACCAGAAAAGCCAAGGATACACGGAATCGTCTAAGCATGTCTAGGCAAAGAGGCAACCTCAGGGCTTTGTTATTGCGCATCCTAAGGTCGCGAGAGCTTCATATACCTTTCACGAAAGCGCAGTCGAGCGGGTAGATAGCTTTTGGTTCTTCGTATTATCACACCCATGACAGCACCAGTATTCGATGCTGGAAGCTGGAAGCACTTCGCAGTAAACCCAGATGGAGCACCCGCCGCTTGGATTGAGTAGGGTGATCGGGCGATCGGACTGGATGGGGTTGCCCCGCCAGGGTGCCGCCCAAACAGGAAGGTCCGCATCCAAACCGGGGCATCCAAACGCTGCCTCAAAGTGGGTCAGTATCAGCATCGCTCACGACAACGACCTTGACCAAGTTAAGTGGGCTTCGGATCGCATAGCGATCTTGATTCCATTGTGGGCAGGGGCTAGGACCATGTGCTGAGCGTGCTACAGAAGGCGCAGTGGTGCATTATGAGATGCGTGGGAGCTGTGTTCTGCAAGATTGTATGCATTACCAGCTACAATCGAAAGTGCATTGCGGTCAGTACAGTACAAGAAACATTCAGACATTTCGAAGAGCTTTGACTTGAAACAGAAGAATTCAGCGACGAGAGACGAATCATAGACAATTCGGACAAGCATAGAGCCATTAGCAAAACCATGATACAAGAAGCTTTCAAGGACGTGCATAAATTCTGAGACAAGAGATCCGCAGCGTCTAATCACCCCATCAACTTCGAGCGACGAATGCCGCTGCCGCGGCGTCCGTCAACCGAAGGAGTAGGAGACGGACGATGGAAGGATGTCGCTTCGCTAGTATAGCATTGTTAAAGACGGTCAACCTGCGTATGAGAAAGGCAGTACATACACGACTGGGAGAGAGGCAGAACCTCTGATGGGCGACCTGGGGTCGCGTGAGCCGTCGAGGGTGAAGCTCGGCATCGGCAACGCGCTGCTCAAGCCACAGAAACCAAAAATGTCCCCGTCGTCCGGTTTCGCGGGTAAATCACCGTTGGGCCTAATCTGGACGTTAGGGACATCTCCGCTCATGTTTCTCGAGGTGTCGCTCGCCGGCGATCGTTTAGACTTGAAGGACCCAGCATCGTAAGTTGCGCTCTTCCTCAGCGGACTCGGGCTAGGAGCCCCGGAAACGCTGGAACCTGACTTAGGCTGAAGGCACCGGTCGCAGTAGGATCCGACCAGTTCCACAGGACTGCTGAGCGGAGGCTCGGGCTCGGGCTGGCTGCAGCCTCGGCAGACCTTGTACCTGAAGCTGAAATTTGCCGCGGTAGGCATGGAAAATGATTTCGCCAGACCTTTCGGGGTAGGGATCACAGGAGAATGAGTCCATGCAGGGCTAGAGGCAGGCTCCGTGCGGCTGCGTCGCTGAAGGGTGGCAGTTCTGGCAGGTGTAGCCGAGCTTTCGGTCTTAGCCTCTCGAGCAGAAGGTCGGATGCCCTCCTCGATGCCCATGTTCCCAAGTCTGGCATCTACGGCAGAAAGCTTAGTCGATGTGGTAGCCTTTCGCACTTCTGCCCTCCGCGCAGCGTTTCTGAATTCGTGGAACGAGAATCCGCCCTCGGGGTCCTCGTACTGAGAAACGCTCGTTGGAGGCGAGCTGCTCGTACTCAGACTGCTCGAGGACCGGCTGTGTCGCGCAGAGCTTGGTTCGTCCTGCTGGGGTGCGTCTGGAGCAGTGTTCTGCGCACTAGCGCGGTGCCTGGCCGAGGACCGCATCGTCCTCGACGGGTTGCTGATGCTCTCATCCCAGGCGGGGGTATAGTAAGATAAAGAGCCAGAATCAGAGTCCGCGCCTGCATTCGCAGGCGTGTCGCGGGATTTGGCTTGGCGCCGGATGGAGGTGCGCACTGAGGGCGGGGCATCAGAGTCCGTGTCTGTCATGATAGGCACAGGCGACTCTGCATGTCGCATCTGTTTCTTCATCTTCGGCGCGCGCGTCGAGTCTTCGCGGATCCTGTCTGACTCACGAGCCCTGCCTGCAATAGGCTCCTTGGCATGCACCTTCTCCCGCTTCACCTGGGCTCGTAACGGAGCGTCATGGCGACCCGGGCGCTCACCGCCTTTCCCACGCACCCCACGCGCGCCGTCTTCCTCCGACTCGGTCGGCGTAGGGGACCTTTGCTGCTGCATCATGCGCGTCGAGGAACGGCCCGGGGCCTGCGAAGGCGGGGCACGCTCGCGAGCAGGGGCGCCGCGTGCCGCCGCGGAGGCGCTGCTCGCCGGCGTGCTACTCCCGTGTTTGCTGCTCCCGTGCGCGCTGCGCGCGCCGCGCGACGCGGCCGACGGCATCACGGGCACGTCGTCGTCGGGGTCGTTGTCGGGGCTGGGGGGATCAGGGTCATCGAAGTCGGGCACAGCCACGGTCTTGCCCTCGGCGAGCTTCTGGCGGAAAGCCGCCTTCGCCTCCTCAAGTGAGTCGTACCCGCGTTGGCAGGCGTTCTTGACGCCTCTGGTCTGTTCGGAGACGTCCAGCCTGATACATCAACGTGTGAGCACCGGGCATGGGAGGCGTGGGCTGAGTCAGAGCGTTGATAGCCCTTCGAGAGGGGGAAGGATCGAATAAAGCACATGTGCACATACCAATCCTCGTAGACTCCGGGCTTGCGCCCGACTGTCACCACATACGCAGCCTTGGCCATTGACCACAAACTGGCAGCTCGTCGCTTGGTAGAGGCTGAAAGTGGCTGCGAGCACACGGGAGTCAGTTGGTCGGTTATGTAGAGACCTTACGGAACCGTGAGCGTCATAGCAGTGTCGGTGGGAAACGTGGAAAAGGCCGGCATCAGAAAGACGGGATTGGTTAACACCAATATCTTTTGTACTCTTACACACAATGACACGTTCTTACATGAATTGCTCGCGGTTGCACGCGAAGGCAGAAGGTAAATAAAGGCGAAGCTTAGCAGTTAAGGATTAGAGTATGCCGCTTCTGTGAATTAGTTATCTCGAGCCGAAGTGGCGGCGAGCTCTTTCTGCTTTAGCTTAGTGTGCGCTTCTTAGCTTCGACGATCTCGTCCAGAAGGTCGTCATATAAGTACAGCGGTGCACACAGGCATGACAGGTGGTCGCTAGCAGAATCAAGAGCACAGAAATTAGCATATCATTGCTGTCGAGCGTATCCATAGGCAGTAAAAGCAGAAAATCCCCGAAAGCTGACGAGTCGTCTAGAATGGAGAAAGGTGCAGGGCAGGCTACACTGCAATGTATCCGCCTCGACTTGACGACCGTGGCCGGACGATGTTGCACAGGTGCGATACGACGTCGCGCAGCATATATGGGACTTCTCTCCAGAAAACGCGATGTCTGTGCACTGATTAGATCACAGCCGAATTCCGATGCAACGGGTCACGTACGGTATTAGGTCCATCCCTGACGCGCCATACGTCGAGTAGTTGTAGTATGCCCCGAGCCCGAAATAGGCGACGAGCGCAAGCAGCAATCTAGCGGCATCATGAGCAGGGAGCATCCGTGGTAGCGTTGTGAGCACTCACAGTAAGAAGAAATATCCCATCCCCGATCCCACCGAGCTCTGCTCCTCCTCGTCCTTACCAGGGTCTGGCTTCGACTCTGGAGGTTCCTTCTCCCCGAACATGCATCCGGCCTGTGTTCGCCATTCCACCTTCAACTCCTTCCCATCATACGACTGTAACGATGGCTCGCCAGTTTCCCCCGGCTCACACATGAGATCAATAGTGAACGATTGTGGTATTTGTTCGCTCGTTAGAGGGTCGGGATATGGGGGTCCGGTGAAAGTCAGGGATAGGCCCTTTTTCGGTGCTTATGCAAAGCATGAGCTGCTGCGACGCCGACCAGGAAAGGAAAGCTCACCTAACAGCAAGTTGAACTTCACATCGTCCATAGACGATTTCGCCAGTGGTATGACCGCGGTGATGCGCTCCGGCTGGCTCTCTTTGATATTCGTTTTCGTCAGACACGCTCTCGTTCCTGATGGACACTAGCAACAGCACACGGCACCAAGAAAACGGCTCTCAGAACTACGCGGCTCGGAGACAACTCCCAGGACAAACGAAGAGGCAGCACACTCACCTGGTCCTTCTCCGCGACGCCCTCTTTCTGCTGCAGGTCCTCGCACAGGTTAAATGTCACGCTGTCCCGGAATCTTGTCGGGGGCGTATCGCGCTCATGCGAGAGGGTCTGTTCGCCCGCGAGACTTTCGAGGTCCCACTTGCCCTCGCCAATCGTGGCCTTGCAATCGAAGGTGTCCTGTGCTGCTGATGACGCCACCAGCAGGAGTAAGGCACAGGACAGCGCCTGGAGGTGTAGTTGCCGTCGGAAGATCATATCTTATGGCCTGCAGGAGTATAATGCAGCAGCCGCGGCGAAAATGTAGGTCAGGAGGAAGTGAGTGCCCAGTGGGTCGTAGCCGTTGCTGCTAGGCGGGCTGGATGCCGGACAAACGACCCCGGGATGACCTCGCTTACGTAAGACACGCGAGAGGTAGCGGGACCTCGGACAGCGTTATCATTTCATCACGACGCGTACGCCATGCATGCTCCCGGCTTTCCATCCACACCCACCACGACCGACCACTACCTCGCAGAAATTATCCAAATTTGTTGTCTGAGGGCTGATTCTTCGACTCCGTTAGATTCATAGGAAGATCTGCCATACAAGGCCCGGCAGATATGGCGGCCACTATCGAGGACCTGATCCCGCACATCTACCACGAGAAACAGCAGGAGGGCTCGATGCTATGCGCACAGCATGCGCTGAACTCTCTCCTTCGTATGCACCTTAGCTTATCTCCCCTCCGGCCCCGCTGACGTGCCACTACGCCACAGAGGGACCATATGTCAGTCCACGACGCTGAGCATGCAACCAGGCTCGGGCTGACCCCCGTCCTTGTAGTTTTCCGCTCCAGACCTCTCGGAGATTGCACACAGACTCGACGTCCTCGAAGAGCAATACAGCGAAGGTAATCGAGAACATGGAAGCACGAATATGGATGACACCGGTGGGTAGCTTTGATCTGTGCATACACTTCCCGGTGGCGCTCTTGCCTGTTGCCGAATGTCCTTTATTTTGACTAGCGTTGGCCTCTCCGCCGTGCGGCAAGAGAGTCGCATAATGAATTGCACTCGCCTCCTTGAGAACACGCGTGCTCATTGAGTCTTTATTTGCTAGGCTTTTTCTCCGTTCAAGTTCTAGAGGAAGCTTTGCAAGTGTGGGGGTTGACGTAAGGATGTCCATTCCCCGCCTGCATGCATGTTTCTGATAATAATTTCCGGTCAGGCTCGTCCGGTGGCGGAGCGAAGAGATGCGCCCCTTCCAAGATCGTCCGCAGTACGTCAAATGTATGCGTTACGTGACGAATCATTGATTCGCATATTTTTGTGGCGCAGCACGCAACTAGCCTTTATTCTTAACCAGCATCAGCATTGGTACGCACTCCGAAGATTCGGGCCCGCCTCTACAGATGCGGCACGCGATCCTGGCGAGGGCCACTGGTTCAACCTGAATTCGTCCCTTGAGAGACCCGAGTGGGTCGGCAAACTGTATCTCGGCATGTTCTTGCAGCAGGCAGAGACAGAGGGTGTGTGAACTGCGTCTTGGCAGATCTATCAAGATTTCACATAATATCTGCCACCCTGGATTCTAGGTTACTCGGTCTTCGTCGTGATCCAGAGAGATCCAGAAGGTCCCCTTGCGCTACCGCGGACAGAGGCAGATGAATTCGCGACGGCGATCCCAGAAGAGTCTGCCTCAGGGCGGACCCGCGGCGAAGCCTCGGCTTCGCGTACAGCAGTTGAAGGCTTCGAAGACGAAGACATGGAACTGCAGGCAGCGTTGCAGGCGTCTCTGACGGGAGCCGCGCCCTGGGGACATCACGATCCCTCTTACCCGGCCCCGGTCGCAGCGGCCGCCCGCGACCCTATTTTTGGCTCGGGAACGCGAACTCCTGTCGAGCGCGAGCGCGAGGGGTCTGGCGTGCCAGCGCAGCAGTACGGAGAAGAGGACGAGGATATAGAGCCAGAGGTGTTCTCGGCCCCGTCCGCGAGCGAGAGCCGGTACGCACGTCTGCAGGCTGCAGCAGACGCGGACGCAGATCCCATCGCCGCAAGCCGCGCGAGGAGCCAGGCGTACATGGAGCACGTCCGGCGCCAGCAGGAGGCGGCACTGCGTGACAGCTACCAGGAGGAGGTCGCACGTGCGGAGGCGGGGGTAGGACGGCGGAACGTGAGGGCCGAGCAGGAAGAGGCCGAGTTGATGCGTGCGATCGAGGCGAGCCGGGCGATACACGAAGCCACGGGCGGATCGCCTGCAGAGGACAGTGAGGAGCGCGAGGTGCCAAGGCCGAGTCCGCCCGCAGAAACGTTTGGGGGCGACAGGGTGTACGACGACGAAGACGCGGAGCTGCAGGCGGCGCTCAAAGCGTCTCTGGAGACCCTACCCGAGGGATTCGAAATACCGTCTACGCCTCCTGCTTCTCGCCCTTCGTCGTCTCTGCCGGTAGCACCAGCAGCAGTAGCAGCACCGCGCGTAGAACCCTTGCCGCAAGCTGGGCATCCGGGTAACGAGGAAGACGAGATCGAAACCGAGTCTGAGGCGGACGTCAGTGCCGCTGAGGCAGAGCCGCAGCTGTCGATGGAGGAGATGAGGTTGAAACGACTGGCGAAGTTCGGGGGCTAGGGCGCCGCGCTGCTTTCCTCGGACATCGTCAGGGTCGGGCTCCTGCTGTATAATCGCTGTCGTTGTTCCTGGCGGGAGGCGAGGTCGGGCTTGCTCGCTTACCACATGCTTATTCGTGTAATACTAGCGCGTTCGTAAGGCCTGCACTGCAATGTCTCAAGGGGTGAGTCGGTGTGACAAGGATGGCCGCTGGGCACTGCGTGCCAACGCGTAGGCGCCGTTCGGACAGATTCGCATACTGCTGTGTTTCACGGCCGAGGACTTTTGGCGCGTGCCGGTGATTGGCCAGAGGCAATATCTGGCCCGTACCCGAGTCCACCCCGGCGCTGCCCGATCTGTCAAGGCGACTGGGTGCTCACCCGAGATGGGACCGTCCCGTTGGAAATAGTCTTGGTATTGTACGGAGCTTGCGATTGCCTTGCCCATGTCCGGAATAGACGTGATTGACATCCTTGGGATGCTGATATCCTCCGTAAGCATCAATATTGTCCACCGCGGTTCCATTCTGTCCGCCGTATGGGCTGATGATACATTACAAAAGGCTCGCCACTCTCTTTTCCGTCCGCCGTCCCCTCCCCCCATCCTCCAGACCCTCCTGCGACGCCGATGGCGGACACCCAGCTACAGCCGGCCAAGCCTGCGGCCCCTCTCCCGGCCCCTGTGCAGCAGACGCAGCAGACGCGTTTCTTTCGAAAATACGTCCCGTGGCGCGACCGTGTAAAGTCAGTCTCTGCTGCACTCCCCCTGTCGTCCTATCATTGACCACCACTCTCGTTCAGGTACTACTCCTGGCAATGGCACGGTATCGTGACGGCCACCGCCGTCGTCTCCTCGGTCATCCACATCTGGCCCTACCACAACTACCGGAACGGCGTCAAGGTTGTAGCGTGCATAATCCTCATCATCGCACTCGTCGTCTTCGTCTGGAATCTGTGTATCAAGGTCGCAAAAATCATCATGTTTCCAAGGGTATGCACTCTGCGTGTTGTCGAGTCATCCATGTGCTGAACCTTATCTCAGGACGCTCTTACACACCTTACGGATCCAGGAAAGAGCTCCTTCGCGGGTTTCCTTGCAGTCGGTGGTGCAGGTCTTATCGACGCGGCCGTGGTAAGTGCGTTCTCGTCCCATGTATGCCTCTATCTGACTTTCACGGCTGTAGAACGTGATACGAGACTGGCACCCCGGAGCCAAAAACCGTTTCCTGTTTGCCATGTACGCTTTCTGGTGGATTGACGCAGTCATCGCCTGGATTACTGCATTTGGTGTCATCTACTTCATTATGGGCCAAAAGTCAAAGGATCTCGGCAGGGTCATGGCAATCTGGATCATCCCCTGCGTCGCCATGGTCGCCTCCTCCACCTGCGGTGGTCTCCTTGCTGGCACTCTGATTGAACAGGGATTCCCCCGCCTTGCCTTGGTCACGACAACCTTCACGATCACCATGGGTCTCGTTGGTCTGTGCTTCACAACGATGATCACCTTTGGTTTCATCATCCGCCTGCTCCTCCACGGCACACCGGACGGCATGATTGCCCTCGCCACTTTCAACCTCCTGACGCCACTCGGCCAGGGTGGCTTCTCGCTGCTTATCAATGGCGAGAACCTTTCCCAGCTGGTGCCGTACGTGACGAGCGGCTCCGACTTCCCCGAGATCGCTCTCGCAGGCAAGCTCCTCTTCAGTGTCTGCTTCTGCGGCGCGTACGTCCTCTGGTGCATGGGTATCATCTGGATCACGCTCTCGCTCTTCGTCATCTTCCGGCGCTCCAAGCGGCTGCCCAACTTCGGTCTCGCATGGTGGGGCGCGGTCTTCCCGAACGGCACGTACGCGCTGCTCACCGTGCAGCTCGGCAACGTCCTCCAGAGCCGCTTCTACCACGGTTTCGGCGCCGCGTGGTCGTGCGTCGTGATGCTGCTCTGGCTCGTGCTCTTCCTCCGCAGCATCCCCGCCTTCATCACCGGCACCATGTTCCTCCCGCAAAAGTCCTACTTCGAGAACCGCCGCGCGAAGAAGCACCGCAAGCACCACCACCACGCGCACCCCGGCGCGGACGCCGAGAAGGGCCTCCCGCAGCCACAGCAGCAGGAGCAGCAGCCCGCACCCGCGCCGGAACCCGAGCGCGACGACCGCTCGACGCTCGTCGGCGTCGACGGCACCAAGCACCCCGAGGGCGCCAAGTCAACTGCGCGCGACAGCTCCGGCACGCTCATGCACGTCCCGTCGTCGCACGGCTCGGGCGCGACCACGCCGGTGGACCGCAGCGGCCGCGCGACTCCCGTCGACGCCACGGCGCCCGCACACGACCAGGACATCTCTTCCGCGGGCCTTCCCGTTGCTTAATAGCCGTTCTTCCCATGGCCGGGGGCTCCCCCTTCATAATACCTTAATGACAGCTCGCATCCTCAGTGACGATCTTTATATGCATTTTTCACGACTTTTTCATTCAACTTTGTAGCACAATCGAGGGCATAGGGGCACATTAGACAAGCTACGCATGTACATCTGTGGCTTGTACACTACATCGTAGCATAATCACGCAATACACAGACCTGGTAATCACACGAGCGTGTTTAATCGAGACGTTGGGGCTTTCGTGGACTTGGTTCGGTAATGTTGTGGATATACGCACCATCCGGGTGATCATAAAAAGTATTTACTGCCGAGGGTGGGGATTTCTGTAGCCCTCAAACCGAACTAGCTGCTGTAGATCAACACCTGCAATACGCCATATGACAACGCCCACCAAGAAAACAAATGGAAAAAATGAAAAAAAAAAAATGATTGATTGGGAGTAAGAAAGCAAGAAAGAAAAAAGGGGAGGTAAAGTACTGCGGTGTCCACAACGTCCTTCCTATACGCTCACGACATAAAGCATGCAAATGGTTACAGGTTTCGCCTCAAGTGTCGTGCGAATAGTACGTCGGGGGTGGCCCCTGGAGATGCTGCACTATCTGCCTCAAGCCTGCCAATTCTTGGCGCAGCCCCTGCAACTCCAATGGGGCAGGCCTCGCAACATGATCAGTCGGTGCGACAACAGACAATTCCGCGACGACTCCCGCCGGGCCGTTGTTGGTTGTCACAACGTGTGAAGAGTGCGCACCATCATCATGGGCGGGTGCTAGCGCCTCCGGGCCCTGCAAGGTCTCGGAGGATTCCGTTGTCCCGCTCCCCAGAAGAGAAGCTGCACTGTGATTTTCGTCGCCGTCTGAGCGTCTGAGCCTGCGCCAAAGGAAAAGGCCGACGGCGAGGAAGAGGATGGAGCCGCCCGCTCCTCCGGCAACACCGCCTACTATGACTCCAATGTTCGAATGTTTTGACGTCCCAGTGCTCGAGCCAGGATCAGCTACGTTGATGGTAACATTAGGGATGCTGGGATATGGGGGATGTTTGTTAAAGAAGAGAGCACAGTACGATCGACCATGCTCACCTCAATGCGAGAGGAGCAAACATTGCGCCAACCCCGGGGCTATATCAAGCAGTCAGGAATGACCAGCATTGAGCCTCTCTTGTACCCACCTCGTTGCGGTGCTATCTAAAGCAGAGCCGTTGCCTTTCAGCGAAAATACCGTCGAGAAAATCGTCCGCGTTTCGTTCTTGGAGATGATGTTCCATACGTAGTCCACGAGGCTGCCTTGTACGCTGACATCGTTCATGGTCATAGCAGTGAACAAAGTCCAAGCTGCATGCAACTGTCAGCCTCGGGAGCTAACGGGCAAATCGATGAGGGCATACCCGTGTTGCCGTCTGCGTCGGAGTCATTATCGATCGGTAGACCATCTGTGAACGAGTCAGTGCGGACTCTCCTGTACACAGACGCCATACACACTTGGGTAAGATCCCAAAAGACTTTGTACAAATGTCGTCTCAGAGCTGTACACCTGAGTCCTCTATCAGCACACGTACCAACGAGTCCTGGTAACAGTCACCCACCGAGTCGTCGACGAGGCCTGTCCCGAGCCACTTATCTGCGTACAGGTTGTACTCCAATGCCCACGACGAACCTGGATCTCCGAAGTTCGACAAAATATGGTTATCAGAAGACAGGGCGAGAGACTTCCAGGTGTTTGCGTGTGCTTGTGCCTTGCTCTACATGAGAATTAAATAGCGTCAAGTACAATGATGGAAACAACATTATAAGTATACGCACGGAGTAATGCTGTGCATCCTGCTGCTGATCCATCGCCACACTCATCTGAGACATCGCGCCGATTGCAATGATACCCTTAATTGCCAAGTTCGTCGAGTTGGGTCTCGGTCCAGGGTCAGCACTGATCCTGGGGTTGTGATCAGTACTTGTTTCCTGAGCACACGACACCCGTACGTACTGGCCTGCCGGTAGAGGTGACGTGTTATTTACCAGATAGTCCGCCCATCGCTTTAGTAATCGGTACTGCTTGCGGAAGTCAGGGGCGATAAAGCAAAGGGGAGCGGTGCACGCACGTATGTACTGATCAATGACCCGTCTCCCGTCGCTCGCGCGTGCGCGAGGGTCATGATGAGCATGTTTCCAGATTCTAGAGATAGATGAGTGAGACGTAGGGGAAACACGGGACTGGCAAATGACTTGCGTTCTACACCCTGATCATGGGTTGTGGGATCACCTGTCGCATTAGGATAGCTAAGTCCTGTAATCATAAACATCAGGGCATCACATAAATTACAATCGGAGGACACATACCAATGTGTCGGGGCGAGTATGGTTGTGTCCATACCGGCGAGCTCGCATAATCCAGAACAGGCTTCAGCAGCCAACCACCGTACGACCCATTGACACTCAGGAAGAATGGGAACGCAGAGTATAACACCTCCACAGGATTCACCCTGCCATTAGGGCCGACGTCCTTCATGAACATCTTCACGTCAGATGTATTGTAGCTGCCCGCAGAGCCACCAACAGTGAGCTCTGTTCCTGCCATCGCCTGTCGTGCAGCGATAGAGACGAGATCGACGAGATGTGGCGAGGTCGATGACGCGTTCTTCGCCAGTGCTGTATCGAAGGCTTCCGCGCGCTCGGCGGCGGAGCTGTAGTCTTGTAGGAACGATGTGATCTGGGATGCACGGTGTGAGTACCGAATAACACCACCACTCGAACATCCTGCCGCACTATGTCTTGAGCCACACCTTGGGTGCGCCAGTAGGGACTGCGCATTTCTGGTGCACCCGAAGCCGTCACGGCCTGAATTGCGGGATCTCGTAACATCCCTACGGCCCAAACGACAGCGTCCGTGGTTGTCGTGACATTACCCAGGTCCATCGAGATAGCAAAGACCGGGAATGGACTGCATAGAGCCTGAATTGTATACTTTATGACCAGTAAGCATACCACGTACTTTGAGATACTCGCGGGCCCCGAGGTGACCGTGTTCTTCAGGCTCCCGGCACTGCTGAACTGGCCTCTGCAGTTCGCACCCGAGTCTACCATGTAGGTCATCTGCTGCGTCTGGATCCATTCTTAGCTCTTGCTCAAATCTATTTCTCAAGCATCACTTACAAGCAGCATCGCATAATAGGTCGTAGCGTCCTCGGCCTGATTTGATTTCTCAGAGAACGCCTCAGGAATGTCCAACGATGCTTGATGGTATAATATGGTATCTGTTGGCACTGTCTGCCACTGCATAATGTCTCCACGGTCACCCGAAACCCATTCTGCAGCACATACGTAAGAGCTTCTCTCTGATAGAGTGATGTTCGGCCTACCTCCACTGATGTCAGAGTAGACCTGTACAGCATGAGGCTGTCCGTCGTTGGATGTTGCTGTCAGGGAGACGTAGGAAAATGGAAATGACTGCTTGACGGGGTCGGTTGGCTGATACTGAGTCAGTGTGGAGCACGAAATGCAACGTAGTCGTGAAACATGCCTCTATCGGGGACAGATATGTTATATTGAGATCAATCGGTCCCGAAGTTATGCTCATCACCGTCCGCGTCGGCGTGATTTGGATATTGTTGAGGACCGAGAAGTTCAATCCTGCGGGGAGAGTTGCATCCCCTTGCCATTTGTAGGTAATGTTGTTGTCGATGCGTATGTGGCCAGCCCATCCGAGAATGGCCTTCGAGAATAGCGGAGATCAGTGTCCGGTCCTGGCGGCGGGAAGTAGCCCTTACGTTGTTCCAGAAGAGAGGCCATACTTCTGGCGCACGCTCGACTCCGGGGCCGAAGGGTATGTTTGTCGTGTTCATCCAAGCATTGAGGTATGGGCTACGTACAGCGAGCGGGACCCATGAGGTCCATAGGGTATTACTAAGTTGCGCTCGCACAACGAGGGCCAAACTGGACAGAATGGATATCAGGTAGTATGGGTGGAATCTTGGTAGCATTGAAAATGTGAAGTGTCGCGGAGTAGTCACAGGTGTCTCCGAAGCTTCGGCTTGTGGTAAAGAGCAAGCGAGGGCAGTCTGCGGGAAATAGCGACCAGCACTCTGTGGTATATACAGCTCTGTTAACATCAAGTATCATTAATATTAACCTTGATTCCCATCGGGTTGAGCATTGTTTGCAATGACAGATGGGATAGGAGGAATAGCGCCCGCTGACCGTAGCCCGTTCTTATGGGATGTGTAGTATGGCATCGTGGCCTGCGGGTCAAACGAGCTGGTCAGTTCTTCAATTTCGTCTCGGGCACACCACCTTTCGAGAGAGCTCGAGGGAGCGTTCGATCGCGATGGGGCCGGCCGGGGGCCAGGACCCGACATATTCTCCATGAGGTACCCGGAAACTTTGGCCCGATTTATGTCCGAATACGAATTTAGTACCCCAAAGTAGCCTAGTTTATACACAGATGGCAGATCTATGCTTAAAAATCCCCCAAAACCTCAAAAACAAAACAAAAAAACGAATCTGCCACGCGCGCTTCACGCGTCCGGACAGTATAATTGCGCATCACGTCACGTTTTCGAATATTTCCACCTATTTTGAGCGCATTTTATCTGAAAATTCGATTCAGACGGATAGACGATCACATTCGTCGGACTTACACCTGTTCATCCTTCGGAGGTCAGCTGCCTGAGGCTGGCCGGCGTTGGACGTTGGCCAGTTATACCCGGATTTCGATAGGTCCCTGGCCTGTTTGTATCCAGTCGATTTCGCGGTCTTTTGGCCGTTTTCTGGGCCTTTATACTGTACTTTTACGACCGTACCGGATGTCACACGTCACACCGCTTTTCCGCGGACACCGCCAATAATATTCTCTCGAGAGTGGCCATCCGGAAGGTCAGATCTAGGTAGGGTCCTCAGTGGCTACTCTTCCGCGTACACTCTCCTTGTATCGCCTTCGCACCTTGGGACTGCTCCTGGGAACAAAATGAATGCAGCTGTCTTGTTGGTCGATTTTGGTGATATATTGACCCCTAACGCCAAGTTCTTGAAGAGATCGTGACCCGCATGACCGGTCACGGTCAGTGTCCTTCGCCTCAAAAGCCGGCTCGCCCGAGGCAAAAATTGAGAACTGACCATTGATGCGCCGCAACTGCTGAGCGCTAAGCGCTGATGCACGCATCAAGGCTTTGCTGTCAGTATGTTCATGTGCTCCGGAAAAGGAGGTTCGATATATGACAACTCAGATTTCATGCAACATTCACCACACTTCATTCGGAGATGCCTATCATTGACAACGTACCATTTTCAATTTTCAATGGCAGAGGATCATAATACAAGTCACGTATACATCCATAGCTTGTGCATTACAGCTTAACTTACAGTAATTACGCATACATCAATCTGGTAATTGCTTATACTTGTTGACTGAGGACGCGGCTGCAACTTTTTTTAGACATATGGGCAAGCCAATGTACTTTGCTCAATGTGATGGCTACGCCAAGAGGATCTGAACTTCAGATATGCATACCTATCTCATTCATCCCATACACCCGATGATGGGAATGGACACAGGGGACGGTTAGGAATTCGCCTCATGTGTCTCCTTCATGATATGTTAGGGGCGGCTCTAATCTGTCTGGCTGGAAATACTGCATCACTCATCTCAGGTTCTCTACTTCCTGACACAGACCCTGTACCTCTGATACAGGCATCCTGATACTGCTTCTCAATGCGGTAGTAAGCGGCTCTCTGCTGAGGCCTGCACCGTCGCCCGACGTTGGGACGTCTGACAAGGTTGCGTCGCGAGCATGTGTGGGCATCTGCTGGTGCTGCTGGGCTTTGAGGAACTTCGTTGTCTGGGAGAAAGACCCTGAGACTTGAAGTCCGGTTTGAGAATTTGCGTCTGCCGACACGTTCTGTGGGAGGTTCTCTTCGCGAACGTAATTGTATGGTACGGCCCACATCAGGAAGCGTGGCTCACTACCTGCATTGTACTTTTCGTCGTCTAAGCATCTTCTAAGCTTGCAGCGAAGGAAGAAGCCGATGACGAGGACAAGAACTAGGGCACCTATTCCTCTGACCACACCACCTACTATGGCTCCGACGCTTGAGTGTTTCAACCTGGAACTTGAACTCGCGTCTTCTTAGGGCCAAATTGCGTCAATCATGACATTGGGAATGCTGGTATATGGGATGCAGTTGTCAGAAAGAGGGTGTAGAACTGTAGACCGCACTCACTTCAACGCAAGGAGAGCGAACATTGCGCCAACCCCGGGACTAATGCAGAATATTAAAACATAGCTGGCTATCGAGTTTCTGCTGTCCTTACCTCCCTGCCCCATTAGTTATATCTGATGTAGGCGCATTGAATATCATTGAAAATATCGAAGGCAGAGATACATTATTGGAGATAATGCTCCAGATCTGGTCCATGAGACTGTTACGGACACCAGGGTCAGTTATAGTCATAGCAGTGAATAAAGTCCAAGCTAGATGGAAAAAATCAGAAGAGGAAGCTAACCAGCAGGTCAACGCAGGTGTACCTGTGTTACCATCTGCAAACAAGTCAGTATAAACTCTACTGCTCGTGGAGGCTGTACAAACTTGGATTAGAGCTCAGAAGGCTTTGTATGAATGTTGTCTCCGAGCTGTACAACTGTGTCCTTTCTGTCAGTGCCTGGACCAACAGGTCCTATTAACAGCCACCCACCGAGTCATCAATGAGACTAGTTCCAAGCCACTTGTCAGCATACAGATTGTACTCCAAGGCCCAGAATGAGCTTGAATCTCTGAAGTTTGACAAGATGTGCTGCATATCGGAGGACAAGGCGAGAGACCTCCAAGTGCTTGTGTATAATTGTGCGGTACTCTAAGTGAGCACCGTGAGACATCGAATACAGTGATGGCAATAGTTACGAAAATACACACAGAATAGTGTTGCACATCTTGTTGTTGGCGTATCGCCACACTCATCTGTGACATTGCGCTGATCACGATGATACCTTTGATGGCTAAGTTCGTTGAATTAGGTCTCGATTCAGTGTCGGCCATGGTTCTGCGAGATACGAGTCAATGCCTGACTATGAGCACAAAAATACCTGTACGTACTGGCTTGACAGATGCAGGTAGTTTGCCCACTGTTTCAGCAGCAGATACTGCCTGCCGAGGTTAGAGACCGTAGAATAAAGGATAGCGATATGCACACATATGTCCTGATTAATCGCGCTTGTCTCACCTGGTGATGTGAAGGGGGTTGCGCTGCAAGTAAGAAACTCGTCCGACTACGCATGTTATGCAAAAACTGGCCATCCCCGGAAGGATGGCCTTGAATTGAGATTAGAGATTCGTGGGCGCCTAAGTGCAACGAAACTGACCCGTATTGACCTATTGAGATGTAGAAGGAAGGGGTGGGCTGGTGGTCAAGAGGTGGTAGGGAGGGTCACACGGTCGGAGGCATCGAAAGCCTGACGACGAGCTTGGAGAGACGCCTGAAGCACGACAGGGTGCTTACAAATGTACAGTTGGAAGGCATCAGAGGCCCAACCACCAGCAACTTGAATCTGCTCGTTTGGTAAGCTAAGAGAGGCTAAGAATGTCGCGCCACCAGAACGTAGTGAGTGGCCGCCAACTGCCCTGTCAAGCACTGCATGCAATCGTTCGAGGTACCATGAATGCACAGGCACAGAACTGTCATGCTTCAGATATAAAGCAGGCTCAAAGAGGAACAACCGGTTGCGAGAGGCAAGGTACGCAAGAAACGGTGCAGCTGGATCCAAACCGTCTGCCCACCGTGCGAAAACGACATCGCTACCCGCAAAGTAGTGGTCAGCCTTGTGTGCGGGCAGAGTATAAGAGCAAAAAGACATGGAGACGGTGACCGAACGACAACAAATAAGCTTGCATGACAACTGCAGTGTGCTGTCGTCAGACCAGACAAGCTCACCCAGGCGGTGCAGGCCAAAAAACCCACTGAATGTGAGCGCGATGAACAACAGGCTGCATATGTAATATACTGCTTAATTGAAAAGATGACTATCCCAATATGGTAAAGCATCTCAAAACATATGATATGTTTTGAACATACCACATGTTGAATGTTTTTGCATCATGTCATGGAGAACA